ACGTCAAGGTACAGTACGACACGGTAAGGTAGGGTGAGGTAGAGAACGTCAAGGTATGGTAGGATATGGCAAGGGTAGGGTAGGGTAGGGTAGGGTAGGGTAGGGTAGGGTAGGGTAGGGTAGGGAAAGGTAGGGTAGGATAAGGTAGGGTAGGGTAAGGTAGAATAAAGTAGAGTGAAGTAAAGCAAAAAACACTAAAATTTTTACTTCTCTACCCCAAAAGACTCCAAAAAATATCTAAAACCCACCCCACATATCCGCTGATTACCCACAAGCCCTCAAAGTTTCAAAAACGACACAATTTGTTTTCTTTTGGAATTACTTTCAGCTTCATTAAATTTGCAGTTAGCGTTGATTGACCACGAAAGTGGAAGTAGAAGTCTAATCGTCTAGTTTTTTTTTGTTTGTGATGACTAAACTCTTACAAATTAGACAAAAGTTGTTGATCTTGAACGAAATAAATGTAATTAGACTTTTAAAAGATCACTTTAGGTAATTGTAAATACTTTTTAAGGTGAATCAGCACTATTATCAAAACAAAAAAAATTTTAATTTGGCATTGGAAACTGTTTAGTTTGGTTTAAAAACTGTCACATCGCCGAGTAAAGAAAAAAAATTTACCCCGCCCTAAAATATAGTTTACTCCGCCCTTAAAATTTTTACCCCGCCCTAAAAAAGATATTCACCCTGTATTAAAAAAAAGTAAAAAAAACTTTTTTTCCTTGCCTTAAAAAAATTGCCCCGCCCTAAAAGATTCACACCGCCCTAAAAAATGTACCACGCCGTAAAAAAGTTTTTTTACCCTGCCTTGAAAAATCAAAAATAAATGTCCTCCCCAATTTTTTTAAATACACCCCTCTCACCCCCCTCCACCTCTCACTTCAAAAAAAAGTATCCAACAAACCTTATAATGAACCTCCCCCTACCTTCTAATCAATGCCACTGAACCATCTCGTTTCCCATTTCAATAACGCTGAAGATCAAAATTTGACACATTCCGAAGCAAATAGGTTCGAAACCAATTAGTTTTGTAAAAGGAAATGATTCGTTTTCCGGCAGTTGATTGGTAAAAAAACTAAACCAAGCCGTTTGCAAACGATTTCTTGAAAAATCGATCTTACATTACACTTACATTTGGTTTGGGAATGTTAATCTAAACTTATTTTTTCGAAAAAATTGTAATAGAGCGCCATACCCAGCCCTAACTATAACCATCTTACCCTACGTACCCTACACTACTCTACTCTACACTACCCTACCCTACCCTACCCTACCCTACCCTACCCTACCCTACCCTACCCTACCCTACCCTACCCTACCCTACCCTACCCTAACCTACCCTACCCTACCTTACCCTGTCATGCCCTGCCCTGCAATAAAAAACCCTTAATTTACTAACACACATGGCTTCTTATATTAATATAGCCATAGCTTTACCATACCCTTAAAAAAATTATTAATTTACCCTATCCTTACCAGGCCCTACAAAAAATGTACCATACTTTTACAGAAGTGTACCATTCTTATGAAAAGAAACGCGTACATTACCTGTATAATACTGTTATTTAGCTTACCATGCCCTACTTTACTCTACATATAAGGCGAAAGAGGGCGTGGTAAGCTACCCATAGGATAAGGTAAGGTATGGACAACCCATAGGGTAAATTAGGGCATGATAAGCCATCCATAGGGTAAAGTAAGGCATGGTAATCTAAAATTGTGAAATCAGAAGCCAAAAACTAGCCAAAACAATTTGAAAAATACAGTACTTCCGTATTCAAACACCCCCCCCCCTCTCCCCAACCATCATCCCTAAAAGCCATTCCTTTTTTCATCAACAGGCTGTAAAAATCCCTTTAACGCCCAATTCATCGCTAATTAAAATAAATCCCTTTAATTAGAGGAAACTCCTAGCAACGTTTCCGATCTCCCTTTCATCCCCTGCGGTCATGAAATCCGAAAAAAAAAAACTTGCAGACAAAACAAAAAGAATGCGCGAATCCTGATCCCCCGGCCTTAAGGCCCTAAGGACAAGTGAATGCGATCCGATTTGTCGTGTTTCTGGAAACACATCTGGGACGTGAGAAATGATATTAGGATTGAATGGGCAGCATGTGGAATATTGAACGGTTTTCATTTTTAGTAGAACGGCGGTAGTGATATTAAGAGCTGGATTTAGAACAGTAGAAGAACGGTGAACATTAATGCATTAAAATCTGCTTTTTTTTAAATAAATTTTAGTTTTTTGACCATTTAAAAATGAATTACTATGTTTTTTGGGCTTTATAAATAGATTTAGATCCGGTTAGTATATAAAACAAATTATAAAAGAACATATGAGTCATACTAGTCTATTATAACATGTTTTTTGCTTCGTTTTGCTAATAGAACATAAATTTTAATAAGTTGAAAAATATACAAATCATTATAATATAAAATGTCATACAAAAAAAATTAAAAATTTTTCGTACATTTTAAAATTTTTTTAAAGTCCTATAACATTGCCACTTTTGATGATTAAAAAAACAAATTTGTCACAGTGATACCTTAGCTTATAACAATTGCTTGTACCAATTTCAAATTTTAAAATTCAAAAACAAATTTTAAAAAAAATGTAAAACCTTTTTTTAAAAGCTCTACAACTTTTCCATTTTTCATAAAAGGAAAGCCAAATTTAGCAAAAATGAGATCTTGTTGATGATGACTATTCTTAGCAAATTTCATACTTTAAAATTTAAAAATAAATTTTTTATGAATTTTAAACCCTTTTTTGTGAAAAAGTCCTCTCCACCACTAGTTTCTAATCGTATATCAAGAAGCTCTTTGTTTCACCGTTCCAAATGTTTGACCTCTCTAATCCATCTCTAACATACCGTCCCTAACCTAACGCACAGGCCCTGCCAAGCTTGTTCACTACCCTTATTCATCCCCAACCCTCTACTACACCCTCTCCTTCCTCAAAAACCCACGACAAAAATTGTACCAAAACTCATGTCAAAAGGGTACCCAAACCCATGCCAAAAATTTTGTAAAATCCATGCCAAATGTGTACCAAAACTCATGCTATAAGTGTACCAAAGCATATGCAAAAGTGTACCAAAGCTAATGCTAAAAGTGTTTCGAAACTCATGCCTTAATGTATCAAAACCCCTGTCTCCTCTAATCTACGCCAACATAACCTGCTTAGTCTAACTCACCGCCCCTGCTATGATCACTAACCTCTTAATCCCTAACTCATCTACTCTATTTCCCCTCCCCTTCCCCGCAAAACCCATGCCAAAAGTGTTCCACAACCCCTGCACCTGACCACAAAAAGAGCCCCACTTTCAAAAGACGGCCCGAAAAAAGCCGAGAACATTTGTTGATTCTGTTGCTTTCTGTCTGTTTATCAGTTTGATCCTCACTACTTTTGACACCATGATCCGCCCCTGAGGATGTTTTTTATGCGAATTCAAAAAGACAACCGGGGGGATAAACAAAAAGAAGTTTAAACAAGTCGTTTTTTAATAGGACTTAATAGCTAGCCGCTTCATCTTATTTGTTTTTTGGGTTGATCAGAGTAAATTAGCAAAGTGGTTGTTTTAATAGGTAAATAACGTAATTTTTTAAGTTTTTTGGTACAAAAATTAAGTTAGGACTAATGGCAAGCAAGTGATTTTGGTCTCGAAGAAAAGACTTAAACCTTTTGACCATTATCATCAAGCGGTACAGGATAGACATGGAGAACGGGCCTGAATGTTAGACCCGACCTGGTCTAATTTTTGCTCAAGCCCGGTCCGAATATTTTTACGTAGAAACAGGTCGGGCATTTCCGGGATTTCCAAGCCCGGCCCGACCTCAATTTGTCTCAAGCTTGGCCCATTGTCTAGTACAAGAAGCAAGGGTAAAACAAGGGGGGAGAAGGTTTGTCTCCTGTTGATTTCAAAAACAATTAGAAAAGAAAAATAACCCCCTCCCCTTCCCACCTTCTAAAAAATCTTTCAATCCTTCCATGCCCTACCTCACCCTAGCCTACCCTACATTAATCTACCTTCCAACTCTACCCTACACCTCTGGCGAATCTTTCAAATCCCACTATTTTTGTTTACTAACAACCTCATATATATAATATTTTTAAAAGTTATCACCCCTTTCTAAATCTTTAAAAATCATCGTTTACCTTTCGAAAAAACGCCATATTAACCCTAGTACGCGATCAATCATAATACATAAAGTGCTTGGCAAAAGCAACGTTCCTTTCCTTTCTTTTATGACATTTGAGTCATCACTTAATTCCATGTGCATATATTTGTCACACATGCCTTTGGAACGTCACAAATTGTTAAATTTAAACTTTTGAGTACTTTTTGAGTTTACTTATGGCAATATGTTAAGCTAGGTTTAGTCAGGTCAATACGTAAGGCTAAATTTAGCCATGCCCATATGTAAGGCCAAGTCTAGCTACGTCAGTACGTTGGGCTACGTTTAGTTAGGTCAATACGTAAGGCTAAGTCTAGCTATGACAGTATGTTAAGTAGGTATAGACCAGAAACCTGTACCAAAAGTGGCCGTGTCGAAGCAACTTTGAAACGAGCCAGACCATCAGATAAGTGCCCGAGAGCCGAAGCCCAAACGAAAATCGAACCCCTTTACAAGTCTAATTGTCATTACCTACAAAAACTACTTTTTGATAAGAGAATTGCTCATGACCAGAATTTTAATGTCGTATTTTACCAAGTTTTAAGTTTTGTCAATCAACTTTACTACCAAATTTATATTAACAAAGGTGGAGCTCCTGTACGAAGAGATTAAAAAAGTCTTGTCGCCAAATCGATGTTTTCAAGGTTAAAAAACGACAAAACTTTTTTAATCTTTATCTTTATAAAGCTCGAATTTTAAAAATAACTACAGTAAACTATACATAACTACAGTAAACTTGAAAAATCTATATTAATATTAAAACAACTACAGTAAAATTTAAAAACTAAAGTAAATTTCAAATACCTACATCGAACTTCATATTACTCCAGTAAAATCCAAAATAACGCAGTAAACCTACCACAATCTTCCTCATCCGATCCGTCACTACAATCGTGAATTTGATTACATTTCCGTCGCTTGTCAATACATTTTCCATTACTACAAGTGAATTCATCATCACTACACCCTTCGTCGAATGAGATCTCGGCTGACTTTACTTGGTTTGATTGAATTGCGTCCTGAAATAACATAAACAGTAAAACGGCTCTAAGACTTTCTTTACAAAGCAAAAAATTGCAAAAACTTTCTTTACGAAGCTTAAAATGGCAAGAACTTTCTTTATATAACAGAAAACTTCAAGAGCTTTCCTTACAGCGATAAAAACGGCAAGAACTTTCTTTACAAAGCAAAAAATAACAAGAATTTTCTTTACATAACAAAAAAAAAGGCAATAAACTTTCTTTACAAACCATAAAATAACAAAAACTTTCTTTACGCCCTACCCTAAATAAAATTTAAAAAAAAAACTTAAAACTTCAAAATACTTACCAATCGTTCACGTTCCCTTCTTGCCTCCTCGACTCTTCTCAAATGTTCTTCATGAATTCGTCGTCGTTCAGCTTCTTGTTCACGACGTTGCTGTTCCAACACATGGGGTGGAGTCGTTGGTCGCTGTTGAACACGGTTAAAGTAGTCTAAATATTAGTTTATTATAACTTTTTTAAAATGAATTTGTTAGTTTGAGCATAAACAAAGAGAACCTAAAAATAAAAAATAAAATGTGAAACATAAAAATAAAAAAAAAATTTAAAAAAAACTAAAAAATAAGCAAAAACTATTAAAAAACTAATCATAATGTCCTTGAACATCAAATCTAAACATATACGATAACATAACACAAAATTATGTTTTACTTTTACTATCACAAAAACCAAAAACACTACTATATACCATATCCTACCGTACCCTGCCGTACCGTACTCTACACTACCGTACATTATTCTACCCTACACTACCATACGTTACCCTACCCTGCTCTACATTACTCTTTCCTAACCTACTTTACCATATCCTACCCTATCCTAACTTACCCTACCGTAGTCTGCTCTATTCTGTTTTGGCATAGCATATACCCTAAAGATGAGAAACGGGCCGCGCCAACCTTCAACTACCCGTTTGTACGTAAAAAAATCGGGCCAGCCTGAGGTAAAAATAATAACGAGCTGGGCCTAAACTTTGAGCTTAAAAACTAGGCCCGGCTCGCTTCTCACCCCTAACCTACCCTACCCTATTCTATCTTACTATATTCTATCCTACCGTGACACGTCGTACCATAACCTAACCTTTTCTACCCCACTCTATTCTACCTTATCCTACCCTACCGTGAAATGTACTCTACCCTACCCTACCCTACCTTGCCCTGCTCTACCATAACTTATCCTACCCTAAATTACCCTACTCTACCCTCCTCCACCTCCATACCCCACTATTCACAGCGACATGACAACACATACCACAAACAGTTTCGTCGCTGCCATCGCGACAATCGTAATTCCTATCGCATTTCCTCCTAACATCAATACAATCGCCATTATGACAAGTGTATTCGTGTTGACCACAGCCTTTCTTCACATTCAGTTCATCTGAATCGCATGTAGCTTCATCCGCTCGGTCACCACAGTCATCGTTACCATCACAAATCTTGTCGTAATGAATACATTGCCCTGCTGAACATTGGAATTCTTGATCAGTGCACTCTCGACGAGCTTCTTGAGCTGATTGCAGCTCTTGTGGTGCGTATGTGGTGGTGGTTGGTTGGTAGTGGGGGTGGTTTACAAAGTAATCTATAGAGTTTGTTAGTATGAACTTAGGAAACGTAAAAATATTGCTTTAGTTGTTGGTATAAAAAAGAAAATTTAATTTTTTTTTTATTTCAAAATTTAAAATTTTTAAAAATTCAAAATTTTCAATTTAAAAAGAATTTTTATTTTGTAAATTCAATTCTTAAATCCTTTTTAATATAGTCTTCGTTCGAAACGTTAAAATTGTAATAAAAAAAGCAGTTTTTAAGCCATTTTGCAGGCTGTATTTCCATGTTATACGATCAAACATGTCCGCCAATAGACAATATGAAAATTACTATAAAATGCCATTCCAAAGTAGACTAAAGCCAATTTTTTAAACTAAAAATTATAAAAATAAAACTTTTTTGTAAAATACGCCCCGGTACAGTTGTATAAATATAATAATAAAGCTAAAACGTTAGTAAAACGAACCAAAAATACGACGAATAGTCAAAAACAACATAAAATAACTAAAAACGTTTAAAAGCTAAAACAATTAACCCTATCAAAGATTGAATTTGCCATATAAAAGCCTGATAAAGTCATACAACCAACAAAGGTGAAAAATGTCATGACCTACCACAATGAAGTTCGTCCGATCCATCAGGACAATCGTATCTTCGGTTACATTCCAAGTTACTATCAATACATTGACCGTTTTTGCAACGAAATTCGTCTTCATCACAGTGATGCTTCACTGATCGCTTTTGGTTCTCTAAAAGGGGTGGGTTAGAAATGGCATTTTCCTAAAAAAACCAAAAAAAATTTTTTTAAATTTTGAATACAAATTTGAAAAAGTAAAGTTTGATAATTTATAACAAGATATAATGTGAGGTGTATTTATGAGGTGATCAGAGTGTGGCATTGAAGACGGCAGAAAAATATCCCCTTACCCAAAAAATATGCGGGATAATCTTTTTACCACGCCCACCTTAAAACTTTTTAACAGTAATCGTTAAACGCATAAAAATTCTTTCTGTACAGAAAATTTTTTTACAAGGCCTAAAATCCTGTGCATTTTTCAAAATTCCAATTTTTCAAAAAAAAATCCCCCTCCCGCCCCCCCCTTCTATTCTCCTAAAATCACCCCCAACCTTAAAAACGCATATTCATAGATAAATGCCAAATATAAGCCTATAAGCCCATAACAAAGCATTAAGCCAACAAAAAGCGAACAAAAACTACCACATAAAAGCTCATCAGTGCCATCAGAACAGTCCACGACGTGATCGCAACGTTTTTGCAGCGGCAAACAACGCCCGCCGTCGCATTCCCACGCCGTGTCCACACAGTGCTTCGGTTCACCGTTAGCTAAAACATAATACGTGCCTTAAGTGTGATAAAAGCTTGGCAGAGTTAGGGTTATCATAGGCACAGCAATAGAAATTAGTAGTAAAGCTTGTGGCTTATAAAGTTAGTGATCGCAATGACAGATAACGTATATAACACAAGGTAAAAACAGCAGTACAATACAAAATAAAACAGAAGGAGTGAGTGATTAGTGCCATAAAGTTACCCGTTAACTGTAGTAAGATATGTATTATGAGCAATACCACTAGCACCAAGAATATACCCAGAAACGTTAAGCATTTTATATTTTTTTTGTGTTTTGTCAATTTTAAACTGACTTTCCAGATTTTTCATACTTCCTATCTCAATATATGCAACTCTTTTTTTAGCTTATCTACAATTATAGCACTTACTATAGTATAACCCCAACTAAAAAATCATTACAAAATTAGTCCAGACAGGTTAAGCCTACATGAATTCAGGCCTGTACACCCTGCTAAGGCTAGAGCTAGGGCAGTTCATACTAAATTTTTAAATCTGTATAAACTCCAAAGCATCCTTTCAAATGTACTTAGAAGATAAATCTCTTATTCTTTATAAAACGAAACTTCAATACATAACATAATCCCAAAGTTACCTATCTAACAGTACAAGTACCCTATAACGTCGTGTGTGCAATGGCAGTGCATCAAATTGCAAACAGATTGCAGTATTCTCATATTCTTTTGTCTTTTTCAATTATCAGTTGGTGTTTTTTAAACCTACGTCCAGAAGAATGACAGCATTGTGCATCAACACAAGCGAATCCAGTCGGGCAAACCGCGTCACTCCAGCAATAGGTACTGCCGTGCCTAAAAGCAGTTTTATTAAAAGTTTTTCCGTAAGGTAGAGTATGGTAGGGTAGGGTAGGGTAGTGTAGGGTAGGGTAGGTTAGGGTAAGGTAGGGTAGGGTAGAGTAGGGTAGGGTAGGGTAGGGTAGGGTAGGGTAGGGTAGGGTAGGGTAAGGTAGGGTAGGGTAGAGTAGGGTAGAGTAGGGTAGGGTAGGATAGGTTAGGGTAGGGTAGGGTAGGGTAGGGTAGGGTAGGGTAGGGTAGGGTAGGGTAGGATAGAGAAGGGTAGGGTAGGGTAGGGTAGGGTAGGGTAGGGTAGGGTAGGGTAGGGTAGGGTAAGGTAGGGTAGGGTAGAGTAGAGTAGGGTAGGGTAGGATAGAGAAGGGTAGGGTAGGGTAGGGTAGGGTAGGGTAGGGTAGGGTAGGGTAGGGTAGGGTAGGGTAGGGTAGGGTAGAATAAGATAATAGGTAAAAAAAGACTTACAAACTAAACTCGGGAGTACTTCCATCAGCACAATGACGCGTTAATCTTGATGAATTGGCTAAAAACTTTTATTAGTTTCAAAATTATTTCCTCCTCATAGTGTGAAGCTCATACCTATATGCTCATTTCTTCTATCTCTTCATTTCTACTCTTTTCCTCCTTATATCTTGACATAATTTACACTTTTTGACCGAAAAAGTGATCTTGAGTATCATTTTCGACAGCTTTCAATACTTTTAGGTATATTTTAATAATTAGTACATTAACCTTATACCGACAGTAAAAAAAGGAATAGTAAGCAAAACATAAACATAAGGAAAGATAGCAACATAAAAAAGAAATACAGTGCAACTCCTGTATAATAAACTATAATAGATTTAACATTTTTTAAAAACACACCAAACAAACCCTAGTAGAACTCTGATTACCTTGATGTTCGGCCACTTCAAAGCCATCGGCCGAAACGGTCAATGAACCGAAATGCCCCTTTTTCACCGTTTCGATTAAGATTTTTTCGACCGATGGATTTTGTTCGGTAAATGTCAGGTCGAATATTACTGACGTTCCCACTACCGAGTTGTATCTGAAATGTCATTTTTTTCAATTTGTTGAATATTTTTTTAAATACGCCGTTTTTAGGCAACTTTTCTCTCAAAAAATGCCATCTTCCCGCTAAAAAATTCAGCTTTTAGAAAACTACATGTCATAAATTGTCATATTTTGCCCTTTGCTTAAACAAGTATAAGCCAAATTTTAAAAAAAAGTTATTTAAAAAAGCCATTTTACACTTAAAAAATTTAAATTTTTATTTTTGCGCCAAATTTGGCATTCCGTTTGAAGTTAAAATGCTTTTTGTAAAATACGTATAGTTAATGTTTAGTCCATATATGCAAAAAATCTTTTAAAATTGTATAATTTCCATTTTAAAAATTTAAAATTCCTGTTTCCCGCCAAAAGATACAAGGAACGTGCCCGACCTGCCCCACTTTCATTGACTTCAAACTTTTTATATAGAAAGAGCATGTAAATATAAGATCTACTGCAAAGTAACAAATCGCGCTTTCCAGGAAATCTCAAGAAAATTGAGATCAAAAAATCACTTTTCCAATTTCCCGCAAAATTGGCATTGTGTTTCAAGCTTGTAACTTTACCATTTTTTGCCTTTTAGGGATTTTTCTTTGACATAATAGTAGAAAACCTTTAAATAAACCTGCATTTTTTTAAATTGTAAGCGTAGCTTGTCTGGAAAAGTCGAAAAAAGTGCTTGAAACACAATGCCAAATTTGGCGAGAAACCAAATATTTAAAATTTAAAACTCAAAAGCGCAAACTAAAATTTTTTATGAGGACTACTGGTGGTACAAAGAATTCATATAAAAACTTTGAGCTGATTCTGAGCGGGGTAGGTTGGGTACCTTCCTCGTTAATTTTTTTAAAAATTAAAAAACCAAGCCCAAAATTTACCTAAACTGAAGCACACTAACGTTGTAGAAGTTGTGTTCATGTTTAAACACCTTTCTCGCCGATTCCGAAACCTGTTCGGCCAAGCTTTTAAATTCGTCCGAATGAGGACGACGGAGTTCGGCGGAGAAGGGTACGTCTGGTAGGTTGATGGTGACTCGGTACAAGGCTAAAATGGCCGATAAGGCGGCCAGCAGTGGTGGGCCCATGTTGATATGCCCAAAATTTGATCTGATATTTAAGAGCTTTAGCTTTTGAACTTGAAAAGTTTGAGAAAAATGAAGTTTGTGAAACGGTCCGCGTAATATCTTTGCTTTTCAAACTCTTTTGTATCAAAATCAAGAGGCAATATTAGACAGTTTAAGCCGAAAACTAAAAAAAGTCAAAGAATAATATTTTTCTTAAAATATACTGTAACAAAAACCACAAAAGTCAAACATATAATGTCTTATAAGCAGCCCAAAACTCGTTAAGCTACATAGAAAAAAAAATTTTAAAAGAAATACAAAAAGTCGGAAATATCGGACAACTTTTGATACAATAACAAGCAATTTCCATTGTTTCAGGGAACCTTTGACTTTTACTACTCCAGACAGAAATACTAAAAATGACCCAAATTTGAATAAAAGGATACAAAAATTATACTTTAAACTTTTTCCTGCCCTACAATACTATAGCGATTGTCTTTCCCTAACCTACTATGCCTTGATTTCGTCCTGCACTGCCCCCGCCTTACTATTTCTGGCTTTGTCTTGCCGTGCTTTACCCTGCACAGCCCTGCCCTACTCTACCCTAACGCACCGTAGTCTAAGCCCTGACCTAGTCCTACCACAAAGAAGTAAATCTATACTCGTTTAGTCTACCTTTGCCCTTACCTCTCCTAAAATTACTGTAACATCAACCAAGGTTTTAAACCCTACCTTTAACGGGCCCGGCCCGGCCCGTTGCTCATGTCTACCCCCTACCTTAGCCCCATACGCGTGTCCATGACAAAAAAGCTCTTAGAATATGCTAAACAAAGTGTTCTAAAAACCAAAAAAAAATTAAAAATCAGACAGTTTTAAAGTTTAATGATCATGAATCACCCTTTAAAAAATTCAAAACTAAAATTCTTTAACAAAAGTACAAAAGTTAGTTCAAAAACATATTGTTCATAATGTCCAACATTACAATATAAAGCTATAAAGCAATTTAAATTGAAATTTTTAAATTAAATATATAAAAAAAGCTTTAGTTGATCAAACAATATAATTATAAAAAGCTTTGCAAAGTAGCCAGACGTTTTTTTATCATAAAAGATTTCAAAAATTATAAAAACAGACATTTTTAAATTTGGGCTGTTCAATTTGCAAGGAAAATTCATGAGAAGTCCACATGTTGTAATGATATTAAACAAGGTGTTATTTATAAAAATTTGGCTGGCAAAATCAAATTTAATTATGTATGTATATTAGACTACCGTGGTATAGTAATAGACAATTATCGCAATATATATAGACATTACATCTCACGTCCTAGTTATCATTAATCTTCTTTGTCTTAAAAACCACCTAATACAAGAAAAAACAGTTGTAATAAGCCCAAAATATCTAACCCATATCATGTTTCCTATAACAACAGTCTACCGTAACAAAGAAAAAATTCAAAATCCTTTAAGCATTTTACAAAAAAATTTAAACCAAAGAAATATTTTTTGCCTAAACACAAAAATAATTTTACATCATTTTCAAACCCCCTCCCTTCATAAAAATGTTACTTTTTTATTTACGCGCCTCATAAAATAACATTATTCCTAATTCCAAGTTCTTATCAAAACCAAAAACTATTTTTTATTTATTTTTATGACGAAAAAAATAAATAAAACTAAAGGACGCGGAACAGTTATACAGTTATTCGATGAGTAATGCAAATTAGTTTTTTTATTCTAATTATTATATTAGATTGTAAAAGTTGAACTATCTTACCCTGACCCGTCCGGTTCTGTCCTGCTCTGTCCCACGCTACCATGCCATTTCTTCTATTATCAAAGTTGAACGCTACCCCGCCCTGTCATGTCCTGCTTGCTTTGCCTTCCCTTTCCCTGCCCCACCTTGCCTTCCAATAACTTTCATTGGCTTGCTATGCCCTACCTTTTTTTTACGCTACTGCCCTGTTTTTGCTATTGTAACGGTTATACACTACCCCTTCCTGTCCTCCCTTGCCCTGCCTTGCCTTGTCTTGCCTTTGCCTTTGCCTTTGCCTTGCCTTGCCTTGCCTTGCCTTGCCTTGCCTTGCCTTGCCTTGCCTTGCCTTGCCTTGCCTTGCCTTGCCTTGCCTTGCCTTGCCTTGCCTTGCCTTGCCTTGCCTTGCCTTGCCTTGCCTTGCCTTGCCTTGCCTTGCCTTGCCCTGCCTTGCCCTGCCCTTGCCTTGCCTTGCCTTGCCTTGCCCTGCCTTGCCCTGCCTTTGCCTTGCCTTGTCTTTCCTTGACTTCCCCTACCCTTAATCATCACTTGACCACCCCCACTCTGACCCTTCTATAAGCCTTTACTACAAATATATTTTATTCTCTAAACCCTCTCCAAAAGTATCACATCATGAAACTATAAATTTGTGTTTACAAATACTGCAGACAATCCCAATCTTCTTTTTTTTTCGCTTGCGCAGTTTAAATTTCATTCGGACAACTGATGAGACCTACAACAATATCCCCCCTCTTGTTTTTGTTTTCCTGGAGAAACAATTCATAAGGACCTTTGGGCTGTTAAGTGGACAGAGTTTACAATATTGTTAACTGTCTTACAACGCAAAAAATCATCATCTAGAGAAATATTGTCATGTTATAACGATCATCATCCAGTATAGACACTGATAAAGTAAAAAAAGTCTTGTCGTCACTTTAAATGTGACTAAATAGTAAAAAACGACAAGACTTTTTAGATTCTCAAGAATGACCTTTTTCACCCTGCCCTAGCCGGAATTAACCATTTTAATAATTTTTTGATAGTAAACGTTTATTACAATCAAAAACAAAGCTAGCCAAAACTAAAAAAAAATTAAAAGTCTACCCCCCCCATCCCATGCACCCCACCACGCCTTCTTGATCCACATAAGCCCAAAATTGCGTCATAAATGTCATCAACGTTGTACCTGCCCAAATCCCGCCTCCCAACCCCTTCCTTCCGCCGCATCCTCAAAATAAGCCTACACTAATCCACTAATAAACCTGGGTCCGAAAAGTCACTCGAAGAATAAGATAATCTTGAACTTTGTTCTTGAACTTCCGACTGTTTGGAAAGCGAAAAAAGGATAGGTCGGCGCGACTTGTTGAAGCATCGGTTATGACATACAGTGGAACTGCTGTATAACGAATTGCTATAACAGTAAAACTCCTGTATAAAGAACCGTTATAACAGTAAAACTCCCGTATAACGAATCGCTCGGGGGTTTTAAATTTGTGCATTATGAATGGGTTTCGATGTACAAAAGTTTTATTAGGTTGAACCAAAAGTAGCGAGTCACTTTTTAGTTGAAAAGTAAGTAAAAATGTCCCCATACTTTTGTTTCAACCTAATAAACTGTGTTCGGTAAGCCTTGACAAGCTTTTCAATTTTTTTTTAAATCTCAAAAAAATTTTAAAAAATTTCTTAAAAAATTAAAACTACAGTACCCTATCACGTATTTTACTACCTTTTTGAATATGACAAGTACTAAAACTAGCCAAAAAAATACAAAAGTACCGCTCCGTTCCGAGAATCCGCGAACTTTTTTGGCACAGTAGCTGACTAACCCCAACTGACTGTAAAAGGCTATTGTATTACTTATGGAAGAGGTTAGTAACCTACAAAATGCTATTTGACGCCGTTTTTAAAGTAGCTTTAAATTATTCAAAAAAAATTTTTTTCTTTGAAAATTGAAATTTTACCCTACCCTATTTTATACTCTACTTTACCTTACCCTACCATGATCTACCTTACCCTATAATACTATACCCTACCAAACCGTACCTACAAACAAAGGTAATCCCTACGCCTTTTAATTAAATGATGATACCTAAGCTACCTTTATCGGGTCATGTGTATATTAATAAAGCAGTTCTTTTCGCACCTCCTTAACCCTAATATAAACATAAAATAACACCTGCCTCTAAATTACAAGCTAGATAAAGTATTAATATTTGGTTTTAAGGCTTTGCGGCCATTACAGTGATCTTTTTTTGTTTAACTATAAGCTTCGAAATTTTTTTAGCTACTGTAACCCATATGTATTGCCCTTTGAAAGGTTTTTCCATCGCTTTAAATTACCCTGCCATAATTTTTAAAATCCGCCCCTTTCAAAATTTACCAATAAGCATACCCCATCCAACACAAGTTGATCTTCATAATCTACCCCTGCCAACGTTTTTTAATTTTCAAAATAACACCCCGGTAGAGTTTTTTCTCATTTTTAAAAATCACACATGCCACTTTTTTCTTTTAAAAATCACCCCGCCAACATTCTTTTAATTTTCAACACCCCCCCCCCCCCCAGCCAACTTTTCATTTTCAAAAATCACTCCTGCCGATTTTTTGTCAATTTCAAAATTACCCGCCAAAACTCATCAATCTTCAAAATACAGCCCCACCAACATCTATCATGCCTATCATGCTTCAAACCCCAACCCTGAAAAAACCTTCTAAATCCTCATATCCAACCCTGCCTCTCACAACTCCTCGACCGATTGCCCTAATAGCCAATGTTTGTCATTATTGCGCCCAAGATTTACGTAACCCACATTCTAAAACAGTAATCTTTGCGTTATGTAAATATGGGTGGATATTGGTTGTCTACAAGCCTCTTGGCTGCCACTCGAAAAGCCAACCAACGAGTGGTTCAAAATCAACAAAAAGCCGCGCACTCTTACAAGTTCAAGCTTTGAGGCTTATTCAAATAGGCTTGGGTTTCAAAATTTTTTGAAACTTTTAAAATTTCGAAATTTTTAAATTTTTAAAATCCAAATAAAAATTTTTTTATTTAGAAAATTTAAACTCTTGCTATAGCCGAGAACCCTAAAAGTATATATATACCCGCCTAAAACAACACTTTGCCGATATCTTTAGTCCGAGCCCTTGTATTAGCCTTAAATATAGCCCTAGCCTTGACTCTAGACTTAGCCTCTAACCAGAGCCTTAGCCCGAGCCACGGAAAGAGCCTTAGACCTAGATCCAGCCTAAGCCCAAGCTGTAACTCTAGCCCTAGCACTATCTCTAGTCCTAGCCGTCAAAGTTAGTCATAACAAGAACCGACAGTCGAAAAACAGAAAAATTTGTAATATACGATATTTCAAAAATAATAATATAAATTTAAAAAAAAAGTAGTTCAAAAAATATTTTTTTTTCCAAAAAAAAGTCTATCCAGCTCTTGACCTCGGGCACTTAATAACGGCCATTGCAAATCCGTGCGGGTCCTAGATCTCAAAACTTTCCCCCGTCATTTTAAGTGGACAGTTAAACATTTCCACACAATCAAAGCTTACCGGAGAAGATTTTATTGTATTGTCTTTGGATTTTCATAAAAATAGTTTTTTCCAAAAAGTTTTTAGTAAATGACAATTTTCAAAATTTAAAAATGCCATACCCTATAATATTCTATTTAACTTATCCTAGTTTAGCCTAACCTACTCTACCCTACCCAATACTGATCAGTCTTGTCCTACCCTATTCTATTTACTCTACCCCTACCCTACCCTACCCTGCCCTGCCTTAATTTTCCATGACCTTACCCTACCGTACAGTATCGTTATCCAAGCCCTTCCATACCTCGTCTACACAGACCCTTAAAATATGTATTTTACCCTAGCCCTTATTCTTCTTTACCTACTCTAAATTGAACTTCACCATATCCTTTTATTTTGAATACTTTACCATAAAAATACCCCGGCTCTTACTTATAAACTAAAAAGCAATATCATACCTCATCAGCCTTAAAAAACGCCCTACCCAAACTATACCAATCCCAATTTTAAAAACAGTGTTTCTCTACTCCTAATATTTTTTAAGTAAACTACCCTACCCTATCCTACCCACCCTACCCTCTACACTACCAATCTCACACTTAACACACTACCAAGTCCATACTAAAAATCGTTCTACCTCTCCATTTACCCTCTCCTCCAACTCCAAAAGTCAAAAAGCCCAACCCAAACCCCCGGTCCAAGTTGTATTCAAATGTTTACAAACTTTTTTCGAAAATCCCAGCCGAAACCCATAAATAACCAATAAAAGTTCGAAAAGCGATCCGTTTACAAGTTATCGACCAAAACGTTTAGTTTATCATTACTCACTCCAAATGACCCGCCCTTCCGAAACGTTTTTTTAAATCGCGCAATTAGTTGTTGATGGAAATAGAAATGACCGCAATCCCATTCTCTAAACACTTTGTGAAACACCGATCCCGTCAAGGTCGAGATTCGTTCAGATATGACTGGGGACAGGTTTGATGTGATAATTGTGGTGATAGTGACGTGAACACTTGGGGGTTCTAGGGTAGGGTAGAGTAGGTTAGGGGCAAGGCAGGGTAGGATAAGGTAGGATATAGCAAGGCAGGGTAGAGTAAGTTAGGATATAGCAAAGCGGGGTAGGATAAGGTAGTATATAGCAAGGCAGGGTAGGGTAAGGTAGGATATAACAAGGCAGGGTAAGATAAGATAGGATATAGCAGGTTAGAGTAGGAGAAGGGTAGAAGCAGAGTAGGAACAAAGTAGGGGCAGTGTAAATAGAATAATGAAACCTAGGGTAAAGTAGTTTAGAGTAGAACAGAGCAGAGTAGGGTAAGATAGGGTACGGCAGGGTACCATAGTATATGATAGGGTAGAAGAAGGCTTTCGAAAGAATAAAGCAAAAGTAGGGAGAGCTAAACCAAGATTTTAGCAAAAGTAGGACAAAAGTAAGGTAGGGTAGAATAAGGCCTACACCACCTATTAAAAATGGCACTCCTCTTTTTTAATTGAAGAAGAAAATGAAACCCCAAATAAAAAAAATTTAGTTCTTCCCCCTAACCAAAAGTGCCCCCCCCGTACTGTTAATAAAGTAAACAACATAAAAAATAAAAAAAAACAGAAATATAAACGAAAAAGTAAGCAAATCAAACCAAAGGTAACAAACCGTTACTTGTAATATTTTTTCAATTTAGTATCGATTATAAAAAAAAATCTTTTTTTCTGTGTAAATTACGTCAAGATTTTTAAAAAATTACTATAAAATTGAATATATGAAGTCATATTCGTAACTGCTTTCATTACCTATATCATATCCATTCTTCCTCTCACTACGTTGGGCACCTCTATTCTTACTATTACTATCTTATTAAACACCATTCTTATAGTACTATCACTAACTTAACCATATCCATCAGATATCATAAGAAATAAATAATGTAGTACAATATTCTTATCATCACTTCCTTAACGATATCAATATTTACTCTCGCTAGCTCAATAAAACCTCATTACTTACGTTTATATGGTCTTTGAGGCGCTTCTGTTTCTTGCCGTTCCTGAACTTGATTTGTTGGTGGAGTGACTTCAGCTGGTGGCCTTCTTCCTCTCAGAACAGTGCTGGTTGGTAAGTCATCAATGTTTGTTATATAGACAACTTGGTTTTCTTCTGAATAAGATACAATGGCGTATTTTACAAAAATTTAAAAACAAAAATTTTTAAAAAATAAAGAATTCAATAATTCGTATTTTACAAAAAAAAACCTCATTTTAAAACTCCAAATGTCAATATAACTTACTGTCGGGAGTATCAATTTCAATGTTCTGCAATATGTCATTAGAATCAGCCGTTGGCGGACTAAAAGCGACGTCTTCCGGCGTTGTTTCAAAGCCTAAAGCAAGATTTTTAGTCCATTTTAAAACACAATTCATTAGCTATAAAAGCAAATGCCAAAATAAATGAAGTTGAATATCTACTCTACCAAGAAATAAACATAAAATAAAAAGAAGTCTTCGTATTTTACAATAAAAAATCAAAAATACATTCATATAAACGTATGGTAGGGTATAAAAAAGCAAGATTCTTAATTTAAAACAAACAAAAAGCAATATATAGACATACCTTCCTACAACAATATCCATAAACTCGATAATTTCACAGATTTTGAAAAAAAGTCAAAAATTTTACAAATCCTCCCCCAAAAACTAAAAATTTTGAAAAAATAAGCTAAAAAACATCATTACCTTGTCAAAACATTACTTTCTTTTCATTTTTATCTTCAAAACATCAAGAAACTGGTGTAAAACGATCAAAATTTCATTTTTTTTAAATTTCGAAAAATAAAATTTACAAAAAAACAGAATACCACAGATTTTTGGCAATTAAAATTTTTCGTTGTGGGACCCAACAACTTTATAATGAAATTGTTTATCTTTGATAAAAAATAATTCGAAAAACCAAAAAAGTATAATATAATCCTACCTTCTCCTTCATTAGCTCTTCCAACAGGATCAATGGTTGTATATTCATTTCTCTCTTCCTCATTACCTACATTAATATTATTTTCATCCCTAGCTGATTTAGTAGCTTCAGGATAAATTGTTGTGCTTTCTGCCACTTCATCGGTACGTTCGCTTTCTTCATTGGCTGGTTGAACAATAGGAGCCATCGTTGTGGTCTCTAACAAAGGCTGATCAGCCAATGTTAAGGTGGTTTGTTGTGGTTCTACTGTTGATGTATCTTCTTCTAAAGCTGAGCCTGTTGTTCGTTTATCATGGGTTGTTTCTGTGACTTCTGGGGCTTCTGGAGATTCTGTAGCTTCAGTTTCTTCAATTTGATCTAAAGAAGTTGTTGTAGCTTGAAATTGTTCTGCTTCTTGACCTTCCTGACTTTGTTCTTGATCTCCTTCGACTTCTGGAGTGGCTCTAAATTCAGGTAAGGTTGTTGTGGAATCTTCAATCTGTTTTTCAGTAACATCTGCTTCATTTTGAAAATCAGTTTCTGTTTTAACGGTCGTAGCATCTTCTTTAGGTATCAAATCACCTTCATGGCTTTCAATGTCGACTACTGTAACATCTGAGTCTGTGACGTCAGAATGAGACTTTGTAGTTGGTTCTGTAGCCTCTACTGAAGATTCGGTAGTAGGTTCTGTAGCTTCAGGGTGTGCTGGAACTTCAGTGACCTCTACTGTAGATGTAGGTATGACTGTAGTAGTGACTTCAGCTTCTGCGCTCTCAGTAGCATGTTGTTTATCGTCAGCGGACAAATCTGTGTCAGAAATGTCTGCTGGAATCACTAGGGCTTCTGTTGTTGATTCCGGTTCTTCTGGAGATTCTGGAAACACTAATTTTTTAAAATTCAAAAAGCTTATACATAACCTGCCCTACCCTAACTACCCTATCCTACCCTACCCTACCCTATCCTACCCGGCCCTACCATAACCTTCCCTTTTCTAACCGACATACCCTCTATTACGCTACTCCACTTCACCGTATTCTATCCTATCTTACCGTATTCTACTTTACCCTGTCGTACATTGTCTTCTAGCCTACTTTAACCTACTTTGTCTTATACTACCATACCTTGTCCTACTCGACAACACCCCATCTTTGCCTCCACTGCTCTACCTTAACCTATCTTGCCCAGCCTTACCGTACCTTTTTTATACACTATTATTACTCTTACTCTAATATCTTATCTATTGCCTACCCTTTTCCACAATACTATAATATTTCTGTATTTTTTAGATATGATAATCACAGAAAAAAAACTCTCGTATTTTACCTTCCCCATTATCCGGTAACGGCGTAGGCAGCTCTGGCACATTCTCCGTGGTCGTATAAATGTTCTCCGGCACCGGATCTAAAGGAACTTCATCAATTTCATTTTCCTTGCCTAGTTTCGGAACTTCTTCATCATTATGTTCTACATTACCTTCTTCATCATCCACTTCATTGTCTTCATCAACAACCAACGATGAATTGAAGCGATGCTCTTTAATGCCAAACTTTAACCGTCGTGACGTTGAATAGTCGTCTGAGTCATCCGATTCTTCAATTGGTGTGCCAGTAACTTCTTCTTGTGTTAGTTCTTCTACCTTTTTACTTAGCGAGTCTTCATTGTCAAAGAACCACCAAGAGTTTGTGAGTAACGGCCCGTATAGAAGTAATATTAGGAGGAGAGGTCGGTTTAAACTCCTCGTCATCTGAAAACAATAAAAATCAATTTGACATGGTTCTATGTAAAATACGACGTGGATTTTTAGAAAAAAAAATTGAATGATAGCCCGGTTCCCGCTCGGCCCTGATTTACCACACTATCGAGAGTCGTACTAAGGAGGTTTCATTGTATTTTTTGTGAAATCAATGTAAAATACGTTCTTACGTATTGTTACTCATAAAACAATAAAATAAAGCATTATATGTAAGAATTGTTGTTATAAAATACGGTTTAACAAGTTTGTGATGAAAATAATAATATACATATTTACGAAATAATGTAAAATACGCAACTTGTAAGTTTTATTATTATATAAATTGATTTTAAAAACCACTAGAAAGTTCTCAAGTCATATACAGTGGAACTCCTAAATAACGAAAAATTTTTAAATCCCCGCTCAACACTACATAGTGCATTACAAGCTCTAATATAATATAACAAAACTATTTTACAACGCACAACTTAAATCTTCAAGCAATCTTTTATCCAATTATTTTCTAATTCATTTACCGTAAAACTTCTGTTATATGGTATACAGGAGTTACACGGTAAATGAATTTAAAAAACATAACTGAAATTTATTAAATCTTATATTTTTTACTTTATACTAGTTCCAGACGTTTTTTATTCAGTCTTTGGCCCTTTAGAGTAGCCAAACGATATAAAATTTCAGGAAAGTCCTTCAGAAGCCTTATAAAAACAAAAAAATGGAAAAAAGTCAATTTTTTATATTATATTTGGCCACCACGTTTGACCCATGAAAATGGCTACAAAATTATATTTTTTTTCAAATTTTTTGAATTTTTTTGATTGACCTAACGTTTGAATTCGTATTACAGTGTCCTCGAGGATTTCAAAATTTTTCGTTATACAGAATTTTTGTGATTTATTGCAAAAAATATTAAAGAGCTTCAAGTAATAATGTAAAATTTTCAAAAAAGCCTGATAAACTCATATAAACCCCCTAAAAAACTGACAAACAGCCCATTGACGGTCAGTCGGAACGGCCATTTTTCGAAACAAAAAACAATAAAAAAAGATACATTTCGAACGCGGTAAAACGATACCACATTCTAATCGAAATACCATTCGAAAATGGCGCGAGAAGAGAGAAAATTGGGTTTTCATCAAGAATAAGATGCTTCGGTAAACAATAGTACAAACTGTAAAAATGAGTAATACCGTTTGGGGTGGAAAGTAAGGGAAATTGATGCAGAAATTGCAGATTTTTGAAGAAGGGGGGGGTATAAATTTGCTCATTTTTAAAAAATTTAAAATTTTTTACCACGATATATTAATGTAAAACCAAAAAACTCAAATTTATTACACCCTTTTTAAGCTAAGAACAAACTTTTCTGCCATTCTTTACTGATATTAGCTCGAAAATAAATAAAATTGGCCTAAAAACGACCAAAAAGCTTGCTTCCGTTGCCGGGAATCGAACCCGGGCCTTGCGGGTGAGAGCCGCAAATCCTAACCACTAGACCACAACGGAACATGCCTTCAAGGCTTTTGAAATAGAGTAAATTCGTGACGTAGGGCATGAAATAAGGTTTGTTTGTCATCAAAATTTCATAAAAAAAAATTTTTTTGATTTATAAATTTCAAAAATTTCTCGTTTTTTTCTAATTTCAAATTTAAAAACTTGAATGCCTCAAGGTGAAACACGCCCTCGAGGCTTTAGAATAGCAAAAAGTCAATTTTGTCATAGCCATATCCCTATTAAATTTCAAAAAATTCGTTTTTGCTCTCCACGCTCCTTCCAAATCAAAGTGACCAGCCCAGCACAAAACATTACAAAACGGTACTAAACTCTCAGTACTCTCCATTTAAAAAACCTCACTAATAACCACCAAAACACCAGCATCACCCCCAGCAATCCTACTGAAAATTGCGTTTTGTAAAACCCCAAAGGTTAACGGAAAAATAAAAAACTGATAATTTGGTTTAAAAAAATTCTCGCGCAAATCAATTTCAAAAGTTTTGTAGTTGCAAATAATAAATAATGTTTTGGAAGCGAATCTTCTTTTTATCAACGACTTTTTGTTGATTTTTAAGCGCCCGATTCTTCAAAATTGGGGGAGATTTTTGAGTGGAATTTGAAGGTAATGGCAGGGTAAAAGTGCATTTAAAAATTTTTTTTCTGTAAAAAATGCTTTTATAATAGAAAGTAATGTTGGTAACGTCCAAACTACAATTTTAAATTTAAAAATTATTAGGCCGTTCAAATAATTCTGAGCCCTTATTTCTGAAAGTTTGTCATAGAGAGGAGCTCAGAATTATTTGAACAGCATTGAGTGGGAAAGATACAAAATTAGTTGAAAAGCCTAGAGGGCGCACAAAACTATATGAAAAAACAAGAGAGCTCAAATTTATTTAAACAATCCAATATTAACTAAATTTTATGATGCGACTTATTTTACCTTTAACATAAAATTTTTTTAAAATTTTTAAAAAAATACCCCCTCCATCCCAAAAAAAAATTAATGCTTCAGGCTCTAATAAACAAAAATTTCCGGCTCTCATTATAATTACGGCCGTATATAAACCCATCTTTTCGTCTTTTACAGTGCCTTGAGAGCCCTAGCCCAGAGCCCTAGCCCAGAGCCCTAGCCCAGAGCCCTAGCCCAGAGCCCTAGCCCAGAGCCCTAGCCCAGAGCCCTAGCCCAGAGCCCTAGCCCAGAGCCCTAGCCCAGAGCCCTAGCCCAGAGCTCTAGCCCAGAGCCCTAGCCCAGAGCCCTAGCCCAGAGCCCTAGCCCAGAGCCCTAGCCCAGAGCCCTAGCCCAAAGCCCTAGCCCAGAGCCCTAGCCCAGAGCCCTAGCCCAGAGCCCTAGCCCAGAGCCCTAGCCCAGAGCCCTAGCCCAGAGCCCTAGCCCAGAGCCCTAGCCCAGAGCCCTAGCCCAGAGCCCTAGCCCAGAGCCCTAGCCCAGAGCCCTAGCCCAGAGCCCTAACCCAGAGTCCTAACCCAGAGCCCTAGCCTAGAGCCCTAGCCTAGAGCCCTAGCCCAGAGCCATAGCCCAGAGCTTTAACTTGCGTCTTAGCCTGTAAGCTAGCCTAAACCCGGGCTTGAGCCCTAGCCCAGAGCCATAGTCAAGAGCCTTAGTTAATCAGAGCCGCAGCCCAAAGCTATATCTTGCATCCTAGTCTACGTCCTAGCTTCAGATCTAGCCTAAGCAATAGATTGAACCCTAGCCTGCAATCTGGAATAAACCCGTAGCTTGAGTCCAAGCCCAGCTTTCAATCTTGTGCCTCAGCCTTAGTCCTAGCCAGGGATCTGACCTAAAGCCTAGCTTCACTCTTAGTCTAAGCTGTAGCCTTAGCCCTAACCATAGTCAAAGTTCCAGCTGTACCTCTAGCCTTATCTATACCGCTTTCTCTTATTTTCTCTCAATGCCGCTTTTAAATGACTTGTCTTTTTCTGGGATGGACGAAAACAATGAACGTATTTTACAAAATTTTCAAATTCAAAAAATAAAAATTGACATTTTAAAAAACGCTAAACCCCTGCTTAAATAAGCGAAGATATTATACGTATTTTACGATAAAACCGATTTGTTTCACTTCTTAGATTACAATTTGTGGGGCTTTGACGGACGAGGTCGGTCGAGATAATCATAGCGGATAACAGGGCAACTCAGGACAGATATCATTTTTGGTCATTATGCCAATCAAACGTTGGTTGGGGTGACCAGACTAAATTTGTGTTAGGCGAGGGTAAGGGTAGTGCTAAGGCTAGGACTAAGATTAGGGATCTTGGCTCTCGGCGAGAACTCTGGGCTAAAGCTCTTCTAAGCTAGGGCTCTTGGTTAGGGCTCTGGGCTAGAGCTCTGGGCTAGGGCTCTGGGCTATGGCTCTAGACGTTGGGGCTATGGTAAAGAAAAACAGTGAAATTGTTTATAACCTACCCCCCTTGCCATGCCCATTCAAAAATTTTGTTCTTACAGGCTGGATAATGTTTCCTACGCCCCCCCCTTCCCCCCCCTCCCCCCCACCCTCAAAAAATTCATTTTGTAAAAAAAATTTGTAAACCTTTAAAATCAGCTCCATTAAAAATGCAACATCCACCCCCACCTCATCGTAATGACGCCCAGAATCCAGAATTCGACCTTGGGAAGTGAGAAGTCATTTCGACTTTCACTCTAATCAATGTATAAAGTAAATAGATACCTCCAACTGTGAATAACGGTAAAACGCCCAATTTCCACGTCCCCTGCCTTCTCGGCATTTGAAACGAGATGGGATTAGGGGATGGTGAAGATACAACACATTAAAATTTGGGTTTCAGCGCGGCAAAAAAATAAACTACAGATTGCGGGTTTCGGCAGCTAAAAGGTCAAATTATTCATAGTTTAACAAATAAATTAGTGTTTTAGGGTTTAAAAGTGGTCTATTCTACTCTATTCTATCTTACGCTATTCTGCCTTGATCTACCTTGCCTTCCTTGCCTTGCCTTTGCCCTGCCTTTGCCCTGCCTTTGCCCTGCCTTTGCCCTGCCTTTGCCCTGCCTTTGCCCTGCCTTTGCCTTGCCTTTCCCTGTCCTGGTCTGTCCTTTTTGGGTTACCTTTCTTACCTTTCCTTACATAATTATGGCTTGACCCGTTCTGTTCTTCCCTGCTTTACCCTACAATACTCTATCCGCCCTTACCTTCAAGAATACATACCTACACTGTCCCCCTCTATTATAACTCATTATACTGTGTCTAACATCATCTTATTATCTACAAAAGTCTAAATGTAAAACTACCCCTACCTACTCTTATAATATGACCAACCCTTCCCAAAGCTTTCAGTTTGAACCATCCTTACTTAAAAAGATTAGCTAGCCATACCCAATTCCCAAAATAACTTTTCAGCCTTAGCTTTTTTAAAATTATAACTTTTAATACCTTACTTTTAGATTACACATACCCAACAAAACCCAAAAAAACCAACCGCTTATTAGGTCATCCGAAACCCCTGCCCTTACGTGAAAAAGATTCTTGTTTACTTTATTTACTTTCACCGCTCTAAGTAGGGAGACAATATTTATTAAGGAGCTGCTCGGATCGACATTTATTGACCCTGCGGTCGAAAAACGCACCGTAACGGTAAAACCTTTCTGTCTCTGACGACTCTCTCGTCTAACCGTCATGTCTTGTCGCACTCTCTCATTTTATAATTGTATTTCTTTGGCGGTTGATCTTGACCTTTTAACCGAACAAATCCGTTTCGTATTTCCGAATTATTAAACCGTTTTTTGATATTATTATAATGTGCAACTTAATTTGAATATGAAGGGTAATGGTTAATATTAAGATAATGCATGTAAGGGCATTTCCTGCTTAGAGTGAGAGGGGGGGGAAGGGAAGAAAGGAAGGGGAGGGAGGGGATGGAAGGAAACAAGAAAAAAGCATCACCCTACCCCCTTCTCTAGTCTAACTCACCTTCCTTCCTTCACTGTACCGCCCTGCCTTGAATAATAAAAACTAATGAAATTATATGAAAATACAGAGTAATGGCATTGCAAGCGAAAAGAAAAACTCTTTGAGTACAATATAAATCTTGAATGATATATGGGTTAGCGAAAATTACCGTGAGAACAATAAACGTTTAGGAAAAGCTGGATTTCAACGAGTTATAATACAAATTAGCCTAATTATTCATAGTTTCTCTAAAAAAAAGAATTTTAAAGCAAACTATACACCTACAAGAATTCAAGATTAAATGGAAGATAAGTATGTATTTGGTGCAATATAGCTAGTTCATTTATATATTGATAGACACAAAGAAGAACATGTTGAAATAAACTAAAAGCAGACATGAGCATCGGGCCGCGCCTGACCCAAATTTTGATCGGGCCGGGCTTAAAATTCAGTCCCGACTCGGCCCGTTTCTCATATCTAACTAAAATAGAGTTGTGAGTCCAAGTGGCTAGGCCTGAGAGGATCCGATAGGCCCGGCTTCGCCGCAGCACAGCCTAACCTCAAGCCGGGTATGGCCAGACCAAAGCAAGTTTGAAAGAAGCCGAGCTCCAACAGCTGATGATGTATTAGCACAAGTGAACCCGAAAACCCAACTAAGGTCCGACCCGTGGACTAACTTCAAAAAATGGGCTCAGTCTGGTCATTTTACACGCCCAGTATGGCGGCCATAGCGAAAGAAATCCGCGCGAAAAATAATTTCAAAAAATATCGAAAAATTTTTTCGAAAAAAAACATTCTTGGCCGTTTGCTCCTGGTTTCTTTGTAAGTTTTTTAATAATTATATTGTTTATACATTATAAAATATTGCTACTTAGATTCAATTTATTTTATTTTACCTCAATTTTCATTTTCGTATGGTTTCAGCGCTTTTTTCAATAAAATTTCGAGAGATTTGGCTAGGATCAAGTTAAAACAATATCAAAAATGGAGCACAAGTCGGTTGGTAAGTCTTTTGTAATTATATTTTTATTGTTTTAGGTGAAATGGATTAATTTAGCAAATTTCGTCAACCTTTGGACTATTCTTATTGAGGTTCAGTTCTTTTATATTGTTTTAGTCTGGTTTTTAGGTAACAGTTGAATGTTTGGGGTTGTTTTTGGTTGAAAAGCTCAGAAATCGTTGAGAAAGATGTTAGTAAGTGTTTTGAAACGTTTCTGAGGAAATTAGAATAGTAAAAGACCAAAAAGTTCCGAAGTTCTTAATTGTTACCTAAAAAACTACAAAAACAAGATAAAGGTGTTAAACTGGTGGAATTATAGCTAAATAGGTAGCAAATTCTTTGCAAAATTTGTTATTAAACGAAGGTAATATTATAATAAGTTTAGCTATCGACGTCTGATATTGTTGTAGGTTAATATAATATAAGGATGTTGAAATAATCCTGCGCCCCGTTATCCCGAATATTTGCGTTGAGAAAGGGCACAAAGGTTTTTGAACAATCTAATAATATTAATATGTTTCTTTAAAATTAGGAAAAATAAGCAAAAAAGACATTTTTAAAACATTTTTTGTAAAATACGAGGAACTAAAATTTGTTTAGAATAAAATTGCAATCTAAAGACTATAAAACAAGGAACATAGGAACTAATATAAAATAGAAAAAAATTGAAATTATATTTTATAAATCCCCGCAAAATTTAAATTTAAAAACTTGAAAGACATACTAAAAAGTTGCCGAAGGGTAAATAGGGTTTAAACTTTGATATTAAATTGATAATTTGATTCATGGCCTGTCGAGTGACCTTTTGTTTTAGAAACAGGTGCCATTATTGACACGTCCGCAAAACTTTAATGACCTAATGATGTTGCAAAGTCATATTAAACTGACATCAAAAAACTTGTGGTCAATGTGGTAGCTTAATTCTTGAGATTGGAGGGGTGTTTTTTAGGGTAGGGTAAGATAGGTTAGGACAGGACATGGCAGAGCAGGGAAGGGCACAGCAAGACAGGGCAGAGAGGATATATGATGGTGTAAAGTAGGCAAGTGTACGGTAGGGTAGATTATTATAAGGTACAATAAAGTAGGGCAAGATAGGGTAGGATAGGATACTATAGGATAAGGTATGGTAAGTTAGGGTAAAGCTCCTCCGGGTAGAATAGGGAACGCAGGGAAGAAAAGCAGGGTACGGTAAGATAGGCTACTATAATGCATGGTAAGGTAGGGTTGGGTATAATGAGTACGGTAGATTAGGGTAGGATAAGATAAGGTAGGATAAAGTAGGGTATTGTAGGGTAAGGTACGGTAGAGTAAGGTAAAATAAGTTATGAAAACATAATTTTTTAGTAAAATACGAAGTAGAACTCTTGTTTAAAATATTTTAGTCTTCTCAACAGTAAAGTCATTTTATTATTCAGTAAATATGAATATAAACAAAATGAGATAAATTATGTTGTAAATATGTGTTTTGAGATTCATACGATTTTGGGTACACGCGCAATGTATTTGTTATGCATTGATCCTAAATACAGGTAGTTTTCGTCATCGGAGGCCTGAAAATTTTTAAATAAAAAAATATTTAACCAAATTTTAAAATTTTATGCAAATTTTAATTTTTTTTATTTTCAATTCTTTACGACACAAAAATGTCACAAACGTTCTTTACAAAACAAAAAATGGCAAGAACTTTTTTTACAAAACAAAAAATGGCAAAAACTTTCTTTACAAATCAAAAATGGCAAAAACTTTCTTTACAAATTAAAAATGGCAAAAACTTTTTTTACAAATCAAAAATGGCAAAAACTTTGTTTACAAATCAAAAACATACATGAGTGATAAACTTGATTTTTCCCTCCGGATCATGATAAGACCTAACAATATTCCCTTCCAAGTCCAACTGCACCACTAGCCCGTATCTTGGAAGGACCATTTTGGACATTCGGCCCAAAATCTCGTCAGGTATCATTGTCACAAGTAATCGACGAGCCTTAGGGTGTGGACTCAGCAAATCGACCGGTGCTGGTTTGCCTTCAAACCGTGCCACGTGCATTCCACATAGGAAGGATTTACCATCCGCTGAGAGTCGTATGTTGTTTGGTACTCCTGGTAGATTTGAGGCGAACGCTTCTAATTGACCTTCCTTTGGGCCGGTAAAGTAATATCGCATGATTCGGCATTTAACCGCTTCTGCGTAGACTAAACTTTGGCGGTCGGGATGGATCTGGATGCCGAAGGGGTAGAAGAGACCGTCGAGGAGGACACGGCTCTCGCCTGACCAAATTTTTATTTCTATAATTCTGAAAATTTTGTTTTTAGGTATGAAAAACATTAAAAATACATGCATAAATGACAAAAATTGTATGAAAATATACCCTACCTTATCGTAGACCTATCGTAACTTAGCGTTACGCAACTCTTTTTTGGCTTTATCTTTGCCTAACCCTAGCCTACTTTACCGTACCCTAACCTACTCTACCCGCCCTACCCTAGACTACCCTCCCTACCGTGCCCTATTCTACCCTACTATATCCTACTCTGCCCTGATTTGGTAGACTCTATTTATCTTCCTTTACTCTTGCCCTACCCTTGTCCCTAGCCCTTTGACATACATTTGTCTTACTCGTGCCTTACCTTTATCATATCTAACCCCTACCTTACTTTTGCTTTACCTATTTTTACCTTAATCTTACCCTTGAACCACCCTGACTGACTTTGGCTCGTCCTTATCCTACCCTTACCCAACCACTTTCTTATCCTACCTTTACCCTGAAAATCCCGGCCTCTACCTATTATTTACCCTACTCTAGCTCTGTTTCTTACCTTCCACTAGGCGCATTTTCCAGCATGACGTTAGTGAACTGTCGCCGTTGGAAGTTTATCGACGAATCAGTCAGATAAATGACTTTTTCGTCCAACACGTCCAAATCATTCACATAACCACATTTTACTCCACAAACGTCTGTGTGTGAACAAAATATTTGGGTCACTAGGCCTGGAATTTTTTTTTTTTTAATTATGTTTTTTTTTAATATTTTTTTTCAAATTATGGTTCAAAAAAGTTTTGTCGTTGATATAAAAAACGTTTTTTTACATTTTGATAATAGTGTAAATTTAGCTAAGAGTTGTCAGAATATAGTAAAATACGGCGTTTTTATCACAGTCTAAATAAGATAAGCTAGGTTCTATGGACATACCTCTATTTAAGTCGACTTTAAAAACTCCATTGTAAGCATCAGCCACAACTAAACAGTCTGCGTTTAATCGTCGAATTCCTAAAGGACGGCCGAAGTGAGGTTCTGTTTCAAATTTTCCTGAAATTTTTGAAATTTAAATTTTGAATTTTTGAAAAAAATTTTTGAAAAACGAGTAAAATTTAGATATATCTTTGACTTAAAAAAATGTAAAAAAAATTATTTTCATGTTATATTGCATGTTCTAAAACATAGGAAAATATACCTCTAGTTCCAAAATCATCCCTTAGGTTTATATATTTCTCTACTTTTCCATCCACTATTTTTATCACTCGACCATCGGCTGTGCCAGTGTATAATGTGCCTAAAATAACAAAATTTTCCTATGTAGGGTAAGGTAAGACAGGGTAAGGTAGTGTAGGGTAGGGTAATGTAGGGTAGGGTAGGACAAGGTAGGGTAGGCCAGGGTAGGGTAGAGTACCTACCTTCTTCTACTAGTACTGATTCAGGACCATCTAATTTGCCTCGTAATATCTTCTCCGACTGTGTTAGGAGGTTGTTCTCGGCCAAAACTCCGGTTTTTTCAGGTGGAGTCGGCAAACTAAAACATTGTTTTTATTTGTAAAATACCATTGAGATTTCGTAATTATTAAGGTACTGAATAAGAAAAAACTAAATGTACTGTAAATTCCTTTATAACAAAATGATTAGGGATTTGAAACTCGTTTACTATGCAAGAAACTGAGAAGTTAAACCTCGTTGCGGGACCTAAGCTGGGACCCTGCGGCCTTGGTTTGGGCTATCCTATCCTACCTAGCCTTATCCTACTGTAATCGTTGGGCCCGCATCTACAAGCACGCTTGGTTTCAAATTTGTCTTGGGCCGCCCTAACCTGGCACATGACCAAGCCGTGCGTACTGGGCTTCAAGTCCAGTACGATTTAACTTACTGATAAACTTGTGCTTGGAATTTCTTGGTTTGACGCCATTTCAGGAAGAAGAGGAATCCGAGGAAAGCTATGAATATTACAATTGCAATCAGCGTCCTGAAACAAAACTGATTTATAAATTTTTAAGAGTTTCAAAAAAACTTTTTTATTTTTTTAAATTCAATTTTTTAAATTAAAAAAATTTCCGATTCTTAGTTTAAAAGAAAAGACAATTATATTCCCCTATTTTACAACTATTTTTATAAACTAAAAATTAAAGCAACAATTTAGAGATGACTTACAGCAATTGAACCAACTCCTCTTCCATAATAATCCAATCTTTCTTAATTTTGTTAACAAAGTGTTGAGCGAGTCGCTAAATTGAAAACAAAAAGTGTTAAAAATCAAAAAATAAAGTCACGTTTGTCAAATATTCGTCATCAAAGTAAAACATTAAGAAAAGTTCATCATTCGCCCACCCTAGACTTGTAAAGGGGTTGGGCCGGGCTGAGGGCAGCATCTGCTACTCTTGGCTACGCTGGGCCGAGCTCTGCAGAAAGGGGGTCGGGGATGAGACGAAGCTGGGCTAAGGCTAGGGGTAGAAGTAGGACAAGGGCTAAGGCAAGGCTAGGTTCCGGGTTTTGGGCTATGGTAGCCCGAGCTGTGTTGGGTTGGGTTAATTTTCGGGGCCTAAGCTCCCTTCTTTCAGGTCTACCCCACCTTTATCTACACTGAAAAAACTTTGCAAAAAAAAGTGCCCCTCCCCCCCCGCCCCCCCCTCCCCTCGCCCTACCAAGAAAGTACCGTCAATATTAGTAAACTTCATATGTAAAGACAGCCATCAAATCAAGTATAATATGACTTATGTGTTATAATTGTTTAAAAAAGACAGCAACATAACTAACCATAATTCAAAAAACAATTAAAATTCATAGAACGACACGATTATCTTGTAAATATTGACTACAGTTTACTCTTTATGATATTAAAAGTCCGTATATGTTGATAACTTGCTATGGTTGATGATGAAGGTCAGTTTTGAACCCAAAAAGTACTTTTAATCCTACCCTACTCTAACTTCCCCTACGCTACCCAACCTACCCTGCCTAACTGAGTCATGTCTTACGCTTGCCCTAATCACGTTCAAGATTAAGTCTATCATGACCCTACCCTTGCCTTACCTTTGTTTCTTACTTCATCCTGACCTAGCTTGTCCTACTCAATCATAAAAATAAGAAGTCTTTATCCCCCCCTCCCCCCCCCCTCTTCCTCCCTCACCCTAATCCTTTCTCCCTCAAATAAAAATGACCCGCCCGCCCTCAAGTACAACAATGTATACAATAAAATCCAGATTTAACCCCGCAAACCACCCCACAAGTTCAGTGAAACAAGACCTGGACGTTCGTCGATGTCACAAGATTGTAACAAACTCTTAATGACAGCCGGCAATAACAAGAAAAAAGGTCTGATTGATAATACAATACCAGCGAGACGATCGATTTCCCAACTCCAGTTGTAAACCCATACCAACTTAGCCCATTCGGATTGCCTTTTCTATTTTTAAATTTTACGTTTTCAGATTTTTCGATTGCGTAAAAACCGAAAAAAATTGATCTTTGATGGGCGTTGTAAATAATTTATGGGGTTAGGAAAGGGCGCTTAACTACATGAAACGGCTTACTAATGGTTAGTAGTGTATAAAACAACACATCATTTTTTAGCTCGATGCAAAAAGAATGTCACATTTCATAGTTGATTCAGAATGGCATATTAAAAAATTGATGCAAAAAGAATGGCGCATCGTCATTTTGAATGAAAAAAATGGCGCATGTGAAAGTTCATGTAAAAAGAATGACGCATTTGAAAGTTGATGCAAAAGGAATGGCCTATTTTGATTCAAAAAGCATGGAGCATTTCTACTGTGATTAAAAAAACGGCGCACTTTAAAGTTGATGCAAAAAGAACGGCGTATTTGAAAGTTGTTGCAAAAAGAATAGCAGGTTTTATATTTGACTTAAAAAGGATGGCGTATTTGAAAGTTCATGCAAAAAGAATGGCGTATTTGAAAGGTGATGCAAAAATAATGTCACATATTAAAAGTTATGTAAAAAGAATTCTACATTTCACAGTTGATGTAAAAAGAATGGCGCGTTAACAAATTGATTCAAAAAGAACAATAATGCATTTTATAGCTGATGCAAAAGGAATGGCGCATTTGAAAACTGATGCAAAATGAATGGCGCGTTGTGGTTTTGGCGCAAAAAGAATGGCGTATGAAGTCTAATACAAAAATCCAAAAATATTTGAAGAAAAAGTTGAAAACTAAACTGTTGAAAACCTTTTGATGTTTTTCTGAAACAAATTACCACTACAAAAACAAAAAGGAAGAGGTTTAAATTTTGCAAACGAAAACAAGTTAGAAATCAATTTGTCGCTAATCTTTGTAGTCTTAGTAAATTTGCCGTGAAGTTCATACCTGTCAAATCACACCATTTTAAAATTTTTGTTTTTGAAGTTATATGCCACTTTCTTCAAGACTTTTTTTTCTAATTTTGTTATCAAAATGTTCTTATACTTTTTATAACATCACAATATAACTTGTGCACCAAACTTTTTTACCAAGCCAAGCGAATTTTTGACTTATAACAAAGCTCCTTGATAAGGAACAAATTTAAAGGTCCCGGATGATTAGTTAAGGACCCAGCAACCTTTCCATTCCAACAATTGTAAGCTAGCAGTCTCTAAACTTTACCGAGCCATATTTTTCATCTCCCCATCTTTATTACCTTTAAAGTTCGTCTTTTGCCTAGCTTTAAACAATTACCAGAAAGACCTTCTAAATTATAAAAATATTTAAGCTTATGCTAGCAAAGGCAAATGAATTAATACAAAGTCAAAGGTTACTAAACTATACTCTCGGAAGCGAAAGAAAAATTCATTCTTCCGTTTACAATTAAAAACAAAAACTATAATTGCCTTCAAGACTAAAAACTAAATAACATATCAGAAAAATTTGTTAGCAATTTTGTATACACAGTAAAACTACTGTATAACAAACTCGTTCATGAAAAAATCTCAGTATAACGAACAAACTTTAGATTTCTAAGCAACTTACTATGCAGAAGTTCTAATGTATTACCGAAAAGACAAAATAATTTTTAAATTGTTTAAAAACAGATACTGCAAAATTGAAAAACGTTATTTTTGCTAAAAATATATCATAGTAATGATATGATATAGTTATCAATCACTAACTGATAACGACATTTGTTAAAAAGGATAAATTTGCGAATTATTTTTAAAAACATTATTCAGGTCACAGTGACATTTAAAAAGTAAAAACACAAATTCGAATCTTATAAAAATAAAAAAAAACACTCATCTTGTTTTTCAAAAAATCAAAAAAAAAAGCAAATTTTTAATTTTAAACGCCTTACTTTCTACCCTATACTGTCCCCATCCTAATTCAAAAATTTTAACCAAAATTAGTAGTAGTATCTTTTTTAAGCCTAAATTATTTTTTTCCGTCTTCATCTTTGCTACCCTTCCATTCCTCCATTATCTTACTCAAAAACTCCTTCCAGGCCTTCCTTTATCTACAACCTTAAGCCTTATCATGTATCTTAACTTATTGTATGTGTTGCACAGTTTTCTCATCATAATTAAAGTAAAATACGATGTCGCAATGTTTTTTCTTAAAATTTTTTCAATTTTAAACTAAAAGATTTTCAGTCAAAATATTTTTACCACAAAAAGTATAACAACCTGACTATAATATTTACCTCATCAAAACTTGAACCAAGCTTTTTAAAAAACTTATATCCGCTTCCAAATTCACAATAAACAACAATATATATCTCCAAATATACTTGCAATAATGCACTGAAGTAGACGGATTCGAGTGTTTTGAGAAAAAACAAATACTATAAAAACGTCCAGGCGGTTCGAAACTAATTGCGTAGTAAAATTAATAGAAAATAAAATGAAAAACTTAAATGAGGATATTTTAAAAGCGTCTGGGCTTGGCAAACTATGTCTACACTATGTAATAAATTCAATGTGAGGATACGTTAAAGACGATCATTGTACTTTAAGCGAGTAGAATTAATTGACCAAGCGCATAAATATATTCTAGTAGCCTTAACTTCTGCGGCCAATGCGTAACTGCAAATAGATAGAAGTTCATACTATGGCATAGCCCTAGCCCAGAGCCCTAGCCCAGAGCCCTAGCCCAGAGCCCTAGCCCAGAGCCCTAGCCCAGAGCCCTAGCCCAGAGCCCTAGCCCATTGCCCTAGCCCAGAGTTTTAGCACAATAAGGGGTGAGAAACAAACAGTGTAGGCCCAAACCAAGCCGACCGTGTGCTAAATTTAGACAGGGCCTGGAAATCAAGACCCTCGGCAGGCCTGAAAACCAAGACCAGGCCAGAAATGCTCATCTCGTTGGCAAGTATAAAAAAAATTGGGCCGGGCTGGCCTAAAGTAAACGTCAAAAACGTCTTCGGACCTAAAAGTTGGACCAGCCCGTTTCTCACCCCTAATCTCAAAGCCCAAAATAGCCTAGCCCACAGCCCCAGCCGCCCACAGACCTGGCCCGAGGCCTATCCTAGATTCCTATCCCCGGCATACCAGGACCCTACTCCATAATTTGACAGTAAAAGTAACTGTTTAAAAATCACGTCGAGAAGAAACGTTGCTTGTCGTTCCACGCACGCTGTAACAAGAAATCACCACAAATTCTTAACAATCATCAAAATTCAAGCGCAATTAAAGCTGTTGGAAAATTATGCACTTGGTATTTGGTGTTGTTTTTTGATTGAAATAGCTAATTATGTTGTTAACAAGCGTATTTAATAGCTTTTAAAAATTTTAAAAAGTATATTTGGGTGTATTTAATATGTTTGAGTGTTTAAATAGATTTTTACAGCAAATTTTGTTGTTAATAGATTAAAGGCGTGTTTTTTAAATTTTTGCTAGACAGGTAGACTTCATATAGGTAGGGCAAAAGAAGGGGGGGGGTGGGGTTAATAATTTAATTTTTTTCAAATTGGTTTTTAAAGAAAGGACCAAAGATAAAAATAAAGTAGAAAAGAAAAACCAAAAAATCATAAGGTTAAAGTGGAAAAGAAAAAGCAGAAAAAAAAAGCTAAAAAACAAAAGAATACGGTAACAAAGAAGATAAAGTAAAAAAGACGTTAAAAAAAAGAAAAAGCAAAGCAAGAAGAAGAAGAAGAAACAGAAACGGAAGAAAAAGACAAACAAGGAGAACAAGCAGAAAAAGAAGCAGAAGAAGACAAAGAAGAAGCTTTTTTTCTCAAATTCCCTTTTTGAAAACGAGTAGTGTTCTCGGCCGAGGGGGGGGGGAGATCTTTTTCGAAAATTGCGGGATTCTCTGCCTGCGGGGATGAAAAAACCCTCCTTCCCTCCCCTGCCTAGAAAACTAAAAACGTGCAATTTGCACCAGCCACCTTTGTTTTTTGGGTCTAGTTCCTTTCCAATAAAGATAGCCCGTCCAGGACTGATCAATGTTTCAAGTGATTAAAATCATGCATTATATACATAGTAATTATATAAATATTTTTGATCATATATTTTAATTGACGAGCCCAAAAATCGGATGTTCCACTATACTTTCATTAAACGCATCATGCTATTTATACACAAAATTTGTTTATTCAAAATATATAAATAGCTACATGTTTTCACAGTGTTATTGACTTTTGGTTTACAGTGTTCAGTAAATTACTGCATCATTTAGATCTGTAGATCAGTAAATTACTGCATCATATAGATCTGTAGCGCAAAGATATTACATTATACTTCTCTTCGTTATAACTTTTTACATTACACTAGCGTTCTGTGTAGATTGTTACATCACGTTCAGTGTAGATTATTACATCACTCTTGCTGTCTTTTAGAATGTTTTATTAAAAACGATTCATTTTTAATGGTCGTGACTTTTAAAGAAAGATATATATCAACTATCGTTTTTTTATACAATAATGAGCAAGTTGACTAGAGTTTTTACTCAGCCAAATGTTGATTAATGAAAGACTAACTTTACAGCACATTATCAATAAATTTACAACTTTGTCTGATAAACATCGCATAAAAACGTTTATGGTATGTGCGGGCTGCAAAAAAAGCTGTTTATGATTATGAACTTAGGGTTTTTTACAAAAGGCTTCAAAGTATTTTTTAAAAACTCAATATAAAATAATATTTCTTCCTTATAACAAAGGTTTTATTATTTTAAAATTTTAAGAGCATGGGCAGTGGTAGGGAAAAAATAAGGTAAGATTAACAAAAGGATAAAGTAAAGCACCAAAATAAAAACGGTAAGACAAGGGTGAAACAAAAATGAATAACGGATAAGGCAAAAATACGAGAAGGGCAAAACGGGAGTAAGATAGGGAACAAAAATAACATAAAGAACGAACAAAGAGACAATAAAGCAGGAGTAAGGCAAAATTAGAGTGAGCAAAAGTAAACCGATCATAAAGCAAAGGTAAGTCAAGTAAAACAAGGTTAAACCAAAAGTAAGTCAACGGGGACAAGCACGAAAAAACCAACGTTAAAGCAAATAAAAGGCTTTTGCTAAAACAAGATAGAGGACGATAATTTAGCTTCAAATAATCAAAAAATTTTGGGCTCAGCCGGTGATCGAAACCGGGGCCTCTCGCACCCAAAGCGAGAATCATACCACTAGACCACTGAGCCGCGATTTTTCGTCTTTTCTCTGCCGATAAACGCTGATTTCTTTTTTCTCGTAAGCCGCGACGATTTCATTTTTTAAAACCAATATCTTTAAAAGCGTTTTTAAAAAGCATAGTTATTATTACGGAATATAAAAACTGAGAAAAACATTGCGCTAATGGCGTTCACTTCTTAAAATTCGTTTCTTTTTAAATTTTCAAGTTTAAAAACGATTATGATTTTGGCTCGAACATTGGTCTCTTTCATATTTAAAACTCTACCCTTATCTTACCTTTCCTACATTATTCTACTATATTCTATTTTACCCTATTTTACAATGATGTATCTCATCTTGCTCTACTGTGCCCTGCTATATCTTGTCTTGCTCTGTTCTAACGTACGCTATCAAAGTGCAAATAAATTTTTTTTAAAAACATTAAAATTTATTTTATATCAATTTCAAAATTTTTAAAAATTTTTAAAAAATTACAATAACAAAAGTAATGTCACTGAGACCGTCGTTCATAAAAACCGTTTCCAGTGTTTAGTTGACGGATCATTGCTTCCTTTAACACTTGACTTTCCACTATTACACCTTTGGGCAGCTGATTTTCCATTTCTGAAAGGAAACAACACATTTTTCAGCGATATGACTTGTAACATTCAATAACTTTTGTTCGTTTTAAAAAAAATTTTTAAAATTACACTTTTATGGTTTACTGTTATCTTGAAGTGTATGCATGATGAAGGGTAAAGAAAAAGGTAGGGGAAAGACAAGAAAAGAAAAGAAAAGAAAAAGCATTTTTTAATTTTTTCAAAAATTTAAGCTCAGTTCTACCCCAAAGCTCCGCTAAAACTCAAAAAAACTTATACTAGCCAGAAACTAACCTCTAATGATATTCTCCAAGCTCTGAAGCCCCACAAAGTCACTAACTTCAAATGGTCCCATTTTCCATCCCAAACAATCTTTAATAACTTCATCGACCAGTCGATAATCATCAACAACTCCTTCGTCTACTAACCGATGTGCAGCATTTATCATGGGACATAACAATCGATTTACCACAAATCCTGGAGAGTCTTTGCATTTGATAACCCTTTTACTAAATAGACTAGCTAGATCAGTCAAGTCGTCGACAGTTTTTTGGGAAGTGAATGAGGTTATTGGTAACTAAAAATAAAAGTTTATAATTAGAAGAGAACCAAGTGACGTATTTTACAATAGCCATAGCCCAGAGCCTTAGTCCAGAGCCCTAGCCCAGAGTCCTAGCCTAGAGCCCTAGCCCAGAGCCATAGCCCAGAACCCTAGCCCAGAGCCATAGCCCAGAACCCTAGCCCAGAGCCCTAGCCCAGAGCCCTAGCCCAGAGATTTGTTAAAGCTATACCTACTTCAACAAACTTTTTCACATGCACTGGAATAAAGAAATGTAGTCCAGCTAAATTTTCTGGACGCTCTAGCTCTTTTGCCAAGGCTGTAACAGATATAGCTGATGTGTTGGTTGCAATAGTCACATCTCTAAAATTTTGTTTATTATATTTTTTTACAGTTATATATTCGAAATATACTCAAGTTAACCTGTATACTGTAGATATTTACTGTAGACATTAAATTCAAAAAAAAATGTTAACTATAGTATTTTATATTGAAGACCTTTTTCAACACTTACCATTGTAAACAACCAATATATTTTTTACTTGGCTAGATATATATGTATAAGAACTTACTTGTTTATTTCTTGAATTTTTCGTAAAACCTTGACTTTTTCTTCCTTCTGTTCAACCACAGCTTCTATCACAATATTAGATTGCCCTACGGATGTTTGTAGGTCATCAGATACCGTCAAGTATTTTAATTTTAAGTCAAGCACTGCCTCAAAATCCTGAAATAATTTATATTTTTTAAAGTTAAAGGACGTATATTCACTGGAACTCCTGTATAACAAACTTTTATATAAAGAAACTTCTATATAACGAACAACTTTTAAGCTTCCAGATAACACAGTGTAATTTACTCTTCTTCCTTTATAACAAACAACATACAAATTTAATAAATTCGTTATACAGATGCTACTGTAAAAGGTTAAAAAAACTTACGTTTTCGTTGCTCTTCTTCAACTGTCGTTTCAAGTTGTTTCGAATTTGATTCTCGACTTTTTCTACATTTTGTGACTTACGGACGTATATTATTGTATGTATATTGTTATTTATAGCTAACTGAAACATAAGTTTAAAAAATTTTTCTTCAATTTTAACTAATTTCTAGTTTAGAAAAGAAAATTTTAATTTTTAAATTTTTACTTGCGCAATAGAAATACCCATTTGGCCATTCCCAACAATACATAGTTGTATCGACATCACAAATCTTGGAAGACAAATTTTAATTAGAAAAATTATCTAAAATCTTATCAAAATGAAGTTATTTAGAAGTTCACACGAATTGACAGATAATAAACACAATTAAAACTGTAGCAGCCTTATCTTTTCTATCGTCAAACAGGCGTTTTTAAATAAAAGAACCAAAAAAAGGCTGTATAATCATATGATCTTGTTATGGGATTTTTTAACCGGTCAACATATTTTTTATTAGCTTACCTACCTGTCCTACCCTTCCCTACCTTTCCCTACGCTACCCTATTTACCCCACCCTACCCTACCCTACCTAACGTACCCTACCGTACCCTGACCTTCCCTACACTACCCAAAATCCACAAAATTCAGCTTAATAACCAACACCACCCAGAAAATTAAATTTTAAACCGCCTCTTGGCAAAAAACACCACTCAATAAACTAATTTAAGCTAACCTCTCTTAGTTTTTAAAATTTTAAAAAATGTAAACACTGCTTGGCTAGTTTTTACATAAGCCGTTATAACTACAATATTTAACTACAATCACAATATTTTTCAAAGGTTAAGTTTATTTTGTGATCTTCAACATTTGGCAAAACGAATTTCACATTCAACATCTTCAAGATAATCTTTATATCTCGTGCCAAGATACTGTAACAGGTAAGCGTTGTATTCTTTGAGGTTAGGCACGTCTCCAACATGGCTTGCCCTTAGTCCACCGTTCTCGACTCTCCAAACAATGGTTTCCATTAAGGTTTCCTTCGAAACACGAAGCTTGCGGGCCACGATTGGCAACACTTCTGCTAAAGTAGTGTTGTTTTCATCAGCATGGATTGTGCACACGGTTTTTTGACTAAATTCTTCGTCGACATACAAGAAATGATACGATGCTTTTCCCTAAAAAACCACTTATTAAGTTTTGTAATGTAAACTTTAAAAACTAAAGCCAAAAATTATTGGTCAAAGCTTCCTTTTATTGATTATCAAAAAATAAAAGCTTACTCTAACTTTCTTCGAACGATTGGCTTCAATTTTGTTAGCATTTCTATGCAACGGTAAACCAGCGTATTCAAATGCCGCTTTAACTCCATTCATAGCAAACAATAACGCGTCGAAGTCGTCAATAGCAGTATTTTTCCAAAACAAGAATCCAGTTTCAACTTTAGAAGTTAATACTTTTTTGCGATCAACAACAACTGAATCTACTTCAATATCAATGTTTTCCATTTTCTAAAAGGTTTTCATAATAACGGTAATTTGTTTTAATTTGATTATTTGTAAATCTATTCTACCGTACACTGCCCCAGCCTACCGTGCCTTACTCTTTCCTATTCTACCCTCTCTGCTTTATCTTACAGATTAAGTTTTAAGTTTCAGGAAAAACTTACAAAGTCATAAACAGCCTTCTGAAAAAATTTGAAAGGCTTCCATTGCGAATGTATTTGATTCAGTAAAACAATATCTTCGTTTTCTGTCTCTAGCATCAGATTTGGAACAAAAGAATGCATAGGTTGCAAATGGTACAAGTATTCTAACTTGGTCATCATAAAATTACACGTCTCATCATCATCAAACTTTTGTTTTTTATGCTTTCTACTCTGAAATTTTTAAATATATTTTTTTTGTCTTCGCAATAGATAAATAATAATATAATAACAATTAAAAAAATATAGGGGAAAAACTTTATATAATTATTTAAAAAACGTTTAAAAATTACCTTTGGGATGATTTTCCGATTCCACTCGTAGTCAAAAATGCATTTTTCAGCAAATATGCTTGTACACAGTAATGTTTCTTTCCACATGACGCGTCCAGCTTCGGAGAGTAAGTAAAATGCTCCGTTAATAAGTAGTAACTTTGCTTTAAACTTTGTGCAAATTATGACCAATTGGTCGTCGGTCGAAAGTTGGTTTGTGTCTGAAACATATTCCCAATGGTTGACGCTCCATTTACCGACAACTGCACGTTGACATTTGTATATTTGTGGTGTATAGTATGAATCGATTCTTGTTTCAATGTCTTTGCTAACACCATAATAATTCCTTTCAATAACCAGCGTCCTCTCTTCCTCCACGATCACATACGTAAAACTTGGTTTTCCATTTTGCTAAAATATTCTTTTCAAAAATATATATTTTACATTTGTTAAAAACAAATTTTACTTTAATCGATTGCAAAAAGTAAATATTTTTTTTGAAAACCGTATAAATTTTATATAAAGTTTTTGAATATGCTTAACAATTTTCATTTTAAAATTTTGCAGTGAAAAGTAAATATAAACCACCCGCACGAAAAATCATTTTTTGAAATAACTATCCTTTTATAAATAAACCAAATTAAAAAACAACGTACCCATGTTCCTATGTTGCTCCATACTTGATCCACTTTTGGAAATGGAGAACATCTTTTAACAATTTCTACAGATTTGTCAGAAGACATTTTGGCAACTAAGTCGAAGTGAAGATAAGCAGCTGGAATGACCAGGGTTCGACGAGATATATAACCAATTCTATTTCTTCGAATGACGCTCAATGCTTGGGTATATAGCGAGGCTAAAAGAAGCGCGATCTCTGCATGCCTTCTACCAGCCTCTTGGGTCAATTGAAGTATGCGTTTATTATGCCTATACACCTGCCCGTACGCGATATTACATCGATGCTGCGTAAACTTTTGCTTATCTTGCACTTTTTTTTCTTTACGATCAAGAATTTCACGTTATTCATACTAAATGAAAAAAAAAACAACTGAAGCATCAATCCATTAGTGAAAAATAGGCAACATTTATTTGTTTTTACATGACTTTTTGTTTTTTAAAAAGCACTATAAATAAAAGCCTCCTACAGTTTTGAAATTTAATAATCTTTATGATCTCTGGCCAAGAATTGGTCTCGCCATTGTTACAAAAATTTAAAGACAAATGAGCGTCAGGCTTGAAACGACTATTCAGATTCTCGTATCGAGATGCAGTTTACGTATATTTCAATTTTGCTCGTTTTCATTTCTTTTGTCCAAGCCAGAACGGAATGCGGAAGTGTTGGTGGAGATTTTAATAGGACAAAGTTGTAAGTTAACGTAAAAGTTAAGTAAAAAACAGAGTAAGCTTATTTTAAATAGTTCAAATACTCCTAGGACCTGTTCGGTCCCTTTGCTCGTCTAATCTACATAAGTTTAAATTATTTTTGTAACAAAATGAAAAAGATAATACTGTAATAATATGTATATACGTGCATTATTCCATTTTTTCAGAATAATGAAAGAAAACGAATGCGTACAAAAGTAGTAAGTAATTAAAGTTTAACTTTATATTTTTAAGAACTTTTTTAATAATAGTTTAAGTTTGTACGTTTAAATAATGTTGTTGTAGCTCTCCACAACAATGCTGGGTATATGGTGTAAAGCCGGAGGTTATGAAAGCCAATGCGTTGATTACCTTTAAGCTTTGTAAGTTTATTCAAGTCTTGACTATCTAGTTTATCATAATTTTATACTTCTCATAAAAATTTATCGTATTTTACATATTTAAAAAAAAAATTTTTTTTTATATATTAATTTTTAAAACATTGTTAATACTGTACTAGACATTTGTACATTTAGTTCCACAGTTAGTATCGGACTTCACTGAATGCCTTGTACAAAAGATGAATGAAATGAAGCCGGAATTTGTACATAACTACAATGTAACGGCAATCAATATATTCAAATACAATTGTATTACGAAAAGAGAGGCTTGTCAGTAAGTAAATTAACTTTTGTTTTGAAAAAATTAGTTTTTAAAACAGAAAATTTTTTGTTTTAGGCAACTTTTGATTGTGTTTTTGGCTGGGGTTTTGGCTAAGATTAGGTCTAGGGACAGTTATTTGACTGGTGCTTTGGCTGGTGCTTAGGGTACATTTCTAAATATGTTTCAGTATTTTAGTTATTTTATGACAGTATGGCCGCTAACTTTTAGGTTTCTAAAAGACTACTTAATACCCCTGACCTGTTGGATTCAAAGAGATTGTAACAAAATGTTGTCGGATTCATTGTACGCCTTTACTTATGGTGATTTAATGTTGGCTGCTGAAACTTCAAAGACTTTTCGGTGAAGTTTTTTGTGTTTCGATTCTTTATTAGTATATAATCTTCAGTGAAGAGAGGAGGGGTAAAATTTTATAAGACTTTAACTCAATCTAAGTTTACATTGTTATAACTCTGCTTAAAGGAAACGATTTTAGTTGCTTCGGCTCAACCCAATACGATATAAAGCCAAACTTTTTCAACTTGTACACAATAGCCACTGGTGCGAATGTTGTTAGTACTGATTTGTGCTCAGGTGTGGAACTACCAGTAAATCAAGAAAAAAGAAGAAGATTTGGTGGAGATGGAAAGCTACACTGATGATAGACATCATGGAAAGAAAAAAACCCAATACTAAAACTTAAACTTTTATATTAAAAGTTTGTTATTATTGTTGTGGAAGGGACATTGGTATGGGGTGGAGTTAGGGGGGGGGGAGTAGTTGAAAGTCAAGTTTCATTTGAAAGTCAAAAAATGTTTGCTTGCCCTTCTACCGTCCAAAAAATTCGGTAGCAACGTCTCTGTGCTCTACTCTTTGTAAATGTATCTAGAATTTTAATAGTATATAAATACAAAAACACAGATAAGAGATAGAGAGATCATGTTAATAACACCTTCAGCGAAATACTTAGTCGTGCTTATTAGTCAATCACGAGAAAATCGAGGTCAAAAAATTACGTTTTGAAATTGCCGCCAAATTGGCATTGTGTTTCAAGCTTATAACTTCGTCATTCTTTTACTTTTAATCATTTTTCTTTGAAATACTAGTGACAAACCTCCAAATGGACCCACATTTTTAAATTTTTAAACGTAGCTTGTCTGGAAAGTCGAAAAAAGTGCTTGAAACGCAATGCCAGATTTCCCAAATCGTCGGAAAACTCAAATATTTTAATTTTAAAACTCAAAAGCGGGAGGTAAAATTTTTTATCGGGGGAACATTTATTTAATTATTTTGAGCTGATTACGAGTATGGGCAGGTTATGTAATTTCTTTGCTAGAATACTAAACTTTTATTTTTTTATTTATTTTATTACATTTTTTACAACACAATCCATGAATTCCTGCTTATTTTCCACTTTATCCTCTTGATTTCTTCAAAATCTTGACATAGCTCTAAAGACGGGCATTTTCCTCGGCGTTCCATCAATAACTTTTGTCTACATTCTTCTAGTTTTATACTCAAATAATAGCCAACTCTACTGTAACTTTCAAAATTTCCATAAACTGGTGCTCTAATTTTGCGTCGCATAAAGTTGTAGTCCAATTCGTTAGCTAGTTCTATCAAATCTAGCGAGAACTTTGAGTTCTTCCACGGAAAAATGTCATTTATTTGTCGTAGATGAAGAATCCTGCCTTCTGATGCACTTATGTTGTGGTGGATGTACCTTGGTTCTTTGACAATGTTGTCATTATGACCACTACTATCACCTGCTTTCTGTAAATATACATTACTACTGTAAGTCTTGTCATCATGGTCAATACTATCACTCTTAAAAGCATCCTCAACCTCTTCAGTATCAAGTCGAAAATGAATGTCATAATTCCGAACACGATGTGGTATATAAATGTTCTTTGAGTACAAGGAACGTTCGAATGCCTTGTTTTCAAATTGAACTGTGTACTTTAATGGATGAAAATTGAAAGCATTTGGATCGGACACTTGATTCCAATCAAACTGAAATTATGAAATTTTAAAATTCAAAAGGGTTTCTGATTTTTTAAAATGTTTTTATGTTTTAATAAGGCGCTTTAGTTTTCTTGTTTTTTGCAAAAAAAAAACATTTCATTGACAAATAAGTGGGTGATTTTAAACTAAAGGAGTAAATAAGAAGGATTTAGGTTTAGAGCTAACGCTTGGACTAACTGTTGGCTTGGGACTCAGCCTAGAACTCAGAGTATGATGGACTGTGCTATAAATCAGGCTAGAGCTAGGATTCGGATTAGAACTCAGGCTACGGCTCAGGCTAGGATTCCAACTAAAGCTCAAGAAAAGGCAAGAGCTAGGGCTAAAGCTAGGATATATTATACTATAGGGCTAGGGCTAGGTAGTATAAAATATGATAAGGTAGAACAGGGTAGGGTAATGTAGGATAGGATAGGGTAGGGTAGGGTAGGGTAGGGTAGGGTAGGGTAGGGTAGGGTAGGGTAGGGTAGGGTAGGGTAGGGTGGGGGTAGGGTAGGGTAGGGTAGGGTAGGGTAGGGAAGGGTAGGGTAGGGTAGGGTAGGGTAGGGTAGGGTAGGGTAGGGTAGGGTAGGGTAGGGTAGGGTAGGGTAGGGTAGGGTAGGGTAGGGTAGGGTAGGGTAGGGTAGGGTAGGGTAGGGTAGGGTAGGGTAGGGTAGGGTAGGGTAGGGTAGGGTAGGGTAGGGTAGGGTAGGGTAGGGTAGGGTAGGGTAGGGTAGGGTAGGGTAGGGTAGGGTAGGGTAGGGTAGAAATATATAAGGCTTACGTCAGTTTTGATTCTCTGGCTTTTAAAATTGACAGATGCCATATCTGGATGTAATTTTCGTAATTTTTCTAAAAAGTCGATAACTTTCTGTCCAGAACTCAGTTGAATAATCTCATCGATGTCAGTCTGCACCGTGAACTCAACATGGTTTCTAGCGTTATGCATACAATCAAAAATGGCTAGCTCTGGTTCTAATCTGTATGTATAAAGGTTGAGATTAGGATTACTGTGCTTTGAGTTACTGTAATTTTTGTTCTTATTGTTGGCATCTGAAAAAAGCTGATATTACACAGTATTTTCCACAAAAACTCAATACCATTTAACAGTATTCCCACAAAAACTCAATACCATTTATAGGAAAAATCGACCAGTCGATAAGATGAATTTCAACATTTTTGGCTGTGCTTTGATAATATCTTATTATGTCATATACTGATGTTGATATAGAAGAGTAGTAGAGGTAGAACACGGTAACTCCTTGACTAAGCCAGTACTCAAAGAAAAGTATGAACATAGTCCAATTTGAGTACAAGAACAAAGGCTGAACGCAAATTCCAAGTTTGTGCTTAAAGCCCACAGTACTGTATGAAGAGTGGTGTGAATTACGGTCGGTAGGAAGGCGGACGTCACTTAAAATAGTCTTATTTTGAGGATAAGGGGATGTACTATTTTCATAGTTACTATGGTCTAAAGCTATTTTAATTGTTTATCCCAGGTCATTCAAAAATTTCTGTGCCCTTAAAATTGTTCAAATAATTTTGTTTCCCAAAGCAATTTTCATTTTTAGGGAGCACAGAATTACTTGAACAACCTAATAGTGACTTACCGTATTTTAACTTTCACAAATTTAAAATTTTTCAAATTTCTTAAATAAATAAAAGTTGAATTCTTCCTTGTAACATTATTTTTTTCATTGATATAGCCAATATAACCATTATACACACAAGCATAAGAGAATTTTCTTGGACATTCACCTTTGCGTTGACATTTTATACTCAAATTGTTCCAGGTTTCACGCTCAAATGAGTACTGTATTGTTGAGCTGAAATTTTAATATAATTCTGCCCTACCCTACCCTCCCCTACCCTACTTAACCCTGTCCTTTCTTGCTCTGCTTTGCCCTGCTCCGTCTCACCTTATCCTTCTCTACACTAACTTACCACCATCTTTTTGTACCATACCTCACCTTACCCTTACCCACCTTATCTTTCCTTATCCTAACATTGTCCGACTCTGCCCTACCTTTTTTGAAATCAAATTTAAAAAACCAAGAGCTCTTACTTGACAAGACTATTCATAACTATAATAATGCGATATTCATCGTCCTTTACTCTGTACACTGACTTTATAAACACTTGATCATATTGTAATAGCTGTTGCCAGTTAGGTATAAATTCATATATATCAACATCTTTCTTCTCATTGGCCTTGTTCAATATTAGAATTCCAACAAGTACTATTACAAACACTATTGTTGCTCCAAGTTTCATATTTAACAAAGAATGTCATATGAAAATGACAGTTAAATAAAAGCAGAGTAAATATAGATAAGCTATTGTATAAAACCTCAAATATATCTTTGACAAAGTCTAAATTTAAAAAAATAAAATGCCAATGTCGTTTAGGATTGTTAGTGCTTTCTTTTCGACTACATTACCCGACTATGTTTATTATTAAACGATCGTAGATAACATCAGTCGCCAAGTTTCTTTTGATATCTCGAAAATTTAAATAATTCCCTTGAGGTAAATAATATTATCATCCTTTTTGAAATCCATAACCGTATTACCATTTTATGTCAAAAAGATTTTAAAAAATTACATTTGTGAAATCATATCACAAAATAAATATGTATACATATTGTAGTAAAAAAATGCTTAATGTGATGCAATGGCGTATTTTGCAAAAAAAATTAAAAGAAAAAAGATTTAAATTGAAATGTAAGTTAAAATACTAAATACAGTGCTGCTTCTACCCTAGCCTTCGTGCAACACCCTTGTAAACATAACTTCCAACCCTAATAGTTTTAGTAAAACAGTATAATTTATTTTAAGTATATCGTAATAATAGTTGATGATAATATAATAGGCTATGAAAAAGCATAAAATATAAATACTAAAACAGATTCCATTCATCTGGAAAAAGTAATAAATTAGGTATATTAACAAGTAATTACATTATAGTAGAAGTAAGACCATATAATAGATAAATTGCAACAAGGTCCAAATAACAAAACTGTCGCTAAAGTTTTGCCGCTTTTGAAATTTCTAAGCTTTGTTTAAAAACGACAAGACTTTAATAAAACCCTTGACCATAAGGCAATATAATCAATCAAAGAATTAGTAAAGTAACACAATATAATACAGTAACACAGTACGATAATACTGTTTCGCAGTGCAGTAAATTGTAAGTCAAAAAATTGATTAGTAAAAAATGTTACTTTAGCTATAAAAGCTTTAGTATAAATAATAAAAATGATAAATATCGCGAACAAAAATGAGATTTTCCATCATTAACCGTAGTAATTCTGATAAAAGTTGTTCGATCCCTGAGGCCAATTCGAATTGTTTGAAGACACATTGGTTTGGAATTGAGGTGAAATCGCTGAAAAAAGTCATTTTATCATGTTAAACCAGAGTAGAGTAAAAAATGTTAAGATAGGGCGAGGTAAGCTAGAGTCAGATATGCTAAGTTAGTATAGGAAAAGGAGATCAGCACAAAGAGTCAAAAGGCTTACCATTGTTAGCACCATTTCCTTGTTGCATATTCATTCCAGCTGAATATGATGTGTTAGTTTTGTTTTGATTCGTCACATTTTGCTGTTGCATCGTATTTCGGCCCATCTGAGTGTGTTGCATTGGATTTGAAACAAATTGTCGCATTTGGCCTGGATTTGTTGGCCTTTGAAGAGCAGCCGAAATGGCACCGTTGTGATTTAGACTTTGGTTAAAATTGGCGTTACTCTGGCTATTTTGATTGAAGTTTGAGTTGTTGTAGGCATAACTTGATGCAGAGTGTGTTATTTGATTATTCATCATGTTATTGGCATTACCAATCATCTGATTCTGTCCTTGTATAAGGTTTTGGGCCGACTTTTGAGTTAAGTTAATGTTTTGGGACACATTTCGGCCTTGTACCATTGCAGAATTCCCAGTCGTACTATAATTTGATCTTGCTTGACTATAAGGTGTACCATCTTGGATATTGGCCAGAGTTCGATTACTTGTACTTAAATTAGTAGTGGCCATACTGCTGTTTCCAGGATTATTAATACCCATGATGCTGTTGCCTGTCCTAATAGTGCTCAGGGTGTTGTTGCCAATACTAGTACCACCCATGTTGTTGCTGCCGACGCTGCCCATATTATTGCTTCCAGTAACATCATATCCACCATTACTATTTGTATCATACCCTGAAGTATTTCCATATCCAGTACCACCCATTTGACCTTGTAACACATTAGAATTAGAGCTATTTTGCATCTGAATAGCCTGTTGAACTTGCGGTGTTGAGCGTTGGCGAATCATTTGAACATTTTGAGGTGAATTCGTATTCATTGGGCTCATGTTCATCATCATTTGGTTTGGGTACGGAGAGTTTTGATCTGAACAATAAGGAATTAAAATTAGTTTACATTTGAACAATAAGAAATTAAAATCTTTTCATTAATTAAAAATGTTAATTATACCTAAACATAAAAATAACCATCCATTACCTTGAAATACAATGCCAATTTGGCGGAAAATTCAAAACGTAATTTTTTGAAAACCCACGCTACCTATCACAAGAGTTCTTCCTCGACCGGACCCAATGCAGGAGTCCGGAATTTGAATTTTTTTTTCCCGCGCTTTTTTTTGTTCTAGATGCTGTTAGTTTTTTGATATGTGTTATAGTTTTCGAGATATGAGTTTGGCGGGAAAAACAAATTCAAAAATCCGGACCGCACGCAAAAGGCAAAACTCTGCCTATCACCAAAGTAACATATAACATATTAGATATATTTAAGCGTAAAAAACTTACTGTCAAACGAGCTATTGGACCATGAAGGCCTTCGTTGGGGTTGAGCAAAAGGTGAGCTTTGGTTTGAGCCGATTTGGGGTGAGTTTGGTACCACTCCAACTGGACTATCAACTGCGTTTTGTCTTTTCATATGAGGTCTTGATCTGTTATCAGTCATTGATGGTGCTGGCATAGTACGAGGATTGGTACTCATAGTATTGGTACTCATGACGTTAGCGGTAGTACTCATGATATTTACATTGCTACTCATAGAATTCATAGCACCGCTCATACCACTACCATTGCCTCCCATGGTACCACTCATACTGCCATCTCTTCCAATTTGTCCCACGCTCATTCTCATACTAGTACTATGCGTACTCAACGGTGATACTGGTACTCCCGAGCTGCCGGTACTACCTGGATTCATCGGGCTCTTTTGTATCATTCCTGGACTCTTGTTAACATTCGAAGTACCATAAGCACCAGTTCGTGGGCCTTGAGGAACTTGCGGAGTATTAAATGTAGGTTCGGGGTTACTGCAGTTCAGCTGACGAGCTTGGTACACTTTTTGAGCATTCGGTGAATAGGATGATATTTGAGGATTTGGTACCATCTGATTTGGTACTCTTTGTTGATTTGGTACTAGTCCTTTTGGTGTACCACCTTGTACCATAATTGGAGATGTGTTCTGTTGACCCATTTGATACTGCACTCCTTGAGGACTACGGTATGTATTTGGCTGATTAGCGTAAGCTTGTTTACTGTAGCTTTGGCTTTGAATATTCGAATTTTGAGCCGGGTTACTGTAGTTAAAAGACTGTACTGGTTGATTACTAAAGTTGAAAGATTGTTGATTACCGTACATGACTCCAGAAGTTTGTTGGTTACTGTAACTTTGACCTTGATTTCCCTGAGCACCCTGCTGGTTATTGTAGCCGCCTTGACCGCTTTGTTGACTACTGTAGCCGCCTTGACTAGTTTGTTGATTACTGTAGTCACCTTGACTAGTTTGTTGGTTCCTGTAGCCTTCTTGGGTACCTGGTTGAGTAACATAACTTCCTTCACTACCCTGCTGACTACTATAAGATTGGTTTTGACTACTATAACCTGGATTTGTCATCATTTTCGGCTTCTTTTCAGGCACCGGATCCAACAAGTCTTGCATTTGATTATCCAAGTTGAAATCCATGCCAAAGTCAGCCAATGACTCCTGCTTAATCTGCTTAAAGTTGTTTATGTACTCCTGAGTTTGACTTCCAATGACATAATCAGTAGACGGGCTTTCTGTCTCTTGTTGTGATTGGTTTTGGGCAGGGAAGGAGGGTTGGGAGCCAAAATGAGATGAATTTTGGGTCAAACAAGTTGGATTTTGGCCAGAAAAAGATGAATTTTGAGTGGATATTGAAGCGTTTTGTCCTGATATTGTAGTAGATTGACTAGTCTTTCGTTTTCCAGCTTGATCCCAGTTTCCTGATTGACCAAGTTGGGCTTGTTGATGATTTCCAAAACTTATATTAACATCTCTGTTATTTATAGCCCTCTCGTTTCCTTCTACAGTATATTGCATTTCTTCTTCAACTTCCTTATCTTTTTTATAACCTTCCCGAGGTTTTTCTTGAGCTTCTATACCTATATTTTGAGTTCTGGTCGTTTCTTCAGCTTGTCTAGCCTTTTGTTGGGCCTGACGAGCTTCTCGAGCTCTCTCATCTTCCATTTTCTTTTTATTCTCGGCCTGAAGCCTTTCCTGAAGCTGTTTTCTCTTTTCCAATGCCTTTAACCTTTCCACCTCTACCTTTTTCCTTCGTTCTTCCTCCAACATTCTCCTTCTCTCCTCTTCAACACACTCACTTTCATCGGTGTTCGTGCTGCGTTGGTCATCATCGATCAAGCTCTTCATGGATTCGACAGCTCGAGCTTCTTCCTCGGCCAACATCTTTCGCTGTTCCATTTCTTCACGTCGACGTTCGGCTTCGGCTCGTCGTTCCTCTTCGGCGATTCGTCGTCGTTCCTCTTCGGCCCGCAGCTGTTCGGCGGCTTCGATTTGACGTCGTCGTTCTTCTTGACGCTGTCGTTCCTCCTCGGCACGGCGTTGACGTTCGTATTCGGCGGCTTGACGTTTCCGATCTTGTTCCGCTTGTTTTTCGGCCGCTTTTCGTTGTGCCTCGGCTTGTTTTTCGGCCAGTTTTCGTTGTTTCTCTTCTTCTTGCTTTCGTTTCTTCTCCGCTTCTTTGGCCGCTTTTTCTTGAGCTATTTGATTTCGTCGTTCTTCTTCTTTCTTTTGGAATTCCAGTAGGGCTTGTTGTTTCTTTTCGATTTCTTCTTTCTTTTTCATCTCCATTTCTTTTTGTTTGTCTTGCGCTTGTTTTAGTTTCTGCACTTGTTGTGTGGCTTCATCGGCTTTCTGTTTATCCATGAGTTCTTTGAGTTTGGCCAATTGGAGTGAGACCATGGTGTTATTGCCTGGATTCTGCATCATGCTGTTCATGGCGGCTGCCAGCGTGCTGGGATTGGTCGTGCTGGCAAGGCTGTTCAATATACTCATATTAAATGGCATACTCGATGATTTTGTTGTTGACTTTAATGAAGTAGTGACATTGGCCGTTGTGGTTACGTTTTGAAGGTTTGCCTTCGTGGCACTCGAAAGATTTGGCACTTTGGGAGAATTAGTCCCAGTAGTAGCACCATTATTACTGTTTTTCGCATCAGCAGCCAGTTCGGTGCTCTTAGTGCTGGTGGTTATAGTTTGAGGTATATTTTTGTTCCCAGTGGTCTTAGTGGTACCGGTACTAGGTTGTAGGATTGGCATTGAGTCGAGAGAGGAATTATGGCTGTAAATTGAATTTCCTGTTGTTTTTTGCGCACTTGACGTTAAGGTTGGCACAGTTGAGGTTTTACTAGATGCTTGATGGATAGTTGTTGAAGCAGTGGACTGAAATTTTAAATAATTATCTTCAAAAACTTGTTTCTTATTCCTTTACTATTAATTTGTTCAAATAGTTCTGCGCCCCCTGTCAAAGCTATTTTCCAGGCTTAGGCGGCACAGAATTATTTGAAGAGCCTAATATTTACAAAAATACCCACCTTACTGACACTTTTATCACTTCCAGTTTGATTAGGCAGCTTTCCCAATGAAGTTTCCAAGAAGTACTTTTGTGCTTCAGCCAACCTTGTTTTGACTAGATGTCCTTCTTCTGAAGTCCATGTGTTTGCTGGCTTCTTCATGATCAATGCCAACTTCATCATCAACTCCATTCCCATGGGTTGCTTTGCCAGAGTTGAGGTTGATTGAGCTGATGAAATTGATTGCTTGGCTCCTGGAGTTGATGATGATAATGATTGTTTTGCTACAGATGTTGACGGTGTCTGCTTAGCTCCAGAAGTAGATACTGAAGGTGCTTTTTGGACCCCAGAAGCAGATATTGACGGTTTCTTTTGGGCTCCAGAAGCCACGATTGATGACTGTTTTGACAGTGAATTTAAAGCCCCAGATGCTGTAGATGAACTCAAACCACCCTTAGTTGACGCTGTAGCATTCTTCAGAATCTCAGCCATCGCCATCGACGTTGGCTTCAGTTTATACAATGGGGAAGATGTTGACACTACTGATGGATTTATAGATGTTCTAGATGGTACTGATGAAGTTGCAGATGTTGCAATAGGCTTGCTACCAGTACTATTCATCACGGTAGTCATAGAAGCAGTACTACTGGTCAAACTGGAGCCATTTTGTTTGTTTGTAGCTGAAGTTGATCCATTTTCTTTACTTGATGTTACAGTAGGTCCGGCAGCCGAAGCGGAAGATGTCGCAGACCCAATTGATCCTACAGTAACACTACTAGTCGTAGTTGCTCCAACAGTACTTCCACTGACCTTATTTGCTCCTCCAGTACCATCAGTGCTCGTATTTGCTCCTCCAGTGCCACCACTAGTCACAGCAGAAGCCGCAGTAGCCCCACTTTGCTTATTCGGACCAGAAGCTGTTTTACTCATAGCTTCGAAGACCTTCTTGTAGTTGTCCCAAAACCCTTTTTGATTCGAAGCTGCCGTCATGGCTTTCAACATATCAGCCTGAGACATTTGGTTAGCCAAGTTGTTCATTTGTAGCGATAACAAAGCATTCTGAAGGTCTTGAGCGTTCATGTTCTGAAGATTCATCATGGTTGATGAAGGCTTGGAAGAGGTAGATGAACTTTTAGAAGCTTCTGAGGTCTTGGCTTCCGATGCTTTAGAAGTTGAGGTACCTTCAGTAGGCATGTCATGATCTTGTGTAGCACTATTTGAAGCAGTTGCCTTTTTTGTAGTCGGATTAGGGCTTTTAGACGATCTTGATGAAGTTGAACCATTCTTAGGCAAATCATCTTTACTCAAAGCTACTGGGCTCTTCGATGATCTTTGTTTCAAGCTCGGATTCTTCAATGTATCATTCTTTGAAACATCTTTCGATTTGTCAGAATTAGTAGTATTAGAAGATAGTATAACAATATCATCCGGACTAGAACTTCCAGTCCGCTCAGCTGCAGATCCATTAGTAAAGGCCGACAAAGTTTCAGAAGCAGTTGTTGCATTGACTGCCAAAGAGCTTGCGGTAGAGCCAAACGCTGCTAAAGGGCTTGCTGAAGAGCTCACGGAAGTTTTGTTTAGAATCGGAGTAGCTCTGGTAATCGCCTACAAAATGTGCTTTACTATGTTTAAGGCAGTTTTTTTAAATGGCAGTTATTAAAAAATTAAAAACAACACTTCACATCAGAATTTTATAATCTCAAACCCTAAGATAAGCATGGCCCTTGGGACACTATGGTATCGTTTTAGAAAAAGCTGGGTTAACTTTTAATCTCAAAAAGGCTAAAAAACCGCGTCCTTCCCAATCCCAAAGCAAAAAAAATAAATCCCCTTCCCAAGCCCCAGATCACCCCTTCACCATACAATAATGCATACAAACCACAGCACAACAAAGAAATGAAACGACAGATTTATTGACCAAACATTATAAATGTAACTCAAAAATAGGTGAGAAGATAGGTCTGATGAAGCACAGCAAATAAACCAAAACTTGAAGATAGGTTAAGATCCAGTAACAAAATAATGAATTTCTAAGTAATATGTTAACATCTTGTAGTATGTTAACATTGAAGTAAGGTAGCTAAATGTTACCATCTTGAAGATAAACTGTTAACATAAAGCGAGGATAGGTTACTATCGACAAGGTTTATGTTAACATTGAAGTAATACAGCCATATGTTAACATTGGTGTAAGTTATCTATGTTAACATCAAGATAAGTAGCTACGTTTTGACATCAAAGTAAGATATCGTTATGTTAACATCAAGGTAAGATAGCTTAAAATCATCAAGAAACCAAGGCAACCGGGTTAAATTGTGTTGGGGGAAAGAGTGCTTCACCTTCTTACCGTTTTGGCCATTTTGCGTGGAGGTTCGCCGGTTTTTCGCTTCGGTGTTTCCGCAGGTAATGGTCGTTTCTGGGCGCCTTGATCCTCGACAAACTTCCGTAACAGCGCTTCGAAGACTTTGGGGTCGTTGTTCGAGCATTTGGACAATAAGCGGATGAACTCTGGCTGAGAGTCCAAGCTGGTGATGTTGAGTTTCTTCAACAGTGCCTTTATCGCCACGCTGCTTTCAATCATTTTGGCCGCTGATGCTGAAATTTGAGATGTTGAAGCCAAATTTTGATTCGTATCCACACTTCTGGCTGCTGGGCTTTGACTCGACGTCGGATGTGGGCTTTTTGAAGCCGGATTCTGAGTTGAAGCCGGATTCTGAATGCTTGAAGCTAGATTCTGATTTCTGGCTGACAAAGTTTGACTTGAAGCTGGATTTTGAATCCTTGAAGCCGGGCTTTGACTAGAAGCAGAATTCTGAACCCTCGAAGCTGGGCTTTGAATTGACGCTGGATTTTGAATCCATGAAGCCGGACTTTGGCTTGAAGCCGGATTCTGATTCTTCGCGGCCTGACTCTGACTAATCAGATTCTGTATCGCAGACAAATTCTTGTTTCTTGAAGCCAGGATCTGATTCACCAAGTCAGAAGCCGTTTTTGGACTTGAGGCCGACTTCAAACTCCCTGTCATCGTCTTTAGAGAGGTTGAAGCCGAGTTGAAGGTTGTTGGAGGTGGTCTTGGAATCGTGATCGACTTCTGTGAGACTGGAGTGATTGTGGTTGGGGGTCTTGGCGATAGCTGAGGTTGTGGTACAGCTTTGGTGATGTGTGGCGGGCGTGACATGACTTGTGGACGTTGTGGAATCTGAAAATGAAATTTTATACCTATTTTTTCAAAATTTACATTAAAAATTTTTGAAAATTAAAAAAAATCATTTTTAAAATTAAAAAAATCAAAAAATTTCAAAAAAAAAATTTTTTCAAAAATTTTAAAACTCCCTTACCTTATGCCTAAAGTAATTTTTGATCGTTCCCAACGCCGCTCCCAGCTGCTTAGCCAATTCCGGATCAAACTTTATGCCTTGATGTGTAATATGTTGAACAGCCGACTGTAGTACCGCTTCGTACGTTTCGAAATGCGTCGCCCATTCATTTCTTGGGTTGTTGAACATGTTTTTAATGATGATAAAGCATCGTTTGATTGTTTCTGTCAGCGTTTCTGGCAATAAGTAGTCATTGGCGGAGAAGGACGGGTTTACGATTGAGTGTAGGGTGACGATAACATGGCCCAGATCGTTGTTTCTTATCAGTGCTTTGAGGAAGAGGTCGAGACATCGAGAAATGTGGTAGAAGAGGGACTTGTTTCGCTCGAAATCGGAACGGTGGATCTCGACAATGTCCTGAAAATGGGGTTTTTTAATAATCTTGTTATAGCTTATATAGTATAAAGTTGTTCAAATAATTCTGTGTCCCCTGAAGCCAAAAAATTGCATTAACAAGGGTCCAGAATTATTTGAACAACCTGATGCATCGATAAACAAAAAAATCAAAAAAAATTCCCCTCCCCTTTCAAATATCAAAAAAACCCCGCCCAGCAACAAAATTTTAAAAAAGTTTTGGCAGATAATACTATTACAAAATAGCATTTTAACCTAAAACAACATCCCCAAAACTCCCCAAAAAAGCCCCAAAATCCCAAAAAAATGCCTCCAAAACTAACCCAAATAGCCCACAAACACCCCCAAATAGCTCAAAAACACTCTCAAATTGCCCAAAAACACCTCAAAAAACCCCCAAAAACCCACCAAAAATATGTTCGAGTTCACGCTGACTCTCTTCTGTGCCTTGAAGACAAATTCCATCAACGTTCTCACACATTTTACCGTGTTCCCTTCCTTCATTTGAAGTTCGGCCAGACGGTATGCTGCCTTGTAATGAGGAAACTTGGCCAGAATGCTTTCATACGCTGAGGTTAACAACTTTTTGGCTTCGATCTCCATCTCTACCCATTCTGTCATTTCTTTTACCACGCCTTCTACATCGTTCATGCTTACACCGTCCATTAGACATTCGATTCCATCTTCTTCCTCTTCTGTTTTGCAGACTTTGTCGACGATGTCTAATGTTGTATCGTATGCTGTTGGGGTCGAGCTGAAAAAGTTTCTGAATCCTTTGAATTTCATCGATGAATCCGGGATCTTGGAGGCTCCATAGGTTGAGAAATACTGTAGGTAACGTAGGATCTTGCGTCGATATGCCACGTTTTGACTAAAAAATAACAAAATCAATTAAAAATCAGCAGAAGATTATGTTCAGCATCAAATTACTGATATTATTGTTAATGAAACTAGCCAGAGCTTGCTTTCCAAACAAAAAATAGCAAGAATTTCCTATACAAAACATAAAATGTCAAGAATATTCTTTAAAAAGCTTAAAACCGCAAGAATTTTCTTCGCAGAACAAAAAATCGCAAGAACTTTCTTTACAAAACATAAAATGACAAAAACTTTCTTTACAAAACAAAAAATGGCAATAACTTTCTTTACAAAACAAAAAATGGCAAATACTTTCCTTCCAAACCCAAAAACCATCCTAAAGCCTGTAACCCAAAAGCATACCTATTCATCTCCTTGACCTCATAGAACCTCTTTCCCAGGTAAGCATGAACTCTGTAGAACAGTTCCATTGGCTCCAGGTGCATTTGTGTCTTCTTTGAAATCTTATTCACAAACATGTACTGATCTTCATGTAATCGTTTGGCACATTCCGTGTAATGATCCATGACCGAGTCCACCGAATGGCCGAGTTTTTCGGCCGCTTTTCCGGCGAAATAACTGCACAACCATCCGATGTCAATGGCTTCGGTTTTGAAGCGATCAGCCAGTAGGAAGTGGGTATGACAGGTTCGGATTAGTTGATGTTGTTCTTCTAGTTTCTTGCGTTTTTCTGGCGATGAGGAGGTTTGACGCTGAAATATTGAAATTCTAATGAGTTGTAAGGTTTAAATTACTCAATAATTATACCGTATCTTTCTTCCCATCCTACAAATCTCATCTTAATTTACCATACTCTAACTTACTTTATCTTGTCTTACCTTACCAAAAGTTACCTTATCTTACCCTTCTCTATTTTACCCAACCTCGTTCAACCTAAACCTACCCATATAATATATTACTGTAAACCTAATCTACCGTAACCGGCCTTTTACTACTGTAGTTTAATTCACGGGCCCTGACCTAAGTTAATTTACTTTATTTTAACCTAGCTTACACTGCTATACCCAAACTTACATTACAAAGCTCTCCATAGGCCTTCCTCTACCCTACCATATTCTATTCTATCCTATCTTACTCTACTTTATGCTGGCCTACTATACCTTACCCTACCATGTCCTACCCTACCTTACTCTACTTTGTTCTGCTTTATCATACCCTACATTACCCTACTCTACAGTACACAACTCCACACTACCCTACCGTACTATACCCTCCCCTACCTCTTCATCGCATCCTACCTTACCTTCCCCTACCCCACAAACCTGAAAAACATACCAACTGCCTGCTATTCAACGCATGAATCTGATACATGATACTGCCCAGATCCAAGTGGCCTTCAGCACAATCCATCTTCAATAGCAATGACATTCTGAATGGAAACAGCAAAGCATCCGCATTTTCGATCCGACCATTCGAATTGCCAATGCCACTCTTTGCCAACATGATCCACACACTTGACTGTAATTCTTTAGTCAATACGTCACTCATAAGTAATATCTGATACGCAGTTTTTCTCAAATCCCTGCTGGTATTTCGGTATTGATAAAAGGCTTGTAGATATAGTGATTTCGACGTTACTATGGCTCGTTCCTTCGACAGTTCCGTGAGTTTCGGCCAGTCGAGGAGATTGCGGCCTTCGTGGATGGTGCTGATAGGTAAGAGGGTTCCATCTTTTTCGAATTTGAATTCTGGTTTAAAGTTGTGGTTCTTCTCCACAAAGTTTTTGAATTCTTCGACGTGTTCGGGGGTTAGAGAGCTCTGAAAATGCCATTTTTATAATTAACTTCCCTAGCCTCCAACCTTTACCTTCCTCTTCCCAAGCCCTTACGTTCACCAGCCCACGACCCATATCTTACACATCCTCCAACCCTTACTTCCCCACATCCCAACCCTTACCTTCCCCAACCCCCAGCCTTTTCCTTCCCCATTCTCCAACCCTTACCTCAAGCTCATTCTGAACAATCTTGATAAACTCCATGACCTCGGTTTTCAGTGATATTTGATCATCAAACAATGGCAATTCCTTTGGCAGCACCAGCTGCAATATTCTTTGGACCACGGCGAAGGGTAACGAAGTTCTTTTGTCGTTTTGTGAGTGATCTTGTAGTCTCAAACGGCACTTCACGAGTTGTCCTGTGTAGCAACTAAACAGTTGTAGCATTTCTCTTTCCATATTCAGCTTCAAATCCTCTGATTCCTCCGTTTCTAATGCGAAAAAGTCTGTTAATAAGAGTGATTCGAAGGCGTTACAGTATTCGTTTAGGCAGAAGAGGAGGAATTCGCCCTGAAAATGGAAAATGTGCTTGATAATTTCATTTTTAAACATTTTTTTAAGTTTTTCAGAATAAAAATTAAAAAAAAATTTTTTTTTTAATTTCAAAAAAATTTTAAAATTTTCAAAAAATCATTTATCTTTATCATTTTTTTCATCTTTTCATACCTAAAATCCAAACCCCCCCCCCATTTTTAGCCAAAAACATCAATATTACCCTACCTGTTCAAACCCGCATCGTTTCTCCTGTCCCATCAGATCATGAGCTTCCCTCAGGGCAATCAACGACATTAATGGCAGTCGATCTTTGACTCTTTTCATTTTCGTCAAAAATTCGTTCAATTCTTCCGTACTCTTGGGATCATCCAGTTGTACCATCTTGTACACAATCTTCCACAGTCTCAAGTTTGTTCGGTATGCAAATTTCTCTGACAATGCTACTAGGATCAGTTTGAGTTGGGTTTTGTCTTGCTGAGTGATATCTGATAGGCAGTTTTCGATTTGTTCGAGGAAGAATTCCAGGGATTCTAGGGCGCTCTTGTTGAAGGTGATTTTGTTCTTGAGGACGTCTTCTAGGCCGCTGAAAATTATGAAAATTGAATGATTTTGTAAAATACGCCAATTTAAATATGTTCAGTCAAAAAAAACGCATTTTTTGATTTTTAGGTAACAAAAACCTCAAAAAAGGCGTTTCAAAGCAAAAAAGGATGTTTCAAATCTCAAAAAAAAATTAAAGTTTAAACTAATCAACCCTCCAAAACCATACCTAATAGCCATTTTGAACAGCTCTCCATAAGCCTTCTTCTCGTTAAATGCCTTGAACACCAACCGCCAACACTCATACTTGTCTTGCGCTTGCAATTTGCTCCAATCAAAGTAATGCCAGACTGTTTCGACCACCTGTTCCCGGCTTCCAATACTATTCAAAGCCTTTTGCGATATTAAGTACATGATGTAGTTGTCCATATCGTTTTTGTAATTCTGAGTGAATCTTCTTACGGCCGTTTCTGTGCTGAATTCTGTTGATACTGTGGGTGTTGTTGGTGTGAAGTATGATGTGATTGACTTTAGTTTTTGACGTTGGTCTTCTGATAGTGTGTCTATGAGTTTGAAGATTCGAATCAGATGATATTGTTCGGTTTTTCGTTCAATCTTCTTTTCTAATGGTTCTGTTGTTGGTCGGAAACGGGATTGGAGGGCTCTTGTCCAGTGATATCTATAAGAAAATTAAGTTTAAATTTAATTTTAGGTATTTTAATGTGATCATATTTTACTTCAATTCAAAAATTGTGTTTTCCTTTCACAACCAGAGCTCTTAACAGCTCCAAAATCCTCTCTTATCCAAGCTGTAAGCAGTTCAATTCCCAAAACCGTCCCAAAAAGCTGATCTACAAACATAAATAAAAATCTCTGAAAACTCACCTGATCTTATCCATGACACTCCCATCCTCCAAATCTTTGTTCAAACTTTCTGGAACCTCAAAACTACAGTAAACCTTGCTTTTCATCGCCTTTTCCAAACCAAAGTTCGTAGCTGGGTCTCCGCCTAGCTCCACAAATTCGTCCATGAAGCTCTTTGGCATCTCTGAACTTGTAGAAGGTTGATTAAACCTTTCATCCTTGGCATATAAATCGGATTTCTTATCCTTATCAACTTCTAAAACTTCTGTATTCTTATCAACAGATTCTGAAGCATCATTGCTTTCCGTAGCACCTTTTGAAGCCTCATTGTTCCCTGTAGTACATCCTGAAGCCCCCAAATCCTTTCTAACACTTTCTGTAGCCAAACTCTTTCTAGCATCTTCTGAAGCCAGTTCCTTCTCCATATCACCATCCAAAGCCCTGTTCTTCCATTTTTGATACTTTACATTCGAATCCAAGCCATCTTTCTCCCTCAAAACACTTTTTTGTGCTGCAACCAACAACTTCAACATCTTGTCGTTACAATTCTTCAATTCTGTTTCAATTTTCAAGTCCAACAGAGGAGTAATGTTCATGGTACTTTTGCTTGTTGTTGCTTTATCCTTGAGGTCACAAGTTAGTTGATAATTCATTAGATCTTGTGCTTGTTGATTGCCGAATTCAGCAGCCAACAGATGGATCTTCATTGGGTTTCTTGAGCGTTTTTTGTTGTTTCCCTTGGTTCTTAGGGTCTTCCATAAGGTGTAGAAGTAGCTGAAACATTGATAATGAAGTGTAATATATAAAAAAAAGTTAAAAATTCCAAAAAAGTCATTATAAACTACTAAAACCAATTAAAATAATATTACACTCGCTTTTTATTCCTTTAGAAACTCATTTTTTAGCTAAGATATCAACTTTTTCAAATTTCTTTCATCAAAAGCACGTAAGAACAACAACATACACATCTAAAGATTAAAAAATAAAGCAATATTACATTCTAAAACTCACCAAAACATAATTTTTTCATCCTTTTCAAACTTCACTCGTCTTTTTAGGGCTTCTGTCGCTACAAAACTCAAAAACCTGTCCAAAATGGACACAAATGTCAATCCATTACTCGTTTTGTCCATATCATCTAACAAACTGTTCAGAAACTTGTACATTCTCAGCTTTGTCGACAACTTTGTTAAGGTTCCTTGTTGACTTGGAGGTTTTAGTCTCAAGTAATAGGTGTTTGATGACTCGGTCAGCTGTAGCTCCCCTTCTTTTTCCACGTTCAAGCATTTTCGGATCTAAAATAATATGAATTTTTGTTAAAAGGCAAATTACTATCAATACATTCATAAAACACAACTTACATTATAAGTTTCAATCACAACAGGCATGGAAGAGAATGGAGTGTCCTCAATTTCTTCAACAAAACGTGTCGACCTTCTTGTCGCAAACTTTTGTAGCTTCTGAAAATACTATTTTTACTATAAATCACATCCAAAGGCCCCTGCCTTTCATCCCTGACCTTAGGGTCGTAGCTACAGTAACATCACAACTTATGAGGCTGTACACCTTTAAAAACAAAAAAAAATTTGGAAAATTTTTAACTTGGTCCCCCTGTTGACTTTTTGAAGAAAAAATCAATTTTAACTTTTTAACCTCTCCCCTTCCTGGCCCGCATTCCCAAGTAAACATCACCCACCTAGCCCTGAAAGTTACTATCCCTCTTTCCTAAATTCAAATTTTCATGTAGCTCCACTTAAAACTTAAAAAGCATGTCTTACCTTCTTTTTCTTTGCTGGAGGTTCATTTTCATCTCTCGTGTCCTGATAGTTTCTAATTGAGGCTTCTGAATCCTCAGAAGCTTCATCAATCAAAAACATGTACTCAAGATTTCTCTTTAGAACGGTCTTTTCGTTGCCATCAGCTTCAGCACCATTCTTTTCCTCTTTTTTACCTTCAAAGCCATCCTTTTCACCTTCATCACCATTCTCTTTGCCAGCAGATCCATTCTTTTCGCCTCTATCATCATCAGGTCCATCTTTATGACCTTCCTTTTGAACAATCTGTTGAATCATATCATCAACAACCTTTTGAATAATTTCCTCGTCCAACAGTTGTTCATCTTGACTCGTTTGACTTTCATCTTCTTCTTCCGACTCTTCTGAACTTGTTGAAGCTTCTGATTCCATTTCGACGTCTTGTTCTTGTTGTTCTTCCTGAGTTTCTTGTTGTTCAACTACTTGATCTTGTTCTATTTCTTCTTGCTCTTCTTCAAATTTCTCTGGGACCTTGTACACCATTGAGACCTTTGTTTCTAAGCGCTGAAATAGTCCATTTTATTTAAAAATTTTCCAAATTTTCAATTTTTTTTAAATTTGTAAGTTACCGCCTGGCCAAACGTACTATAACATACTTTCTACTTATACCTAAACCTCAAAAACCATTAAACTTTTAAAAAATGAAAAATTAACATCAAATAGCCCAAAAACCATCAAAAATTGTTAATATTGTTACCTAAAATCCAAAAAAAATCAAAACACTTACATATGATAGATTGTCATATATTTTCTTTAATTTCTTTGCAAACACATCAAAATTCAAGTCGTTTTCATCCAAATCAACTTGATAAAACCTTCCATCTTGTGTTAAATCAATCGCTTCTTTCTTCGCGCTCTCAGCCACTTTTGCTCTGAACCTTTGAACCATTTCCATTACCTAAAACATAAAATTAGAATATGTTTTACCTTTTTTTATTTTTTATACCGTCATACATCTAGTAAATCAACTAAAAATTTCAAAAAAATCAAATTTTTAAAATTTTAAAATTCTTTTCGAAAAAATGCAAAAACACCCCCAAATCCCAAAAACATACCCGTTTCTTCGCTTTTTCATTAACCTTGTAGTACTGCTTGGTTGAGATCAAGTTTTCATACATAATTTTGTCAAGAGTTTCTTTTAGCGAAAGAGGTAATGATAATATCTGGTCGAGTAGCACTAATGCCACCTGATTGTCAGGCCACGTTTTCAAACAGTCTCTAATGGCAAGAAGACATTCTGAAAAATATATTTTAGTTTTGTAGATGACTTATAATTGTTTGAAGATTTATGTTAAAGTAAACTTTCAAGATTTTTTTAAAAATTTAATTTTTCAATTTATAAATGAAAGGTCGTATTTTACCTGGAAATCGACACAACCCATAATACATGACAATTAGACGTTCATTTGCTTTTCGTCCTTCACCTAACAAGGCCAATCTTTTACAAGCAAAGGCTCCCATCTTAACATCGCCATAACTAGCAGCGGCTTTGACTATTCGTAACCATATATCTTTGTTGTTTGGAGTTATCATGGCCATCTGAAACGTTTTAATTAACGAGATTTCTTTATTTTACTCTGTTTCTTGTTTAAAATATTCTTTTTGGCCTTAATATCATTGAAAATAACGTTCTTTTAGCCTTCAAAAGCATCACAAGACATTGTTTTAGCCTTTAAAACACATGAAAACAATGTGTTCACCATTATACCTTCACTACTTCTATAAGTAACCCCTCTTCAAAGCAATCTAAACATCAAAAACACCAAAAAAACTGTTACCTGAATCAAATGAGTTAGTGGATTACAAGAAACCCGAGACAAAACGCTTTGAATTTGACAATAAGCACACAACATTTCGTCCTTCTTATCAACAACATCCTTTTTCCTCCTTGACTTTGGCCATTCAAAGCTTTTTTCGTTCTTTACCAGTCGATTATAAGAAGGTTGAAGCATACATTCATGAACTTTGTCGAAGAAAGCGTCTCTTTTAACAATATTAGTCGTATCATCCTTCCATTCGTTGAACAAACGTTTGAAATCCTTAAACATGACCAAGAATCGTTGATCTTCAAGCTCGGAATAAGCTGATCCAACTTTGAAATTGAGAAAAACATTCGGAACTTCAGGTTCATCGTCAGATTCATCTGATTCTGAGCTTTCTTCATCTTCATCAGAGTCAAATGAAGTGTCTGATGTGTCAGACGAAGAACTGGCATCAGATTTCTGTTGATCTACTTCCATTTCTTCGTCACTTGAATCAGACTTGTCTTCTTGTGGTTTAGATGAAGCAGACTCTAAAGAAGGTTCATCTTGAGACGTCGTAGGTTGAGAAGGAGATTGATGAACCTCTGCATTGTCTAAAAAACGTTGTTTTAGATTAAGTTCTAAAGGTTTTAACATTAGGTAATGCTCTTATAACTTTGAGTACAACTCTTCTAATTTTAGGTAACACTAAAACATCGTTCTAACGTGCTAGGGACTACAAAACTAAAGTTAACACCTAAAAATTAAAACAAATAAATAAAAACCTTACCATGATCGCTATCGATCACAATTTCTGTGTTTAATTGATCCGTTTCCTTTGATGTCGAAGCCTGCGACATCGGGAACCCTAAAACAATATAATTCGTTAAAAGCTTAACAAAACGTAAATTTAAAAGCTCGATCGCGTTATAAAAAGACTCTAATTAAACTAGAAAAAGCCATATTAGTATAATTAACGATAATATAGGCAAAAACCCAAATACCAAGCTAACTACTAGTTTTCTCCTCCATACTTCTCATAAGCTAAAGTAATATCAAAAACTCTTACAAAATTTGAATGCATAACTTTTTTACAATTGATAAAAATACTACAGATATAAAAAGCAATCCAAAGGAAGCGAGTTTTCGCGCGATATGCAGATGTACAACGCGATTTGCGGAAAAGTAAAAAAGATTAACATTTGGGCGCAGTTCGCAGCGCGACAAGTTATACGAAAGAAAATTAATGAAAGGTTGGTATGAAATCGTGATTTCTAGGCTAATGCCATACGTTTTCTTTGATATAGTACAATGAAACATATAGTTGTCCTATATTTACATTGTTTTACATTCCCGGTTTAAAAATTGCCATTTTTCTTCGAAAAAAGTGTAAAATTTATGCAAATTTGGGTCGGAATATAAAAAGCACGTCGCGTGTTGGGTCGAGCTTATTTGTCCGTCCCAGATCGTTTTGGTGCGGTCGGTTCTCGTTGTGTTCCAAGTATGGCTGGGTCAAGTTGGTTCGTACACAATTCCACGCTCTTCAAGCTGTTGGGCGCTTCAGCCGGCGCCGCTGGCGTGGTCTACACCTTCAATCAGGGCGTGAGTTTGACGTTTTTGAATTTTAAATTTAAAAATTTTGGTTTTAGTTTTTGAATTTAAATTTTTAATTAATAAAAGATTATTTTTTCTAAGATTTGTTGATATACTAATGGTTTTAAGCCTAAAGCTTTGACTTTCCACCATTTCCAGGCCGAAATGAAGAAGAAAGAGAAGAGCTCCTCGAGCAAAGATTGTGCTGTCGATGCAGCGACGATCAAAAAGATTGAAGAAGCTTATGCCAAATTGAATGGTCCGGAAGCCGTCAAATGCAAGTCGTTGTTGAAGAAGCACTTGACCAAAGATGTGGTTGAGCAATGCAAATGTAGAAAAACCAAGCTTGGGGCTACGTTGTACGATGTCATCCGGTCGGGAGTCTACAATTTGGATGCTGGTGTTGGTGTCTATGCTCCGGATGCTGAGTCTTATAAGGTAGGGGTTAGAAATTTGGCTTTTTTTAATTTTGAAATTTAAAACTTTTTTAATTTTTTTTGAAATTTTCTGTTTTTTTTTGCCATTTCAACCTAGTTTTTAACCTTATTTTAAAAAATTTAAAAAAGTTATATTATCCTAGACCTTTATCAATATTTTCCCCAAATTCCAAAAATTACAGTAACCCAAATTTCAGACATTTGCCCCGCTCTTTGACAAGATCATCGAGGACTACCACGGCTTCGGACCTAAACAAAAGCAACCTCCGGTCGATTTGGGCGACGGAAAGACTAAGAACTTCCCTCCACTCGACCCCAAGGGCAAATACATCAAGTCGACGCGTATTCGATGCGGCCGCTCCTTCCAGGGGTACCCGTTCAACCCGCTGCTGAAGGCCGAGGACTACGAGAACATGGAGAAGAAGGTGAAGGCCGTCTTCGACACGGTCACTGACAAAGAATTGAAAGGGAAGTACTATCCTCTGACTGGTATGAGCAAGGACACCCAGAATCAGCTGATTGCCGACCACTTTTTGGTAGGTTTTGATTTTGAGTTTTTGAAAAATTTTGGAATTTTTGAGCTTGGTCCCCCTGTGGGAAAAAAATTAAAAAAATTTTTTTTTTAATTTTTTTAACTAAAACAATCTTTTTCAGTTCAAAGAAGGCGATCGCCACTTGCAACACGCCAATGCCTGCAACTTCTGGCCGAAAGGACGTGGCATCTTCCACAACAACAACAAGACCTTCTTGGTGTGGGTGAATGAAGAAGACCATCTTCGTTTGATCTCGATGCAAGAGGGCAGTGATGTTGGTGCTGTTTTGGATCGTTTGATTCGTGGAGTCAAGGCCATTGAAGCCAAAGTGCCATTTGGCCGTGATGACAGATTGGGATACTTGACCTTCTGTCCCACCAATTTGGGTACCACCGTGCGCGCTTCAGTCCACATCAAGCTTCCAAAGACGTCGGCTCGCAAAGACTTTAAGCAGATCTGCGACAAGCTGCATTTGCAAGTGGGTTTTGAATTTTAAAAATTTTTTTTTAATTCTTAAAACTTGAAGTTAAAAATTTTTTGTTTTATTTAGTTTTTAGGCTTTAAAGTAAGTTTGATATGGGATAAAATAAAAATTTTTTAAAAATTGGAATATTTTTAAGCCTAAACCTTCATTTTGGTTTGATTAATCCAAAAATTTTATTTTCAGGTACGCGGAATCCACGGCGAACACTCGGAGAGCGAAGGCGGCGTCTTTGACATTTCCAACAAGGCTCGACTTGGAATGAATGAATACGAGGCTGTCAAGCAGATGTACGATGGAGTCAAGGAATTGATTCGACTTGAAGAGGAAGCGTGAATCCTACTCTTTGCTGACTGATCTTTTGTAGCCATAAACCGATCTTAACCTTTTTTATTGGGTACTTTTGTCTTTGATCTGTTCTGGGCTTGTATTTGTCTTGTTTTGGTTTAAGGGTAGATTTTGGATGTGAAACAACGGTAGGATGAGGTAGATTTTTGTTGTGAAGCGAGGGTAGGCTTGGTTAGATTTTGAATGTGACGGAACGGTTGAATTGTATTACACATTTTGGGATAAAGCTATAGTACAACAGACTAAACGGTAGGGGGGTTTGGGTAAGGTTTTGTTGATTAGTATAGGGTAGACAAGTAGAGAATGAAACAGATGTAAAAGTAGGTTTCAATTTGTGAGGGTAGGTAGATTTTTAAGATAGGGTATCCCCCACACACACCAACTTCCTCCCCTCATTAACCTCACTCTAACCCCCTCTCCTGGATATGAGCAACGAGCCAAGCTTTACTTAAATTTAGGTCGGGTAGGGCCTGAGCAAAATTTTAACATTCAGGCCCATCCCGTTCCTCATGTCTACTCTCCCCTAGCGAACTCGCTGTAAAATATGCCCTCTCTCCCGACTAATGCCGAGCAATTGCTGTGTCGCGCATTGCATCTCTTTAGCAGAGCGTCATTTGCATTACCTTCCAACCCACACGCATCCGTCCTTTCCTTATTCGAGATTTGTCCTGATCTATTGAGAACATGAATCTTCCAAGCCAAAAACCATCAGAAGTTAGTCGTTTTGACAAGCCTTCAGCTGAATTTGAAAAAAGTGAGTTTTATTAAGATTTTTTTTCTTTTTGAACAGTAGGCTAAGAGTTTTATAGTGGCAGTTGTAAGCAGGGCTGGACGATGATGAAGGAGGAGATGGGACACCAAAAAATATTTTTAAAAACATATTGGTTAATAAGGAAAGTACCCCACCTGCCCCGTTCTGATTGACGTCAAACTTTTCGCATAGGAAGATCATGTAAATATAAGACCTGCAGCAAAGTAATAAATCGCGTTTTCTAGGAAATCCCGAGAAAATCAATATTAAAAATGACGTTTTAAATTTGCGCCAAATTGACATAATGTTTTAAACTTTTAACTTCGTCATTTTTTAAATTTTAATAATTTTTCTTTAGAATATTACTAGAATACCTTTAAATGAATATACATTTTTAAATTCGTAAGCGTAGCTTGTCTGAAAAGTGAAAAAGTGCTTAAAACACAATGCCAATTAGGCGGGAAAACAAAATGATTTAAATTTAAAACTCAAAGAGCTAAAATTTTGTATGGGTACTATTCATGGTGCAAGAAAGTCATATAAAACGTTTGAGCTGATTATGGGCGGGGCAGGGTAATTTGCTTGTGTGCCACATTTGTTCTTATTTTCAACCTCCTCCCTCCATATCAAAATCAGCTTTAGCCTACCCTATAGCCAGAGGCGAGCGGGGACTTTTGGTCTGGGGGCGGGGGTCGAAAAAATCGGCACAAGGGGGTCGAAAAATTTAAAATAATAAAAAAATTTAATGTAAAATATAGTTTTGGGATACGTATTATCTCAATTTCTTACAGAAGCAAATACTCTTCTCAACCATATGCAAGGATACCGTTTGGTAGACTGGTACAATTCGAACGACAGTAATATCGAGAAGGCCAACGTGTATAGAGAATATTCGACAACCATTCGACGAAAAACAATGTTTCAACTGCTTATGTTAGCCGACCACGTTTTAAGCAAAAACGACCGAATTTGTTTTTCTGACATTTTGGCAGCTTTTATCGGCAACATTATGGAAAATCAACCAGCTGAAGCTGAAATTCTTGCCAAGAATTTTGATTATGTTTGCTCGGTTATTGATTCCTTCAAACGTTACTTGGAAGGAGATGAATATGCTAAAGAATTGGACCTAATTGAAGACTCATGGAATTTTCTAGCTTTGACTGAGCGTGCTTCAATTGCGCCAGCTCCGGTTGTACCACCACGAGTTTCAACTTCTTTAACTGCTTCAGCTGCATCAGCTCCAACTGCATCAGCTCCACCAGCACATACTCGGTCGTCTTCGCTTCAAGAATCTCCCAAAACTATTCGTCAACTTAATGAAGAGAAAGACTGTCAAGAATCAGAAGAGAAAATCATGAAGATTCGCATTACATCTACAGAACGTTCAACTGGAAACAAGAACGATGATAACCTCCCAAATAGTCTCGTCGCCTCTTATACACCTTTGAATGGTGATGAGGTTCTAAAGAGCCCTAGCTTTTCATATCCAGACATAGATGGTCATAACCAGAGCCCTACCTTTTCGTATACAGACATAGATGGTCATAACGTTCCAAAGAGCCCTACCTTTTCGTATACAGACGTAGATGGTGATAACATTCCACAGAGCCCACCCTTTTCGTATACAGACTCAGATGTTGATAACGTTCCACAAAGTCCACCCTTTTTATATACAGACTCAGATGGTGATAACGTTCCACAGAGCCCACCCTTTTCGTATACAGACTCAGATGGTGATAACGTTCCAAAGAGCCCTACTTTTAACACTGACTTTAAAATTGATTCAACTAGCCAAAATACATCTCAAACGAATGCTTTAGCTATCCATAAAACAATCAGCGGAATAGTGGAAGCAGTCCTTGACAAAGATGACTCTAGTGAAGACGCAAAGCCAAATAATACCAAGAAACTAAAATCATCAAGCCGAAAAGAGTTAAACTCAACGTTAAACACATCTACTGAAAGTCTAGATGCAAAATTTTGCGATGATAACGCTCTAAATGGTCCGTCCATGATTTATACTGGTCCTGACCCTCGTCGTGAATATTATTATTAACAACAATACTACAATTCTTTTTCGTTACCACAGTTAGCCAACTTTAATTTTTTGAACTTTAATAAATTGTAATATAAATTTTTACTTGTATGTTACTAATTTTACAGTGTTTTTATGTGATTATTGTGTAATGATTTAACTAAAAATAAACTTTGATGACAATTTCTATGAGTTTTTTTTTCATTTTGTTTATTGAAGTTTCAACTTGCCAATTTAAGATAAAACCAAAAATTTTTGTAAAGTAATTTTTTGATATCTGACGGTCTTCACCACACCCTCATCCCCCCTCACATCTTATATACCTTGCGTTGAAAAAGGGAATAAATAGTTTTTTTTATAAATTGTTTGATGAAAGAGGATCTTGTTTTAATATTTCGAGCCTACCCAGTGCAAGAAAGGAAAATGCCCTCAACCGTTCAACACAATATCAAAAAAAATCAGGCGTGGCATGCAAAACTCTTTTGATTTTTAATACGGTAAAACTCACGTATAACGAACTTTTCTGCAACGAACAGCTTTATATTTGATTAACACTACATAGGGAATTAAAAACTGCTGTATACCAAAATTTCTTTGCAAAACGAGCAAAATTTAAATTTTTTAGCATTTCCTTATGCAATTACATTGTATATCTACTATATATTGATTCGCGCCAAAACCAAGCCAATACCGCTTTTTTTTGATATGTGCTCTTCCAAGGAAAGGGCATCTTAATCTCCCATATACGGCTGCGTCGCTTTTGCATATCCAGGTATCTTTTCTTTCATTCGATCTAGTTGCTTTGGTCATTTGATCTAGTTGCTTTGTCAGATTTTGAAATGAATCTCCCAAGCAAGTCAACTTCAACTGTCACTGTTCCTTGTCGCGAAGAAAGTTTAGCTGAATTTGAAAAAAGTAAGTTCTTCATAGTTTTTTAAAGTTATGGTAGTACTAAAGGCAAGGCTAGACCGAGCAAGAAAGAGTGGGAGTAGGGTAAGAAAAAGTAATGTAAATAGAGCTTTGAGAAGGGTAGGGTAAAGTAGGGTAGGGTACGATAAGGTAGGGGCATGTTCTTTTTTTACCTTTTAGGTTCACAACCCAACATGTTAAAGTTAGAAATAACGTTTTTCAGGAACAAGCTCGCTTCTAACCCCACTTCATGGCCTTTACTTGGAAAGGCTTTATTCCGACGGTGTTTGTGATGAAGAAATCAAAAGAAACGATGTGTTTGCCAATCGCACGACTATGCTACAATTGCTTCTGTTAACCGAGAATGTTCACAAGGACGACGAAAATATTTACGGCCCTAATATTTTGAGATACTTCATTGGCAACATTGTAAAAGATAGACCTTTGGAAGCCCACATGTTAGCTAAAAACTTTTACCTGGTTTGCTCCCTAATGAGTTCTTTCGTCATGTCCTCCGAGGACAGTAAAGCAGTTGAAGAATTGAAAGTAATCGAACGATGTGTGAAGGAATTGGAGATTAACGAGCTCAAGAAAGATGCTTTACTTATAAATGCACCTTTGAGACCACTTGGGCCCGTGAAAACCGCTGTATCTCCAAAAACCACTGAAACACAGAAGACTGTTGTACCTCCAAAAACCACTGAAACACAGAAGACAGCTGTACCTCTAAAAACCATTGAAGTACAGAAGACCGCTGTACCTCCAAAAACTACTGAAGCACAGAAGGCTGTTGTACCTCCAAAAACCATTGAACTATCGACGACTACTGTACCTACAAAAACTACTGAATTACAGAAGACTACTCTACATCGAAAAACCATTGAACTAACGAAGATTAAGACGTCGGATTGCAAAATTTGTAAGGAAATTCGCGACAAGCTGAATTTGAAAGTAGGTCTTGGTTTTTGAATTTAAAAAAAAATTTTTTTTCAACATTTTCAGGCTTAAAGATATTCTTATATGGGCAAAACTTAAAAATTAGAAAAAATTTTATTTTTAACTTAAAATTTTATTTTTTTTTTCTTTTTAAGCCTAAAATTTAATTTTTGTAAGCTTAAAATTTTGTTTTTAAGCCTAAAATATCATTTTTAGTTAGTCGAATACCACTGTAAACACCCGGAGGGCGAAGGCTGCGCCTTTGACAGTTCCAACAAGACACAACTTGGTACAAAACTACCGAAGACCAATGTACATTTAAACGCTACAGACGACACTACGCTTAATCCAAATGAAAAATTGTTATCGATCTTTGCTCTGATAATTGTTTTCATATGTTTGCCTCTTTTTTCTTTTTTTAGTCGCTTTGTCCAATAATACTAAGTTTTTACAATTTTGGTTATCATTTCCAAGAAACCAATCACTTAAGAGCTTACCCTAACTTTCTCTTGATGTTTACCCTTATTTTACAATAAATAAAAGCACCATTAATTTTTTAAAAATATTTTAAACTTCTATTACGTTATGTTAAACTACAGGGTGTCCTAACTTTTCTGAAGGAAAGTAAAAGCTCCGTTCTCAAAAACTACTGGTCCGATCTGGACGATTTTTTTTGCACTAGACTAGAAATTGCTTGCGGATTTGGTATTGGTACATTGTTTTTGATTATTCGGCGGAGGCTCGGCGGAGGTCGGCGGAGACTGATTTTTTTATGTTTCGGACAAAAAATATGTAATTTTGCTTTCGCATGCTGCCCAAACATTTCTCAAAACATTTTCTTTCAATGAAAAACTTTTTTGCTATGTCGGCGGACGATCGGCGGAGAAATTCGGCGAAGGCCATAACTCGGCCAGTTCTTAAGATTTTTGAACCGGACAAAAACCAGTGGTGTTCTGAAGCTTTTTTCTATAAAATCGACCAAACTTTGAAAAAAATGGTGATTTTTAAAAATTCGGCGGAGACACCTAATTTCGGCGGAGACCATAACTCGGCCAGTTCTTAAGATTTTTGAACCGGACAAAAACCAATGGTGTTTATTAGCATTTTTCTCTAATATGTCATAATTTTATAAATTATCAACAATTTTTGACAAATCGGCAGAGACACCTAATCTCGGCGAAGACGATAATTCGGTCAGATCTTAATATTTTTGAAGCGAACAAAAACTAGTGGTGTTCTGAAGCATTTTTTTTTAAAAACCGACCATTTTTGTAAAAAATTGGTAACTTTTAAAATGAGTTATGGTCTCCGCCGAAATCTGGTGTCTCCGCTGATTTGTTAAAAATTGTTGATACTTTATTAAACTTTGACAGTTTAAAGAACAATGGCAATGAATACCATTGGTTCTTGTCCGGTTCAAAAATATTAAGAACTGGCTGAGTTATGGCCTTCGCCGAAATAAGATGCCTCCGCCGATTTTTTAAAATATATTTAAATTTTTCACAAATTGATTAATTTGATAGAAAAATGCATACGAATATCACTGGTTTTTGTCCGGTGTAAAAATATTAAAAACTAGCCGAGTTATGGCGTTCGCCGAATTTCTTCGCCGATCGTCCGCCGACACAAAAAAAGTTTGCTATTGAAAACAGCACTTTATTTGAAATTTTTGAGGAGCATTTGCCATCAAAATTGCGTAATTTCCACCAAACTATAAAAAAAAGCACCCTCCGCCGTGCTCCGCCGAGCCTCCGCCGAATACTAAAAAACAAAGTACCAAAACCAAATCCGCAAGCAATTTCTGGTCTAGTGCAAAAAAAAAAATCATCCAAATCGGACTAGTACTTTTCGAGAACGAAGCTTTTACTTTCCTTCAGAAAAGTTAGGACACCCTGTATATATTTTTTGCAATTTTTAAAACCGTTTTATTAAAATAAAAAAAAAATTTTTGGGCCGGTCCGGAGCTTTTTCTTCGGTCCGGATCCGCAGGTTTTTTGCTCCGGACCAGTTTGCAAAAATTTTTGTTTCGGTCTGTCCGGTCCGGACCGGTTCGGCAAAAGACTGGTTATATGTACTAATTACTTTTTTTAAATTGCTAGGTGGCTTTGATCCTTCATTAGTTTTTGCCTGTAAAAAATTTTAGTTCGTCCCAATCATGTTTAAAAAAACTAGTCATATTACAAAAAGTTTCTTTGTAAGCAACGACATAGTTAGTTCTCTAAATAAAAAATATCAAGCCGGTGTTTGCCTAGTCAAAAATTTGAATTTGATGTCGATCTGGCTTCACACTCGGCAATTCGCATGTTGATTGAAACCTGAGAAAGGGAGTGGAAATTCCGCGCAAAACGCATTTATTCGATTACTGAAGCGTATCGATAGTCGGTTAAAAGAAAATTTGGATTCGATTACTGGTCGTTGTTGGCTACTAAATCAGGTATCTTTTGGATATTAGATCAAGTACGATCAAGCTCTTGTTGGTCTCTTGAAAAACTGTTATTTGGCTAGCAAATCAAGTATCAATTGAGAACTATATCACGTCTGATTAAGTCTTCATTCGGCTGTTAAGAAACTTTTTTGTTTGGCTAGCAAAGTCAATTCTTATTTGATTATTAGGTCTTTAATCAGCAAGTTATAGTAGGCTTTTAACGATCAAGAAATATAAATCATCTCCTTATCTGACTACCGTAATATCTTCTTATTCTACTACCAAACTATATCATCACCATAATCTCCGTCACCCCGAAATCTCTTTTTTTGTACAAGCCAACCACTGTCACTACAGATCTGTTTGTCAAAGAGAATATTTGTCCAAATCTGGTGGTATTTCAAACGTGGCCGCCCCTCTGGGAGTGGATTATTCGATTCCATTATATAGGCCAGACTTTATTGATTCACCTTTGTGGAAACATTGTGTTTCATTAACTGTTGCTTCTGTAGGATCAGGATAATTGTAAGGTGATTCAAGTTTGATTAGTTGGAGCGGCTTCAGGTGTTAAAAAATTATTTTGTACTGAACTGGAAAGTACCGTACTATATTGAAGTAGAGGATACTGTATTGTAATATATATTAGACTATTAGACTAGAGAGTACTGTACTATCATCTATATTAGTCTGGAGAGTGCTGTACTATAAAATATTTATAATAGTCTTAGGAGTACTGTACTATAATATATATTAGACTCGAAAGTACGGTTCTATAGTATAAGTTACTGTGCTTAAAATTTAGTACTATCATACCAATTATACTGAACTTCCATCTCTTTACAGTATTAAAATATATTGTACTGTCTTGCAATATACGTTGTACTTTACGTTGTACTATACTTTGTATTATACTTTGTACTATACGTTGTACTATACTAAACCTCTTGGTACTTCTAAATCTTTCTACTATTACTGTGGTGATTACTGTGATACGGAGATACCAACCCTACTCTATTTGCCCTCCAAAAGCCTACCAACCCCATCATAGGCTGAAAAATCTAAAAAACCTATCAACATGACAACCTTAACTGACAATTCCGAATCATTTCTAAAATTGGATTCAAGCTCAACTATAAATATTGATCGACCACAACCTTTCATGATGACTTCTATTCCGGCCTATAATTTGAATAATTTAAATTTACTGCCCAACTACACTAACATAACTGGCATACCCACGGCTAATAATTTATTGTATCCGCCTGGTAAGTAAAAGTACAAACTGTTTTTGCTTTTGGAATTTCGTTTTATTCTTTACGAGGATTAAATTTGAAGCTTAGGCTTAACAATAAAATTTTAGACTTCAAATTGCAACTTTAGGCTTAAAAATGAAATTTAGGCTTACAACTTAATTTTAGACTTAAAAATGAAATTTTGTGCTTAAAACTAAAAATTTAGGCTTAAAAATAAAGTTTAAGCTTACAAATAAAATTTTAGGCTAAAAGATTAATTTGTGGCTTAAAAATGATGAATTTTTATACCTAAAAAACGATAAATTTCCTAAATAAATAAGTTAAAATGTTAAAAAAGTCTTTACATTTTCCACCTAAAATATTCAAAAAATAGTATTAGATAATATAAAAAATCTTCAGGGGTAGACTACAGTCAAATCAATGAGTTCCTAACCCCAAACATGACCGTGTTATTACCACAACAACCTGTAACGGTAACAACGGAACCTCAAGCACAACAAGATCAAATCATAAATGTAGTGGATAGCTCGCCAAAACATGATGAAAAGACCAATAATGATAGCCCAGTACCATCAAAGAAGAAATATATTAGCCCATTCTCCTCTGAAGCCAAGATTCCGCTGCCTTCACAGCTGGATGAAATGTGGTAAGGAAGGTTTTGTAAAGAAAGTTCTTGCCATTTTTTTTGTTTTGTAAAGAAACTTCTTGCCATTTTATGTTTTGTAAAGAAAGCTCTTGCCATTTTTGGTCTTGTAAAGAAAGTTTTTGCCATTTTTCCTTAATGTGCAGTTCTTACCATTTTCAGGGCCTACGGCACCACAGTACATCGTAGAAACCAAAGAGAACGCGAAAGAGTCCGCCAAGTCAATGACGGCTACGCTCGGCTACGTGAACATCTTCCGCTAACTCAAAACGAAAAGCGGATCAGCAAAGTCGACACATTAAGATTAACCATTATTTATATTCAACACCTCGAACTAATGATAAGACATGTCAACCATGAATTGGAATGTTCGTGCTTCTTGAATTATCAACCGTCTGGAGGAAATTCTTCTAACTGAACATATAACACAATATAATTTATGATTTACCGTGTGAAATTATTTGTAATTAATGTAGTTAATAAAAAATAGATAGTAAATTAAGTTTAAATTATTTTTTGCTAAATTAAACAAGGAAAAATCTTATTTTACCTTCAAAAGCTCGCGGATTACCGCAATCTTTGTCCCAAAACGAGAGTAAAACGTGCAAAAATGTTTGGCGTTGTGTCTTATCTAAAATAATTTATGTAAAAATCTTTTTTTAAAACAAAAAATGTTCAAATGAGTCTCACGGACAGTTCAGAATCCCTTTCATCTAATGGTACGTCATTTAAAAATACTTTTTTTACACTTTAAAAATATTGTTTTAGATAGTGAGACATTGAGCGGGCTTTTTGAACAAATCGAAGAGAAGGCGGATTCAGGTAACATCACACTTTATTTATTATATTGTTTAGGGATTAATGGTTCTGTTATAGCTGATTTGCAGCAATTTGTTTTGATTTTACAATATATTTCATCTTTCGGTTAACATAACTTTTTTGAGGGTACAGTGAATATAATGATGAATATCTTTAGTGTCCAGCTCAGAAGACGCTGAAGAAGACATTGAAAAGATAGTTAAAGAAGAGCTTGAAGCTGAAAATAAGGAGGAAAATCAAAGTTGGTTTAATCTAAACTACTTTGGTGTTTATATTAACATGCCTTCGTTCTTCTGTGTAGCTCTGATCTTTTATGCTATAACCGCGTTGATAAGGAACACATTGTAAGTTTTTTATTATTCTTTGAATGTTCAGGTATTTTGGCTTTGTTTTGAAGCAATCTTTGGTTTGTAGCATGTTTTTAAATGGAGTTATGGCTAAAATATTGTGTTGACTACCTGATATTTTGGTTTTTTAAGGCTGATTATTAAGATTTTTTGAATTGCGTTTGTATATTTAAGTGTAGTTAAATAAAAACTATTTTAAAAACGTTTTTCCCGACGTAACAACACGAGTTTTAGTTACCTAAACTACTAAGTTAAAGCCTGTTTTAGATGTTCAGAAGGAGAGCTGTTAGTGAGAAAACCCCCATTACCTCGGCCGTTTTTTGGCCCAAATACGAGTGTAAATGATTATTATAATGGAAACTTTGGTCGAGCATACGACATGTACAATAAGGCGGACCTTTCAGTCACTTTCTTTTATGCCCCGTGGAGTTTACATAGTAAAGAAGCTAAACGAGAGTATGTTAGGCTAGGACAATTGCTCAATAACACTAACTTAAGCGTAGGTTTTTTGAATTTTTGTGAGGCATTGAACTGTAAAGTGATTTTAACAAATTTTAGGTATCAAATTATGTTGTTTTATATATTGATCTATATAAAATGAGTTTCCTTGCTTTTTAGGTCAAATTGAATGCTGTAAATTGTGACACAGGTTTTTGTAGACATTTGTTCAAAGTTCATAATTATCCCGCTATATTAGCGGTGGCTACGGGTGGTATACCAGTGTTCTACGAAGAAGTTCCGGTTGCTGATAAGATTTTTAAGTAAGTAGAGTATTTAAGTAAGTACGACGCTACACCATCAAAAATGCCTTTCAAAACTCATTTTATGTTATTTTTGGAATTCTCTTTACCTAAAATTTTTTTTTAATTTTGAAAATTTTCTTTTTTCAGCTGGATATTGCACATGTTTAGGCCAATGCATAGGCTTAATCAAATAGATGATAAAAAGTATAATGATAATAGATATGACATGATTACAGTGGCTTATTTGACGGTTAATGTAAGTTGGTTTTACGTCATTTTTATTTTGAAATTTAGGTAAAATACGTTGGTTGACTGTTTGGGTTGAATTATTACCTAAAGTGGAACTTTATAAAACAAAGTGATCTATTAGCTTGTTCAAATAAGCCTGTGCTCTCTAGCCACGAAAATGTTCTTTGAGAGTGGGCACAGAATTACGTGAACGACCTAAGACTTGGTGACCGAAAAAAGTTTTGGCGTTCTTGAGTGTACAATGCTATATATATTGACGACATGACTTTTGTTGGCACTTTGATAATTAAAAATCTGTTAATTTATATTTTTTTGACGAAAAATTAACCCTAGGCTAACTTTTAGACTAATTTTCATCATTACCTTCATTTATAGGCAAACCACCCTCTATTTCGTGAGTTCAAAGTCTTCAGAGCAGCGGCTTTGAAGTCTCCGAATTCTCGAATTGGCTTTTTCTACACGACAGATTTGGAAATTGCGGAAAAGTTCGGATTAAAAGAAAATGGCTTATTCAAAATTGGTAATAAGCTGTATCGAATTGGAGCTGAAACAACATCACAAGCTGTTTTAGAGACAATCAACAAGCATTACAAGGAGATTGAAGGCAGTTTGGTGGCTAATTGGAGGACTGAACGTGAGTTTTTGGGGTTTTAAATGGCTTACTTTAGTTTACTTTATTTACTAATTCAAATTCTATAATATAATTTTTGATTGCAAAGTAATATGAGGCAATAGATGGTCACTAGATGGTAATGTAAACACAAATTTCAGTGAAAGAATCAGAAGGACTGATGTCAACACAGTTATTTGATTTGGTTAACAAGTCAAAGACAGCTGTTGTCTTTTTCACATCAATGCACGGTGAATTTGGGACTTCTGAGAATTTGGAGAGCTTGAGAAAGGTAACTTTTTTGATTTTATGTTTTACAACAGTATTTTTTAGCTGAGTATAGGTATCGTTATTTTAATAAAAGTAAAATTTGGGCCTCTGCACGGTGCAATTTTTAAATTTTAAGGTTTTGAATCGTTGGGCTCAAATATTTTTGGAATTTTATAATATTTTTTGAATTTAAAAACATTTTTTGCCATTTTTTATCAAAATGTAATTCCAGATAGCATTTGAATACTATCAATGTGATAAAAATGAGACTACAGTAGAAGAAGACCCTGCTGATGTTAACATAAATTTTAATGTTTTTGATGAAAAATGCGTACTAAAACAGAATTTAATAGATAAATGTTGTAAAGAACTAAAAGAATATGATGCTTGTGGTAAAAGGAAGGAAGAAAGTGATGAGTATTCAACTAAAGAAGATGAAAACGGCAGGAAGTTGGGGGAGTATTATGGAAAAAATTGCAAAAACTTGCAGTTTTTAAAGAAAAGTAAGGCTTTTTGGGCTGGAAATGAAGTTATTTTATTTTTTTATTGATTTTGGTATTTTAGTGTTGTCTGTTATCAATATTGATATTTTAATGATCTTTTTAAGGTTTTTAGGTATTAAATTTAAAGTTTTTACTTATCTTTTGGATCATTTTTTACGTTTTTTATATATAAACTAACTTTTTTTTTCAGAATCCCTACAAAACCATTGTTGCAAATCTTCTAAAGACCAACTGAAACTACCTCAAGATGTTGTATTTGAATGTTACAGTAAGAAATCTCAAAAGCTAGGAACAACAGAGGATTTGCCAACTAAAAAGCTTGGTGATATCAAGGGAATCAGAGGAAATGGATGTCAAGTTAATAGAACAGTTCAATTCATAGCGGCCGAAAAGAGATTCAGTGGTTATTTTGGAAGAATATGGAACCTAAACGGAGGTAGATTTGGGTTTACAGAGGATACGATTGCTGTAATTTCAATTGAACAAGAGGTGATCAAGGAGATCGAGTTCAAAAGGGATTTGTAGGTTGAGATGTTGAGGTTTTTGTGGGTTTGAAAGGGGTATTAGGCTGTTTAGGAACAAAAAACAGCATTTTCAAGCTGAGCTTGTCATTATTTATTTGAATAATTGAAAAATGTTTTACAAAATTTAGAAAACTAATCAAAAATTGTCTAAAACATCGATGCTTTGCCTGACCATACCCAAGAAAACTCTAATTTTTGACCAATTTCAGGAACAATCTTCTTGATTTCCTAGAAAATATGGATGCAACAACACTTGGAACACTGAGCTTTAGCGAGAAAAATAGGCAAAGTCTTTTCACAAACACAACAGACTCGATTGATCTTCAAGAAAATCCAATTTCAAGGCCGTCGGTGTTGGTCAAGCTGGATTCGGAAAGGTTTAAAACAGAAATTTTGAACAATGTAAGGGCATTTTAGAGATTTTTAGGTATAAATAGACCTGGAAAGGGGCCGGGATCAATTTTGTGGTTTTACACAGAGTTTAAGGTACTGTAACTTTTGCAATTTTAGCCGAACAGAACCCATTCAGCAGTGGTGTTTTTCTCCGGTGGCTCAGCTCATGGACAATCCGTAGCTGTGACTTACATTCTACATGCTGTGAAGCAAGAGTTTGTCAAGTTTGAATCGCTTTTGAAGTTTTACATGTAAGTTTTGGGACTTACTAGGATTTTTTCGTAAGAGAGCCGATTGGCGGTGAGAAACGTGTCATTTAGTTTTGGCCTTACGATCGGGCCGGACTTTAAAGTTGGGTTTCGGACTCCAGAAGTGGATGTTGCACATGTAACCTGTGCACTAAAAGGTTTTTTTTGGGTTATGAAAGAATAAAAATTTGAAATCATTCATTATTTTTTAGCATTGACACATCAAGAAACTCATTGCCGTACGCCTATGTGTTTGATTCGTTACCAAGTATTGTCTTCTTTCCACCAGCTAAAAGGTAAATCTAAAACATTGTTTTTACAATTAAAATGGAGCACTACTGTAACAACGAATGAACGAATTCACGAGGATTTAAAAAATTTTTTTTTGAAAAAAAAATTTGAACGTGTTGCAGTTTCCACCTCCAAATAGCTCATTACCCGACAGGACTACCAATAACTGTGCCCAATGTGTTGGCTTTCTTAATATCAAGAGCAACGCCAGAGCTGAAATGGAGGTTGGCATTGAGATCGTGCACTAAAGGCTGTTTGGATCGAAATCGATTAAAATTGTTGAAATTTGACAGATTTATAAGAGATGACATACGAATGTTGAAGTTGACCAGAAATAAGATGATGAAGAACCGCGTGGCAGCTAAACATTTTTCTTTCACTTTGAAACGGTATGTCAGCTTTACTGTAGGTCTAAATTAGTTTACTCTTGCCTTAACGTCCTTTAATCTACAGTGTCCTTACTTTTAGCTCTAGCTTTGCCTTACAGTAGCCTTACTATTGCTATAAAGTAGTTATTGCTTTGTTCTGCAGCAGTTTTACAGTAGTCATGCGCTTCTTGTACAATAGTATTACTCTTACTCTACAGTAGCGCTGTTCTTGCATCATAGTAGCTTTAAACTTACCTTAAAGTAGTCTTATTCAAGCTTTACAGTACTGTTATCTTTCCTTTACAGTAGCCGTACTCTTCTACAGTAGCTATACCCTTGCTCTACAGTAGTTCTTTTACTTTACTGTAGCTTTATCCTTGCTTTGTAGTAAACTTATTCTTGGTATACAGTAGCTCCAGCTTTGCTTTACAGTAGCCCTACCTTCACTCTACAGCAGCTTTAATCTTTGCTCTACAGTAGCCTTACTTTTTTCTTACTAAAGCTTTGTTTGTATAGATCAGTAATGACTATTTTTCAGCCGAAAACTTCAACAAGCTGCAGCCCACTACCTTCTAAACGTACTCCGTATTATCCAAGACAACGACGATGTTCGAATAGAAGATTTTGAATCTGTAGAATCTCACAATTTGTTCATAAGATACTTGTTATCAAACACTTTTAGTCACATTTCCTAACTTGTTATAGTGTTTTTATAGTTTTTAAGGATATCTGGGTATTAATTTATCACGTTGTTGTTGATTGTTAAAAGTCAGGGATAAATCAGTTTAAAAACCTTATTTTAGGTATGATTTGACCCAAAAATTTCTTCATATTCATTTTTCTAATTTAAATTCTATTTTTGTGAGCTCATTAATCCCATTCATGCCGACCTCGTATTAATTGCTCGGCTAAGTGGGTCAGTTTTGTTATCTAATTCCATCGACTGTCAGCGTTCCAAATTCGTTTAACTTTACGGCTTTCGGATTGTAAACAAAACGATTAGTCCACTTGATGAGCGTTCAAGTTCATTATTATGGCAGTTGATGATTATACGTAGATGAACGGGAAGGGTGGTATACAGAGGGGGGGGGGAGTGTAACGTGGGGTAGGTAAGACTAGAGTAAGGAAGGGTGTGGTAGGGAGGGAGGGTAGACTAGGGTAAGGAAGGGTGTGGTAGGATATGGTAGAATAGTGCAGGGTAGAGTAGCTTGCTATAGTCTAGACCTGCAAAAAGGCTAGGCCGGGCTTTGGTTTATGCCGTCAGCTAGAGATGGAAAACGGGTCGGGGCTGAGCAAAATTTATGTCTGGCCGGACTTAAAAAGCCCGGTTTTTTTCCACGTAAAAAAATTGGGCTGGACTTGAGCAAAACTTAGATTGGACCGGGCCTAACATTCAGACCCGGCTTCCCCATGTCTACCTCCTGTAATTCGTGGTACGGACTGTATAACCCATTCTCATGCCTTGCTTCTATTCAATTATTAAGTCGATTTCCGTAAAACAAACATTTGTATTACCGTCCCTGAACCGACAGTTCATCATTTTTTGTGAAAATATGATTCCCCTCCCCCCCCTCCTCTCCCGTTTCTCCACATTTCTCGGGATTCGACTTTTGGGAGTGGCGGCGATTCAAATGTGTTGCGACAGGCCCTGCGGCTTTTTGGAAAAAGGGCAGTCGAGACACGGAGAGGGGGGAGAGCGGGGCGACGACACGTGTCCGAAGCCACCGAAATTCGTACAATATTCCATTTCGATTTGGCTATTTGAATACACGGACGGTTTTGGTTCATTTGCAGAGTGTTTACATGGCTTGGAGAGGCGAAATGTGGTACTTAAATCATATTTTTAAATTTTGATTTGGACGTGAGAAAAGATTTGAAAATATATACATTGGCACTCCTGTATAACAATACTGTTGAGCATAAAAAATCGTTTGTAGATTTTAAATTTGCTCTTCATGAAGAAGTTTTGTACAGGGTGCGCAAAAAGTTCTGTTACAAAACTTTACCGTCGTGATTGTAATAGAGGAGTTTCAAATGCACTGTGTAGCGCTGACCAGGATTTATAAGTCGCTCTATGTACAGAAGTTTTGTAGTAGAAGAGTGTGTTGTACAGGAGTTCCATTGCATTCAAATGTTTGATTTGAGTGTAGTAAATGATCAAACCATAACTATGTTTGGCTTGTACAGTTATGACGCTTGAGTTGAATAGTACTTGGGTTGACATTTAGTTTTAAGGCTACTATTGTGAGCAAATTGAAGAGTAAGCCCGGCGCGGTCCGATCCCCATGTCTAGTTATACAGAAGTTTGCTGTATTGTCAATGCTCGGCATCTTATTGTGGTTTAAGAACAACAGAGGTGGAGACGGCAAGGGGAAAGAAAAAAAACTGGAGCAACTTTTTTTTTATAAACATGTTAGGAGGCAATGTTAGCTCAAAAATTTTTATTGAAGTTTTACCACACCCAGGGGCGGATGGGGACTTTTGGTCTGGGGGCAGGGGCCGAAAAAATCGGCACAAAAAATTTTTTTCCAAAAAAATCCACAGGAGGGACCACGTTCAACTTTTTTTTCGAAAATTTTTTTCAGGGAGGTTCCTCCCTTCCCGTCCATCCCCCCCCCTCCACCAGCGCCTGGCCCTGACCACACCTATCTGTACTTCAACTCTAGATTAGACCAGAAAAGAAGCTACTAGATCCGGCTCACACTTGTTCTCTAGGGCGGGGTCCCAAGCCAAGCCCCGGTACCTTTACAGATCTACTCATTATACAGAAAAAAAAATATTTCTAGGTACTTTTTGACCATATAATGTATAACATTTAAAGGAAAGAGAGAATCTAAACTAAAAACGTTTTTTGAAGTTTTCCCACACCTATCTGGACCAAGTTCACTTTTGTTGAAAATTTTTTGATAAAAGGATGCTTTATCTTTTCTTGTAACAACGAGTACCGTAATAGAAAGTACAGTAAGGTAAATTTTAAAATTTTAGGCTCATTTTACTGCAACCCGGAGAAAACGACCGGTAAAGTGTTGTAACAGAACTTTTGGCGCACCCTGTATATAAAAAAATTTTTTTGATAATGATTAACCATGCCATTCCTATTACAACGCCGACTTCAAGAACCGTCTTCGCTTTAAACTCTCCTTGGCTGTCATCAAATCTCGTCGATAAAAATTAGTAGATTAAAATCAGCGATTTATTGGCGGCGCATAAATCATCATTGTATCGGATTGATTTCGAGGTCAGGGTGAGAAATGTTGGCCCCGCCCCCCACGGAGTGGTCGCATGCGATTCGTTTCGCCCATTTTGTACGAAATCCAAGGCCAGTTTGGGGTGTCCATTTCGGTGTGCCCCCAATTCGTTTCATAACCTTTTCCGTCTTTTGTAGTAGCGAGCCGCTTCGGCTATTTTTGTTTCTGATTCTTTATGGAAGGATTTGGCTACGTGGAGTTTTGAGTGTTGCAGTGTTGGGCTAGACTTGAAAGGGGGCCAATAGGCCTTTACGGAAAGTTTCAGCTAGGTGGAGTGTTTAAGTATTGTCAGTGCTGAGGTAGACTTTGAAGGACGGCCACTAGGCCTTCTCAAAATGGTTGGGCTACCTGGAGCCTTTGAGTATGGACAGTGCTGGACTAGATCTGAAAGTGGCTCCACTAGTTGGGCTACGTCAGAAAGAAAGATCACCTGGCTCGGCCTGACTTCTCTTGATGTGTTAGGCCAAACCGAAGTAAATCGGAACGGGCTGTTCCGAAGAAAATTTAAAAAAGGCTGGGCTGAACCAGCACAAGTAAGCCCATGGGGATAAACTGGGCCATTCTTTTTCCAACAAATTCAAAATGCGCCATTCTTTTTGAATCAACATAAAAATGTGCCATTCTTTTTGAACCAACTAACAAATGCGTTGTTCTTTTTAGATCAATTTCCAAATGCGCCATTCCTTTTGCATCTTTTTTAAGTAAACTTACAAAATGCTACCTTTGTCTTATTCTACACACTTTTCGACTAATCTATACCTAAAATCAAGCCTAAAATTAGCATATTTTGAAAAGAAAATATTTTGTCTACCCCGCCCTCTTCTCCCTCTCTCTTGTCAGTTAGTAATCCATTTTTACGATCATTTGGTTGCTCTTTTTTGGCCATTCTTCAACGCATTGCTATTCATCTCTGACTCTCGAGTCAAAACTCTCCGATCCGCTTATCTCTCGTTTATGTATAACTAATGCGTCGCTGGAGAAATTTCCTGACTAATGTGTTTCTAAAATATAAAAGGCTTTAAACTAATCAAAACGTATTTCATTTTTCTGTCTGGGCATGGTTTTTTATAAAAAAAAATCTTTTTTTTTTTATTAATCAATGTTCTTTTTTGTAAAGAAAGTTTTTTTCGTTTTATGGCCTGTGAAGAAAGTTCTTGCTATTTTTCGTCTTGTAAAGAAAGTTCTTGTCGTTTTATGAGTTGTAAAGAAAGTTCTTGCCGTTTGTGTCGTGTAAAGATAGTTCTTGCCGTTTTATGTCTTGTAAAGGAAGTTCTTGCCGTTTGTGTCTTGTAAAGATAGTTCTTGTCATTTTCTGTTTTGTAAAGAAAGTCCTTGCTAATGAAAATTGCTTTCATATATATTTTTATTATGTTGTTCAACAAATTCTGAGCCCTTTAATCCCGAATATTTTCGTTGAGAGGTGGCGCAGAATTATTTTAACAACCTAATGCAACAGGTTGTTCACTGAAGCACTTTTACTCGATCAAACGTATTTTACATTCTATTTTTATCCTATTTTTATTTCTAAACTAACGATGAACGTATTTTACGGTCTATTTTTACCATATTTTGAGTCTATACGTATATAGCGATACCAACGTGCAACGTATTTTACATCCTATTTTTCACTCAAAAACGAAAAAAAAATTGTTACCTAAAATCAAGAAATTCAAATTATGAGTTAAAAAACGATTTTTTGTAAGTTTACCCCAATATAAAACCCCTACTTTCCTCAAAAATCCAATTTTTAATTCCTGATGCCCTGGGGCACAAACCATAATTGCTGATTCCGAGAGATGGTTTCCACCAATGATCTCTTCATTCGAAAACTTTTTATTTTATCGAAAGGTCACTCCTTTTTCCACTCTTTTTTATTGATTTCTTTGGCCGTTTTTGACATTTTTGGACAATAAAAATCAAGTGGAAAAGAGGTCTGATCGTATTTTAGGTTTTCTTCTTGTTTTTAAGGTTAAAATACCCAATATTATGGAAAAAACGGCTTAAAATCGATTCAAAATTGCCGGTTTCTTACTATGATCATCACAAAAAGAGCGGTTTCTTGCTAAAATCAACCCAAAATGGCCATTTTTATATGTTGTTTATAAGAAAAACCTTTTGTATATCCATTTTTTTATGTTTCATATGGCTAGAGTACTATTTCTATGAAACATTCTAAATAGAGGGCTCTTAATTCCTATTTTTTGTGATGTCTAAAATGAGATTCTTTCTTACCTCAGTCCTCTAGTGGTTTCTGCAACCAAAATTCTTCTTACTTCAGTTTTGTAGCGTTTTCTACAACAATAACTTACTGACTTCAGTTCTGTAGACTTTTCCACAACGTGAGCTTTCTAGGCCTCCTGTATCTCACTATTTGACTACCTATTCTGTGGAAAAGCTATTTGACTACCTACTCGGACAAAGAAGATAAGTCGATTTTTGCTTATCTGTTTCTTTACTGATATCATACTAATAGACAATGGATATGAGATCAGTATAGACTCAGATTGGCGATTATGACATTGAATGTTCTATCTACCACAATATTAATTCAATCTTCTAGAATATTTATCTACTACAATATATTATTGGCGGTTTCTATTTTCTACTACAAAACAACGGAATATCGTTGTCGTTGATGGCATTGAATATTTCTTGAACTACTACTATAATATCGACTATCACTACCTTTTAATAAAAAAAAAAGAATCTTACCGGAAGTAATTTAGCCGACGTATTTTACTAAAAGCAATATCTTTGATTACAATATTTGGGCTTATTTTTGAATTTTACATTTCCACCTATAAAAATATTCTTAATTAGCTTCTAAAGTTAATTTGAAGGTATGAATCTTCTAATAATACAATATTCATGTACCTACATTACTGTAGTACCCAATTCCGAGTCCGTTACGGTATCGTGCTTTCAAGTTGACATGAGATCGGTTCGGATTCGTCATTGAGTGTACAGTAGAAAACTTTTCAAACTAATGTCAAAATTCAATTACAATGTGAACAAGATTCTCAAATTTCAAAAAATGTTCAAAATCACAAGTTATTGTCATTTCATAACCAAGCTCTCGTTATAGTTAACATGCGATTTCGTCCCTTTAAAAGCCAAAGCACCTACTATAACATCCTTCACAATCTCCGAGAAGAGCTTAAACACCAAAAGCTTTCCTTAAAATACTAAAGCCTCGCCTGAACCTCCTAAGAAACATCAATATTAACCACAACATCATGATTCGACCATATAGGTATAATAATTCATATAACAGTAACAATAAACTCAACAATGATCGAAAGCACTATTCTTATCAAATCTAAACCTTTTGCTTCTTTTTGAACTTGTCCTTGTTGATGTGACTCTTCAGTTTTGATGTGCTCACACCGTAGGCCTTGAGGCGGTTTTTGCTCAATTCGTTTCGACTTTTCCTCTTCTTTCTGTTCTTCTTTCCACTCTTCTCTGTTTCTTCCGGTTCTTGTGGTTTCTCTGCCCCTTCTGGCTCCTTTGGTTTCTTCTTTTTGTCTTCAACGTCGCTGTAATTGTCAAAATTGAGAAAGTGTAAAGTTTTTATATAATATGAAGTAGAAGTAAGCAATTCGTTTTGTCACAATTTAAAAATGCGCCATTCTTTTCGCATCAGCTTCAACATAACCGTTATTTATAAAAAAAACCCAATATTAACCTTATTTTCATAGCCCGTGCACTTATAACTTCTTTGCTGCCCTTAAAATCTTTCTACCTACTACAAGATTAACTTACACTGATCCAAATATTTTGCGTTTCCTCTCCGGATTCTGCGCCTTTTTACCGTACACGATCTTATCCATCTTCTCTTCTTGAGCCGACCGGTAGGCTGTCACCTTCTTCACCGATACCCATGCATTCAATTTTTTGTCGTCCAAGTTCAATATCTCGTCGGTTGAGAGACCAAAATCATTGGCTTCCACATTTCTGTACTTGAATTTGGTCTTCAAATTATCGGCTATGATATCTTCGTAGTCTAGTGCATAGTATTCGTTAAAGTACTCTTCGAACGTCTTCTCTTTTGGATCGAAGACTGGCTTCTTCTTGGTGACGGCTTCATTGAACTTGGTGTTTCTTTTGTGTCTTCGGTTTGAGAGCTTTTCTTTCCTTGATGTACTTGGTCCTGGTTGATCCTCAGGTTCTTCTTCATCTTGTTCTTCCTGTCCTATCGTTTCTTCATCATCTAGCTTGTCTTCTGTCGTTTCATCCTGCTCGTCGTCATTCTCTTCGTCCATTTCATCATCATCAATGTCAGATATGTCAGAGAAGACAGGTTTTTCCTCGTCTACATCTTCTTTCTCATCGTAATCATTAAAGGCTTCCTAAAAACATAGAATTACAAAATAAAAGAAAAAATAATAACCAGAGTTCCCAAATTTCAAATTTCCAGCTCCGGCTCCGCCTTTTTCTAAATTTTAGCTCCGGCTCCAGCTCCGGAGCTTTTTGTAAACTTAAAAGAAAGTAATACATTTATTAGGATGTTGAAGTAATAATGTGCCCCTAACCTCAAAAATTTGATTTTAGAGGGGGCACAGAAGTAGTTTAACAACCAAATATAAACAGCTTAAAACAAGTCATCATTACCTGCATCTTCTTGTCATATTCAGCAGGATCAAAGTCCTTCTGAAGGTCCTCCAACGTCAACGGAATCTCGTCTTTTGTGACTTCACGTAGCTTCTGTAGCTTTTCCTCGATTTCCATCTTCTTCAGTTGTTTTAATCGTTTGATTTCTTCCTTTTTCTCTTTCTTTTCCTCTTCTTTTCGTTGTTTCACACGATCTCTGGCATCTTTTCTTCGTGTATCTTGTTTACGAAGGGATTCTTTTACTGTCCTTGGATATTGCTTTATCTAAAATGACATTACATTAGCTTTTAAAATGAATTCCAGTAGTTTAAATGCCTCAAAAAGTGAAAACAAGGCTAAAACAACATAAAATACTGAAAACTTTTTTTTAAATAAAAAATGTATTAATATGCTAAAAATGTTTCTGAAATGTTGACTAAACCAATATAAAGAACATAAGATAACTTACAAAGTCCTGATCCGGATCCTCAAATCTAAAATTATATTTATATTCAAAATCTTCAGCCTTTTCCAATTCTTCATCTACTTTTACAACTTCATCGTATGTTGGTAGAGCCTCTTCTATGTGCTTTCCATCAGTATCGTACTTCTTATTCAACAGGTAATCTCGCAAAAACCTATCTTCAGGCGATAGCTTGTTGGAATTCCACGTGTTCTTCAACTTTTGCTAAAAGATATAGTTTTAGTTTGGCCAATATCAACATCCGTCAATATAACAAAGAACCATTAATCAAAACCAAAACTCTTCAACCGAAAGTATTATATAATCTGATTAAAAACTGTATAAAAGAAAGCAGACATTAAAAATATACCTACCAAATCCTCATCAACGTTGTCAAGCTCCTTATGATTAGCCAGCCATTCATAATAGTCGTTTTCTTCTTCCTTCTTCTCGGCTTCTGTTTTCTTCCTTGGCTTCAGAAGATCATCATCAGAATCAGATTCTCCTCCCAAAGCTTTTTTAAACCTATAAAACATCATGTTTTAATAAGCTAACTTTGTAACACAAATAATTTGTAAGTTAGAATAAACGAAAACCAATTTTAGGCCGTTTCATAAGTTTCCGGCTAAATTAAGAGGACAAAAGACCTGCAACACGCCAAAATTAATTTTACAAGCCTAAAAACAAAACAAAAACTATAAAATCTTACTCATTCTTCAACTGTGCCTCCTTTTGATAATAACTAGGATCATTAGGCTGCTCCTCCTCGTCTTCATCTTCACTGAAAACTCCATCTCTTTCAGTGACAAGCTTTGTCTCATAATCTCTCAAAGTGTAAGCTGGTTGATCCTTCTCGTTCTTCTTTGTAGCTTCTGGCTTTTTCACTTTCCTTTCACGTTCTGGATCAAAAAACTTGACTTTTTCCTTGTAAATCTTTGGATCGTTCGATTTCAAAGCTCCTAAGGTTCGTAAGAAGTCTTTTTCATCTTCACTATCCCAGTTCTGAAATACAAAATTGTTTAAATATAAGAGAAGAGATTTTTAGACATCTTTTAAGTGTAATTTCAATAAGCTGTGATTCAAAAGACATCTCCAAAAAGCGATATGAACTATGGCAGTTTGAAGTGCTTAAAACGACATCGAAAAACCTACCACTTCTCCATCAGTGCTTTCCCCATCTTCTTCATCCTCAACATCACTTCCATATTTGTCCTTCACTAAAATCCATAACAATTAAAATATAAAATAAACTTACACTTTTGCAATTCCTCTCGTTTCCTCCAATTTTGATACCTTTCGGCATAATCATTGTTCACAGTAAGATTCAAATCCCCATTATCTTCATCATCAGAGTCTAATAGCTTTTTCTTACTCATTTCTTAACAAGTATTGGCAATATTAGACTTACTTTTACTTTATTTTATAAAGACTTCTCTAAAAATAATTTTTCAATCCTCTAATTTTCAACGAGCCGCGCCCGTTTTTCTGCGAACTGCAAAACGTTCACAAACAAAATTTTGTTGGAGAATCTTTTATTGTGATACGATCGAGGTTTCAAGCAATAAAACTTGTTTATCTTTTTGCAAACAGACATGAAAAATTGTCTATTACAATTGTTGAGTAGTTTTAGATCAAATCTTCAATTTTTGTTCATTAAAATTCATTTGAACTGCTCTTTTATTGGTATCAACGTCATTTCTCTCTTTGAATTTTTTTATCGGTTTGTATGAATTTGCGAACTTAATATATACATGTTTTACTATGGTTTTAAGTTCTTAATTTTAAAACATTTGTAGGACTTGAATAGTTTGACAGGTCATATCTTTTTGACTGCCCAATTGGTCATGTTGAACATAACAGGCTTTCGACAGGTATAAACCAAGGTAAAGGCCATTATCGCGTATTCGAAACGGTTTAAACGCATCAAAATACCCTTTGGTTTGAAAAGAGTAAAAACTTTAAAGTAAAAATCAGGGCTCCTGCCGCGAATTGGCTTGCTGTTTTCATGCAGATTTTGATGGCGCTTTAAAGGGGAAATTTGGTCATGAATGATTGTATAAGATTACTCATCACCCTCTTCAAGAATTTTAAATAACAATGAGGTAGTTTTGTATAAAAAACGTATAAAAGTATGTCAACGGTTTTTTTGCGGGAATTCATATCGTTTTGGAGCTGGTAGACATTGGTTTATGGAGGATTTCTTTGGTTTTAAATTGGATTTTTTGATTGGTTTGATAATAATTTGGTTAAGTAGATGATATGGATGTTTTAGAATATAGAAATTTTAAAATGTGTCGAAAGTAAGATAAGGTATTCAACTTTTTTTAAAATTTCGGCGATTTTACTAGTATAAGATCACAGAACCAGCTGTAACTCAGGGACGGTTACACGAAAACATACGTATATAAAACTACTGTATAATTTTGTGAAGTTAAATTTTATATTTGTAGTCTAGGGAAATTATATTTTGATGTTGAGTTACATCCTTGACATCTTATTGCACCCAAAACCTCTTTTGGTCATAACTTTTGTTATAGCTAACATTTTTAGGTGTTTTTTTGCTATTAGTTGTATAATGGATTTGGTTTTATTATGTTAGAATTTGAGGGCTATGATTTTGCATTAACGATTACAATTTTACAAAAAATGGCATTGGGCTATAATATTGAAAAATATTTTTTTATTGTTAAAGAAGGTTTATAGGTTTTAACATTATTTTTTTCAAGCTTATGGTGTTTAATTTTGTTGCGTTTTTCAAATTATAAGTTAGGGTTGCGTGCACTACCTTATTTAATTCCTAACATCACCTTCACGTGACTATATTTTATAATTTTTTATACGCAAACTACGTATTTTAACTACGTATTTTGTTATTTTATTTTCATTTTTTGTATGACTTCTTAACTTTTTTATTTATATCGATATTTAATAATACTTCCTGCTTTACGTGCTCTATTACTTTACATTATACATGTTAATTGTATTACAACTATAATAATTACAACCTTCTTTACAGCATGACGGCGGGACGCTGCATAGAAGGGATAGAAACCGAAGTGAAGGGTAAAATACATTTTGAGAAGAATGTTTACGTGGTATACTTCTCGGTGCCAATTAGTTTCGACGGGTTCTTCACCAGATTAAAGGATGTTTGTAAACTGGCCGCTGGCAATACAATTACAGTCAAGATTATTGACGATGAAGGTGCGTTTCTTTTATTTTTGTCTTGGTTTTTAGGTTTGATTTGAGGCAGATGCACGGTGATGCGTATTTTACACTAAAAAATAGCTTCTCTAGCTTAGGACCTATAGTTTTGTTGGTTTTACGGTTGAAACTGGCATGTTTTAGATGTGTATATGTATACCTAAATTTAAAATATTTTAACAACAACATTTCATGGACGTATTTTACAACAAGAAAACGAATTTTTATTAAAAGGGTGCTAAATTAAAGCTTAAAGCTCAACGACATAATCAAGCCTAAAGACGAACTCAAAGACATAGTCAATATCTAAAAATTACCTATTATAAAACACATTATTTTAGGTGATCCGTGCACAGTATTGGATCAGAGTGACTTAGACGAAATTATACACGTTATAACAGAGAATGGAGCATCAGACATGCTTATTCACGTCTTTAACGGCGTCCCACCAACACCTGGTGCTCCTTGTATTGGAGAAGACAGTAAGTTTTTGATGTTTTTGCTTGGATTTTAGGTATCAAATGAGAAAATAGAAGTTTTTCATAACAATTTGGGATTGTACATTGAGTTTTGATTAATGTAACGTTTTGTATTGTAAATGGTGCAACTTTGATTAGTGTATGATCTGCCAAAGTAACGAGACGTCCTACATTGTTATTTATAAATGTTTCTTTGAAATTTTACTTCTTTACGAGGTTATAATACCTAAACTCATTCCAGAAAACGTGTACAGACGCGGCGCCCGTCGATGGAACAAATTCTACAACATTCACGGTCATCGGTTCCAAGTGAAACGTTCAAAACGTGCTGACTGTGCCTTATGTCAAGACTCGATATGGGGCATAGGGAAAGGTGGTCTGAAGTGTGTGGATTGTGGAATGTTTGTTCACAAACGATGTCACAAGTTTGTGCGAAAGTTCTGTACAAAAGAGGTTGGCAATTACCCACAAACTCCGGTGATTCAGAAGACTACTGTTCCGGCTTCTGAGCAAGTGTCACCGATTAATGGGAAGACAAAGGGATTTGAGGCGAGGATTGAGGCGGAGCAGGTGAGAATGGGTATGCTTAAGGTTTCTGAGGTCAAAAAGTTTAGGGAATTTGAGTTTCTTTTTAGAAGTTTTAAGAATTTCAAGTTTTAAATGGAAAAATGCTTGAAAAAGACTTGTTTTAGGCCAGAAATGCTCTAAAACGGGCTTTTTAAGAAAAATATTACTTATAACTTTAATTTTTTGATTCAAAAATTTACACAAATACTCAATATTATTTAAAAATTAATGTTATTATTAATAATGTATATTGGTATAGCCTTTCCTCATTCAATTTCACCAAATCTTTAGATAAACGGCCAAAAACGACCTCAACACAACGGCCTCGACGACTTCAACATGCTCAAAGTCATTGGCCGAGGCTCCTATGCCAAAGTCGTTCAAGCCGAACACAAAGTGACAAAACAAATCTACGCTATCAAGATCATAAAGAAGTCCATGTTCCTCGAGGAAGACGACTTAGACTGGATTCAAACCGAGAAGTCGGTCTTTGAAACGGCCTCAAATCACCCGTTCTTGGTCGGTCTTCATTCTTGTTTCCAGTCGGATTCAAGACTCTTCTTTGTCATCGAATTCATACCAGGAGGAGATCTGATGTTCCATATGCAGCATCAACAACGGCTGCCAGAAGATCATGCCAGGTTCTACTCGGCAGAAATTATTTTGGCTTTGAACTTTTTACACTCGAGGAATATCATCTATAGGGATTTGAAGCTGGATAACGTGCTGTTGGATCAACATGGACATGTTAAGCTGACTGATTTTGGAATGTGCAAGGTAAGAATCACTGTCTGTTGGCTGTATTTTGTACTTTATACAACTTTTACGCTTCTTTTTAGGTTTGTTCTGGCTTGTTTTCGAAAAGAAAGTTAACATTTTTCTTTATAACTGGCTACAACAATATAAATTAGCAAAATAAATTTAATTTTTTAGGAAAACATTGGCCCAAACGACGTAACCAACACCTTCTGCGGTACCCCCAACTACATTGCTCCAGAGATCCTTCGAGGCGAAGACTACGGCTTCAGTGTTGACTACTGGGCACTAGGCGTGTTAATGTACGAAATGATGGCCGGTCGATCGCCTTTCCAGCTACCTGGAAACGAAAACGAAGAGAACGCCGAAGATACGCTGTTCCACACGATCCTGGAACGACAGATCCGAATCCCACGGCATTTATCAGTTAGAGCGGCCAATGTGCTGAAGGGATTCTTGAACAAGGACCCTACATTAAGGTTGGGCTGCAAAAAGGACATTGAGGAAGGCATGGGCGATATTAAGATGAACGGCTTCTTCAGGGACAATATTGATTGGGCCGCGGTGAGTTTTTGGAGTTTTGATCAGGCAAAGAATGGCGTATTTTAAATCTGATGCAAAAATAATGGCACATTTAAGTCTGATGCAAAAAGAGTGGCGCATTTTAAATTTGATGCGAAAAGAATGGCGCAATTTAAATTTGATGCGAAAAGAATGGCATTTTGACTAACTTTTGTCTTTTCAGCTCGAACGCCGTCAAGTCCTACCTCCATACAACCCCAACGTAGCCGGCGATCGTGATCTACGCCGGTTCGATGTCAATTTCACTAACGAATCTCCACGACTAACTCCGGATGATCCGGCTGAAATAGCTCGTCTCGACCAGTCGGAATTTGAAGGCTTCGAATACGTGAATCCGCTACAGTTGGAGAGAGAGGATGTAGTGTAATATCACTATATAATATTAGGTCGTTCAAATAATGATGTGCCTTTTTTAATTTTGTTCAAATAGTTATGTGCCTCCTTTCAAATCAACGTTTTGGGGTGAGGGGCACAGAATTACATATATGAAAAACCAATGTTAGGCCGTTCAAATAGTTTTGAGCCGTCTCTCTAACAAATTTTCGAGTTTGGAGGGAACATGATTTTTTGAACAACCTATCATAATGTAGAGTAACGTCTTATCACAGTGATATTAGGATTCGTATCACTATAGAAGATTGTATTTTATCAGTGTTACCTAATTTTTTCTTATCTTACTGTATTTTATCGAAATTTTTATTTTCTAACTTCTTTTGAAATAGATGAAGATATTTACTGTAATATATAATTATAACTTTTAATAATAATGTTAACATGCCTTATTATAACATTTTTGTGACTTACTGTAACTTATGTGTCTTATAGTAACCTTATATATGTTACGGTAACTTTTTGTATCTTACTGTAACTTTCTTGTCTTACTGAAACTTTCTACGTGTTACTGTAAATTTAGTGTCTTACTGTAAGTTTTTTGTCTTACTATAACCTATGTGTCTTATTCATAACGAAAAACCGATTTTCTATGTATTTTTGATCAGGAACACAGTTTTCTATTTAAGTTTCCAACGTAAACTCTAAAATACGATTTCTACGTTATTTTAGAAAAAAATCAATTTTTCTATGTAATTTTAGACCGATATCTAAAAATTCAAAATAATTTTTTATATTTTTTATTTTTGAAAAAATTTCAGTTGTTCATGCTCTAACTTCTACGATAACATGTAACATATCTCTCTTGCTCATTACTATAGCCTCTTCCCATTCTCTCGAGGATTTTTGAAAATCAATTCCATTCGAAACTTTCGCTTCAAACTTCATAATTTTCACTTAAAATACGAATATTTTCAAAGTGAAACACAAAATTAGTCAGTTCATATCAATTCTCCTTCCTTTCGTGCCTTACAGAGCTATAATAATTTATTCCAAATAAATGTATATGCTATAATTTGTCAGCTATAACAATGTGGAGCTGTTAAAACGGCAAAAATACTTGAGATTTGTAGTAGAATTTTGGTTTTCTTGTCAAAAAGTAAATAGATGTAGGGGGAAGATGAAGTTTTAGGTTTGTTGGACCAAGGATAAGATAATGTTTGATATTTTTTTAAAGAAAGTAGTACTTGGCCATAATTTGGTCAAAAAGTAGTTAGAGCTGCTTTTTATGATTAAGATAGGTACAAATTTTTAAGTGTTCTGTTTACTTTTTGACCAAAACTAACGTTTGCAAACTTTTATCCCATTTTGTTGGTCAATTCTTTGAAAATAAAGAAGGCACAAACGTTATACACAAGATAAATAGCTACATTAAGATGAAGAAGGATTGATCTTTCTCATTTCAAGGTTGAATTATCTAAAACATGTTGCTAAAGTTGGTATGGAGCTCTTCAAACGGCCTTAAAGACCTGCCGAAGCTAAAAAATGGTTGATTTGTCATCGTAACGAGCTTCAGAAGCTCGCAACAGTATGTTTTATACCTTTCAAGTATATCTAATGTTATAAAGAATACTTTGGCGGTCATTTTGATATAATTTTTGCAGAGAAAAAATCTAAAACAAGGTCCTAAAACACCTGAAACGTGGTCTAAAATACTTTCTTCTCCGGTAAAACCGCAAAAGAACGACATTGTTTAATGGAAACCAATAATTATACCAAAAACAATTAACATTCAATAGAAACATAGCTGTTTTTTGCTCGCCTCCAAGTTAGAGTGGCCTCCGATCGGGGATTTCCCATCATTATGGGGACAGAAAGTGGTCTGCATAAAATCATATTCGATCACCTTTTTCGGACGGCATTTTTGCGTTTTTTCCGTGGTTTTGCTATGTAAAATGAAGTTTTTGGGGTTATTTTATAGATATTTTAACAAATTATTGTTTGATTTGATTGGTCATAGACAAAGAAGCATCTTACAAACCTTTTGAGAGGAAAAATCATGACAAAAAGTGGTAAAATTTGAGCGGGAAACGAAAAATTTGAAGAATTTTCTCGAAAACAAGGGAAAAGTACAAACTCTTGGCGTTTTTCGACAAATAAAACCTCTTCTTTTCAAAGAATAGCTAAAAATGTATTCTCTATCTTATTATACGGCTATATTTCTTAGTATGAAGGTATTATTCACTTTACAGAATGAGAAATGGCTCCAGAAGAAGTGTAGGACCACGACTCAATATTAACATTCATGCGGGAGAGAATGTTTACGTTATTTATGTTTCTATGCCTATAAAATACGATGAATTGATAACACAAATACGAAGAACGGTTGGCTACAAGGATAAAGATGAAATCTTACTCAAAATAATGGATATTGAAGGTAGGTTTTGGTTTTTTATATTGTTCTTCTTGGTTTAGGTGAAGCGAATTGATGAATTTCGAGATAAACTGATGGATTCTGGAGTGAACTTACAGGTTTTGCATATGATTTATAGCTTTTAGTTGTAATTAACTGGTTTTAACTGGAAGCTTATAAATTTTGAATTAAACGTTGTCCTTTGAACTAATCCTTCTGGTTTTAGGCGATGTGATAACAGTAGAAGATCAAGCAGACTTAAATGAAGTTTTATTGTTTATTAGCCCATATGAAGATGTGATAATGTATGTGATACAAGTGGGCTGTCATTCGGACACGAGCAGTGGTGATAGCGGTAAATTGAGGTTGATGGGTAGTATAATATAAATTGTTTAAGTCGTTGTGAGTGGATACAGAAACATTAGTCTGATCAAGTGGTTTTATAAGATAGAGCAGTTTTTTCTGCACCTGCTTTGGTGTATAACTTATTTTGCTCAACGACATTAACTTGAGAATGTAACATATTGTCATTGACATCACTAACTCAACCTTCTTTCAGTACCAGTTCATCGACGGAATGCCCAACGACAAAACAAGATCTACAGCATTTGTGGCCATAGATTTGAGGTGAACAGGCCTGCTAAGCGAACACGATGCGAGATTTGTGATGATGTAATATGGGGATTAGGACGCGGGGGTCTGCAATGCACAGAGTGCAACATGAAGGTCCATAAAAAGTGTCACAAGTATTTATGCAAGGAGTGTGATGGTGTAAATAAGAGCGTATTGAAGACAAATTACGGATCGAACATGAGTTTTGGAAATTTGACGCTAAGTGTGAGTTTAATTTATATTGTTGTAGGCAAAAACTTGGGATTTATTGGAAATTTTTGAATTTTTAAAGGTTTTATTTATTGGTATTGTTTAATATTGTTATAATGATGTATATTTTAGTCAGTATCAGAAGAAGAAGAACTAAAGCGAAACCCAATGGACGATTATGATCTGTTGAAGGTATTGGGCCGAGGTTCATATGCCAAAGTGATACAAGCTCAACACAGAAAGACGAAGCAGATCGTGGCCATGAAGACGATTAACAAGACAATGTTTCTGGAAGACGGCGAGGATTTGGACTGGGTTCAAACTGAGAAATCTGTATTTGAAACGGCGTCGAATCATCCGTTCTTGGTTGGATTGCATTCGTGCTTTCAGGTAAGATTTATGTTGTTTTTGGTTATTTTTATGGGATGTTTTGGATGAAAAAGAATGGAAGGTGTAGTATTTTGTATTTTTAAATGGAAAAATTTGGAAAAACTATTGGTTATTGTTATTAGATGTAGAAAAATGGCAGAAAATCTTGATTTCTTAGCTTATATGATTGTTTTTACCCGATAATGTGATTTTTTACTCGATTTTTTACAGTATCTGAAACAAAAATTGAAGCAAGTTTAATTTCAGACCGATAGCCATCTTGTCTTTGTTATTGAATTCGTTGCCGGAGGCGATTTGATGTACCACATGCTACAACAACGGCGCTTATCAGAAGGAGATGCCAGATTTTACTCGGCCGAAATTATTTTGGCTTTGCACTTTTTACACTCGAGGAACATCATCTACCGTGATTTGAAGCTGGATAACGTGCTATTGGATCAGTACGGACATGTTAAACTGACTGATTTTGGAATGTGCAAGGTAAGGTAAAAGTGACTGTCTATTAGCTTTAAATTATGATTTTTTAAAAATTTTATTGCTTTGTTTAGGCTTTTTCTTGCTAGTTTTTGAAAGGAATGTTGTAACTTGTCTTTAGAACTAGCTACAATAATATAACTTCAATTTTTTAGGAAAAAGTTGGTTCAAACGACGTAACAAGCACGTTTTGTGGTACCCCCAACTACATTGCTCCAGAAATCTTGAAATACGAACCCTACAACTTTAGCATTGACTTTTGGGCCCTAGGCGTGTTGATGTACGAAATGATGTCTGGCCGATCACCCTTCCAACTACCGGGCACTGGAGACGAAGAAAATGATGAAGAAATAGTTTTCCAGACGATTCTGAAAAGACAAATCAGAATCCCGCGACATTTGTCCGTTGGAGCGTCTAATGTGCTGAAAGGATTCTTGAACAAAGACCCTACATTAAGGTTGGGATGCAAGAGAGACATTGAGGAGGGAATGAACGATATTAAGATGAAAAGCTTCTTCAGGGACAACATTGATTGGAACGCGGTGAGTTTTTGCGGGTTTCGATTGTAAATGATGGCATTTTTAAATTTGATGCAAAAAGAATGGCATTTTGAATAACTTTTGTCATTTCAGCTCGAACGCCGTCAAGTCCAACCTCCATATAACCCGAACGTTGCGGATGATCTCGATCTACACTGTTTCGACCCCGAATTCACAGAAGAATCTCCACGACTAACTCCATATGGTTCGTCTGTAATTGCTCGCATCGACCAGTCGGAATTCGAAGGCTTTGATTATGTGAATCCATTACAATTGAAGAGAGAGGACTTTGTGTAGCATCAATATAAGGTGTTTACTATCACATCACTTTGGGGGCTAGTGTGGTAATGTTAATATGTAGTACTGTCATGACTTGCCATATCACATTGAGAGGTAGTATGTATATGTATATCGCTTTGTGGCATAGTATTTATTATGTCATATTACGCTAGGTTGTACTGTAAAAGACTGCATTTCTTTATTATTATCATCAGTTTTTATTATCTCACTGTATTTTTATCAAAGTTTTCAATTTTCATTTGACAATAGACCGTGGCTACATTAACATATCTATTATAATATGAAGTAATATTATAAATAATAATGTTATCTTGTCTTATTATTAATTTTTTTATGTGTCTGTAACTTTTTGTGTCTTATCGTAACGTTTTGTATTTTACTGTAACTTTTGGTAGCCTATGGTAATTTTTTGTATCTTACTATAACTTTTGGTATCTTACCGTTACTTTATGTATCTTACTGTAACTTTTGGTATCTTACTATGACTTTTTGTATCTTACTGTAACTTTATGAACATCAATTGTAAATAAACTCACTTTTTTTTTAAATTTTATTATATAGCAGGTTACTGGTTAATGACCGTGGTATTTTCATTATTTTTCAATTATTTGAAGGCATTTTTGACTGTTTTTTTGAATATTTTTTGAATGTTTGGTTTTTTTTGACATTTTTAAATTTTTGAAATTTAGGCGATATTTTTGTATTTTCTGCAACACTATTGTTTCTCTATAGTGTGAAGGCTACATTGTACATACTATATATTTTTTTCTACATTATCTACTATAATATTTTTACCAATGCAACGGAAAATCAAAAATTTTGAGGATTTTCTTCATATTATTAGTGGCTTTTCTACTATTACTCATTGAAACTATTGCTCTTTCTACAGTTAGCTCATTGGTTTAATAGAATAGCTTTAAGTCAAGCTGTAGATAGTAGAATATATTCATATCAAGCTCTAGGGAGTATAATAAAGGTGTGGTAAGAGCCTGAAATTGCGGTTTTTGAGCTGTTATCAAGTAATTTTGAAGAAAAGTAGCTCAAAATTACTTTCTTTGTATCGACTATACGATAAAAATTACTTTTTACTACAATATCCATATCAGGAGCGTCTACATCTATAGTTATTTGTCAGTAGAAACAGTAATTTGGCAGTAGAAACTGCAAGTTATGAGTAATCAAGGCTATGCATTCGGCAAGAATCGACCTCAAAACCAAGGGCCGCATGAGATATTGTACACACCGGAAGATCTACCTAAAAATGATTATCAGTCGGATGGCGAAGACATGTTGTTATCAGTAAGATTTACTGTTTTTGCACGTTTTGTGGCTTTATATGGCTTCTTCTTTAGCATTTTTGGGTGGTTTTGTTGCTTTGTGAGGTGTTTTATTGGCTTTTCGATGTGTTTTTATGGCTTTGTGTGGTGTTTTTATTACTTTGTGAAGTGTTTTTGTTGCTTTGTAAGGTGTTCTAGTTGCTTTACAATGTGTTTTGTTGCTTTTTAAGGGATGTTATGGTTTTGTGAGATGTTTTTATTGATTATTGAGATATTCTTGTTGATTTTGAGGTGTTTCATTGGCTTTTTGGGGTGTTTTTGTTGCTTTGTGAAGTGTTTTTGTGTTTTGTGAGGTTTTTTATGGCTTTTTGAGGCATTTTCATGGATTTGGCTTTATATTGTATTTTTTATGTGTTTTTGACATTTTTCTTGTGCTTGTTCTACCTGGTGACAAGATGTTATTTTTCTTGGACATGGTTTTGCAGTTTTTTTGTGGTTTTATTGGTTTTCTATGTATTTTTATTGATTTATAGGGTGTTTTGTCTATTTTCAAAGTTTTTTGTGGTATGTTTTGGCTTGGTTTTTTGTTTTTCCAGGGCTGTTCTACTATTTTTATGAAGTATATCTATTATTTTTTGATCTTTTTGTGATAGACATGTGAAAAAAATAATGGGTTTGTTGTACTAACAATTGCTTTTTTACATTTCTTTTTTGTTTTGCTGTTAATTTGTGAAGTTTTACACTAATTTACTAACATGTTTGTTTTGCACTTGCTAACCATATTCACGTTTGCTTTGTAATTTTATTATATTAGGCTGTTCAAATAATTATGAGCTACCTAACTACAAATTTGGGTTAATTTTAAATTTATCCATTTATCTCTCAAAGGGTTTATACTGACAAGGAAAGGTCCCCACCGTGAAATGGATTGGTGAAAAAGTGGTAAATAGAAGTTGTAGAGCATAGTCAAATTAGTAGAAAAACGAAAAAAAATTTACCCCCCGTGGGGGGTTTTGAGGTACTTTTTTGTGGTCAAAGTTTTACTTTCTTATTTCCGCTCTCTTGTCTCGGAAATCAAGAGGAAACTCCGTCGACCGGTTGGTTCGGTGGTTGCGCGCCTGCTTTCGGCTCCGAAGGGCGCGGGTTCGATCCTGCGCCGTCGGAAGTATTTTTTGATCACTTTTTCTAAATAAAATTTAAAAAATATTTATAAATTTTCTTGTAAAAAATATATCTTTTTGTATCTTAACACATTTTTACCTAATTTCTAGCGACTTATCTACTCGTTAATCATTTGTTCAATTAAATTATTCAAGTTTTCAACACTAGTACAATGTCTGCGCTATGCATTATTATATATTTTAATCTAAAAAATCTTGAGTAATTTAAAAAAAAGAAGAAAAAAATGTTTTGCAAAAAAATGCAAAATTTTTAAAGATTTTATTTATTATATTCAGAAAAAACGATCGAAAATGCTTTCCGACGCCGCAGGATCGAACCCGCGCCCTTCGGAGCCGAAAGCAGACGCGCAACCGCCGAGCTAAACGATCAACGGCGTTCTCTTTTGTTTTCCGAGACAAGAGAGAAAGGGGAATTAATAAAAGTAAAACTTTGGCCAAATAAAAGTACCTCAAAACCCCCCACGGGGGGTAAATTTTTTAACGTTTTTCTACTAATTTGACTATGCTCTATAACTTGTATGTACCACTTTTTCACCAATCCATTTCACGGTGGGGACCTTTCCTTGTGAGGTGAAAATTTTAGTTAGGTAGCTCATAAAAGTTGCTTTGAAAGGTAGCTCAGGATTTGTTGAACAACCTAATATTTGGTTGCCAAATATTTTAAAGCTGATAAACATATCATTCTTCAGGACTTGGACAAGCTTTCCAAACGCTATCACATGGAGAAGAAGGAAGAGCGACGCAAGCGACGTTACCAAGAAACCGCAACGTCTGAGCAATCAGGATTGGAAGAACGGCCCAAAAGTCGTGGCCAAAAGAAGAAGGAGAAGGCTAGACGGAAGAAGGAGGAAGAAACAAGACAAGCTCAGCTGCTTATACAACAACAACTTCAGCAACGGGCGCTTCAGCAACTTGCTCTTCAACGGCTCGGCCTTCAGCAGTTCGGACTTCAGCAACCTGGCCTTCAGCAGTTTGGTCTTCAACAAGGTAGTCTTGAACAGCTCAGCCTTCAACAACGTAGCCTTCAACAGCTCGGCCTTCAGCAACGTAGCCTTCCACAACTCCCACCGTTCCAAGGTCTGGCAGGGCATAATCTGTATCATGCAGCTCTGAATCAGAACTTTCTTCGCCAACATGGATTAGGGAATGTGAATCTTCAACGTTACTTTACCGAGAACCGGCAGCAATTTGTAAACGAAGTCAGTCAACCAGATGTGGAAAGTGCCGATGAGTTTCGTCAACGGTTTTTTCAACAACCTCAAGCTCAGAATGTTGAACAAGGTCAGAGCTTTCAGAATCTTCAGCAAGGCCAAAGTCTTCAGAATCAGCAAGCTAGCCTACAGACTCTCCAGCAAGTTCAGGGCCTTCAGAATCTTCAACAATTCCAAAGCCTTCTGAATCCTGGTCAAAGTGAAACGCTTCAAAATCTCCAGCAAGATCAGAACCTTCAGAATCTCCAGCAAGGTCGAAGCCTTCAGAATCTTCAGCAAGGTCAAAGTCTTCTGAATCTTCAATTAGCTCAAAGACTTCAGAATCTTCAACAAGCTCGGAGCTTACAGATTCTTCAAGACCAAAGCCTTCAGAATCCTGGACAAACTGAAACGCTCCAGAACCTTGAGAAAGATCAAACTCAACTCCAAGCTCAGGGTGATGAAGTATCACAGCTGCCATCGTCGTCAGGCTTGAGTCAGAATCCATCAACGTCATCATCAGGCTTCAGCCAGTATCCATCAACGTCATCATTGGAATTTGGTCAGAACCCATCATCTTTAGGTTTTGATCAGAATCCTTTGAAGCTAAGCCCAGATCAAGCTCCATCAGGCTCAGCCCAAGAGCAGGATCCAGCAAATGCAGAAGCAAAAACTTCGTCCACTTTCGATACATCGAAGCAAACACTCGAGGAAAAGATGATGTATTTCAATCAACTTCACGACTCTGACGGCTTCAATGTCTGTTTCGAAGACGTATGGGATGAAGCTGGAGTACCACGCGACAAATTCGACGAAGCTTTGTATCGTCGTGCCATGGCGGAGGTAATAAGACACCACAATGAGTATTTTAAAAGCTTGTCTGAGAAGAAGCCGTTAAAGAAGCGTGACAGTGAAGAAGAATCTCAGGAATCTGGCGTGGAATCTGGAGCGTCTGCTATTGAGTCTCAAGACGCTGGAGCTGGAACTCAAGAAGCTGGTGCTGGATCACAAGAAGCTGGTGCTGAATCTCAAGAAGGCATTGATGGGTCACAAGAAGCTGGCGCTGCATCTCAAGAAGCTGGTTCTGAATCTCAAAAAGTTGCCGCTGAATTTCAAAAATCTCTTTCCGAAGCTCCACAATCTGCTGAATCACAAGAAGCTGTCGCTGGATCCTCAAAATCAGCTCCCGAGTCCGGACAATCAAAATCAGCTCCTCTATCGCGGAAATCTTCAAGTTGTAGCGATGGATTGCAACTTCAACTACCACGATACTTTCGTTTCATGCCGCCAATCGATTTCGACTCCATTAGTATACCGTACGAACTCGACGACATTGTCCCGGTCAAAGACTACATCATACCGGAACCATCGGATTTGACGCCGGAAGAGGAGCAAGCTGAACTCGAGGAATGGCTACGAGAAAGCCACTTCATGAGCCTCGGCATATCAAGATTGGTTGGCCGTCGAATTCCGAAACCAAACCATTTCCTACTGATCGAGTATAATGAAGCGGTGAATAAGGTTACTGCAGAAAAACTACGAGAAAAACTAAGATTGCAGGCGTTGGAAGAAGTTAATGAAGAAGGTAATAATCATCGCCAAGGTAAAGAAGGCGATGAAAGGAAAGAAGAAGCGGAAGAAGGTGAAGAAGGAAATGGTGAAGCTAAAGAAAGTAACGAAGGGAGAGAAGAAACTAACGAAGACAGAGAAGAGAATGATGAAGTTAAAGAAGGTGAGGAAAGGAAAGAAAAAGGAAATAAACACGAAGAAAAGGAAGTAGAAGAGAAGGAAGATGAGGAAAAAGACGTTGAAAAAGAAGAACAAAGAAAAAAATTTGCAAAAGAACAAAAAACAGTCCAAAAAGAAGCTGAAATGAAACAGAAAGATGATGAAAAAGAAGGAGAAGAAAAGAAAGAAGCTATTCAATCTGGAAAAGAATCAGAAGAAGGATTTGGAGAAGACGCTGAAGCTACAGAATCTGAAGAAAAACTGACAGAAAAAGATGCAGAATCAAGTCAAAAGGATTCAGAAGGCAAGGTGTTAGAAGAAAAGCCTTCAAAATCAAAAGAAAGGGCTTCAGGATCAAAAGAAAGAGATTCAGGATCAAAAGAAAAGCTTTCAGGATCTGAAGAAAAGCCTTCAGGTTCAAAAGAAAAGGCTTCAGGTTCAAAAGAAAGATCTTCAGAAACCCGAGAACAAGCCGAAGAATCACCCGATAATCCATCATCAACATCCGATCCCTCTTCCGACCTGCATACTCCATTAACAATCAATGTAGACGAGAATTTCCTGCGTTTGCCGGTGCAATCATCATCAGATGACGATAGATCGTTGTGGTCCGTAGATCCAAAGCCATCAACATACTATGAAACACGGCCTGGAATATCGATGGGTCACGCTATTAAGAATTCTGGCCCTTTGGTTTTGGTTCAATTTTGTGCTCACGAACTTTACGCTTTTATTGTTGGTAAGTTGGTTTTTGATTTGGATTTTGGGGGGGTTAGGTCGTTATTGAATTTTTGTTTTAAGCTGGTATTGAAATCTTGTTTTTGAGTGATTTTTTTGACTATATTATGTTGTTCAATTAATTCTGTGCTCCCTCTGAACGCAAACTTTTTGGGTTAAGGAGCACAGAATTATTTGAACAACAAAATAAAATGGCCTAATTTTTAAAAAATTTCTCTTTTTTGAAAAAAAAAGTTAACAGGGGGGGGGGAACAAGTTCAATTTTTCAAAAACAATTTTTTTTTATTCACTTTTTTATTCTCTAATAGTAATCTCTATCACAATTCGGACTCGATCATAACTTTTTTTACTGAGCTAAGCCTATCTATTAGGTCCCGACACAAAGAACCCGCCATTCTCGACAGGAAATTACAGGAAAAGTATGGCGGGTTCTTTATATCGACGTCAAATAATTTTCATATATCTTTATTGGGTTTTTCAAATAATTATGTGCTCCTTAACTCCGAAAAACCTACATAAGCACGTTATTATAAAACCCTCTTTTCAGATGAAGAACCCTACATTCTATACCAACATCTTCGATCTTGCGTCTTCCCCCACCTGACTCGAGAGTATGTTGACAAAGAGTTTGCCGAAGTCGGGATCAGCCCAATGAGACCAACCAAAGATATGATGCGCGAAATGGCCGAACATGGTGCATATCCGAAGGACAGTCCAGAACAACCGTCACTGCTAACGATTGGCAACGCTTTCTTTGTCGTCGGTCACTTCTGGGCCAACGGTGTGAGACCATTGCTTGGAATCGGCGAGACTGATCTCAAAATGGACCCATTCTTGGTGAAGGCGTTGGAGAGGGAAAGGATTGTGGTGGGTTTTTAAAAATGTTTTTGAATATTGGGGTAGGTTTCTATGGTTTTTGAGGGGTGGAGGAGATTTTGAGGTGTTTATCAGGGACGTAGCTACAAGTTTTTTCTGGGAGGGGGTGGGGTGGAAGCCTAAAAAAATTGTATGGTTTACATATAACTAGCTCTAATTGTCGATTTTTCAAATGTATGGAAGGGGCGGGGTGAAATTATTAACTTCTAGCTATTTCTTAGTCAATATCACTCTTTTCTTTCCTTGTCTAGTCTAGCGATTCTCTTAACTCTGCCTTAGCCCTAAGGCAATGATGCTTCTAAAATGCCTGACGGATCTATCTCTATTTACTCTCTTCCTTCCTTTCTCTCTTTATATAGACTTCCTTCTCTATATTACCTTTCTCTGTTCTACCCTACTTTAGACTTTGCCTTACATTGTCAGCAGGGGCGTCGCTACGGATTTTTTCTTGGGGAGGGGGGTGGAGACCCAAAAAAATTTTTTTTTTGTTTTTTTACGTACAGGTATTTACCTGTGGAATTTTTTTCGGATCGGCTCTGGGGGGGGGGTGGATCATCCCTCCCCCCCCTAGCGACGCCCCTGATTGTTAGCTCTAGACATGAGAAACGGCGCGGCCCGTTTTTACGTAAAAAATTGGGCCAGGTCTGTTCCTCATGTCTACCTAGCCCTAAGATAAGCAATGATTAAAAATGTCTGGTGGATACACCTTTATTAACTTCTTCCTCCTCTTTAGTGATGGTTCTGCTGGGGTTCATTTTATGATATTTAAGGATTGGGGGTTCATTTATTTGATCTTTTTTTAAATATTTTTGGACTATGGTTGTTTTTGAAGATAGGGCAGGTTTTTATTTTTTTTTGGTAGGGTAGATTTTCTAATTTTTTTGAAATTATTTGTATTTTTTTAAATTTAGTTAGGGGGTGGATTTTAGATTTTTTTTATGTTTGCGGTACATTTTTTATTTTTTTAGTTGTTTAGGGTAGATTTTTAAACATTTTTTAAATTTTTTAGGTATCTTTTTCAATTTTTGCTATTATATTTCAGATAACCTGCGACGGAGGCGGCGAGACCGAAGGCGACTACTACCCATCCCTACTCGGCGACAATTGTATCGTGTGCCGAGAATGTCACGTCTTTACGAATCCACGCCAATTCTGTTTCCATACTCACCACTTCAAGGAGTACATCTTTACCGGCTGTCGTTGGGGCGCCATAACTGATGACAATTATCGATCCATGTACGAAGACAGACAATTCCCAACTTCAACACAGGACTTTATCTACAATGCGATTCTTGAGAAAATGAAGAATGATGCCGATTACACGCGGGAGTGGTGCTACTTTCGGGATCATCAAAACTCGTCGCTGGATTCTATGCGAAAGCTGATTGATAAGTATCCAGCCACTGATGTAAGGTTTTTTTATGTATCGCTAGGGGTTGTAGAGGGCGGGGGTGGGAAGAGGAGGGGAGGGAAGGGTTATTTGAATTTGCTGGTGTTTTTAGAGATGGGAATTGTATTCTATGGTTTTTTTATGAAATTTGAAGGGGCGGGGTAATTTAATTTTTTAAGACGGGGAGGGCAGGGGTGGCAAAATTTTTAAAAAAGTTTTTTATTTTTGGGAGAGGAACAAAATTTTTTTTTAAATTTAGAAGTTTGGTTTTAAGAAACCTTTCATTTTTTTTGCAAGGCGGGGTAAAAAAATTTTTTTGTAAACTTTTTTTTTTATTTTTTGAGGGCGGGGGAGAAGTGGCAAATTTTTTTTATTGTGGCATGATTTTCTTAGTTTTGTGATTTTGTCTTCTTTATCCTAAAGTAAAATGTAAATTTTCACGACAGCTAATCTCAAACATGATTTTTACATTTTTTTTTTTAAATTTAGGTGTGCCACCTTCTCGAATGCGTCCTATCTCTGAAAAGTCCGAAAATCATATCACCATGTAAACCGGACGAACCAGCCACTTGCAAGCTATCGGACGATGAGCTACATCAACTCCAAAGACTAGTCTCATACATGTGCGGTGGCCCAACAACTTCCGGCGAGCCGGCTCGTCAAAACTTGAATGTCTACGAGCCAACTCCACAGAACATTTTGCTTCTGGAACAGCTGATTCAGAAGAATCAGTACAAGGATTTCCATCAGCATGACGTCTTCAACCGAATTCGAAAGGATGTTGCTATGTATGGCTCATTGAACAATGCGTTTACTGCCGGTCCAGGTACCATGGTGAATATGGCTAGGCAAGATGAGGTAATTAAGATTGGTGACGAAGAAGAAGGTAGTGCTGAGAAGGCTGGTGGTCAAGGTACTTCTGGGGACGTTGGGAACGTAGCTGGTCAAGGACGAGGTCAGGCAAACAATGATCGTCAAGGTAGCTCAGCAAGTGCGGCAGGTCAAGGATCATCGAGCAATATAGCTGGTCAAGGTGGAGTGGTAAATGTAGCAGCTCAAGGTTTATCGAGCAGTCAAGTCGGACAAGCACAGATGGCTTCAGGGAATGTAGCTGGGCAAGGTCTACAATCGAATCAAGCAGCTCAAGGTCAAGCTCATCAACTGAGTCAAGCTGGTCAAAGTCAAGCTTTTCAAATCAACCAAGGAACTCAAGCTCCACTAATGAACCAACCAGTCCAAAACACGACGTTGAATCTACCCTACCTACCCGGTCAAAACCAACTGGCGTCTGGGAACAGTCAAGACAATGTTCAAGCTTCTACCCACCAGTCACGAAAGAGAAGTCTACCAAGAAGGCCCGAAGCCGATCAACCACCCAAAATTAGGTTTCGGAACCTTTTTTATCAACAAAACGAAGCTGCTGGACCTTCAACTAGTCAAGGTCCAGTAGGGAAAGACGGAGCTGAACAGAGTGAGTGACTTGGTGAAGTGGTAGATAGCTACTTGGAAATGAGACAATAATGGTGATATGGGCTTCAGCATGTTAGGTATTGAGTTTTTGAAATGTTTGAAAGGTGTGGATGGTGTGGGGGGGGGGGTTTGGGGGGACAGTATGAGGGTCCGGGTAGAGGAAGATGACTTATAGTACAGTGTAATAGAAGAGGGTAGGGTATGGTATGGTAGAGCAAGGTAGACCAGAATAAGGTGGGAGAGGGTAAGGTAAAGGAGAGTAATGTAGGGTAATGATAATGTGAGGTAAATTACGGTAGTTCTTTGTAAGGTAAATGAGATTACAGTAAATTGATTACGGTGTAATATAGTAAAAACTGTATAAGTTATCCTGAAATAAAGTTTGTTATGGTAGAGAAGCGTACGATTAAAGATAGTATTAGGTTGGACCAAAAGTAGCGGGACACTTTACTTATTTTTTAAAATGTGTCCTTTACTTTTGGTTCATCCTAATATAAGGTAGGCAAGGGCGATAGGATACGAGGGACAGTTCATAGAAGGCTGGAGCATTGAACGATAAGGTACTATAGGCTTGATTTGTGTATTTTAGTCCAGTTTAGGGTAGAGTTGTGAATTTTCGTTCAGAGTATGTTAGAGTTGGGTAGAATAAGATGGTCATTAGTGATAGTGTAGGGTAGGACAAGGTCTATATAATACACATTATAAAGCTTTATCAATGAAAAACTAACCTCATTTTTTCAGGATTCAATTCTTCTTTTCCAAAAAGAAACGACAACTCGATACAAGGCTTCCATTCAACACCAACCTCACGCAAGTCTTCATCATCAACCCAACCAGATAATCCAACACGAAAACACTCAGCTCCAGACGGATACATTGGTCAACCACCGGCCAAAACGTTAGCTCCAAGCAAACCGTCAGTTAGTCTCCGAGACCTTCAACGAATTCTAACTAGAGGTGATACGTCAGTTCATGATGCTGTCTCTGGATCTTATGACAGTGTTTTCAATTCATGTTCTAATGTACCGTCATCTAGTGGATTATCAGCTAGTGGATCATTAGGCAATGTACCATCGTCTAGTGGGTTATCAGTAAATGAATCATTATCTAATGTACCATCGTCTAGTGGGTTATCAGTAAATGAATCATTATCTAATGCACCATCGTCTAGTGGCTTATCATTAAATGAACCATCATCTAGTGGATATTCAACTAGTGGATCAGTAGGCAACGTACCAGAAGCTAGTGGATCTTCAGCTAATGTAACATCATCTAGTGAAGCCCAGAATCCAACTTCAAGAGCTGCAGCAACGAGCGCTCAAGGTCAAGCGACGAGAGTACCATTCACGACACAACAGTTGCAGGAGGCTGTACTTCACGCTACGTGGCCAAGAGATCTGAGGCAGAATTCTGAATCAACGACTTCTGGACTTCAGAATATAGAATCATCAAATTCTGGACATCAGAATCTAGAATCAGCAATCTCTGGTCAACACAATCCTGAATCATCAACTTCAGGACTTCAGAATTGGAGACCATCAACTGCAGGACTTCTGAATACACCTACGAAGACCTTAGGACAACTGAATTTTGGACTTCAGAACACTGATTCACCATCTTTTGGGTTCCGTAACTTGAACTTGTCAGAGAGGTCGAATGATAGTGACTTGTCAGAGACGCCGAATGATAATAACTTGCCAGCTAGTTTGAATGAGAATTACTTATCAAAGATGAATGCGCTTCAGAATTTTGTCGAATCAGCCGAGCGTCTTGAGGAATTTGCTATTGAAGCCGGGAACTTTGAGCAAGCAACTTCTGGAGCCGAAAATTTGGAGCAATTGACTTGTGGAGCAGAAAATCTTGAGCAAGCGACTTCTGGGGCCCAAAAGTTTGGGCAATCTACCTCCGAAGCTCAGAATTTTCAACGATCAATGACTCGAACTCAGAACCGGGGTGAAGCAACAACTGGTGAACCCCAGAATCTTGTCAAATCGACATCTGAAGCTCTGTGTCATGGAGAATCAACGTATGAAGATAAACTTCCTGGAGCATTAGCTTACGAGGATCTGACTCCTGGACCATCGAGATCTGGAGTTCACAGGCTTGGACCATCAACTTGTGGAGAGCTAAATCCTGGACCATCGACATCTGGAGGTCAGAATTTTGGAGCATTAACTTTTGAAGCTCAGAATCCTGGTCCTTCTACATCTCGAGCTCAGAATCCTGGACCGTCAACGTCTGGAGCTCAGAATCCTGGCCCATCCACATCTGGATCTCAGAATCCTGGACCGTCGACATCTGGAGCCCAGAATCCTGGTCCATCCACATCTGGAGCTCAGAATCCTGCACAACTCTACGCACAACAGGATCGAAGTTCGTCGCCGATTGAAAGGCTATGGATGATAATGGTGGTTGCGTTGTGGATGAACGAATACAATCCATCTACTACTCTTATGAATGTAGAAGAGGATTCAGAAGCTTCAAATGAAGACTTTCACAGAGCTCGCCGCCTTGCATCAGGCCCGTTCAACAGGTCGGGTGGTTCAGAAGCCGGCAACCGACTCCACCTAAGTCAGCCGATTCAGAGCCACTACCAACACCGACAGCTGCCACCCCTTGGCCGATTTGCAATGTCAGCCGGCTCGACAAACCTCATGACCGGCAACTTTGCTCCATCGAACTCGAGGAATTCGACTTCAGGACAAGCGATTCAGAGTCCTGCGCGACCGAAGCCGGAAGAATTGAAGGCTGTAATGAAGAAGTTAAGGAAGAATGAATTGAAACGGAAGCTTCAAGGAGCTGGCTTGGATTGGTGGAATCAGGCTTTTATTCGGGCTCTGAATCGAAGGCAGAATCAGAATTCGCACCGGAATCGGAATGCGCTGGAGAATCAGGATCCAGAGAATCAGGATTTGCGAGAGACTCAGAATCCGCAAGAAAATCAGAATCCGCAAGAGAATCAGAATCCGCGAACGAATCGCAAGCAAGATTCAACCGGGAACGGGCCACCAAAAAACCTTGGCCAGAAAAGAATCCAGGAAATAATTTACCTTCACAAGAGATGGGCTGACGCTTTCCTCACCGACGTGCTCAATAGGATGGATAAACCGAAGGCTACGGAATTTGTGTTCAGGATGCGACAGATTGCGGCTCAGTATCCAGAAGGAAATTATAATGCAATCTGGAACTTGCTACTGAGTCAGGATGGTGCCGTGGATTTGCTGCGACGTTACTATCCAAACAGTCGGTCTTTGCCCGAGAATCGGAGGCGACTACAGAATCTGAATTCGACACAGAATCAGAATTTGCTTCAGAATCAGCTGCAGAACCAGAATGGGCCACAGAATCAGAATCAGCCACGGAATCAGAATCAGCTACAGAGCCAGAATGGGCCACAGAATCAGAATTTGCATCAGAATCAGTTACAGAACCAGAATCAGCCACAGAATCAGAATCAGTCACAGAATCTGCTTCAGAAGCATAATCGGCAACAGGGTCAGAATCAGCTACAGAACCAGAATTTGCCACAGGAGCAGAATCAGACACAGAATCAGCTACAAAACAAGAATCGGCCACAGTATCAGAATTTGTCACAGGAGCAGAATCAATCACAGAATCAGCTACAGAACCAGAATTGGCTACAGAATCGGCTTCAGAATCAGCTACAGAATCAGAATTGGCAACAGAATCAGCTACAAAATCCAAACCTGCCAGTCAATTGGCTTCAGAATCCGGCTTCGGTTATGATGATGCCTCAGTATTTGTATCCACTTTCAAACCCAGCCTTCGCGGCCAATGCTGCACATATTCAACAAGAAATGGCCTTATTATCGATGCAATGGCAACTCCGGAATCAGCACTACCTGAACCGATATTGGGAAATGTATGTTGAGCTTCAGAATTTGGATACTGGTGGTCAGGAACAGAATATGAGCGTTGATGGTCAGAATATGAATACTGGTGGTCAGAATGTGAATATTGGTAGTCAGGGTCAGAATATGAGCGTTGGCGATCAGAATGTGAACGATGGTGATCAGAATATGAATATTGATGATCAAAACCCGAACGATGATGATCAGAGTTTGATCAACGTCGATCAGAATCTAAGTGATGAAGGTCCGAGTCTGAACGTAGAAAATCAGAATCCTAACGACGGTGGTCAGGGTGTGAACGACAAGGGTGGGAACAATGGGAACGATGGTGGTCAGAATGGGAACGACGGTGGTCAGAATTGGAACGATGGTGGTCAGAATCCGTGATGTAGCTAGCCAGAATCCAGGAGACCAGCCCTAGGTTGCTCTTCAAATTAGTTTAGTGATAGTAGCTTCAGAAGCCTCTTCAGAATACCAAGTGTAGTGATAGTAGTTTGTTTTATATATTTATATGTTGATTATCGATTGGTATATGATGATTATGTTTTGATATATATATGTTTATTATGTCTTAATATACATATGTTGATTATGTCTTAATATATATATTAACTATGTCGTGATATATATATTAACTATGTATTAATATACATATGTTGATTCTGTCTTGATATATATGTTGATTTGGTCGTGAATTTTACATATTATTCATCCTCAACTTGATGTTACCCCAATCTTTTACGATTTTACACATTATCTTAAATATTCATTAGTCTTGAGTCTATCTACCTCTAACTTACATTTTCGTATCTTGTATATATTATAACCGAATCTCTGATTAACCAAGAATTTTATCATGAAAATAAATCATTTTAATCAATGACTTGTGATCCGCCGAAATTTTTTTAAAAATATTGAGGAAGTGCCTTTTTTTAATTTTATTACCGAAAAATGGAGTAAAGTAGAGCTACGGTACAGTACTGTGGATCTACTTACGTTAAGTTTTATAGATTGATAAAGTATGACCAAAGAGAAATAGGGTCTTTACTATCGTGTAGAACGAACTCAATATATTAGGTTTACAAATATGAAATTGCGTTCTTTCTCAACTGAATAGTTGTAAAGAAAGTTCTGGTCATGTTCTCCTCTGTAAAGAAAGTCCTTGCTTGTATATTATAATGCCTTGTAAAGACAGGTTTCGCTATTTTTCATTTTGTAAAAAAGTTTCTGCTATTTTAAGTTTTGTAAGAAAAGTTCTTTCTATTTATCGTTTTGTAAAGAAAGTTTTTGTCATCTCTCGTTTTGTAAGAAAGTTCTGGCCATTTTATATTTTGTAAAGAAAATTCTTGCTATTTTTCGTTTTGTAAAGAATGTTTTTGTCATTTTATGTTTTGTAAAGAAAGTTCTTGCCCTTTTTATTTTTGGCTTTTGCCCATATAGATCAAAAGTGCCCACTCGGCCCTGGCCATCACCCTTCGCCCTAGCTTTTGTTTAAGTCTTTGTCCGGTTTTTCTGGCAAGGGTAAGTTACACCAATACCTATAGCTACAGCTGGCGTAGGAGTTCGTAATAAAGCGACGATAGAGCGCGAGAATAAAAGATATGTCAGATTGTCTTTAGAAGGGGATAAAGGTGCTTTATGCCAAAAAAGACGCTTTGCTGTACAAAACTCTACGTTGTCATTACTTTACGCACCAAATGTTACATAAGAATAAAGCAAGTTACTATAGCGAAAAGATGGGCGGGGTCAGAAGAGCAAAGTAAGCGCACTGAACATGCCAAGGTGAATATCAACCTAGCTTTTCATTCTTATTAAGAATTATCTCTGTGTTCTTACTAAGCCCTAGCTTTGTATTTTTACTTTGGAGTATAAGTTGGATCGTTATGGCTATGGCACCTACTGTACCTCAAGATTATGAATCTTTAGACGATTCTATCGAGATTATCGACACTGAAATTGTAGCTAGCAATGATAGTGCTGAAATTGATGACAATGGAGCTAAATCTACTAACGGTGCTAAGGTTAGTACTAAGGTGGTTGACGACGGTACCAAGGACAAGTCAGGAAAAACTACTGGAAGGTGTACTAAGCGAACTGAAGGTGAAAAAGATCAAAAGAAGATTGAGTCCAAGCAAGATGTTGTTTGTAAACTTTCAAAATTTGTCAGGATCTTAAAATATGGAGAAATAGCTTTTTTAATTTTTACGTAAGTTTTTACTAGACTAGGGAATTGCATTAAATATCCCTCGGCTTTTCGAACGAGACATATATAGGATGAAAGAGCATAAAAAGTTAACGGGAAAACTGTTTTCAAAAACTGCTAAATAGATTCGACTAGCGAGATATTAGCGATTAAAGGATTTACATAAGGTTTCCTATTTGAACCTTCTCATTCGTCTTCAGCAAAACAAGTGGTTTGAAGCTTCAATCCGGTGTGGTCGAGTGGTTAGGAAATTAGTTTGGGGTGCAAAAGAGGGAAAGTTCAGCCATTATGACAAGTATTTTTGGCTAGCCAAACAATACTTCGATTAAAAAAATATTTTTTATGTCTTATTTTTTGTTTTTAGTCACTTTAGAAAAAATAGTTATTAAAGAATATCATTTTTTAAACTTCCCGGTAACCTTTTATGCTCTTTCATCCTATATAGGTCTCGTTGAAAAAGCCGAGGGATATTTGGTGCAACTTCCTAGTCAGATCCTTCGGTCTTTTCGTTGGCTGAAGCCAAAAGCGCGGACGTCTTCGCTTTTATGAATTTTAGATCGGCCAATCGGATAACGACTTGGCCTTTCACTAAGTTTAGAAAACTTATATTAACATAAAGCTGTTTAGGTTGGGGCTTTGTCTGCATACATTGTTTCTTCTCAATGAAATCAAGTTGCTTGATCAATCATTGGCTGATTTCCAAAAACCAAGTAATCTTCGAGACAATGTCGATATTAACATTGATGACCTTGTGGGCGAACATATTGAAAATGATTTGCTTTCTGAATCCAAGTTGCTTAATAAACATAGAAATGACATCCTTGACTTCTTGACTTACATCAGTGCACGATACAATGAGGAATTCAGAAATGATGTTATGGTAGAAAACGGAAAATGCGTTGCCATGTGTAAACGTAAGTTTTATTGTAGCGAAAGCTTGCTCTTGGTCTTGCTTTAGCTCTTCCTCTTGATCTTTTCTTGCTCTTTCTTCTGGTCTTGTTCTTGCTTTTGCTCTTCATCTTTCTATTGCTTTTGCTCTTGCACTAGTTCTAGCTCTTGCTCTTTCTCTTGCTTGTGCTCTTGCTGTTGATCTTGCTTTTACTCTTGATCTAGCTCTCGCTCGTGCTCGTGCTCTTTTTCTTCTCCTTGCTTTTGCTCTTGACCTTGCTCTAGTTCTTGATCTTGCTCAGTCCCTGCTTCTTTCTCTTGCTTGTGCTTTTGCTCTTGATCTTGCTCTTTCTCTTCCCCTGGCTCTCGCTCATGCTCTTGACCTTGCTCTTTCCCTTGTTCTTGCTTTTACTCTTACTCTTGTTTTTGCTCTTACTCTAGCTCTTACATTTACTCGCGTTCTAGCTCTAAGTCTAGCTCTTGTTCTTGCCCTAGCCATAGTACTGGACCTAGCCCTATTTCCTAACTACTTACGCTTTGCTAGGTTTACCACAACATTATTCAGGCCTAAACTATAATAACTTTAGTTTTTAAAACTTTTTTTCATTTTAGGTTTTCACCAAATGTATACACTAATCCTTGGAGCTGAATTGGAAAAAGGAAACGATGAGAAAGTCAAAGATTTAAAAGTTTTGAAGCCTCATCTTCAAAAAGTTCTTTCTAAACTGTTAGTAGCATTTGCCAAGTATCCCATAGCTATGGAAAGCTTCAACAAACTTAACGAAACCTTGGAACACGACGTTTTTTATAAGTACAATATTTTTTGAAAATATTATTTTTGAAAAAAAAATGTTTTGAAATATTTATTTTCTTTGCCTCAGGCATTCTTAGCAAATTAATTTACAATTCCGTATGAGTAAGTAAAGAAGCCAATGATGATGATGTTTCATTTAGTAAAACTTTGTATTTGTCAACATCAAAGCAAGTGGTTTGAACGTTTGGCTTACATTTAGTAGGGTTTGTCACTAGGTTGCCTGCAAAATAGCCAAAAATTTTTTTTAAAATAGGTGGCATAGGGTTACCTACATATCCTATCATACTTTACCCTACTCCACCCTACCTTACCCTACCCTATTTTATCCTCCTTACCCTACCTTACCCTACCTTACCCTACTTTACCTTACCATACTTTAACGTATCTTATCGTATCTTAACCTAACCTACACCACCTTAACCTCTTTATCCTAGCCTATACCACCCTACCAACCCAAAATAATCAATATAATAAATGATAAAGCCAACTCACCAGCCAAAGATGCAGTCATAAAGCAAGAAATTGAACCCGCAAACAAAGCCCTGAAGGCAATTTTGGAAAATAAGGCCTTCCGAGTTGGAGCGATCCCACCTAACACGCCCAGTTGAATACCAACTGAACCGAGGTTTGAGAATCCGCACAAGGCGTATGTCGCTATCATTGCTGAGCGTTCCTAAATATAAATTTAAAAAATAAGGTATATTTTTTTCGAAATTTAAAAATTTTTAAAAATTTTCAAAATAAAGATAAAAATTGTTCAAACATTCTTACCAACAATTTATGTTCGTATATCATCTCCCCCAGCCGTCGATAAGCGATAAACTTGTTTAACATTGTCTTATTACCCATTAGTCCATCGACTCTCAACGTTTCTTCACTCTCCGTCACTCCCATTATATGTAAATGCCAGAGGAAGACGATAAGGTTGGCGAGTATGCTCATTATAATCTCGATTCCGGCTGTGGCACCATTGGATATGCATTCAAAGGTATTGCTTTCTGTATTAAAGTTTGAAGCATGTTACAGTAGATATTATCGCTATGAAGTTTTTATTTTACTGTAGGGTAGAGGTAGGGTAAGGTAGGGCAGGGTAGGGTAGGGTAGGGTAGGGTAGGGTAGGGTAGGGTAGGGTAGGGTAGGGGTAGGGTAGGGTAGGGTAGGGTAGGGTAGGGTAGGGTAGGGTAGGGTAGGGTAGGGTAGGGTAGGGTAGGGTAGGGTAAGGTAGGGTAGAATAGGGTGGGTAAGGTAGGGTAGGGTAGGGTAGGGTAGGGTAGGGTAGAGTAGGGTAGGGTAGGGTAGGGTAGGGTAGGGTAGGGTAGGGTAGGGTAGGGTAGGGTAGGGTAGGGTAGGGTAGGGTAGGGTAGGGTAGGGTAGGGTAGGGTAGGGTAGGGTAGGGTAGGGTAGGGTAGGGTAGGGTAGGGTAGGGTAGGGTAGGGTAGGGTAGGGTAGGGTAGGGTAGGGTAGGGTAGGGTAGGGTAGGGTAGGGTAGGGTAGGGTAGGGTAGGGTAGGGTAGGGTAGGGTAGGGTAGGGTAGGGTAGGGTAGGGTAGGGTAGGGTAGGGTAGGGTAGAGTAGGGTAGGGTAGGGTAGGTTAAACAAAAACTACAAATTTAATAAAAACGATGTTGAAAATTGACAAACTATTTAGATTCAAAAAGTCGTGGCGAGTCCCGCGAACAAGGAGTGTCCGACCTACCCGTTGCCAACAGACACAAAATTGGCTGCAGGAACAGAATCAGCAACAAACCCAGAATTGGATACAACATTAGAATCCGGAACAGAATCTGCTCCAGTTCAGTTACAGAACCAGAATTAGCCACAAGATCAGAATCAGCTAAAAATCCGCACCTTCTAGCCAATCGGCTCCCAAATCCGGCTTCGGCTATGATGATGCCTCAATATCCTAATCTTCAACTACCAAACTCAGCCTTCATTGTGGCCAACGCTGCACATATCCAACAAGAAATAGCCTTGTTATCCCTGCATTGGCAACTCCACAATCCGCGCTACATGAATCTATATCAAGATGTGAATGTTGATGATCAGAATCAGAATATTAGCATTGATGATCAGGGATGAATACTGATAGTCAGAGCCAGAATATGAGCGTTGACGGTCAGCATGTGACGGTGGTGGTCAAAGTCAGAATATGAATACTGATAGTCAGGATAGGCCCGAATTTGAATGTAGAAAATTAGAATCCTAACGACGGCGGTCAGAATTCGTAATGTAGCTAGCCAGAATTCAGATAGTCAGCTCTAGGTTGCTTTTTAAAATAGCGTAGTAATAGTAGCTTCAGAAGATTCTTCAATTTTTAGTTTGTAAAGAAAGTTCTTGCTATTTTTTGTTTTGTAAACAAAGTTCTTGCAATTCTTTGTTTTGTAAAGAAAGTTTTTGCCATCGTTTTGTTAAGAGATCTTGTTACCTCAACCTTATCATGGCAATAACTACCTTGCTACAATAGCTCACAACGTTACCATTTCTGCTACTGCGGCCAGCTACTTGTGCCCATTTTTTCAACCCCTGCCTCCAGACCAAAAGTGCCTGCCCGGCCTTGGCTTTTGCACCAGCCTTCGTTCTAGCTTTTGCCCGGTCTTCCTAGCAAGAGTAGGTTACATTTGTATCTATAGGTGCAGCTGGCGTAAGATTTCATAATAAATTGACGATAGAGAAGCAGAAAAAAGTTACGTTAGATTACTTTAGAAGAGGTTACATGTGTTTCATGCCAAACAAAGGCGCTTTTTATGTCACAGAAACTCTACGTTGTGATCACTTTGGGCGCCAAAAGTTATCTCAGAGTAAAGAAACTTACCATAGTGAAAAAATGGGAGGAGTCAGGTCAGAAAAGCAGAGTAAGCGTCTCTAAAGATGCCAAGGTAAATATCAACCAGCCTTTTATTCTTACTAATACCTATCTCTGTATTCCTACGTAGCCCTTGCTTTGTATTCTTACTTTGAGAGATATTGGATCGTTATGGCACCTACTGTACCTCAAGATTTTGAATCTTTAGACGATTCTATCGAATTCATCGACACTGACATTGTAGCTAGCAATGATGGTGCTGAAATTGATGGCAATGGATCTACTAAATTTATCAACGCTAGTACTAAGGTGTTTGACGACGGTACCCAGGACAAGTCAGGAAATACTACTAGAAGGTGCACTAAGCGAACTGAATGTAAAAAAGATCAAAAGAGGAGTGAGTCCAAGCAAGATGTAGTTCGTGAAGTTTCAAAACTTGGCATGCTTCCAAAAATTTTCATGTAAGTTTATACTAGGATTCACTAGAAAATTGCACCAAATATCCCTCGGCTTTTCGAACGAGTCATATATATGATGAAAGAGCATAAATAGTTACCGGGAAAACTGTTTTCAAAAACAGCTAAATAGGTTCGGCTAGCGAGATATTAGCGATTAAAGGATTTACATAGGTGTTCCTATTTGGACCTTCTCACTTGTCTTCAGCAAAACAAATGGGTTGAAGCTTCAATCCGGTGTGGTCGAGTGGTTAGGAAATTAGTTTGGGGTGGAAAAAAGGGAAAGTTCGAATCCCGTCGATTTCTTTTTGGCGCCCAGTCATTATGACAAGAAGTTTTGGCTAGCCAAACAATACTTCGATTAAAAAAATATTTTTTATGTCTTATTTTTTGTTTTTAGTCACTTTAGAAAAAAATAGTTATTAAAAAATATCATTTTTTAAACTTTAAAGCTATACCTTTTAAGCATATAAGAATATAAAGCATAATGTAACTCGCTAGCCAAGTCCACTTAGCTGTTTTTGAAAACAGTTTTTCCGGTAACCTTTTATGCTCTTTCATCCTATATAGGTCTCTTTGAAAAAGCCGAGGGATATTTGGTGCAATTTCCTAGTCAGATCCTTCGGTCTTTTCGTTGGCTGAAGGCGGACGTCTTCGCTTTTGTGAATTTTAGATCGGCCAATCGGATAACGACTTGGCCTTTTACTAAGTTTAGAAAACTTATATTAACATAAAGCTGTTTAGGTTGGGGCTTTGTCTTATATATATATTGTTTCTTCTCAACGAACTCAAGTTGATTGATGAAAAATTGGCTGATTTTCAAAAACATGTTCTTCGCAACTCGATCGATATTAACATTGATGCGGTTGTGGCAAACTTATTGAAGAAGATTTGCTTTCTGAAGCCAAGTTGCTTAATAAACATAGAAATGACATCCTTGACTTCTTGACTTACATCAGTGCACGATACAATGAGGAATTCAGAAATGATGTTATGGTAGAAAACGGAAAATGCATCGAAATGTGTAAACGTGTTTTTTTTTGTAATTTTCCGTAGCAAAGACTAGCTCTTTTTCTTGCTTTTGCTCTTACTCTTTCTCTTTATCTTGCTCTTGTTCGTGCCTCAGCACAAGCCTTAGTGTAGGCCTAGCTCCAGCCTCTAACTATTTACTATAGTTTTACCACGGCATTATTCAGCTCTAAACTGTAATATTTATTAATTTTTTTTCATTTCAGGTTTTCACCGAATGTATACACTGATCCTTGGAGCTGAATTAGAGAAAGGAAACGATGAAAAAGTCAAAGATTTGAAAGTTTTGAAGCCTTATGTTCAAAATGTCCTTTCTAAACTACTAGGAGCAGTTGCCAAGAATCCCGGCTATATGAAAATCGTCGACGAACAACACAAGACTTTGGAACATGGCATTATTTATAAGTACACTGTTAATTGAAAATATTGATTTTTTTGAAAAAAACTTTTTACTGATATGATGTTTCATTTACTTTTAAAATTACAATCAATATTTTTGAAATATTTAATGTTTTGCCTCAGGCATTCTTACTAAATTAATTTACAATTCCGTATGAGCAAGTAAAGAAGACAGTGATGATGATGTTTCATTTAGTAAAACTTAGTATTTGTTAACATTAAAGAGTAGGGTAGGGGGGTAAACAAAAACTACAAATTTAATAAAAACGATGTTGAAAATTGACCAAATTTTAAGGTTCAAAAAGTCGTGGCGAGACCCGCGAACAAGTAGAGTGTCCGACCTGCCTGCTCAGACTCAACTCAAAAGTTTTATATGAAACCTTTGTGCTACCAGTAGTACTCATAAAAAATTTCAGCTCGCTCTTTTGAGAGTTAAGTTTTAAGTATTTTAATTTCCAGCCAACAGACACAAAATTGCCTACAGGATTAGAATCAGCTACAGACTCAGAATTGGATACAAGATCAGATTCCGCCACAAAATCTGTTTCAGTATCAGCTACAGAACCAGAATTGGCCGCTGGATCAGAATCAACTACAGAATCCGAACCTTCCAGCCAAATGGCTTCCGAATCCGGCTTCGGCTATAATGATGCCTTAATGACCTAATCTTCAACTACCAAACTCAGCCTTCATAGTAGCCAATGCTGCACATACTCAACAAGAAATAGTCTTGTTATCCTTGCAACGGCAACTCCACAATCCGCGCTACATAAATCTATATCGGGATGTGAATGCTTATGGTCAGAATATAGATGTTGGTGGTCAGAATGTGTGTGTTAGTGGTCAGAGTCAAAATAAGAATGTTGATGGTCAGAATATGAATACTGGTAGTCAGGATCAGAATACGAGCGTTGCTGGTCAGAAAGTGAATCATGATGATCAGAACATGAGTATGGAAGAGCAAAACTCGAGCGATCATGATCAGAGTTTTGTCGATTAGAATCTTAGGGATGAAGGCCCAAATCTGAATGTAGAAAGATTTGAAAGCCTTGAAGCCTCATGTTCAAAAAGTTCTTTCTAAACTACTAGGAGCAGTTGCCAAGAATCCCAGCGTTATGAAAAGCATCAACGAACTTCACGAAACCTTGGATCACGACGTTGTTTATAAGTACAATATTTTTTGAAAATATTTTTTTTTGAAAAAAATCTGTTTTTATAAATTTTTATTGGTATGATTATTCATTTACTTTCAAAATTAATTTATACATTATATATATCAAATGCCGACATAAAAAATCCGCCATTTTTTACAGGAAATTAGAAGTAAAGTATGGCGGGTTCTTTATGTCGGCACTCACTAGATGACAGATGAGAGAAAAGTGCAATATTTTTCGGTCAAAAACGCTTTATTTGAAATATTTATTTTCTTCGCCTCAGGCATTCTGAGTAAATTAATTTACAATTCCGTATGAGTAAGTAAAGAAGCCAATGATGATGATGTTTCATTTAGTAAAACTTTGTATTTGTCAACATCAAAGCAAGTGGTTTGAACGTTAGGCATACATTTAGTTGGGTTTGTCACTAGGATGCCTGAAAATAGCAAAGATTTACCAATTTTATACGTCGTGGAAGGGGCTTCGCTAACAATAAGAGTGATTTTCCGCAAGTATTTACCTCAAGTTGCCCTGCCTTGCCTTACCCAGTCATGCCCTGCTCTACCCTATTTTATCCTACTTTAACCCACCTTTATCCTATTATACTACCCTATACTCAGTGTTTTGCCGGACCGGGTCCGGTCCGGATTTTTAAATTGCAAGATTGAAAATGACTTTTAAGCTTATGGTTTGAAATTTTAAAAAATAAATAACTTTTGTGAAGGTCCGTCTCATACAAGTTCCTCGCTAAACATTTGGACCGGCCGGACCGAATCGGTCTTGCCGGTCCGGGCGGTCCATTTCGGTAATAACTTGATAACCAAAGACGGACCTTCACAAAAGTTATTTATTTTTTAAAACTCTAAAATATAAGCTAAAAAGTTATTTTCAATCTTGCAATTTTTGAAAATCCGGACCGGACCGGTCCGGCAAAACACTGCCTATACTATACCATCCTACCAACCCAGAATAATCAATATAATAAATTATAATAAAGCCGACTCACCAGCCAAAGATGCAGTCATAAAGCAAGAAATTGAACCCGCAAACAAAGCCCTGAAGGCAATTTTGGAAAATAACGCCTTCCGAGTTGGAGCGATCCCACCTAACACGCCCAGTTGAATACCAACTGAACCGAGGTTTGAGAATCCGCACAAGGCGTATGTCGCTATCATTGCTGAGCGTTCCTAAATGTGAATTTTAAAAATTTAAAAATAAAAAAAATTTTTTTTCAAAAATCCTTACCGACAACTTATGTTCGTATATCATCTCTCCCAGCTGTCGATAAGCGATGAACTCGTTTAGCATTGTCTTAGTGCCCATTAGACCAGCTACTTTCAAGGTTTCCTCACTTTCCGTCACGCCCATTATAAATGCCAGAGGGTAAAAGAGGTAGCCCAAGAACAACTCCAACGACCAGCCAGAGTAACCCACCAAGTCGCCGGCATAACTAATCGTACTGTTGACGAAGGCCAATAGAGCGAGGAATACAATCAGGTTGGCAAGGATAGCCATGATAATCTCGATTCCGGCTATGGCACCATTGGATATGCATTCAAGGGCATTGCTTTCTGTTCTGAAGTTAAAACATATTATAGTACATAGTGCTTGTAGCAATGCGGGTTTTACATTACAGTAGTTTGTAGGGTAGGATAGGGTAAAGTAAAAAAAAAACAAATTTAGCAAAAAAGCTGTTAAAAATGAACAATATTCGTAGATTCAAAAAGTCGTGGCGGAACTCACCAACAAGGAAAGTGCCCGACTTGCCCTTTTCAAAAGCAGCTTAAAATTTTTATATGAACTTCTTGTAGCACCAATAGTACCCATAAAAAACTTTAGCTCGCGTTTTTAAGTTTTAAAATTTAAATTTTTGAGTTTGCCTTTGAGTTGGAAAATTTGGCATTGTGTTCCAAGAGCTTTTTGCAACTTTCCAGAAAAGCTAGGCTTACAAATTTAATAATGTAATTTCATTTAAAGCTGTTCTACTAGTATATCAAAGACAAATTCTTAAAGGTCAAAAAATTACATAGTTATAAGCTTGAAACACAATGCCAATCTGGCGAGAAATTCAAAACGTAATTTTTTACTCTCGAATTTCTCGCAATTACCTGGAAAATGCAATTTAGTACTTTGGTGAAGACATTATATTTACATAATTTTCCTATATAAAAAGTTTGAATTCACTGAGAGCGAGGCAGGGCGAGTGCTTTCCTTGTTATTCACAAAAAAAATATTAAATTTAATTTTAAAACTTTGAGATTTTTAAAATAAAACAAACTCCTTCATGCTACTCTTACCCAGGCGGCAACTCCAAATCTTCAATAGTCTTTAGCTGTGACTCTTCAGTTTCAGGAAACAGAATCTTGGAACACGCCAACGATCCAGGAGCACTCATAACCGTAGCCGATAGTAAGTACGTTGGACACGCGCCAAAGGCAATATACGCGGCAAACATTGATCCGGCAATGCAGGAGAATCCACTAGTCATAATGGCATGAATCTCACTGGCTGTCATCTTTATCACATATGGCCGAATCAATAGTGGCGCTTCGCTTTGGCCGAGGAAGACACACGCACACGCGTTCACTGACTCTGTAGCTGTTGTACCGAGGGTTAGTTGAACTAGCCACGCCATCTTTTTGAGGAAAAACTGCATTATACCGTAGTAGTAGAGTAGGGCTACTACGGCGCCGAAGTAGAGAATTACTTGAATGGCCTGTAACGTATAACAGTGTATAACATATAAGGTGATATAATTGATCACGCAGGACAAGGCAGACCATGACAAAGCAAAGAAAAAGAGAGAAGAGCAAGAGCAAGAGCATAAATAAAAAACAAGTAAAAATACCTTAAAAGCAAAAACGGGATCCATTCCACAAATGTTTGGTGGACTAGCCAAGAATCCATACACAAAGTCCGTGCCATTATTAGTAAAGTCCAAGAACTTTATGATCAGTTCAGTCCCTTCATTGAATTGCCGTTCACCCCAATCCCACCTCAATACTATCAGTGCTATCACAAATTGAAGTGAAAACCCTACTATGACTGGTCGCCAGTTGATGTCTGATGGTGAATGTGAACATAAAACCATTAGTAATATTAAAAATGACATTCCAGCTAAACCGACCAGTCGTTGACGATCGTCTGTCGTGTCGATGATTATAAATATTAAGATTAAGGATATCATCGTGGCATAGACCGCACTAAAAGTGGGGGTTTTTAGACTAGTACTGTAGAGTACTATGATAAATTGACTTTTAATATAGTACTATCTATTACTTTATAACTTATTCAACGTACTATATAGTATATGTACAATAATCGAAAAAAATTATAGAAAATCTAAGAATGTTAGAGCTGTTTAGTACTTTACCATAATAAACATTTTAGTACTATATAGTACTATATACAGTACTAAGAGTTAAAAAAAAGCTTTTAACATATTAGTACTATACAGTACTACAAGTTCATAAAAATTTAATTTTTAAAATTTTAGTACTGTATAGTACTTATAAGTCAAAAGAACACTGAATTTTTACACTTAGTACTATATAGTACCAAAAAGCATCCAAATATTAAAACAAGGACAATAGTAAAACAACTTACATCTTGACAATCCTCCGTTGACATATTTTTGAAATCTCATTCATATATGGTGTCACTGCAGCCTTTACCTTTTTACCCAGTAATCGAACAAATAATTTACGGTAGATAATGTAAACCCAAACAATAATAGTTAAAATCAACAACGGCTCGGCTTTTTTGTAGTTTTTAGCTAGTGCTAAGCCTGAAATTAAAAAAAAATTTATTTTTAAAAATTTTGAAAAGTTTAGAAATCCTAAGCTAACCTGCCTATCCTAGCCCTACAAGTCGTGTAGGCTCGGCTTAGCCCAGCCCAGCGCAGCCCGTCTCACCCAGCTCTACAATCGTGCCGGGCCGGCCTTGAGCTAAAGACAAAATAGGCCAGGTCTTAAAGTTAGGCTCGGTTTGCAAACCAGGCTTGAAAAGTTGGTCCGGCCGGGCTTTCACCACTAATTGTTATGGGCTAAGGTTCTGGTTGGTCTAGAGCTCTGGGCTAAGAATTTGGACTAGGGGTCTAGGCTAGAACTCTGGGCTAGGGCTCTGGGCTCTGGGTTAGGGCTCTAAGCTAAAAATTTGACTAAGGCTAAAGCTAATTTCCAAAGTTTTGTTACCTAAACTTACCCAAAAAACAATGAAACAAAGAAATAAACAGTAAATATACACCAATGTGAAATGCTCTTTGATTTTGTGTTATAACCTCTCCTATTTTGGTTTGTACTACTTCAATATAGCGCATAGGTCCACTTGAGGGTTCATTTGAATATTCAGGAATATAATCCAGCGGTTGGTTTATTGATTCCGACCGGTCGGTTATGTGAATCTAAAAAAACATTTGAAAATCTACCACTTTTTTTAAAAGTATGATAGCTTTATCGTAATCGTAACCCTCCCTACCTTAGCGCCCCCTACCGTAGCGTCCCCTACTCTAGCGCCCCTACCCTAGCACTGTCTACTCTAGCCCTACCTACTCTAGTCCTACTTACCATAGTCCTACCTCAACCATGTCTACCCCATACCTACATACGTACCCCAACTCTGCCTACCATAACCCAACCTACGGTAGTTGTGTCTACTTGAGCTTTAATTATCATAGCCTTATCTAACTTATGACGTAGGACATTGGACTAGGGCTCTATCCTAGCCCTGCTTCTTCTAGTTCTTTCTTATTGTTAGTTCTTCTCTAACACTGCGCTAGCCCAGACAATAATCAGGTCTACCTTATCCCTCCCTATCCAGCTCTGCCTACCATAACCCTGCTTACCCTAGCTGTGTCTACCCTAGCTCTATCTATCTTAGGCCTTTCTATTTTAGTCCTCTCTACTTTAGCCATTCCTGCCCTAGTCTTTAATTATTGCTGCTTTTTCTCTAATAGCCCTATTCCTACTCACCCTGGCTTAGCATTGTCTTTATCCTAGCCTTATTCTTGACTTATTCTACTTGACTTACGCTACACTATTCTTTTTATCCTCCCTCCTTCCCCACCTACTCCACTTATAACAAGAACTGTTTTAAAAACCGGTAAGTAAAGATAACTTACCGTAGTTTTCCGTTCACCATTGAGATCACATTCAATTTGGTAAGGCAGATTTGAGCCTTTTCTTACTGTAGCGTCTGAAGTACTACTGGAAGATTCGTCTGGGGACGATCTTTCGAAGCTTTGGTTTTCCATTTAAACGAGACACAATGATGATACCTTACTTTACAAGCACCAAAACAAAAAATATGATTGCTTCAAGCTTGATATGTAGAGATATAATTCTTCTACTGACAGTAGTAGGTATTGATGATAAGGTAAAGTTCAGTTGATAAACACTTATAAATTCATGTTTGTGGCACTTTTCTATTGTATAACAGATCTAAAATAATTTTTAATATTACTCTGTAAATCACAAAATTATAAAAACGGCAAAAACTTTCCTTACAAAACAGCGATCAAACGTTTTTCAACAAAATCAGTGGAAAAACAACAAAAACAATTACTGTACGGCAAAAAAATAAAGAAAAGTAACGAAAATTCCCATATTAATCTCCATTAATAAACCCTAATGTAAGTTATTGTTAAATAAATCAAACCAGCAAACAGTTATTTGAAAAATGACTTCAAAACCACTTTTACCACTGGTTTGTACTTTTTTCGAACATCGAACGTTGACAAATTATGATAAATAGTAGTGAACGTAAGTAATGATGAAAAATTTAAATTATTATTTTTAATTTAGGAACAATATAACGGATTAGATTTTAAAAACATAAGAGAAATTGTAGAAGAATAGATCACAGAATAGGTAACAGGTATAGCATAGAGTGTGACAAACAGTAGAACAAAGAGCAGGAACTGACTCAAAACATAAGGTAGAGCAAAAAAAGTAAAACCGACTAAGGCAGAAAGCAGTGCATAAAGTGATGTGTACAGTAAAGCATATGGTAGAGCATAGTGTAAAGCAAGACCAGGATAAGGCGAAAGTGAGATAAAAGAAAGATAAAAGAAAGAAAAAACATAAGACAAGAGTAGCGGAAAGCAAGGCGTATATCAATGGTAGGGCCAAGAGAAAGGCAAAAGTAGGATAAGGGTACGGCAAAGACAGAGCAAAATTACGGCAAGAGTTAGAAAAAGTTAGGAAAAAGAAAGAGGTACATATGGTTACGAGTATAAGAGTATAAGAAGGCAAATTCAAGTTAACGGTATAACCAGTGCCGGGCGGGGACTTTTGGTCTGGGGGCGGGAGTCGAAAAAATCCACGGGGGACCACGTTCAAGTTTTTTTTGAAATTTTTTTCCTGGGGGGGGTTCCCCCGTCCACCCCCCCCCCTTCCAGAACTAGACTCCTTTGCCTTATTTCCCGTCCTACCAAGTAAATAAGATTATATTATACTAATAATATATTAGTTATTAAGTGCCGACATAAAGAACCCGCCATTTTTTACCAAATATTACAGGAAAAGTATGGCGGTTTCCTTATGTCGGCACCTAATAATATCCAAAAATAATGAAATACCCATAAATTTAAACTTATAACTATGTCAGGCCCTAAGTAAACTCAACTAACTAGCCAGACAACAACAGTTTAAAAAATGACATTCCCACTGCACCACTCCTCCACGCGTAAAAAGATTAATCGCCGGCTTACAATATAATTCCAAGTTTTTCTCAAAGTTTTTGCCGTTTAAGCAATTAATCGACTTATGAACTGAGTGATAAGAACTACAATGCGATAACAATCAACTTGCTAACTCCTCGCCTTATTATTATATTCTTTTTTCGGTCAACGTGAGGGCAGGAATGTGCCTACGCATACGGTTTTCGTTATCAATATAGGTCTTTTGAACTATTACAACAGCCCCAGTCCAAGCCCGAAGCCCTAGCCCAGAATCCTAGCAGAAAGCACTAGGCCAGAGACCTAGCCCAAAGCCAGCCCAGAGCCCTAGCAGAGAGCCCTAGGCCAGACCCCTAGCCCGGAGCCCTAGCCCTAGCCCAGAGCCCTAGCCCAGAGCCCTACCTCAGAGCCCTAGCCCAGAGCCCTAGTCCAGAGCCCTAGTCCTAGTCTTAGCTCTAAGCTTGGACCTACCTATACCCCTACTCAATATACATCTTTTAGCCGTTGTCCTATTTTTAGCCCTAGCTATTAGGCAAGCAATCAAAAATAAATCAAGAAAGTAGTCCAAAGGTAAAATTTGACAAAAGTCTTTTCTTAACGTTCTAAACACTAATTCGATAGAAGGATTGGCAAGTGGACATGCCTTTATAAACGTTAGTGACGTATTCAAAAATTGATAAATGGGCCTTTGTGTTACAGAAATCATCAAATATATCTTGTATGCTAATTAGAATACGCAGACTACAATTTAAAAACGTGCTACAAAAGTTGTAAGCAATTAAAATCAAAGCACAAAAAATGTTTTTCAGCCAAATATTTTAGAATATAAACTAGAAAGATTAAAATTAAATATAAATTATATCAAGAACTTGACAACGTCATCATTCACTACCCATTGGCCTAACTTTGATCTATCTTTTACCTTACGTTATATGTCTCTGCTTGAATATATATTGTTTCCATTGTCATATGTTCTAAATTAAACCCTTTTCTACCCAATTTTTTATAGTTTAAACTACTCTATGCCCTCTTCTATCTCCTACTATTAGGTTGTCCGGAAAGTTCTCCAATATTTATTCACTTTTGAACTAACAATAATAACAATATAATTAACAACTACAATCAATCAAAGTAATTACCGTCTGAATCAATACAGTCTTGCCAACGATTTACAAGCTTTTTTATTCCACGATTGTAGAATTCCGGGTTTCTGGAGTTGATGAAGTTCTTGAAGGCATTCTTGGCATCGTCTGGAGTTTTGAAGATTCTTCCATTAAGAAACGAAGACAAGTGTTTAAAAAGGTGAAAGTCCGTTGGAGCCAAGTCTGGAGAATAAGGAGGGTGCTCCAAGACTTCGTATCCCAGTTCCCTGAATTTTGCCACGGTCTTCTTTGCAGCATGGAGCCGTGCGTTATCCTGCAGAATGATCGGACCCCTCCTTCTGACCATTGTTGGAAGATTGTGTCGCAGTTTGTCAATCTGGGCACAGTAGGTGTCGGCCGTAATACTTTGGCCAGGTTTCATGAAATCATACTGGATCACTCCAGAGCTACACCACCAGACAGTCACCATAAGCTTCTTTTCGTGCAATTCTGGCTTCGGAACGTGCTTAGGAGCTTCTCCACGCTTACACCAACTTGTAGATCTTCTAGTATTGTTAAACGAGATCCACTTCTCGTCAATAGTTACAATTCGATCCAAGAATTCTTCGTTTTTGCAGCGTTGCAGAAGCTTTTCGGAAGCACATCGTCTCTTGGCTTTTTGCAGATCAGTCAAATTGTGAGGCACCCATTTGTCCAACTTTTTGACCATACCCATTGCCTTCAAATAATCACCAATGGTACTTTTTCCACAGTTTAGTAACTCTTCTAACTCCCGGATTGTAATATGTGGGTCATCTTCAATCTTGCGCCTCAGGGCATCTTTGTCAAGTTTGCTGGGTCTTCCTGCACGTGGTTTGTCTTCAAGCTTCTCATCGTCCACACGAAACTTTGCGAACCATCTGGTCACCGTAGAATAACTCGCAACATTCTTACCCTCATTTTCGTTTATGATTCTGAAGGTTTCTGCCGCAGTATTTCCGCGTTTGAATTCATTCCATATAATCACGCGCAGGCGAGATTTCTCCATTTTTTTCTAATACCTAAAACAATACAAAAAAATGAAATTAAGTTATGTAACTTACCTTTTTGAATAATTTAGGTAACAAACAAACAAACAAAAAAAAGAATTTTTTCTTTCCGTCAAGAAATAAATTTTTCCTGATTTTTCAAAGTTTACCTACTCAAATATTGCAGAACTTTCCGGACAACCTAATATGTTTGATTCTTTTTGCCATAATTTATGGGTATAAAGTATGACAAGGAGAATCATGCCCTTTTTCCTACCCTACACATGCTACCCTATGCCTTGAAACTTGCTTTGTTCTATTTTCAATCTTGTACCCTTACCTACGTCTTGCCTCCTGCCCTAACCAAAGTTTTATTTTATGGGTTACCATATGCCCTACCTTACGCCACTTCCTATGCTCTACCTTTTGCCATCCTTATTGTTCTACCTTATGCTCTATTTTATATTCTACCTTTTGCTTCATCCGATTCTCTATTCTACACTCTATGCCATAAACATATCTACTATAAGATCTACATATCCTATATATTTAGTTATGTTTTATCCTGAGCCATATCCTTTGCCTCGCTTTAAGCTCTGAACAAAATTATGCCCAATACCATGTTTAAAACCCTGCTTTTACCCAGGCCCTGTAAAAGGCGGCCTATAATAACATTTTAAAAAGTGTAGCATAGCACGGTGTTTCAAGACATAGCATCAAACAGTACTAATCATTGCACCTAGATATTTTATAAATAAATAAAAGCAAGCTAATAGATTTAAACCCTTTACAAGTCTAATTGTGGTTTTTTACAATGTTAAGTTTCACAATAAAACTTAAATTTGTAAATTTCAAGGCCACAAGGTAATCTTGTCCTGTTCCATTACAAGGTTATTTATTTCATATAAAACCTAAACCCTATATTTATAAAAACCCAAACAAAACATGATATAAATAAAAGTTTTACAAGTTATTATTCCCATTTCCCAAATTGAAAGTGAAAACGGATTTGAATCAAATAAAAGGTTTTGTAAAACTTTTCAAACTTTTATTTTTTTTGACAAAAATCTTGTGAATTGACACAAAAGTTGCGATAAGCCGTTGGAATTGCAATCACTTATCAGAGCCTTCATTACAATAATACAAACTACGACAAGAGTAACATGTTAATAACTTGCTTTTGTATACCCTACCTTACCCTACCCTACCCTACCCTACCCTACCCTACCCTACCCTACCCTACCCTACCCTACTCTATCCTACCCTACCCTACCCTACCCTACCCTACCCTATCCTACCCTACACTACCCTACCCTACACTACCCTACCCTATTCTACCCTACCCTTAGAATTGAGAAACGGGCCTTGATTTTCATGCCCGTCCTGGCCCGCCACTAAAAGCTCGGCCCGTTTGCACGTAAAAAAATTCGGCCCAACCTGAGATAAAAATGAAAACGAACCGAGCCAAAAAAAACCCGGGTTTAGGCCAAGCCTCAAAATTTAGCCCGGCACGGCCCGTTTCTCCCTACCTACCCTTCCCTACCTTTTTCTACCCTGCCCTAACTCACCTTATCTTACCCTGCCCTCAAAAAGAAAAAAAAACTTTTAAAAATTAGCTAAATATGATATTACCCTTGCAAAACCAAAACCAAGTGTAATTCTTTATAATAATCTTAAAATACTTACACTTTTCTAAATAATTGATAAGCGTCTGATAAACTTTTAAAATAATAATTGATTTTAGCTCAAATTGTTGGAAAAAACTGTCTGGCGTCAGTTATAATCCGTTTTTTATTAGTTGGTATGTGAATTGCACTATAATTTTAAAACTTTTATTGTTATGTTATAGTTAGGCTTACCCTAAAATTAACCCTAGCCCAGAGCCCTAGTCCAGAGCCTTAGCCCAAAGCCTTAGTCCAGAGCCCTAGCCTTAGCCCTTGCCCTAGCCCAAGCCCAAGCCCAGAGCCCTAGCCCAAAGCCCTAGCCCAAGCCCAAGCCCAAGCCCAGAGCCCTAGCCCAAAGCCCTAGCCTTAACCCTCGTCCTAGTCTTAGCCCTAAACCTAGCTCTACATCTATCCATATCCATTTTCATACCTCTAACTTTAGCCCTAGCTTCAAGCCTAGCTTAGTTTTACCAAAAACTTGGCGCTACTCTAAGACTAAGGTGTGGCTCTGTTTCTTTGGCCTTATTTACCATACTTACGCCCATACCCCTATTCATATTCATAATATCTTTAGCATTAGCTTTAACTTTAGCTCTGACTCCAAGCCTAGCCTAGTTTTAGCATAACCTAAACTTGGCGCTAGCTATAGCTCTAACCCAAGATCAAAGCCAAGTTGAAACACCAGGCCTATCCTTAGCTTTGAATCGATTCATACCTCTAGCTCTAGCATTAGTCCTCGTCCTAACTTAAGCCCCAAGTTTAAGTTTTAGCCTTACCCCTATCTATATGATTTGTTATACCTCATTTTGATGTAATTTTAGGTGTGCTTCTCTGTTACGACTCTTTTTCAATTACAGTGGCGGCAAGAAAAAATGGGGCAGTCGGCTTTTCGTCAATTTTAATTTTTTTTCGAACGTTTATAAATTTGTACATAGCTATTATGAAAATGTAGAGTAAGTTTAACATATTCAAGGAAAAAAAATTTTAAAATTCGAGTCTTAAATATTTTTAAAAATTTTTTGTAAAATTTTGCTTGGCAAAAAAAAGTGGGACACTTGTGACGGAAGCTGTTAATATGCAAAGTAAGTTTTAATTTGTACTAGTTTTTGTGCTGGTTTTGTGTTTGAACAGCTTTTACGTTACAGTATGCCGAAACAAGCAGGTGAAGAGGTTCGTTTTTTAATTTTGCGTCTTGTCAAAGAGAACATATTTATTCGAGCAATAGATGTCATGGTTAACATGCCAAAATTAACTGTTGGAAAAATAATTCCGCGATACAATGGTTGTGGCTCTACAAAACGCAAAAAAGGAAGGGGAAGACCTAGTTTTACTACAAAAAAAAGAGGATACATTGATTATTCGCAATTCTAAAGCTGATCCTTTCAAACGTTCATATGAGATTAGAACAGACACGAAGGAAGAACATGGTGTAGACGGTTCATGAAGGGCAGTATGCAATCGGCTTTTGGACGTTAGACTTCGTGGCTGTATTTCCAAGAAGAAACTTTTGATTCGGATCAAAAATAGCAAACTGCTGCTTGAATTTGCAAGGGCACATTAACATTGGACAAGCGATGATTTAAAAAAGGTCATTTTCAATGATGAATCAAAGTTGGATACTAAGGAATCAGATGGTAAACGATAGGTAAGAAGGCCATCTAACTCTGAAAATCAATTGCGGTACCTACGGCCAACAATCAAGCATCCCAGAAGCATAATGGTTTGGCCGTGTTTTGCCTACAACAACATCGAACTTCTGATCGTATAGAAAAATTATGGAAAAGACGGTTTCCTTAGAAATTTTATACAACATTGCCATACTTTACTGTCGTTCTTTAAAAATAAAAGGATCTTTATTTCAAAGTGACAACGACCCGAAACACATGGCTAAAGTTGTTCAACAATACATGAAGAAGGAGAAGATCCGTGAACTCGACTGGCCTAGTCGGTCTCCTGACCTTAATCCCATCGAACATTTATGGGAACTAGTTGGAAGAAAAGTAGAAAGGAGGTACCCAACGACAAAAATTCAATTGGAATCAGTTTTGGAGGAGGAATGGAGAAATCTCGACATTAAAGTAGTGAACGATTTGATCATGTATATGCCTCGTCGAATGGCTGCTGTTATTGCTGCAAATGGTGGTCCAACAAAGTACTAATTATTGTTTGTTAGTTAAATGTATTTTTAGTTGTTTTGGTTAGGTTGTTTAATAAAATTGTTTTTGATATTGAAGTGTCCCACTTTTTTTTGCCAAGCAAAATTTTTCGAAGAATTAAAAATATTTAAATCTCAAATTTTAAATTTTTTTTTGCTTGTATATGTTAAACTTACCCTACATTTTCATAATAGCTAGATACAAATTTATAAACGTTCAAAAAAATTAAAGATTGACGAAAAACCGACTGTCCCATTTTTTCTTGCCGCCACTGTATCTCCGAACCGAATTGTCACCAATTACTTTTTTTTGTCAATTTCACGAACAAAAATATCCCCAAATAATACCACAATGTGGCTGGTGTTTGCATAACGGCCACAACAACAAAAAAGATACGAAATGGGGGATTTATCCAGATGGTTTTATTGTCATCCCCACTCCTTAAAAGCATCACAATATGCGGATATCGAACACAACAATATCTTCGACGTACCAATTTTAGTTTTTTGAAAATTTTTCAAGATTTTAAATTTTGAATTTTAAAAAATGGATTTCAAAATTGTTTGCCTTACCGTAATTTTGGGTTGTTTTGCTAATTATGGCAAGTTTTTTAAACTTTTTTTTAATTTTCAGCAAACGATTTCCCTTTTTTTCTTAAAATTTTTAACTTTTCAATCAAAATATGTCATTTTCGACCTCTTCTACCCCAAAAATCCCAAAACTTTTACCCCGCCCAAAATCTCTGAACCTAAAACTATCATTTTAGCCATCGCCACCCCAATCCGTCAAGAATCCAGCGAGATTCAAGGCATTGAAAAGTCCTATGCACTAGACGTTGGTGCTCCAGATAAGGAAGAAAAAGCTGACCAATCAGAGGGAAAACTTGGCTCAATTTGGAGGCTAGGTAAAAGACAAGCTGGCTTTGGACTGGAAGCACGATTGAAAGAGATTAAGGCCAAGAAACAGGCTGAAAAGACTGGAAATGGCAATGGGATGGGAGGTATGGACATTAAGGAGCTGGAGAAGAGCTTGAGCATTGGTAATGGCGCTAGTGTTGGGAAGGATGGTGCTGGTGGAGATAAGAAAGAAGGACAAGGACCTGGTGGAGCAGCTGGAAAAGGTACTGAGCCTATGGTGCCTGAAGCTAACAAGCTAGGAATGCCTAAAGCCACCGAGCCAGTACTGCCTAAAGCTCCCGAGCCAGGACTACCTAAAGCTCCTGAGGCAGTTCTACCTAAATTAACAGACCTCTCTTCTCCCAAAGAATCCGAATCCAGCAAGCTTTCTGAATCCATCAACGGTAAAAAACCGGATTCTGAATCCTCAAACGCCGTTACACAGATAACTACACAACTAGTCGACAAAACAGGCGAACTAGGCAAGGATCTCAGCGATGACAAGAAGAAGTTCAAAGCAAAGCTAACCAGAGTCGACAAGAAGTCTTCCGATGCTCCACCAGGCTTCTTCAACAAGAAAAGTGGAGAAAAGAAAGAAGAAAAGAAAGAAAAGAAGGAAGAAATGAAAGAAAATAAAGAAGAAAAAGTAGAAAAGAAAGAAGACAAAGTAGAAAAGAAAGACAAAGATGTAGAAATCAAAGATGATTTGAGCAAAATACCAGTTCAAGTTGTTGATGATGATACTGGAGTTAAGAATACTTTAGTGGATAGCTCGTTTGAAAACGATCAGAAACTTATGGTAAGGCCAGATTACCTCTGTATAACGAATAGATCTGACTTTCAGGCCAGTCCGGCCCAGAAGCCAGGTCTAATAACGAATCGACCTACCATACCTTACCTTTCTCTATCCTACACTCGCCACTTTAATCTAACTTGCCCTACCCTGCCCTAACTTCCTTAGCCTACCCTATCCCCACTTTACTTTAGCTTGCCCTACCCTACCCTAGAAACTATAATAATATTTTCAATTTACAGAATCAAAAAGCCAAAGAAGAAACCGATTCCCTATCAAAATCCTCAACAGACCCAGTAGCTACTCAAATTGAAAGCACAAAATCAACCCAATCAAAGACCGAAAAACAAGAAGAAACCCCTGAAAGTAACGTCACAAGTCTCAGCGATGAAGAAAAAATGAAGACAGAAACATCTGAAAAATCAAAAACTTCTGAAAATGGCACAAACAAAATGGAAAATGGCTCTGAAAAACGAGAAAAATCACCATGGGAAGCCTTTTTCGACCAACTATTGGGCAAGAGATCTACTTCTGAATCGGTTGAAGTTGGCAAAAGACCTGGATTCTCTTTCAGCGTATTTTTGTAAGAGTGAAAGTTACAATACGCTTCTGATAATGTACAAATATTTTTAATATGTTACTGATAATGTAAAAATCAGTAGCATATTGTAAAGGCAGTATTGTGCTCTTTTGTCTTTTAATCAACCTAACCTCTTTAAATTAGTTAATAACAACTTTCTTTGTAATAAACTTGTACATTTTAAAGAGATCTTGTATATTTTATACCTAAATTACTTTTTCTTTCAATAGAAACTCAGTTATTTCAAAATGAACCAGCTAGTCGACTACTATAATATAAACAAGTATCACAACCTTCTAATACACAAAAACAACTAATACTTGTATTAAATGGCCTTTATTTAAGTAGTTTTAAAAAATTGACCGGTTAGTCGACTACTATAACATAAAAAGTATCAAAACCTATTGACACATATAAACTACTAATAACTTGTATTAAAAGGTCTTTATTGTAATTACTCCTAAACACCGATGATCTGTAACAAAACTATAAACCTTTTTTTCTCTATTGTTGTCCAGAAGCGGCCTTAAGAAGAGCGTCAGCTACTTCGACGCGGATCGAAGCTTCAGCGCGCTCTACTTCCGAACCCTCGCTAGTTTGACGTTGGGCAGCATCTAGTTCTTGACGAGCCGCCTAAATTATTGAATTACAACACGTTTTACAGTATTCTTGACAAAAACTAGTCAAGGAGCCCGCAAACGACGTGTCTGATAAGATATGCAAGTAGCTACCTCAATATAATATATTTTAATATTTAAAACATAATTTTTCAACAAGAAAAATAAGGAATCTTACTTTAAACCAACCTAAAAAGCAAAATACTTACAGATTCATCAATATCTTCGACCTTGACGATTTCTTCGGCCAAAACTTGGCATGAGCCATCGATGTTAACAGACAAAGTTCCTGATGAAACGAACAGCTTCACTTGGGTTCCTAAAACAATATGATCACCAGTTTCAACTTCCATTTATATTAATTTATAAAGCAAATCAAGAACACAAGTTAATTATGGCTACAAAGTAACTTACCATCTTCTTGAGTAACGTTGACAACTCCTGGCTTCAAAACTCCAATAGTTGGAACGTGCTTAGCCAAAACACCAACAACACCAGCTTGAGTTGGCACATCAACTTGCTTGACAACAACTTTGTTGAAGAAAGACTAAAAATGATTTATTATAATTTTGATCAGTATACCATAAGATTACCAAAAACAATTGAAAACCAAGGAGATTTCTATAATTTTATACTTGATTTCATACAAAAGCTTAATGTTCATCAATCAAAAGAAAAATAAGGCTAAAATCAATCTTTTAAAACAAGTTAGATCAAAAACCAAGTAATTCGTTATTTTCTGTCTCTAACTCAATATAAACCGTAAAGTTTCACAAAATTCATTGCAAAAAGTCAAGTCAAACGTCTGGAACACATTTCCAATATTATATAGTATCTCCTTAACCTAAAAATCCAACAAAAAGAATTAAAACCACACTTACAGCACTTGGAGAAGCCAAAGTCAAGAGCAACTCCTCTGAAACGACCTTCTCAGCAGCAGCCGCAGCGTACGCACGTCGTGGAACAAATCTGAGAGCGCTGATGGCAGAACGAAGCATGTCTAAAATCGAATAGTAAAGATTAGCGGACAATTTCTTAAAGTTTTACAGGAAACATGAACCAATACAACGACAAAGATGTAGTTTAACACGACGTTATGCATTTATTATTGACAAAATACAATATTATCAGTGATAAAACAACGTAAAAAACATCAAAAAAGCTAGAAAATATATTTTGACATCGTATTTTACATTACTTTACAAGAAACAACTTGACTTTGGGCGAAAAACGAGAATATTTTTTCTTTCCGAAAGAACAAAAAGGCGAGTTTTTGAGTCCCGACGCGAGAACAAGTAATGCCAAGGTACGGTACGGTCTCTCTTATTTTTCGTTTCTATAAAATATTTTTGGGTTTTTACAATTTTTCACAAGTTTTCGATAAAAGTAAGCGTATTTTAGAACTTACTTGGGGTAATATTTTTGTAAAATGTGTATTTTAACGTGTTTTAGATGTGTAATATTATAATTGACATGTTTTTTGCGTTTTCGTCATGTTTTTTCAATGTTTAATTGATGTTATTTTCCGGGTTCTCCAGGTTATCACCAGTTTCTGATCATGGTAAGTTGGTTTTTTTATATAAGACTTAACATATTTTGTAGATTAGGCAATTTTTTAGCTTTTTAAGGATTTATTTATTTAACATAACATATTTAAGGGTTTTTATGCTTTATTTTGTTGTAGGTATACTAAACTGTTTCATTGTTTCAGGGTGTGGATATTAACCATAAGAACGACCGCAAAGTGCGCCGCACAGCTCCAAAGAGCGACGACCCTTACCTTCGTGTGTTGGGACAAGTAAGTTGTTATTCTTTCTACTTTTTACTTTTTTAGGTATAAAAATTGCCTTAAATGATAGACAAAGTTTAACAAAGGTTTTTTGAGTAAAATACGACATAGTCTTTAAAGTATTGTGTGTTTATTTTAATTTGCGGTTAGATTTACACTAAAAATGTATTTTTTTAGGTATACACCTACTTGAGCCGCAAGACCGATGCCAAGTTCAACAAGATCGTCTTGAAGAGACTCTTCATGGCTCGTCGCTTCCGTCCTCCATTCTCCCTTCAGCGTTTGGCCCAAGAACAAAAGCGTCCAGGAAACGAACAGAAGATCGTTGTTGTTGTTGGTACCATCACCGACGACGAGAGAATCGTTGAGATCCCAAAGATTAAGGTAAGGATTTGTAAAGTATATTTAAATTTTAGGGTTTTATGTTGCTTTTGAAGAAAAATTTAACTGATTTACATCCCAATAATATTTTTTAGACACTATTTGATTATGATTTAAAAAAGTTTGCTGGCGATCAAATTTAGGGTTTAAAATGATTTATAAAGGGGTCTGTGTAGTTTTTTGTAACAACATATTTTTGAAAAGGGGAATTCAACAAATAAAAGTAACTATTCTTTGTAAGCTCTTTTAACTGTTATTTTTGCAGGTTGCCGCTTTGAAAGTCACCACTGCCGCTCGTGCCCGCATCTTGAAGGCCGGTGGAACCATCTACACTTTTGACCAATTGGCCCAGATTGCCCCACGTGGAGAGAACACCTTGTTAGTTCAAGGAGCCCGCAAACGCCGTGCCGCTGAGAAACACTTCGGAAAAGCTCCAGGTGTACCAGACAGTCACACTCAACCAATCATTGCCTCCAAGGGACGCAAGTTTGAACGTGCTCGTGGTCGCAGAAAGTCAAGGGGATACAAAAACTAAGACTTTACATGTTATTTTTGTTGTTTTGTTTAAACATAAAAATTTGTTTGATAAAGTTGAGCTATATATTTTTTCTAGTCAAAAGTTAATGGGAAAATGTGGTTTTTGGGGTAAATGTATATTAGAGTTTTTTGTTGAATATTACCAGTTTTGTTTAGTCAAAGAAATCTTACTTTTATTCGAAAATTTAGGACAAACGTATAAAGTGAGAAAGACACGTTGAACTTCTACTATGTCTTCTCTTTAGCACCTTAGTTTGATTTTACAGTGCAATATTTTGATTAACCTTAAAACGAAAGACTTACCCAGCAGGTGTGATGCAATAAATTTTGCCGTTTGTCGGCCTCGGATTCGGTTGCTAATCTGGGCGATAGAGGTGTAATAGGTAAGACCCGTCTTTTTTCAACTAATACCTAATTGGCCTGTGTCGTGTTTTGAGTGACGAAATCATTTTGGATTTCGTGCCAACTCCGCCGGCCTCCTTCGAATTCAAACGGCGGTTATGTCTGACACTGATTTGGCCTACTTTACCAATGTTTTGGGCATGGCCATGTTTGTTTTGGTATTTCTGTATCACTTGATTGAAGTGCATCGTCAGGTTGGTATATTTATTATTCGTTGAATAAACTTGTTATAAATAATGTGTTGTATTAGTTGGAGACGTTTTGTCGCTAAATTTACCAAAGTTTCAAGTTGTTATAGGTTAAATTTTGAAGTTTGTTGATTAAAAGATCAGAGTTCTGTAGGAGAAATGTGTTTTTCTTTTAGTTTATCACACTGCAGAGCTTTTTTTATCTTACACTTTGTTTTTGCTAGAATTCTTTTCAAAAACGGATAAAACAATATCATTTTTTGCCAATTTATAAAATTTCCTATCAAGATCTTCATTTTCTAATCAAAATTTTCATTTTTACAAAAACTTCATTAATTTTTCATCTTCTGCTCCATCCCTTTCACGTTTCGGTGTATTTTCAGACGCGGGATGTTGAGGAATCTGCTAAATAAGCGAGTGTGTGGTGGTGTGGTTCGTTGTTTACACCGCACGCAGACGAGGAATGTCGGTATTCCGCTGGTAATTGACAACGATGGTCGGGCCGAGCGGGTTTATGACATCTATTCACGGTTGCTCAAGGATCGTATTGTCTGTGTTATGGCGCCGGTAAGTGGGTGGGGGGTATTTTTAGGTAGTTGCGTGCAGAATTGTGTGTTTTTTGGGTTGAATGGTGAAAGATTAAAGTCGTAAGGGACTGTAAATGGCAGTTTTTATTGGTTTGAGCTTTGAATACTGTAGTTGGGGCCAGATTGTGGGTCTTTTTTACAATTTAAAAAAATCTTGGGCTATTCTTATTTGCTTTGAGGGGAGACAGAATTATTTGGACCACCTTGGGGCACAGAATTATTTGAACGACTTAATAATACCATGCCCATCAAACAACATATAAGCATGCCCATTCCAGATCGATGACCACTTCGCGTCGGCCGTGATCGCCCAGCTTTTGTTCCTCCAATCCGATTCCTCCAAGTCCCCTATCCACATGTACATCAACAGTCCCGGCGGGTCGGTGACGGCCGGCCTTGGCATTTACGACACGATGCAGTACATCAGTGCACCAGTCCACACCTGGTGCATCGGGCAGGCCAGCTCAATGGGCTCGTTGCTATTGGCGGCCGGCGAGAAAGGCTGTCGAACCTCGCTGCCCAACTCCAGAATCATGGTTCATCAGCCGTCGGGTGGAGCTCAGGTGAGGGGTGGTTTGATGGTTTTTGGGTTGGAATGGGAAGGATATTGTAGTAGGGGATGTAATTTTTTTAAAAATTTTTTGAAATTTAGTTAGGTTTGTTAAGGGGCTGGGCTCAATTTTTCGGCTAGGCTCACAGGCCAGGTGGCTAGGCCCACAGGTCTTGGTTTGAGCTTCTAAAAGGCTTTTTATTGCAAAAAGACCGGTCTGGAAGCCAGGCCTAGGCCCGGTCCTCTTCAAATGTCTTGTGACCCGCCCTAGTCCGGAGCCAGTCCTGTTAGGCTCCATTTCATGCCTAAATTCGATTCATTTTCAAAAATTTCGAATTTCCAGGGTACTGCCTCGGACATAATCATCCGCGCCGAAGAGATCACTCGTCTTCGCCTACGACTCAACGAAATCTACTCCCATCACACCGGTCAACCAGTCGAAAAAGTGCTCCAGGCCCTGGACCGTGATAACTTCATGAGCGCCGCCGAAGCTAAAGAATTTGGCATCGTGGACCGAATCGAAGAGCATCCCGGCAGCTGCCCCAAATAAGGCCTTGTAAATTCAACAATAAATATTTTAGCTAGTTTTGCGGTGGTTTTGGCGTACAGCTGGCTGAACTCTTGTATAGGAGTTTACTGTAATGAAGTTTTATTGTATATGAGTTTTAAGTGCACTGTAGTGTTAGATGGGGATTGAAAAGATTCAAATGTAGGTCAAAGGTAGGAGAAGGTAAGAGGTATAACTATAGTGGGGAAAAAGTAAGACATTACGTAGGTCATGGTATGAAGGCTAAACAACGATATAACCAAAGATAGGGCAAGAGTAAGGTTAAAGTGATAATATGTTTCATAGACTTAAAATTCGAAATGAGGAAAGTGAATTTAGGCTTGACATGCTCAAGCATCAGAATTACGGTAATTTAATCAGGTAGGCTTGAAATCAGGGGTCAAAAAGTTTTGTCCTTGTAAACCTTCTCTAAATGACGACACGAATTTTTTGTCCACTCATCCTTCCCCTCCGTTTTTTCAACGTCCACACCACCCCCCCCTCTATTATAATATAATTACTTTAAAAAAAATCCTATTCGAATTTTAAAACAAACTTTATTTGAATTCATTATGATAACATTCAAACATAAGTGAAGTAAGAAAAATGTAAATTGCTACAAAAATACATATAATCAGATGTTCAAATAAGCCAAAGATAAATATAGATAATAAGTTATTAATAAACCTTGTTATAATCTTATTGATTACATAATCATATTAAAGTAGTTCAAAAATATATACAATCTGAAGCTATTTGGTTGTTTAATAAATTCTGTGCCCCTTCGAAAATCAAATTTTCTTAATTATGGGATTCAGAATTACTTGAACAACCTTATAGTTCAATCAAATGTTATTCAGATTAGCCTGGAAACCATGAATGGTCTTAGATTCACCTTCAACCATGAACAATCTTACACTAACCTGACAACCATAAGTTTGTCGATTTAGTCTGCCAAACATCAATAACCTCAATTTAGATCAATCTCTCGCTCTGTCGAACCCTGTTGGACAAGTTTCCCAATTTTTGGTCGATTACGGAAGCGGCTGAAGATTGTTGAGTCGATTCGGTGCTGTAGCCATCATCGTTGGACTGTTGTTCATATTGTCTATGCGTTTGTTTGTCCATACCACCTCTCGCCGAATTCCTCTTCTTAATGGCTCTAACGCTTCTGGCCGATTCTTTTTCTTCACCTTGGCTCTTGACTTTCATTGAATACCTCAAACCTTGATCATTCACCTTCATTGAGCTTCTCAAGCCTTGCCCATCAACTCTCTTCGAATCCCTCAAAACCTGATCAATATCATTCATCGACGCACTGGTTTTGACATTCTTTTTCATGAACTGTGGCGATAAATCCAACTCGTCTTCGGCCGGAATCTCCACAACTTCTGAATCTCTCTCCAACTTCAGAATACTATCGTCATTACGTCGTGCCACTTCTCGATCGGACAGCCTCGAGGTGCTTGGCTCACTCATAATGCTCTGATCTTCAAACGAGTAGCTTCTGAAGTTCTTGATCTCATCATGTTCATTTTCCAAATCAATCGTGTTCATTAAGGGTTGTGCTGACATTTGTGGCGCGGCCGAAGTGGTAACATTAGTTGGATTGAAGAATGGAGACTTCTGAATATTAACATGGTTTTGTGGATTCAATTGGTTGAAGAAAGGAGACTTCTGTTGATTCATTTGATTAAAGAATGGAGACTTCTGAAGGTTCATTTGATTCAAAAAGGGCGATTTGGGGGCATTCATATGGTTGAAGAATGGCGAATTCTGAAGATTCAGTGGGTTCAACAAGCCGTTGTTTGGAGTGCCGAATGGTCCTGGCCCGGGCTTAAGGAGGTGTTCTATTTGAATCGTTTGGTGGGTAAAGCGTTTTTCCTGAAATTCAAAATTTTTTAAAAATTAAGTTCAAATCGAAAATAGTCAAAAAATACAAAAATTTTTTAAAAAATTGAAAAAACAGCAAGAACTTTCTTTACAAAACAAAAAAATGGAAAAAAACTTTATATACAAAGCAACAAGTGGCAAGAACTTTCTTTAAAAAGCACAAACAGCAAGAACTTTCTTTACAAAACAAAAAGTGGCAGTTTTTTCAAAGAAAGTAAAATTTCAAATCAAAAAAAGTCAAAAATTTTAAAAAAAATACCAGATCTTCGTGCCTTTGTTTCAACAAAGCGTACTTCTCCTTCAACCGATAGTATTTGTCGCCCAGCTCGTTGTAGCGGGTGTTCTCGCTCATCCATTTGTTTGTCATTTTGAATAACTTCTCCGAACTTGATTCCACCTTCTTTTCGAGTTGCTAAAATACGCAAAATTACGAAAAATGACAAAACCTTTGTATACAAAACAAATAATGACAAAAACTTTCTTTACAAGGCGAAAAATGGCAAACTTTACTCACTAGCGCCTCACAAAAGTCGTGTCTTAAAATAAAACAGCTTTATGCGTATAAAACGACAAAACTTTTGTGACAACCTTATGCATCAATTTTCTTCAAAGTTAGACCAATTATAAAGAAGTACATTAAGAATAAAGACATTATTTTACGTTTCAAAACTTGTTTTTACCTAAAAACATAAAATTCACAACAAAACTTCACTAACCTCAATCCTATTATGAGCCCAGGCCACTTCCTGCTCCAGAAAATCGCGTCGATGTGGTGGATAGTTGTTGTCGACCTCTCGCAGGTATTGTCGGCTTGTTCCCTCTTCCAACTCCAACATTCGCTTCTTACTTTTCCTTTTTGATCCACCTCTATGGCTCTTGACTTCAGTATGACCGGATCGTACATCTTCGTCTGATTCCGAAGCCGGATCGTCGAAGCCGCGGCCAGACACACAACTACGAGTGCCTTTTCTGTATGGCACTACTCGATTCGTGTGATAGGGATTGAGTTCGCGTGGGTAGTCCTTGTTCAGTTCTTGAGTGGAGAAGTTGTGAGCGGAACGTTGTGAATATTGTCTTTGGTGATGAAGTTGAAGCTCCTGAAAGTGACAGTTATTGAAAGGGCTTTGAGATAATGCTATAAAACAAAATCAGTACCATTGCTTTAAAATTGTCATTTTAGAAAAATGAAAAAATATTAGGTAGTTCAAAAGTTCATATAATTCTTATCTTTTTGTCTTGTAAAGAAAGTTGTTGCCATTTTTTGTACTGTAAAGAACGTTATTGCCATTTTTATACTGTAAGCAAAGTTTTTGTCATTTTTCGTTTTGCAAGGAAAATTTTCGCTATTTAACTTTCACATATTATTATTAGGTTGTTCAAATAATTCTGTGCCCCTGACCCCAAAAAATTTCCTTTGAGGTAAGACTCAGAATTATTTGAACACTATACGGTCACTTCTACCCTGCACCCAAGTTCAGTTCAAAAAACTAAAACCCACTTCTTCAGAATCATCTGAATCGTCTCGTTCTCTTTTGCCCAACAGTCGCTTGAAGAAGTTGGGTTTCACCATTATTTACAGTTGTTACAGTGAGATTTGTAGTACAATCTGAAAATGATAAGCATTTAATAAAAGCATGGCACAATTTAAATTAAGCTTTTAAAAAACGCGGACAAAAATATAGTAAAACCCCTTAATAACGAATGATTCATAACAAAAAAACTCGTATAACAAACAGTTTTCAAATCCTTTGCCAAACACTTAAAAACAAAAAAAATGACTTAAAACAGCATTGTCAACCTTTCTATACCATACGGTTAACTTTTATCACAACCGCCAACCTTCACCTGCCCATGTCTTCAAACTGACCAATATAAATCATGTAAAACAAGACAGATTGAAAGAGATATGTTTATACCGCAAACTGAAATCAGTACAAATTTCCAAACCTTATACAAACGAAACAATGTTATGATTGAAGAAGAGAATATAATGATAGAAAGAAGAGGTAGTGTCAAAGTTTGAAGGAATGAAGAAGAAACCGCTAAAACCAACGCCTCTCTTTGCGGTATACCGCGGTATGCCGTATTTGAAGTTCAAACTTCAAAGTAATACGCGCTTTTTTAAATCAACGTAAACTACTGTGTAACTCCTCTATAACAAAGCCCTCTGAAGCCAAAATCAAACATAATGAGTAAAATTTCACATCTCCAGTCAATACTACACAGTGCGTTTACAACTACTGTATATAAAAACTCCTTAAAAAAATTTAAACTACCCAACCGATTAGTTATACCAGTTTTACTATACATTAACAAAAATTAACATATTATCCCGGCCTGCTACTCAAGCCCTTAAAGCGGACTTCGATTCTAAGTCTAGCCCGTGTTTGCTTGCTCAAGACCAGCTAAAACGTTTACGTGCGCGAGCCAATCATATACAGCGGTCTCTCTATATAGTGAACCATCTGTATAAGCAACTCTCCTTATAGTAAACAAGAAATTTGGACCTGTCAAGTTGCGCTAAAAATCACTCTGTAAAGGCAACACCTCCTATAGTAAACACAAAATGTCGGTCGATTCGGGTTGCTTATATAGAGATAGTACTGTTGTAATTATTGAGTTACATTAAGTCCTGTACTGGCTTTTAACTTTAAAATGGCTTTGAATTTTTTAAAGTTTAGCTTTGGATTTTATCAGGCCGCGTTATAATCTGCCCCTTAGCTATTTTCCTGCATAAAGGTACCAAAAGCTCCTCGAAATACATAAAAATACTTAATTTTAAAATACCTAAAAACCCAAAACTAGGTGTCAAAACCAAAAAACAAATTAGATTTGTCCTCCTTTTCGGAAAATTGAACATTCCATTATATCGTGTTATTAGAGAGTCCAATAGAAATGTTGTTCAATCTTCCGAAAAGCGGCAGCATTTCCCAGCGTCGCTCAGCGCTGGTTTATTAAAGAAAGGCGGCCCATCAAACGAGTGGTTAAGGTTATGTCGCTCCCTCAACGCCATCGCTATAGTCTACCCTCCGAACATATTTGTCGGCTTTCAAAAAAAAACAAGCCTAAAACAACAAAAACTTGATGGAAACAAGCCGAAAACAAGAATAACTTGATGAAAACAAGGTTAAAACAACAAAAACTTGACAAAACAGACCTAAACCAACAAAAAACTGATGAAAACAAGCTTAAAACAACAAAAACTTGAAGGAAACAAGCCTAAAACAAGAATAACTTGATAAAAACAATGTTAAAACAACAAAAGCTTGATAAAAACAAGCTTAAACCAGCAAAAGCTTTATGGAAACAAGCTTAAAACAACAAAAACTTGATGGAAACAAGCCTAAAGAAACTAAAAGTTGATGAAAACGAGCCTACACCAACGAAGACATGATGAAAACGAACCTAAAACAAGATCAAATGCCAAAAAATCCTTTAAAAACCTATAATAAATCTTCACAAACTATTTTGTAACTATATCAACGACAAAAAACAACATAAAATGCAGGATAACATCAAAAAAGACATTCGAATCTTCGAAATTGTCCACAAAATTATTTTCGCTTTTCGTATTTTTATTGTCCAAACGCAGCTCGCGGCCGGTTTTAGGCGAATAGCTGGCGAGTAGAATGGAAAAACAGCCGGCTAGACCTTAAGAAATATATTTTCTTGTTATTCATGGCGCAAAATGATCAAATTGGTATTATTTATCTCAACTGTTTTTTATGATTTTGAAAAAGACCTTCTGGATCAATAAAAAACTTCTTTCCTAAACCTAAATATTATCCACAAAATTCGAAAAACCAATGCCAAACCCAAATTTAAAACACTTCATTGTGCCAAAATCAAAGACAATACGAGGGAAACAGTTGCCAGAACGGGCATGGCGAATTCAAAAGCGGCATTGTGGTTGGCGTTAAAGATCTGAACGGTGAACTTGACATAGTGGTTCTCGTCGTCCTTCAGCGATTCGTCGGTGTAGCACTTGATTTCGGCTGTATCACCTTCTTTCAGGGGGGATACCTGCAAGTAATAGACATGTACAAATTCAGTAATAGTAACATTTACAAAAAATTAAAAAATATTAGTTAATTTAGCTTTGTAAAGAAAGTTCTTGCCATTTTTCGTTTTGTAAAGAAAGTTATTGCCGTTTTAAGTTTTGTAAAGAAAGTTCTTGTTATTTTTTGTTTTGTAAAGAAAGTTCTTGCCAGTTTAAGTTTTGTAAAGAAATTTCTTGCCATTTTTTGTTTTGTAAAGAAAGTTATTGCCATTTCTTACACTGTAAACAAAGTTCTTGCCCAAACCTACCCTAACAAACTGAATTGGCTGTTGATAACTCTTAATGTCGTCCTCATCAGCGCCCGACTGGTACGGGAAGTGGCAAGCTGGTACGCCAAAGGACGGGAATATTTGAATATCCCCGTTCTGGACCTCGCATCGTAACTGTGAGCGGTACCAAAAGCAGCAGTCGCCGTCCGGTGCCGTATTGTAATGTTCACGTTCGCACAATATTCTAATTTCATTCATTATTCGCTCGTCCGTCACCTCGTCGCGGATATCGACCATCGGTGGCATGTAGTGCAGCATCTGGAAATAGAAGAGATTATGTTACTGCAGGGCAAAGCAGGATATGATAACTAAGAGTAAGATAAGTCAGGGTCTAGTAGGGTAGGGTAGAATATGTTTAGGGTAAGTTAGGGGTTACTACAGTACCTATTTAAGCCACAATACATATTATACCATCAAATTCTAATCAAAATACCCACCTTATTCTGTCTTATCATGATACAAGGCTGTCGATCTTCAAAACCGAACGAAAACGATTGAACAGTTTGGCCCCGAGGCACGGCACAAGCTCCATAGCCCAGTTCCAAGTTGTCATAGTTCAAATCGACCAGACAGCCAGACTTCATACGAAAGTTGTCCTTGTGGCATTCAGCAAAGCGTTCTGGTCCGTATTCTAAAACAATATCAGCATTACCTACTATCAGTAAAGTTCGTACAAATTTGGTATAAGGCCAGGCCTAGATAGAACCTGCCATTACAGGTCAGTCTTGTGAAGCGAGGAGCATGAGGTATGGGGAGGCAAGCCAAGGCATTTGTAACTCACCATCAGTAAGTAAAAACCGCAGCCGAGTCAGGTAGGGTTCGTATGTGATAGGTCGACGATCAACGTAGTAAATCTTTGATGGGTCTGCTCGACGTGTCTCCACTTCTTCTTGACGAGTTTTAGAGGTTGCCAAACGAGCTACATTCGGTTCGAAGATCAGTTCTGTAAAAATAGTTTTTGGTAACGAAAATGGCAAAAACTTTCTTTACAAACTATGAAACGACAAGAACTTTCTTTACAAAACAAGAAATAGCAATAACTTTCTTTGCAAAACGTAAAATGGCAAGAACTTCCTTTACAAATCTTAAAATGGCAAGAACTTTCTTTACAGAATAACTTACTTGGCACACTACCCAAAAAGCTGCCTGGGCCAATGTTTTCCGGACTTGCCTTGTAAATTATAGGTATGAAAAACATGATAGGGAACATCATGGCCGCCAACAACGTCCAAATACTCAGAATGTACAGAGGAGGAACGACTGAAAATTTTTAAAAAAGTTTAAAACTTCAAAAAAAAATTTTAATTTAAAAAGCTTCGCAGGCCACCTTACCCTACCCTACACAACTCTACTTTATCATACTCTACTCTACCCTACCCTATCCTTCCATACTTTACCCAAACCTACTCTGCACCCCCATCCTACCTTACCCTACCCTACAAACTCACAGTAACCCCAAAATGTCCGCTTCTTCGGCAATTCGGCGTAGATTTGCTCCGGCTTTGGTGGTACGTGATTCAGTCTCTTCAGGTGCTTGGCCTCTTTGTCGGGATCCTCTTTTGAATCTACCTTCTTTTTTCGTTTCGAAGTTTTTGAAACGTCTTTTCGACCAGTGACTTCTTTCTTCGACTCTTCCTTGGAGCCCTTCACCTCCTCTTTGGAGCCTTTCTTCTCTTCCTGAAATTAAAATTTTAAAAATTTAAATAGGTAATAAAGTGAAGTTTAATTACAAAAATAGGGATTTAAGCATAAAAAACAAAATTTAAGGTTAAAAAATTGATTTTCGACTGAAAAATTAAATTTTATAGGCCTAAAAATTAGTTTTAGACTTAAAAATGAAATTTTAGGCTTAAAAATCTTTGAGCTTCAAAAAATTAGTTTTAGGTTTAAAAAAAGTAATTATAGGTTTAGGAAATAAATTTAAAGTAAAAAAAATTTATTAAAATGCGGCTTAAAAACGTAATTTTAGACTTATAAAACAAATTTTATGCTTAGAAAATAATTTTAGGCTCAGAAAAATAAGCTATATGCTCGAAACATATTTTTTAAGATTAAGATCAAAATTATAAAACAAATTCTAGGTTTAAACTAAAAAATGTAAGTTTGAACTAAAAAAATAGGCTTAAAGTATTAATTTTAAGCTTAAAAAATACCTTTGAGGTTACAAATTTAATCAAAAAATAGTATCAAAAACCATACATATCCTTTTCCCATCGTCATTTCCGCAAACTATTCAAAAAACCGACCGTTCCAAGCAATTTACAACTGATAAGTTTGTTTTTTTCAAAATTTTACAAGTTTTGTTTTGATTTTTTACACAACTCACAAAGTACCCAACCCCTCAGAATCAGTTCGACTAACAAGAAAAATACCCTACCTGCCTTGCTCAGAATCAGCTCAAAATTTTTATATATGAATTCTTTGTACCACCAATAGTACCCAAAAAAAATTTTATCTCGCGCTCTTGAGTTTTAAATTTAAATTATTTTGGTTTCCCGCCAATTTGGCATTGTGTTTCAAGCACTTTTTTCGGCTTTCCAGACAAGATACGCTTACAAATTTAAAAAAGTAGGTTCATTTAAAGGTATTCTACTAGTATATCAAAGAAAAATAATTAAAAGCCAAAAAAAATGACAAAGTTACAAGCTTGAAACACAATGCCAAGTTGGCGGGAAATTCAAAATGCCATTTTTTGAGATTGACTGGAAAGCGCGATTTACTACTTTGCTGAATATCTTATATTTACATGATCTTTCTTTATAAAAAGTTAGAAGTCAATCAGAGCGGGGGCACAGAATTATGTGAACAACCCAATAGCTTTAGATTATAGACTAATACTTACAACTTTCTTTGGCGGATCCAATTTGCTTTTGAGATCCTTCTTCATGCTTGGCTCTTCCCACTCTTTCGAGGCCGGCTTATCACCGGTCGTACTGGTCTCCTTCTTGCTGCCGGTGGTCTTATCCTCAGCCTCCTTCTTGCTACCGGTGGTCTTGTTTTCAGCCTCCTTTTTGCTGCCGACAGTCTTGTTTTCAGCCTTATTCCCGTCACCAAGTTTGCTCCTATCAGGGATCGGCACTGGAGCGTTGGTGTTGCCTGCATTATCGTCAGGATCGTCCATTGCGAATCGTTTTGTTCGTGAAGCGACTGACTTTGGTCGTGGTTGGCGAGTGAAATGAAGGCAAAATGCTTTGAGAAAAGAATTCAATCATTTTGAGTCTAAAACTGATATTCAAATTTGTTTTTTAAATTACTTTTTTGAAATTTATGCAAATTTTCTCAAACTTGTGTCGTAATTAGTGCTTTTGAACAACATCCGTCATGTTTTCGGCTCAAAACCAACTAAATCTTAGGTAATATTTGTCAGGTAATAAACGTAACTTCATATTCAAGCGTTTTCATAAAGAAAATTAGCCAAAAAAAGCCGAAGAGATCTCCAAAACAATAATATTATCCATACTCATCTATATTTTCAAAAACAATAAAAAACTCAAAGTTACCTGTTTCAGAGAATCCAAAAACTGTTAGCTTTTAGGTTCCAGTTCCATGATCAACGTCTTTCATGACAAACTGAACATTAGCCAATAACAGCCAAAAAACTCTTCAAAACAATAATATTATCCATGACCACCTAAATTTTCAAAAACAATTAAAAAATCAAAGTTACCTGATTCAAAGATTCCAAAAACCATTTGCTTTTAAGTTTCCAGATCAAAATCTTCCTTGGCAAGGAAGATTTTGATTCAGATTCATCTGGAGCTTCTTTGACTTTGTCTCCTTCTGCATTTTGGTCCAACATCCTTAATATTCACGGAGTGGTCGAAAATGAATTCAATGGCTTGAATTGTGGCTTGTGTAGCTTCTTGAACAATTGGCTATGTCTCCTCTAATTAATTTTGAAAAGTTTTGCGATAAATTTCAAGAAATTTTTCTGAATCTCTTTTTTACTCTTCGCAAAGCGCGTCCGGAACTTTGCGGGTCGAATAGACAAGTTGTACGGGGAATTTTTTTATGTATTTGCTTTGCTTAATTTAACCAATAAACCTATTTTAAAAGCATAATTAGTGCTTTAGCTCTAACTAAAACAGAGGCTATTGCTATAGCCTTGATCTTTTAAACAAACACTTAGTGATAAGTAAATGAATAAATAATTTATTAGAGCTGATAAAAATATTTAGCAACAGAATCATAATGACCCATCTTGAGAGAAATAAGTCTAAAATCATTTTTCATTTCAACAAATTTGTCATCCAGAATTTGTGAAACAAGTTTATCAAAAACAGATTTTATTTCTGGCCTTAGTTCCACTAACACTTCGGATTCCTTAAGGCTTTTGGACAGCATTGAATCGTAGGCAGCGTCAAACTCTGAAAAAGTTACATATACTGTTCTACAAGGCTTGTAATGAGAAATGAAAATAATATACAGTTCTGCGATTTCTATTTATACAGTCCTAACAAACCCATGATGTAAATATGGGCCTTGTAGTCCTATGTATGACATCTAGTCTTGTAAACCTTTGTATTTTGAAAGGATTAATAAAAGTAAAATTTCCAACGAAACAGAAAGACGTACCTTTACAGAATTGTTCGTCTTTGTTGATTATCGTGTCGTTGTCTATAATATAGCTAAGTCTAGCCATTGTAACAATCAGAAAATTCTTTATTAAGTAAAAGTTGTTCCTCATCAAGTTCGCTCGCTCTTTTTGGCTTTTTAACACTAAATTCCCAACTGTAAAGTTCACGTGTAGCTCGACAGCTTCTGTAAAAGCATTTTCTTTCAGAAAACTCCATACTGGTCGATTGCCATGCTTAAACCATTCTGGATCCGAAAAGACAAATCTAAATTAAGAAATTGGGCCTAATTTATCTATAGTTACATTTTTATAAAGTAACTTACTTATAAATAACAGGGATCATAGAAACAAAGATGATGGGTACAATAAAACTCATTTTTAACGATTAAAGATATTTTATATCAATTCCTTAATGTTTGAATGTTTAGTGCCTTCATAGATAATATAATAATAAAGCAGTTTATAGACACAATATATAACACAATAATAACCTTTTATTAGAGAAAATAAAACTGTAAGCTAATATACAAATTTATGTAAATAAAAGCCTTTTTTGATTTTCTACGTTCTTAACATCAATCGTTCTTCCTTTTCAGCCAAAAGCTAGGGTAAAAAGAAAAAAAGAGAATAAAAAACAAAACAAAAAGAGCGCTTCTCATATGTCTTTTGCTTACAAATGGTTATCAATGTTTATATGAGTAGCGTTCTAAATACAGTAAAACCTGTGTATATAAAGTAAGATAAAGTCAGTGAAGGTCCAAGCCGGCCTTGAGCTAACAAGGAAGGTACCGAACCTGCAACGCTCCGATTTCGTTCAAATTTTGTTTTTGTAGACATGAAAAACGGGTCGGGCCGGACCTAAACAGTTTTTGAAAGATCGTGTAAATTTATCATCTTATGCAAAGTTCTAAGCTGCGGTTTGCAGAGCTGAGAAAATCCAAATCAAAAAATTAAGTTTTGAATATCCCGCCAAGTTGGCAGAGTGTATCAAGCTTATAACTTTCTCATTTTTTGACTTTTAACTATTTTTCTTTAATATAATGATAGAAAAGCTTCAACTAAACCTGCAATTTCAAATTTGTAAGCCTATCTTATCTGGAACATTAAAAAAATGCTTGCGACACAATGCAAAATTGGCGGGAAATTTAAATTTATTAATTTTAAAACTTAAAACCGCAAGCTAAGATTTTTTATATAAGCTACTGGTACTACAAAGAATCTGTATAAAAATTTTGAGCTTATTTTGAGAGTTACAGGTTAGGTACCCTCCTTGTTAGTATAAAAAGTTGCTTGGGGATTTAAAATTTGTTCATTTTTATCAATATAAGGTGTATATTGCTTTATATAATATATAGATAACAACCGAATGTCCTGCTTCTTCACTGATTAACTACTGTCATGTTTCTTGTCTAAGTTATTGAACGCTCTTCTACTATTCCACTGGCAAACGTACTTGGTGCAGAATGTGTTGTTCGTTGTCAAGGCAGGACCTAAAGGGTGTGCATAGCCTTGAAATTTTGAACTTTAAAACTCAGTTTAAAAACAATTATTCAAATCTTTTAAAGCTCATGAGTTCTACAGTGATTATTCCTGACGGTTTATTCAGAGCTCAGAAGCTTGAATAAAAGTCAATCCGCTTTTGTGACCTTTGTTTTCCATAAATGAGCTTTAATATGTACACAACTGGCATTCCTACGTGCTCTTTCATGAATTTTTCAAATTGTTTTGGCTTTGAAATGGGTATAAAATGAAGTTTACTACATATTGGAGATCATTATCAGATTCGTTTTAAACTTGGGTTTATACATAGGCTTATAGTCATCGTATCTTGACTACAACTCATCATATCTTGGCTTGTATTAATCGTATCTTGGCTAAGTGACAAAGTATAATTTGACTTACAGTCATAATATACTATCTTACTGTACTCTCTACATAAACTACTATACCTTCTACTATGAAACTTTTCATTTTGTGTATCTTGGCTACCGTAACCATGTCAGACAACATTACTCCAGTAATGAACACTCTTATTACTGGCGGTGAATTCACTTACTACGACGCTTCTGGTACTGGTGCATGTGGCTTAACCTTGACTGGCTGTAACGCTGCCGTATCAGCTGATCTGTTCACTACTGGCGCTACATGGGGAGCCAATGCTGATGGTGTATATGTTTTGCAAGATCCTGTGTGTGAAAACATGTGTGTTACTATTGAATACAATGGTGTTACGTAGGTTTTATTTATGCTTTCTTACGGTAGTTGCCGGGTAGGGGAAGGTAGGATAGGGTAGGGTAGGGTAGGGTAGGGTAGGGTAGGGTAGGGTAGGGAAGGGTAGGGTAGGGTAGTGTTACTGAAGCACCGTGCCATTTTAGTGCCTCCTTTCCAATTACTGACAAGTGCCCAACTTGTGCCACTAACCATGTTGACCTTGCTACCAATGCTTTCACCGTACTAGAGCCAAACACTGCCGTTGGTGTGGCTACTCCAGCTACAATTACGTATGTGTTCTGTAATACAACTACTGTTTCTAATTGTTAGATTGACAAAGCCAATCATACCTAATGTGCAATACATTCTTAGTTACCGGTACATAAATTCTATAATAGCATAAAAAGACGAGTTTATTGAATGAATGAGAACAATGTTATTGTAGGCAAACATAGGTTCCTTTTTCTGTAACGACTGTTTATGTAACTTTATTACCTGTCAAGTTACAGTAATGTAAATATTTCCTTGGTATATAATACATGATGAATATACGATCGAGTACCACAAAAAAACTCTTTATAAGTTACTGTAACCAAACCAGCAACAAATGTCATTTTTCATAGGCTTTCAGAAACTGTATCGATTATAATTGTAGCTCTATTACTCGTCGAGTTACAGTAATGTAAATATTTCCTTGCTATATAATACATGATGAATATACGATCGAGTACCACAAAAAAACTCTTTATAAGTTACTGTAACCAAACCAACATCAAATGTCATTTTTCATGGGCTTTCAGAATCTGTATTGATTGTTATCGTAGCTCTATTACTCGTCGAGTTACAGTAATGTAAATATTTCCTTGCTATAAAAAATATAAAACAAGAAACTAAAACATAAACAAATAACTTTATTGTATAGAATAGTCAACAAAAAAATAATTGTGTACAAAATCATAATCTTTTATATTGATATCACACAAAGCATACAGGATTTCTTTTTGGCTTCTGGCAATTCTCATTATTTCGTACAAGACTTCTTTGATTTCATCTTCAACCAACTCAAAAGCATCGACAATGTCTGTTCCATAATACTTGTAGTCTTGTACAAGGTCCAACGCGTAATCTAACGTGCGTTCAAATTCTAAAAAAAAAATTTTAAATGACGTTTCTTCGCAAAATTTTTAGCATTTTTGATATCTATCTTGCCCCAGCTTACTCTATTCGACCCTACCTTACCCTACCCTCCCTACCCTAATTACCCTACTCTACACTGCCCTATTCTACCCTACCCTACACTACTCTACCTTGCCGTATCATACTGCAATCTATCTTACCCTACCTTATCCTGCCCTAGCTTACCCAACCTTATTCTACTTAACTCTATTTCACTCTACCCTATCCTACTCTTCTTTATTTTACTCTATATTAACCTACTCTACCTTACCATACTTCATTCGACCCTACCCTACCTTATCTTATCCTAGCTCATCCAACCTTACACTACCTTATCCTGCCTTATTCTACTTTACTCTACTCTACTTAACCCTGCTCTACCCCATCCAGCCTTATCCAAGCCTACCCCGCCCTAAGTTGCTCTATTCTATTTTACTCTACTTTACCCTACCTTATATTGATTTACCCTACTCTACCCCATCTTACTGTATCTTACTCCGGTCTTTTGTCTGGACCGTCCAGGCTTTGCTCCAATATAAACAAGCCTTGTAAAAGCTGGACTAAACCTTACAAAGTTAGCTCAACCGTATCTTAGCTTACATGGTTATTTTAAAAGCAGTAAAAACTGACATTTTGGCCTTTACTGCGTAAAATAAACTTGAACTTCAAAGTAAATTTTAAAATTCATCCAAAAGTTGAACTCACGTTCAGTCATGACCTTGTTGTCCAACTTGACTTCCTCTACAAACTTGTCATTGTGCCTTAAAATGACATAGACCAAGAAGTGTTTGATAGCGTTTTTGTATGATTTCATCCACCGTCCTCTGTATATTGCTATTCCTATTGAATACAATTTGAAAATTTCTTTTTCAAGTAAATAGTCGATAAGTTTAACTAACGCATTGTCCTTATTGGGGCTTTGGTTGTACTTGTAGCGCCAGTAGTTGGTGCATGAGTCTTGAATGTAACTAAAAGTGTCTTTATTTAACTAGATATTATAATATATTGTATATTATTTTAGTTAGTGCTAGGTTAGAAATTTTGATTAAGAAAACAAAAAGAAGGGAGGAGGAGGGGGTAAAAGTTAAAAAAAAGTTTTTTGAAATTTAACAATAAGAGCATGCTAAATTTTTTTTCAAAGTTTTTTGAAATGCTGTTGAGAAGGGAAGAGAGTATGGTAAGATAGAGTAAGGCACTGTAGGGTTAGGCAGGGTAGTCTGAACATAAAAGTACAAAAAAAACTTTCCATAATAAACTAGAAATGAGGGAGCTTCGGCACGCGATAAGACAAGTTTCAAAAAGACCGGGCCGAGCAAGGTCAAAATTTGTAACGACGTCCCTGATAAAAACCTCAAAATCTCCTCCACTCCTCAAAAACCATAGAAATCTACCTCAATATCCAAAAAATTTTTAAGGCGGGCCGGAACTAAATAAACAAAAGAAGCCAGAGGTCCAGCTTAGGTACTTGGTCAAAAGTGTAAAGATAAATTGTACCCTACCCTCAGGGCCAAACGCGAGCAGGGCAGGCATCAGAAAAAGGCTGGGCCGACCTTGAGAAAAAATTTCGATCGAATAGGGTCTAAAAAAAGGGCTCGACCCGGCCCGTTTCTCATGTCTAAGAACAGGGGGATAGGGGCGGGGTACCGCACCAAAAAAAATTTGAAAAAAGGTTGAGAGTAGTCCCCCCTGTCGATTTTAGAAAAAAAACTTCACGCTAGAAGGGGGGAGAGGTTTTACTGAATTTAGAGTACGGTGGAAAAAATTGGACGTGATGACTTTTTACAGGCATAATATAAATCAATATTATGGTTTTAAAAAATATTGCAACTTACTAAAACAGCACAGAAACCAAAAATGCACCCATTGATACTAAAACTGTTATCCACAAGGTTTGTGACGCTCCATCGTACTCAAACCTGTTGCTGTACATGTTGTTTTGATATCTCATTTTAAATTTTTCTTCCTCTTTGACGTCGAGATAGAAAATTCAAAATAGTAAAAAATTTTCGGTCGTTTAAGAAGCCAAGTTATTACAAGTAATTTGGGTATAAGAGTTATGAGGTTATAAGGAAAAACGTAGAGTTATAAAGCATCGACTTATGTGCGTTGATTGTAGGCGTTGGTGAAAAAGAAAACCCTCTCATGCCTTATTCAGAAAGGTATATTACATAACAGAATGTACAGAGTAAAAACCCAAGCTGTCTCACTCACAAGGAAAGTATAATACCTTACCTGACTCGCTCAGAATCAGCTCTAAATTTTTGTATGAAGTCTTTGTACCACCAATAGTGCCTATTAACAACTTCAACCTGCACTTTTAAGTTTTAAACTTAAAGCGTTTTAGCTTCTCTTTAATTTGGCATTGTGTTTTAAACACATTTTTGAATTGCACGACAAGCTACGCTGACAAATATAAAAGTGTATGTCCATCTAAAAGTTTACTATTAAATCAAAGAAAGACGATAAAAAATCGATAAATGATAAAGTTATAAACAAAGTTCCCAAATTTCCAGCTTTAGCCCCGGCTTTTCCTTTTTTTAAATTTTAGCTCCGGCTCCTTCTCCGGAGCCCGTGAGAACTCTGGTTATAATTGAAACACAATGCCAATTTGGCGGGAAATTCAAAAAGTAATTTTCTGATCTCGACTTTCTCGAGATTAACGAGAAAACACAATATAGTACTTTGCTAAAAGTCTCATATTTACATATTGTATTCCATAACATACAGGTCAGGTCAGTTAAGATGCTAAGGAAGCACTATGACTATGGCTTTAGGGCCCAGGTTTTACTACGCATTACAGGGTGTTTCGAGAAATTTGTAACTTTTAAAAAATTTATTACTCAGCCATGAAAAAAGGTAGGAAGACAAAATTTGGCACCTGTAATATACAGCCAATGTATATTTTTTATAAAAAATTTTGGAGTTTTAAAGTGCATATGAAGGTCGTTGTGAATTTTTGAAAAAACTCATTTTCATTCAAATTACACACTTTTTTAGTTGAAAATCACTTTTTTCATCAAAAATTTCTAAGTTTTTGGCTGTTTTGTGGTTAGAAATGCATTTTTGAGATGAAAATTTATTTTCTCCGCGTTGGCGGAGGGCTTTAAATCATCAACGGAGGCCATAACTCGCTTCAAACTTTATGGAGAAACTTGAAACTAAAACCAATCTTCCTAAAACTTTATATACTATTTTCCGATGTATAAGTTTTAATAAAATATTAAGGTGAGAGAAAAGTTACTCAAAACAGGCAATTCAAATGCATAATAAGTCAAACTGTGTTATATTGTTTTTATGGGCATAGATATAGTTAAAAAAGTTAACAAATTTTTTACTTAAGCAACTTAAGTTCCTTATTTTACTTTTTTTAGTATTATCTTGTAAAAACTACCCAAAACGAAAACTGCAACTTAAAATTTCGGCTAACTATTATTGTAATAATTATCTTTTTAAAATATTAACCAAAAAATTGACTTTTCATGATGATACATACGCTAGTCTTTAAAATTTTTGTGTTTAACTTAATATTTCATTAGAATTTATACATCGGAAAATAGTATATAAAGTTTTAGGAAGATCGGTTTTAGTTTCAAGTTTCTCCATAAAGTTTGAAGCGAGTTATGGCCTCCGTTGATGATTTAAAGCCCTCCGCCAACGCGGAGAAAATAAATTTTCATCTCAAAAATGCATTTCCAACCACAAAACAGCCAAAAACTTAGAAATTTTTGATGAAAAAAGTGATTTTCAACTAAAAAAGTGTGTAATTTGAATGAAAATGAGTTTTTTCAAAAATTTTCAACGACCTTTATATGCACTTTAAAACTCCAAAATTTTTTATAAAAAATATACATTGGCTGTATATTACGGATGCCAAATTTTGTCTTCCTACCTTTTTTCATGGCTGAGTAATAAATTTTTTAAAAGTTACAGATTTCTTGAAACACCCTGTAAATTAGGGCTAAGGCTAAGGCATACCCGCAGAACAAAGTCTAATGCCCCGTTGCCAAACGTTATAGCCATTGTCAGATAGTACGCAGCCTTCTATCTATTATATTATTGATCATAATATAAACAGTAGTTCTTTGGGAAAAAGTTAGGAATTTGTTTGATAAGAACATCTAACAATGACATGACAGTTTAGAAACAAGTAGACAGTAAAAATTAGATCAAACCAGACGACGGGGACCCAAGGTTTCATCATATCAATTTTGCAACAAATTTGAATAACAATTTCAAAATTTTAAAACTAGTCTTTGCTCACTTTCGTTTTCTCCTTCATTTCGACTTTTGGCTCTGCAAGTATGGGTCGTGATTCCTCAGCGCGCTCACAATTGTCAAAGTCAGCGATGTCTCCATCCAGCGCGATGTCGGTCGCCACTGACAAGAACGCCACATGCGCGCCCTATGGCATTGCACTACCGAGTGAGTTGGTCAAAACCGTCACGGTCAAATTCCCAGTGGACAAGGAACAAAGGGTAAGTTAAAACTTTGAATTTTGTTTTAATTTTGGGTTGATATAGAGCTAAAGTAATGATAATTTTAGACTGATAACGAGTTAAAGTGATATATAGTACGGGAAAAGTTAAGGTATTAGGTACCAACATAAAGAATTCGCCATTTTACAGGAAATTACAGGAAAAGTATGGCGGATTCTTTATGTCGACACTTCATACTTTTAAATTATTAAATTGAACCAAAAGAAGTGGTACACTTTTTGGTTGAAAAATAAATGAAAAGCGTCCCGCTACTTCTGGTCCAACTTAAAGGACCAGTTCGCCCATTCAAATATCATTGGCGTTCTGTCGCAAAAATTCGACGTTCATTTTTTTGCAAAAAACCTGAGAAGGTCGGTCCCAAATTGGAAAATTCATTTCGACACCGACCCACTCATGTTTTTTGAGAAAAATGATTTTGATTGAAATTGCCTGATTTTCGGCGCTTTTTGCGACCGAATGCCAATGATATTTGAATGGGCGAACTGGTCCTTTAATAACAAGGAAAGTACTCGACCTTCCCCGCTCCAATTGACTTAAAAATTTTTATATAGAGACATCATGTAAATATAAGACCTTCAGCAAAGTACTAAATCGCGCTTTCCAGCCAATCTTGAGAAAATCGAAATCAAAAAATTATTTTTTGAATTTCCCGCCAAATTGGCATTGTGTTTCATATTTATAACTGCCATTTTTGGACTTTTAGTTTTTTTTTTTCATATACTAATATAAAAACTTTAAATGAACATACATTTTTAAATTTGTAAGCCTCGCTTTCGTGGAAAGGCAAAAAAAGAGCATGAAACACAATGCCAAATTTGGCGGGAAACCCAACTATTTGAAATTTAAAACTCAAAATCGAAAGCTAAAATTTTTTATAGGTACTATTGCTAATATATAAAAATTTTGAGCTGATTTTGAGCTGGGCAGGTTGAGTACTTTTCTTGTTAATACAGACCTTGGTTATGATAAAGAAAAGCTAATAAGGAAAGTGCCCAACCTGCAACTCTCAGAATCAGCTCAAAATTTTTATAAGAATTCCTTGTATCACCAATAGTATCCATAAAAAATTTTAGCTCGCGCTTTTGAGTTTCAATTATAAATTATTTTGGTTTCTCGCCAATTTGGCAATTTTGGCATTCTGTTTCAAGCACTTTTTTCGACTTTCCAGACAAGATACGCTTACAAATTTAAAAATGTAGGTTTATGTAAAGGTATTCTACTAGTATATCAAAGAACAATTCGAAAAAGTAAAAAAATGCCAAAGTTATAAGCCTGAAACACAATGCCAATTTGGCGGGAAATTCAAAACGTAATTTTTTGATTTCGATTTTCTCAAGATTGGCTGGAAAGCGCGATTTAGTACTTTGCTGAAGGTCTTATATTTACATGATGTCTCTATATAAAAAGTTTGAAGTCAATCAGAGCGGGGCATGTTGGGTACCTTCCTTGTTAAAATAGGCTAAATTAAGATTTAAGCATTGAAAGGGTGGATAAAACTAAAGACAAATAAATTTTAAACTTTGATTTAGTGTGGCATTGAAGTTAGCCCCTCGAAGATGATTGTGCTCAAAGTGGAGAAGAAGGGCGCTGGCGTCAAGAAGATCGAGTTTGGCGACGTTATTCAGGCAATGAATGGCGAAAGCATGTGGAACGGCTCCAAGCCCAACGTCAAGAAGTTCGCGAGCGCGTTCAAGAAGTTGTCAGCCAAAGGAGCTACCGTAAGCTTTTTTAAAGTCAAAGGATATACTGTAACTTTTTTTTGAAAAGTCAATGGATATACTGTAACTTTTTTTGAAAAGTCAAAGGATTTACTGTAACTTTTTTGTTGAAAAGTCGAAGGATATACTGTAACTTTTTTTTGAAAAGTCAATGGATATACTGTAACTTTTTTTGAAAAGTCAAAGGATTTACTGTAACTTTTTTTTTGAAAAGTCAAAGACTACCGTAATTTTTTCTCTAAAATCTTTAAAAATTTCAAAAAAAACGAACAAATATGATTTTAGTGCGAAATCACGGTGCTCCGACCGGTCAAAGCCCTTCCCGCGGACACCAAGCGTCTTCCCGAGGACCAGCGAGAGGAGGGCTGCTCGTACAAGCTGGCCGTCGTGTACCGAATCGGGAAACGACCATTGGAACTTGGGATTGTACTTGCGTTCAACAAGATCTATGTGATGCCAACGGCAGAGTTCACGTGCGCCGGTCGTTGCTTGGAACCAGGCGACGCCATTCTGGATGCGGACGGTGAACCCTTGACCACATTGGAGGACGTTGCAGACAAGATTGTGGGACCTTTACAGGAAAAGGGATACGTGACTCTGCTCGTCGAACAGGCGGAAGGTCCCGCGCAGAAGTCTGCAGTGCGTTTGCTTCTGAAAAGTTTCAAAAACAGAAAATGATTTCATTTTGAAGCCTGCAGTTTCGTTTGACGATTAAACTTTTACTGACTTCAATGGATAACTCTAAGATTGGGTTCTTGTATCATTTTGTGAGTATATTCTTTCACTGCTGACTTCAGAATCTCACCGGCAAGTTTCAGGGAACAGGTCGTTCTCGCGAGTAAAGTCGCCAGTTCTAAATCGCTGAAACGGCGCTAGGACAAATGCGGTTTTTAGACACTTTTTTTATTTTTTAGTTAATTTATTTGTAGTATGGTACTAAATGGTACTAAAGTTTAAATTGGTACTGTTTTAATATTTTTTGGTGCTAAATAGTACTAAATTTTAAATTGTTACTTTTTTTATATTTTTGATACTAAATGGTACTAAAAGCTCAAAATGGTACTGTTATGTTAAAACCGTACCAATTTAAACTTTAGTACCATTTAATGCAAGGATGTACAAGCTTCAGATGAAGACCAACGGAGCTATCCTGGAGTCTGACGTTTCCCATGATTGGGCCTTTCCCCGGGTATTTCACTGTTCCTCGCGTCACTGAGTCGTGGTTGATGTGCTCTATAATACTTCTGGCGTTCAAGCATATAATCGCGTAGATCAAGCATAGATGTTCCTAGTTCCCGTGCACTCAGCACTACCCATCCCTCAAGGCGCCTTAGTTGGGTTAGATTTTACATTTCATGCCGTTTTGCTCCAAGCAACTTTTTTGTAGCCAGCATCCAAATCTGACATTCTTTTCTTGACAACCGAATATCTTCACCTTATTATTAATATATCTTTACCGTCTTGTTTTTCGAGTTAAAAATGTTTGCTTATGCCATAATTGACTGTAATAGCCTCTTAATTGTGCTTGGTGCAGCTTATTGTGGTTGTTATACTATAATAAATGAAAAATGTTACAAAGTTTGACATTTCAACCCAAGATTTGTTAAAAATTTTATTTCATATGTACAAAATTTAAAATTTTAACAAAATTTGATACAAAAAGTTGTGACAACCATAGATAATTACATTTTTTATATAAAGACTAGGCTATTTTTCTATCAAAGTGCAGTAAGATAACAAAATTAAAAAGAAAAGTTAAGAAAAATTACATTATCATTGCCATTTTTAAGTCCTGGTGGCTCAATAGTAAAGACATCAGTCTTAGGTAAATCATAGTAAGACATTACTCATCCCTCACTTCCACAAGTCCAACACAACACGTCCCTTCAGTGTTCCGCTCTTCAGTTCCTCAAAAGTGTCGTTCAGCTTGTCGAAGGGTCGAATCTCAATCGGCACTTTAACATGCCCTTTGGCCACAAAGTCCAACGCTCTTACGGTGTCAACTCTGTTGCCAACATACGTCGATCGAATGTCAATCGTTCGGAATACGGTGGAAATAATGTTCAGATTCAGTTCTCCAGGAGGTAGCGACACTAAGACCACAGTACCACGAGTACGAACGTAATCGGTCGACTTTTGAATAGCTGGAACGGCGTTGGTCACGTTGAGAACAGCGTGAGGTCCGCCGTTTGTTAGCTTTTGAATATCGGCTACGATGTCTGTTGAGGTGAAGGGACAGATAAAGTAGTCGGCGCCTAAGGAACGGCAGAAGGATTCTTTCTCTTTGGATTCGATGGCTAGGACCTGGAGATATAGAATTTTTAAAAAAATCAAAAATAAAATTTTTTTTAAAAATTTTTAAATTTCAAAAAGATAAAATTTTCATTTTTTTTTCTAATTTAAAGTGATGTTAAACCCTCAAAAAAGTCTTGTCGTTTTTACCCACCTGACCCCACACAACTCGACGACAAGACTTTTCCCACCCCCAAAACTTCAAAACTTTTACCTGAAAACCCATAGCCTTGGCATACTGAATACACAAGCTTCCCAATCCACCGCCAGCACCAGTAATCGCAACTGTATCACCAGCAATAGCTCCAGACACCAGCAACGCCTTGTACACAGTCAGTCCAGCACACAAGATTGGAGCGGCTTCGGCCAAACCCAAGCCATCCGGGATCTTGATGGCTTCAGTTTCACGAATAATGGCATATTGTTGGAAGGAGCCATGCCTTGAGAAACCTGAATTGATAGCATCTGGACAATTGGGCTCGTAGCCGCGACGACACATCTCACAGTTCATACAAGTGGCGTTGATCCACTGTAATATTGATTTTTTAGGGTAATTTTTGAGGTTTTTTAAATTTTTTTAGAACAAAAAAAAATTCTTTAATCTGCTCAAACTCAAAAAACGTAAGATTATCAAAAAGTCGTGTCGTTTTTGAACTTTTAATCAAATTTAAACTGCAAAAAAGACACGTTTTTGACCCTAAGACAGCTCTTGAAACTTCATTTTCATTGTAACTTTGACCAAAAAATAGATAGAAACTTGACATTTTCTGAAATCATAGACAATATAATTATTCAACTATCTCAAAAACCAAAATTTTAAATTTTAAAATACTAAAAAAGTTACAGTAGTTTTACCGTACCCCTTTTCCTTCCACTAAAATTAACAAAAAGAAAGAAAAACAACGATTAAAAATAAATTTTAAAAGTTCAAAAAATATATTTTGTAAAGCATAAAGAGTAGTATCTATATCTAAAGTTTCATCTTTGTAATATTAAAAGTGGCAGAGTTATATTAATTTTAAAAAAATTTAGAAAAACTAAAAAAAATTGAAATTTTTTGAAAATTTTCGACTTTTTATAGCTAATATCATTAAAAACAGAATTCCAGACTATTCAACAGACATTATAAACTCAACAAAACATCTTAAGTTTCCTTACCTTAATCCCAACCTTATCCCCCAGCTTCAAATGTGTAGCATTCGAGCCCAACTTGACCACAACTCCCGCGCCTTCATGACCACCAACGCAAGGGAACTTTTGAGGGCCATCAAAGGTGCCTTTCCAGATACTCAAATCGGAATGGCAGACACCAGTGTACAGCACTTTCACCAACACATCGTCAGCTCCTGGCTCCGGTACTGGGATTTCGCGGATCGTGATTGGGGCTAGAACCTTGTCGTAGCAGGCAGCTTTTTGGGTTTTTGGGATGGTTTCTGACATTGTCAATGTGTTGATGATGCTGGAGAGCTGGAATTGAGGTTACAGTAGGTTTTTTCAATATCTTTTTTAACTTTTTGAAAGTTGAAGTTTGTACTAGACATTAAGGGGTGGTTTAAAAGTTTTGTCGTCTTTTACTATGTGAAACAAGGCATTTTGGCGACAAGACTTTTTAAATGCTTTTTTAGTACGAAAGCTTTATGAACTGATGCTAAACCGTTATAAAATGATACTAAAGCGTAAAAAAACAGTATATAGTGCTATATTGGATACACTGACATAGTACTAAAATATAGTACTAACATCCCCAACACAACATCCAAAAACTTACCATAAAGTAGTTTTTTTCAATACAATCACTAAAAGTAGTGGCTGATGATCAACACGATCAAACATGCTTTATATACTCAGGTTGAGGACAGAACAAGTGCAATATGTTCTTGATAAGAACTCAAAAGTTTTTGCATTTTCTGCTCAGGTCACGTTGCTACAGAACGTTACAAAACGTTCTTATCAATGAAAAACGTTTATTTATCTAAATATTAAGTTGTTCAAATAATGCTGAGCTCCCTAACCCTGAAAATTTGCTTTGAAAGTGGCTCAGTATTAGTTGAACATCCTATTGACTTTGTTTTTGTAAACAAAGTTTTTGAAATTTTAAAAATAAAAAACAAGTTTTTGGGATTTGTAAAATACGTATTTTAATACATAAGCAAAAAATTTTTCGATTTTTAAAAATTTTGAAGGCCCAGTCCAAATACGTACATGTTATACCTAAAACAATATCAAACTCACTGATAAGGAAGCACATGGGTGTAATTACTATCTTGCAATTCTTTTCCATAGTTGTAAGATTGTTTACATCGAAACACTCATGGTGATAACGAGAAGCACGCTGAGATAAGCGATCAACAATGTCAGTTCGTGTATGGATTGTGGTTCCTCGTGTGTGTTCTGTAGTTCTTGAAGAAACGTTGCAATTTCAATGTAAACAAGGTCTAAAAAGGTTTTAATATATTTTTATTAAGCCAGTAAAATGTTCAGTTAACTTCAAATGGCACAAGACGAACTGTTTGGCTCATGCGACAACTTTTTCTCCAAAGATAATTTTTTTTGTGGAAAAACTGGATTAAACTCGTATTATCAGAAGGTTTTTGCAAGAAGATGGGCTTGAATAATGTTGAGATTGTTTAGAATTCAATGGAGATCCTTTTGACATTTAGTACGTTGGTGTTTTACAGCAGAAAACCAAAGGAACGCCGGCCGAACTTGAAATAACCGGTTGGTTATTCATCAGAAGGCTAGTGCAACATGAACCAACGTGTTTACAGGCTTCTAAGGTAGGATTTTGTTATAGTTTTGTTGTTTTAGGTATTACAAAGGTTTTGAGATGAATAGACAATGGGTTGCAACAGTGTTTCATGAGAAAGTGAGTTGTTATCTTGAGGTAGGCTAAATGTTACCTAAAAATTCGAAAAGGCTTATTGAAGAAAGAATTTGTTGGTTTTTTTGTGTTTTTGGTATTGAAAAGGTTTTACGATGGATCTACGATAGTTTACAACAGGATTTCATGAGAAAATGAGCTGTTATCTTGAAGTAGGCTGAAAGTTACTTAAAAAATTGAAAAAGGCTTTAATCCACCCCTAGAAAACATTTAAGCTAGGGTCCGGCTAAAAGGAAGGATAGGGTTCGATTAGCCATTATTTCCGAATTTCTATCAGCTCAATCATCATTATGAACAATATATTATGCCCATATGACGAATCGACCACTTTACACTTCTCAAAGTGGTCGATTTCTAACTCGCACTTTATTAATGACATTGCCGTTTCTTAAACTATTAGGTTGTTCAAATACTTCTGTGCTCCCTAACCCAAAAAGTTTGTTTTGAGGAGGGGAACAGAATTATTTTAACTGCCTAATATTTTCAATTAATGAGGTTTTACAAGGAAATATAAGTGAATTCTATGCCAATAATATTATGATGCATTAAAAGTTTTGTTTTGTTTTTGCGTTTTAAACGTTTTATCCAAAAAAATGGCGACGTCAGCTGTCGGCAATTACTCCAGAAAGTGCGGGAAATTGGGAACAAAAAAGATCAAAGACTCGCAAATATATTGGCCAAAGGGAGAATCGAAAAAGTTTTGGCACCCTTTCCACTGTTTGTTTAAACTTCGGTGATTGCCGGGTGCACTTTTGCGGTGGAAAATAAAAATTGTTGCGATTTGGGGTGAAATATAAGGCATTTTTTATTCTGGAAGGGTAGGATATAGCTAGGGCAAGGTTTTTTGAGACTAAGCAAAAGGAACGTGAGGTGGAAAGCAGTAGAGCTCACAGTTAGGACTGTGTTAGTGGTAGGGTAGGTTAAGATAAGGCTATGGTTGGGTTACATTCAGAGTTCCCATGGGCTCCGGAACCGGCTCCGGAGCTAAAAATTGAAAAAAGGCGGAGCCGGAGCTGGAACTTAGAAATTTGGGAACTCTGGTTACACTTATAGGGTAGGGCAGGGAATGGCAAGGTAGGGTAAGTTAATGTCGAATTTTTATCTCTTATAGAGCTAGAATTATGCTAGGACAAGTAACTGATACAGTTAGAATATGGCTAGGTCAGGGTGAAGGTAGAGTTGCCATAGGAAGAAGAAGTACAGCAGGGTAAGGGAAGAGGAGGTGCAGTAACGCTGGGAGAAGTCTAAGGTATACTTTTGATAGAGTAGGGTGATGTAGAGTAGGGCAAATTATGGTAGAATATGGTAGCGTATGGTAAGGTACGAAAGGGTAAGGTAGGATATAATACCGTAGGGTAGGGTACGGTAGGATAGGGTACGGTACGGTACGGTAGGATATGGTAGGGTAGGGTAGAAGCAGGGCTAGGGTGCGGCTCAACATCAGATAGGGTAGGGTATTATTTATGAAAAGGAAGTAAATAATTTTAAATTTTTATCCATACCCTCCCTCATCAAATCCAATACTCTATCAACCTTTCTCAGCACCCTCTCAATAAACGCGTTATTTCTTTTGCCCCAACCTCATATCACTCTGATCTCAAAAAGCATTTTACCTGAAAGGCACGAGGGATTCGAAAAGCCCGCAGGCAAAACACTTTTTCGATCCAGGCCCGCGGATTTTCGGGCCTCAAATCAATTTTTACAATTATTCCGATTTGGCCGGTTTATGTGGCCGCAAATTTAATCAAATACCGATTTGAATGGGGGATTTTAAACTGGTTTATAGGTTGGGTGTGGTAGAGTAGTTGCTTAGAGTTTGATAGTGGAATATTGTAATAAATGAGCTTGGTCTTTGAAATTTTATGACATGAAGAGCAGGCTTTTTACGTTCTTGCTTATCTTGAGGTCTTAGGGCTAGGGGCGAGAGTTAGAAGAAGGCTAGAGTAGGGCAGGGAAGGGAAGGGTAAGATAGATTAACAAGGGTTGCGTCAAATATTATATCTTCCAAGTTTTAAAATGAGACTTATATAGGATGAAAGAGCATAAAAAGTTACCAAGAAAACTGTTTTTAAAAATTGCTAAATGGCTTTGGCTAGCGAGTTATAGTACGCTTAATATTCTTATATGTTTAAAAGATATATGTAGCTTTGAAATTCGAAAAATGATATTTTTTGATAAATATTTTCTTCTAAAGTAACTAAAATTAAGAATAAAAAATAATTTTTTATTAAAAATATTGTTTGGCTAGCCAAAAATTCTTGTCATTATGGCAAGGCGCCAAATTGAAATCGACGGGATTCAAATGTACTGCCTTCTGCACGCCAGGCCAAACTTTTAATAAACTAGAAAAAAGCAAAAATTAAGGACAACAAAATACGTTTTTAACTAAAATATTATTTGGCTAGCCAAAACGTCTTTAACTTTGTATGCTCTTTTATTTGAAAGGTCTCGTTCTAAAACCCGGGGGGATATTTGGTGCAAATCTCTTGTAACACAGGGTGGTCTAGATTAATCTTCGTACCCCTGTAGCTTCATTGAACACTAGTATGGGACAGAAAAATCAAAATACAGTCTTGGCTTGGGAGTCAGGTTTAGCGTGTTACCTACTGCTGATTTTTGGAGTAAAAAGGTCTCAAGGTGACAATAGTGAAAAAAATGTTGAAATTCAAAAAGTTTTTTTTCGTTTCTTTGAACAAAAATTTGTTTTATTAGGTTGTTCAAATAATTCTAAGCCAAAAAAACTTCGAAGATTTGCTTTGAGAAGGGGGCAGAGTTATTTGAAATACCTAATACTCCAATCATCGTTAATACAAGATTTTTTTCGAATTTTAATTTTACATTTATTTTCAATTTGAAAAGCCTATATCTTCATTTGTAAAATTTTTTGTTTTATCTACAAGTAAAATGTTTTAGGCTGTAAATTATGGGTAACGCAAACAGTAATGGAAAGCTGATGCGTATTGAAAGCTTTGCAAATGATCCGACAGCTTTTCGGTAAGTTAGAGCAAACATATTTTTTAAATTTTTAGGGTAAAATACGTCCTTGAAAAGCTGCTTCATATTGGTTTTGAATTTTTTTTTCAATTTTTAAAATTTTTGAAAATTTTGTGAGACATGGCTCTTTTTGAACCAAAAAAAATTTTTATAATGTAACTTTGATACTGATTCCAATATATTTTAGAGTATTTGTAAAGAAAAGAAACAAATTCATACCAGGCTGGCTGAAAGTAAACGAAGATGAGATTGTTTATTTTCGAACGGCTAGCCAACCTCAGTTTTGGCCTTTGGCATTCCTAAGACGATATGGTTATACCTGTGCTGGAGTCTTCTTTTTCGAAAGTGGACGACGATGTGCGACTGGAGAAGGGCTACACACGTTTCAGTCGCATCAGGCAGAGAAGATATTTCATGTAAAGAAATTTAAAATTTTCAAATTGATCTTTCGTTTTATATTAGGAAGGGTAGGATAGAGTGTCGATAAGTAGGGTGGGTCAGGGTAAGCTCGGAAAGGCTGGGGTAGGGTAGATAGGTTAGGGTAGATTATGGCAAAATAAGATAGGTTAGGTAGGACAAAGTTAAGACAGGGCTGTGTGTGGTAAAAGAGATGAAGTAGGGTACGATAGGATAGATAGGGTAAAGTAAGTTAATTTAGTGTTGGGTAGAGTGTAGGGTAGGGTAGGGTAGGGTAGGGTAGGGGGGTAGTGTAGGGTAGGGTAGGGTAGGGTAAGGTAGGTAAGGGTAGGGTAAGGTAGGTAAGGGTAGGGTAGGGTAAGATAGGTAAGGGTAGGATAAGGTATGGAAAGGTAGAATATGGTACTGTAAAGTAGAATATCGTAAGATAAGGCAGGGTAAAAGTCATTTTTCAAAATACTTTTTGTAAACAAAGTTCTTCCAGGTAGTTCAAAGCCGTATCAGATCCGAAGAATTCGCCCGTTCCCGAGCTTCTTCAGTAGTTCAACATCGTCTCAACGGCGCTTCAACCAAAATTCATCCAGTTCAACGATTTTGTAGTGAAGGAGCAGGAAACCCCTTTTTATTAAGAAGAAACCCATCCTCAACAGTACGAAACCCGCTCGGTAATGGACCAATGATGCATAGTAACTCATCAACAAACGTTCATAGCACGAGAGAAAGAGAACGGCCAAGAAGTGTGGTCTCGGCCATAGAATATGATGTGAATAGGATTAATAAGGCGCCCAATAACCTGATGAACAGCTCGTACTCATCGGCCGTCAATAGCTTGTGGAGTAGTGCTCAGAGGCTGGAGGGGGAGATTGTGTAATTTTAAAGTGCAGGGCGGTGGTTGTGTAGGGTAGAGTAGGGTGGGGTAGGGTACGGTAGAAAAAGTAGAGTAAGGTAGGGCAGGGTATGATAACCTCAAAAACACAAGTTCACCTTTACCTATATTACAGTAACGAGCACGTGATCAACAATGGCTACGAAACCTACCAATCCTGTGGTTCCGAGCGGTACATGCGCCCATACCCAGCCCCAACTCAACTCTCAGACCAAGTAAAATACCATTCTTATGTCAATGTAGAACTCCCAGAACCACGATATTACCGTGAAACTAGTGTAGCTTCCGATCTAATGTCATCAGCCTCGGCCAGAGCCCCACCTAGGACCAGGGTACAACCAGTAGCACCATTTATGACACAATCCATGACACAGTCCTTGATTTTAACTCCAACAAAGCCTCAGGCATTCGATCCGCCTGGCGAGTGTTTCCCGGCCATAGATCGGGGAAGGCCGGCTAGTACTAGTGCCACGCCGGCTAGGCCTATTCCTGTGCCTCAGAAGCCGCCCATGGAGTATATTCAGGTAATACATTTGATTCTAACCTAAGTTATCAAACCCTTGCTATCCTACTTTTTTACCTTGCTTTGCCATGCTGCTCTATCTTGCTCTACCCTACACTACGCTATTCTCCCTTCCCTGCCTTTCACTCGGCTGTTCTACTATATACAACCTTTCCTACCTAACATAAAAAACGACTTTTTTTAATTTTTTAGGGTTCAAAATCTTATTTTAGGCTTACATAATTTTTAAAAATTGATTTTTTACTGTTTTTTTAAATTTTCAAACTTGAAACATTATGCCAAAAAAAATTTATGATTTAAAATTATGTTTCTTTTTTAGGTTCCATTACTAAATCGATCCCAAACTGTAGTTCAAAATGGAGCTGATCTAACTAAGCGGTAAGTATTTTTTAAAATTTTTAATTTTTTTTAGTTTTTCATTTTTTATAAACAAAGTTTTTGCCACTTTTTATTTTGTAAAGAAAGTTCTTGCCATTTCTTGTTTTCGAAACAAAGTTCTTGCCCTTTCTCGTTTTGGAAAGAAAGTTCTTGTTATTTTTTATTTTGTAAAGAAAGTCTTCGCTATTTAACTTTTATATATTTTTTATTAGGTTGTTCATGTAATTGCGCGCCTTTTACTCCCGAAAATTTGCTTTGGGAGGGGGAGGGCACATAATTATTTGAACAAGCACAAGGGGACAAAGAAGTTATTGAACAATCTTGAAGGGACACAGAATTATTTGAACAACCGAATAGATAATTTTCTAAAAATTTGTTTTCACTGCCATTTCAAGTCTCCTTTTAACAAATTTTTGGCTTAAATTGAGTAGGACAGTCATCTCCAACAGGTGCTTAATTAAATGCTTCGGGATTTAATGTCAATTCAGTTTAATCCAAACATTTCTGAACAAGATTTATTTCCAATGGCAAACAAAAGAAAATGTCTAATGACATTTTTATTTGACGTTAAAACGCAAAAAAATGCCTGGGGCAGCGGAAGAATGGAATTTGCAGGAAAATGGCAAGAACTTTGTTTACAGAACATAAAATGGCAAGAACTTTCTTTACAAAACGAAAAATGGCAAAAACTTCTTTACAAAACAGAGAATTGCAAAAACTTTCTTTACTAAACAAAAAATGGCAAGAACTTTCTTTATAAAACAAAAAATGGCAAGAACTTTCTTTACAAAGCCAGAAATAGCAAAAACTTTGTTTACAAAGCAAGAAATGGCAAGAACTTTGTTTACAGAACAAAAAGGGCAAGAACTTTCTTTACAAAGCCAGAAATAGCAAAAACTTTGTTTACAAAACCAAAAATGGCAAAAAATTTTTTTCCAAAGCCAGAAATAGCAAAAACTTTGTTTACAGCGACTAAAACCACATATTTTAGAGCCCCTTCGATAAGCCAACGTTCCGACTGTTCGAGCGTGATTTCCGCGTCACCATCGATGGACAATCAATCAGCTGTCTCGGCTCCAGCGACCAGTCGAGTCAATTATGCGTTGATTGACTTTAACAAAACCAAAGCCTTGGAACAGTTTTCGAACGTGAAGCAAAAAGCGGCCGAAAAGTTGAGAAATAATCGATTTATCCGAAAACATTGACCTCACATTTTAATTGAAAATAATTTTTTTAAAAATTTTTACATTTCTGTATTTACTACGACATAATGCTATATATATGATATCGTCCAACGTTTTTTGATTTTATTAGGTTGTTCAAATAATTTTGTGCCCTTTAGCTCCGAAAATTGACATTGATTGGTGGCACAGAATTGTTTGAACAACCTAATAATCAGTGCCGGAGGGTAATCTTAATCTGGGAGTGGGGAGGGAGGTCTAAACCTTTTTGGGGGTAGATATTTTAAATTTAAAAAATTTTTGAGAAGGGGGGGGGGTGGGCGGGTTGACATTTCAAAGTAAAAAATTTTTTTGGGGATGTATCTTTAAAAAAATTTTTTTTTAATTTTATTGTTTCATTTTCGACTTTACCTTCCTTCTACCCAGCCCCTCAAGAAAAATCTTCTTTGTCCTTAAAACCCTTTTGAATGGCCCTTCTAATACCTATATTAATATTATTAGTTGTTGACTTAATTCTGCGCCCTTTTTAAGCAAATGTTTGGATTTATGAGGCGCATGATTAAGTGAACGACCTAATATTTACTAGCTTGCTCTTTGTAAACTTACCTAATCAATCTTGTCAACATATTATTGTACATTCACACATGATAAAGATTTTTAAATTTTTAAATAAATTAATTTTTTTCAAAAATATTTTTAATGTTATACAATTTTACATTTTCAGTAAAAATATGTCATATGTAAAGCATATTAGTCATAGTTAAGTCCATGACGATTCACATAACGAGTAGGTATTCCACCAGGCCCATAGTATCTTTGATTTCCGTTTGTGTAACGCTGAAAGTAAAAAAGAACAGTAACCATCATTTTACTCTACTAGAATCGGGCTAGCACTAAGGGTAGGTAGCAGGAGGTTCAATACTTATACTTCCTATTACCTACCCCTATCCTATTATAATACCATACACAAGCCAACTTACTCTGCTGTTTGATCCACCATAATAAGGTTTAATCTTCTCATCTTCGTTGAGCCAATTTTTGATATTGTGATATTGATGTTCAACAAACCAATACCCACTCATTACAGTATGACGAACCAATAAAGCAAGTCCAGATTCTTTGTATACTAATGGTACTAGGTATAGGGCTATACAGAAGAGGACTAGGTGCTTTACTTTGACGTCTTCTAGAAGTAAACAGACATTACTACCCTACCCTACCCTACCCTACCCTACCCTACCCTACCCTACCCTACCCTACCCTACCCTACCCTACCCTACCCTACCCTACCCTACCCTACCCTACCCTGCCCTACCCTACCCTACCCTACCCTACCCTACCCTACCCTACCCTACCCTACCCTACTCTACCGTACCATGTTTATTCAAATCTCTCTAGCTTCTGCATACTATCTTGCTCTACTATAATATAACTTTATCTTACCGTACTGTCCTAAATCTAGCTCTATTTATCCCACTGAATATTAACCTGCCCTATCATTCTCGGCTCTACCCTAACCTACTTTACTTTTCCATATTCTATCACTCTGCTTACCCTGCCCTACTCAAACTATCATACCTTCCGGACTATAAAAATACTTACTGTTTAATATTTTGTTGACTCTTCCATCCTTTCGTAGCTTCAAATTCTTTATTCTATGAAGCACTGGCAGTTTTTTAGGTTCATCTTGTTTGATAATAGTAGACTCAGCAGAATATATCGATTCTGTTTCTTCTAACTTGTTGTACGTCATCTTTTCTGCAACCAATTTAAAGGTTATAGCAATAAAGCTACAAACAATAAATACATTCAAATAAATATATAATTTAAAACGACAGAAATTACTTTGTAAAAGGTAAGTCTTGACCAAATTCTTAGTATTATATATCTCTGATCAAGTATTACTCTTGTGTAGACACAAAAAGTCCCGCTATGCTCAGGCTGAGCCAAAACAAATCTGAAAATGGCCAAGTTGTGCGGTCTTAAAAGAAGACGCTATAGGCTTTGCTTGTCATCAGGCCGCAAAATAAATTCAAGGTAAGACCAAGCACTCCAACCGGCCTTATTACGGTCCTATCTGCTCTAATAACTCCTGTGCTACTCTAGCCTTAGTATATACATACTCTAGCTATTTTTTGAATGAATTGGATTAAACCAAAAGTAACGGGACACTTTTTAATTATTTTTTAAATAAAGAGTGTCCCGTTACTTTTGGTTCAACCTAATAATAAAGGTTTTGTCGCTGTTGAACAAAGCATTGAGCGTTCAAGTACTCAGCCCTATTATTCACATATAACAACTGTAAAACAAATGTAAAATACGTTTTTTTTGCAATTTAAGACATGAAATAACTAGACCACACTATTTTTGTAAATTTCAAAACAAATAGTGCTCTATAAGTCACATGAGGTCAGTTCATTTTTCCTTTTCGGCCGTTTTCTAACAAACGAATTTATGAAAAAACCGATTTATCACAATTTAAAAAGTAATACAAAAACTATATTTAACCAAAAAATATACCTTCGACAACACAGGTATAAAACCTCAAGACATCCCTAATTATTCAAAAAATATATTAAAACATGACTTCCACCTTTTATGGCTCGAAACGAAACTGTTTGTTGAGGTTAGTCACAAGGAAAATACAAAAAAGAAAATCGATACAAAGTCATTTCACTCAAAAGACAAACAAAAATGAGTGATAATATTTCCGGTGAATTTGAAATGCTTATCAAATTGTTATGAAGGAACTGTGCAGAATGAACTGTAGCTAAAAACCTAGCCTTATCCTAGTGTCCTAGCCCAGAGCCCTAGCCCAGAGCCCTAGCCCAAAGCCCCAGCCCAGAGCCGTAACCCAGAGTCCTAGCTCAGATTCCTAACTCTTTTTAGAGCACAGTCTGGTCTAGCTTTATTTTACTAGACTGTATGTCAAAACTGGGAAAACCTTCATTATTTCAACGATTATTATTGATTAAAACTGCTATTGTGAATCGATTATCTACTTTTGCTGAGTTTGACGACATACCAGAGCAGAACATTGATGATTAGCCATTTACTATAACTAATGAATCTTCCCATAGCTCTAGCCTAGAAACTCTAGTTGGAGTAACAGCCATGACTCTATCCTAGTCCTACCTTAGATTTTACCTTAACAGCATAGTAATTAATCTTACCCCAGACCAAAAGTCCCCGCCTGGCCCTGCATCCTGCTATATTTTTATCCTACAACAACTTATCCCTAAAAAAACTCTGAATTGTTTCAACCTTCGTACTCTCCACAAAAAATTTTAATACCGTTGTTTAAATACAAAATTTATTAGCTTCCACTATGTTCAGAAAAAAATATTTACAAAAATTTACAAACATTTGTTACTGTAATTCGAGTTGTACAAAGAAAAGTTTCGGGGCGCGGTCATATTTGAAGCCCCAAAGTTGCCATAGCCCATAGCACCATTGAAGAAATTGGCAGAGGGTTGGAATCCGGGATTGATAAACCTGTAGTTTGGCCACGATGAATGTTGCATCAGGTCGTGTTGGAAGCGAGCTTGATGACTGAAGAGATCGGCCGAAGCGCCGTGGGCTGTTTGAGGATGGAGGGCTTGATAAATTCCTGAACAATGAGGTTTTAGAAGAGGTAAAGAGTATTTTTTAAATAATTTTAAAAATGTAAAGGGGTGGTTTTCTAAAATTTTTACAAAATAATGTGCAAAAAAGTCTTTTCGTCAATTTACTAAGGCTTGAAGGTTAAAAACGACAAGACTTTTTTCAGCGCCAAAATTTAGAAAATTTAGGGTAGGGTAGGGTAGGGCAGGGTAGAGTAGGGTAGGGTAGGGTAGGGTAGGGTAGGGTAGGGTAGGGTAGGGTAGGGTAGGGTAGGGTAGGGTAGGGTAGGGTAGGGTAGGGTAGGGTAGGGTAGGGTAGGGTAGGGTAGGGTAGGGTAGGGTAGGGTAGGGTAGGGTAGGGTAGGGTAGGGTAGGGTAGGGTAGGGTAGGGTAGGGTAGGGTAGGGTAGGGTAGAATACTCACCTTGAAAGTCAAACTTGTAAGCATATCTTTTGCCATGAACCTTGGCCATAATGTTCTTGTCGTAATAGTATCGTAATGCTCTGCTCATCTTGTCATAGTTCATATTAGGTTTGCTCTTCCGTTCTCCCCATCTTCGAGCAACCTCGTCCGGTTCCACCAATTTGAATTCACCTTGAGTACCTTCCCATGTTATAGTAGATGCATTTCGAGAGTCGGACAGTAATTCAAGCAAGAATTGCCATAGCTGGATTTGGCCGCTGCCTGCACTAGCCAAACGTTGAGATGTGGGTCCAAGGATTTGGTAGGGGTCTGAAAATCAGTTATTTAAAAAAACATTATAAATAACAGTGTCAATTGGATTAGGCAGTTTGTATACATACACACGCTTTCACCGCTTCTATCTATGTTACCCTATCTTATCCTATTATATGCCTTGTTTAGTCCTACCCTGCCCTGCTCGGACAAAACCAGACCAAGCCAGACCAGACCTAGTCACTCCAGACCAGACGGAGCCACCCCAGACCAGACTAGACCAGACAAGCCATTCTCTGCCCTTGCCTTTGCCTTTGCCTTTGCTTTTGCCCTTGCCTTTGCCTTGCCATCCTACTGCTATCTTGTTCTTCCTTACCGTACCATGCCTTAACTTAACAAGCTTTATTCTGCCCTACACTTATTATATTATAGTATACCCACCGGCCTTATAAATCAACATCCACAATATTTTTTTGAATCAAAAAAAATTTTTTTCAAATTTTTAATTTCCTGCCTCCCAAAAATTAAACCGGTCCTCCGGCATGGCCACTAATTTGCATGTTTATAAATAAAATTAGCGAGTTATTGTTTGGAAATTTGGGAAAAATTGAATTCCGTGCGCGTTTAAGTGGAAAAGCAAGAGACTAACGAGGGTGACCTCAGTATTAGTACTAATTAATCCGATGCGCTTCAATACATAAATGCGGGGAGATTACTGTAGATTAAAAAATTGAGCATATTTTAGGTTTAAAATGACATTTTCATTAAACAACTAGATTTTTTTTTGGTTAAAATGGCATTTTTATAATTGAAATATAAAAAAAATTGATGTTGTAGTAGATAAAAGTGCCAGTTTTATCATGTTTCAACTAAAAAAACACAATTTTTAAAAATTTTTTTGCTTTTTCATGAAATTTATGCCATTTTTGATTAAACTTTTGCCATTTTTCATAACCAAACGCAAGTAAAACAGTTTAATATAGCCCCGAAAGGTCATAACACCATCTTAACGGACTATTATATAACTGTAAACAAGGCGGCATCGTCTACTTTTTGTTGCAGATTGCGTTTCTCGAAAGCAAGCTTAAACAAAAAAAATTTAAACGGGCCGGGCCCAAAAGTAGCCCCACTGGCTGGGCTTATAAACTGGGCCAAGCCTAGTCCGTTTTCCACCCCTACCTTGAGTAACCTCTAAACCCATCTTCAAGTACTCAAAATTTCAAAAACTTCCATTCATGCCTACAGTAACCCCCATGACCTTAAGATGACCATTGTCAGTCATAATAAGCATGTAATTATAATCCGCGCAAAACAACTGTTGCCAGCCAAAAAACATTCATTTTTCGGTTGGTTTCGCCGTTATATTGACTTGGACTACAATAGGATTAAATTTATTGCTACGGTCGTGGCTGGCAAGACGTTTTTCAGCGTGATTAATTAGTCCCAAAGGACAGGTGCTGGTGAAAGGCAGGTAATGATTGTTGAATACAAGGCAATATAATAATGGCTTACGGTAATTTATATATTTTTTTCCAAGGCGGGGAATTCAATTTACCATAGAGGAATGTATGGTTGAGATAATTTATTAAAATATTGTACTGATAAGGCAGTGTAAAACTGTTGTAGAACAGGGGAGGGTAGATTTTTGATAAGGGCTTAGAAGTGCAAGTAGGTAAGGATAATGGGCTAGGGCTGTGAGCTAAAACTCTGGGCTAGGGCTCTGGGCTAGGGTCTAAGCTAAGGCACTGAGCTAGGGCTGTAGGCTAAGGATCTGGGCTAAGGCTAGGCTCTTAACTAGGGCTAGGGCTATCATAATACGGTAACAAACAGTTCATAAATCTTGGCAATTTCAATTTTTTATTTGCGCATCTGCACCGGGTTTTCGCGGCAGTTTAATAGGGCCAAATCCGCGAAAAAGAAGACGATGCCGCCTTGTTTACAGACATATAATAGTCCGTTAAAACGGTGTTATGACCTTCCGGGGCTATATTAAACTGTTTTACTTGAGTCTGGTTATGAAACATGGCAAATTTCTTTTTTTTGACTGAAACATCTATTTTTACTCTTTTTTACATAAAAATGACATTTTTTACCTTATGTTTAAAAAGATCAACAGAAGGAGCACATTCAACTTTTTCAAAAAATTTTTTCGCTCTACCCCACCTTTACCCTCTCCTCCTCCCCATCTAAAAACACATTTTTTCAACAAAATCTACTTTTCTGTTTACCATGCATTCTAAGTAGGTCTATTGTACTAGATTCATGCGTTTGTATGCCTGCTTTTGTTTAATTACGCAATTGGTGCGGGTTTTTCTTTGTGCCGCACAGTGCATTAATTTCCCCTTTTTCGGCGCTTCAAACAAATTTTTTTTTTATAAAAATGACATGTTTAGGTTATATTTACGGTCTAGAATTGTTAAAAATTTTATTCTCGACGTGATTGGGACGTATTTTACTATTAAAAGTTTGTAAATTATCGTTTTGAGCGAATTTTTGGTTTCGAATAAAAAATTACTGTAACTTTTTTTTGAACTTTGATAAAGTTTTAAAATTTTTTGATAGCTTCTAGTATGCCTTATCTTTATGTGTTTTATTTCTGGGAGGTTTACATCGAACATAAGTTATCTTATCTTCTGGTGAAAATTTTACTTTTTAAAAAATAAATTACTGATACATTTTTTTGAACTTTGTTGAAGCTTTTAAATTTGGCACGATGATAGCTTATGGCATGCCTTATCATTTTGTGTTTTATTGAAAACACTTAATCGATCGTTCGTATTTTACATCAAAAACAATTTTTTTCTTCTGGCGAAACTTAGATATTTAAAAAAACTAAAATACTGTTTTTTTTTCAACAGCACTGAAAGTTAGAAACTTTGCGTATTAATAGCTTGTTGTTTGTGCTACCTACACAGTAATTATTATCCAACTTTGTTAACAAACTCGTACGTTACACCAAAAAATCAACCACCACCCTCGACTTTCTCTCACAAAACAGAAAATGTTTAAGCTGCCATTCCTTACAGTACTCTTCACTCTTTTTCATGGCCTGAAGCAATAAACCACAATGGGGGAAAGCTCAACAGCTATTAAAGTGCATACTCGATGAGATTTATGTCATGACATGAGCGGCGAGCAATTACAACCAGCGGCCCAATATTCTCTTTGCGGGCTCGGTTCGCGCTTCATAAAAAGAACAAAGAACCGACCGTTTAATGGCGGTTATTCAACCAATCTTGAAGCGCATAAAGAATATTATAGTAAACACTATGCTTTTTGTGAAGCCTGGCCAAAACTCTACTCCAGAACGTCCAGAGCCCTAGCCCAGAACCCTAACCCAAAGCCCTAGCCCAGAAACCTAGTTTAAAACCCTAGCCCTTGCCCAGAGCCTTAGTTCAAAGCCCTACCATACCCTACCGTACCCTTATCTACCTCCACCTGCTCTCACCTAGAGGAGAGAAACTGAGAGAAAATTAAAACCGGCCGGGCCTAAAGATTAGGTCAATCCCGCAGAGATGGTCTCAAAAAGTTGGCCCGGCTCGTCCCTCACTCCTACTTTCACCTACCTTTATCTACCCTTACCTACTCTTAGATACCCACACCTATCCTCACTTATCCCTAACTGCCCTACCTTACTATTACTTATCCTCACCTACGCTTACCCTTATCTATCTTCAACTACCCTACTATACCCTACCTTACCCTCCTCAAAATCAACCCCCCTTTAATTAGATCAAAATTTCGAATTTTCGTAAGCCCAATTTGAAGTAGCTGCTTGGCCTAATCAAAGGAGCTCCAGAAGAAAAGGATGCGCGCAATTTCCGGCGCCGAAAGTAGCTTGGGACAATTAAAGGTGGCCATGAGGAGTTGCCGCCACTAACCTTAAGTGACCTACTCCAATTGTTTCTTAATGTTCAATAATTCCTAGCATCTAATTATAGGTTAGGTCATGTTTTGCGGTCATTTTGAAATGTCAAAAAAATCTTGTCGTTTTTGAATGTGAAAGTCAATGTAAATTTGCTACAAGACTTTTTAAAGATTGATTTATTTCAAGTTTTTTGAAAAAAAGTTATTTTGATGACATACCTTGTTGAAGCAGAGCGTTGTTGTTGTTCTTGGCAGGAACTGGCAGTGGGTTACATGGGAAACAAGAATTCATTGGGTTGAACAAGCCCTAAAGCATTATTTTTTAATTTAAAATTTTTTTGTCAGCGGTATTCCTTTTTACTAGGCACATCATAAACCAACTCTAGCTTTATTCTGGCTCTGCCCTAGCCTACAATACCTTTGTCCCAAGGCAAAGGTAGTGTCTTTCTCTAGCCCAACTATAAGCCCTCTTGAGTCCTACCATTGCCTTATCATAACTTACCCTGCCCTAGCCATACGATCACTTAGTTCTATCATTGCCTCTTGCTTACATCACCCGAATTATAAGCCTACAATAGCCTTACTGTTTCCTTAATATAAATGACTGCACTCTACTCATAGCTTAAGCGAAATTAGCCTTATCCCTGGCCTACTCTAAATTGCCATACCCTAGCCAGTGCTTAAGCTTACCGTTGCCCTTCTATTTTTCTACCCTAACTTGCCCTTGCCCTACTTTACCTTGTCTTACTCTATCATAGCCCCACCGAAGCCCCCCCCCCCTCGCCATACTCTACGCAAATCATAAAACTACCTTAGCCCTACCATTGCCCTGTCCTAACTTATTCCACCCTAGCCCTATCATTGAACACCCCTAACTCATTTTACTTTTGCCGTTCCCGAGTCTCACTAAACGCCAAGATTTTAATATACTATAATATGCTAATCATATACGGAACGTATTTTACAAATAAAAAATTTAAGACCTACATCATCCTTCAACCCGGTGGAGCCTGAATTGTTGTGAGCCAACGTCGTATTTTGAGAGTTCGGGGTAGAACTGGTCGTATTGGTATGGTTAGGTGAAGAAGTGGCTGTTGCTCCGTGAACTGACAGGTTTACTGCTGAAATTTTTTTTTTTTTAATTTTAAAACTTGCTTTAAAATTTTCTAAAAAAAACAATTTCTATTTACTTATTGACCTCTAAAATCTGAAAAATTACAAATTATGATAAAACTAGTAGGTGCCGACATAAAGAACCCGCCATTTTTTACAGGAAATTACAAGGAAAGTATGACGGGTTCTTTATGTCGGCGCCTAACATAAAAATTTTTAAATTTCAAAATTATAAAACATTTCATTTTTGCACGTAAAAAGTTTCAAAATCTTCAAAAATACTCGTCATGATGTACATACATTTACACATAACCATTCAAATACATTTGCATACATAACCTTTCAAAACGTTTTTCGCGCAAAATTCAATTTGGAAACAAAATTTGCGTTACTTTTTGAACTCGAAATTGAGTTTAGACATAAATTTTTGTTGCTTTACCCTGCCCGGCTTTGAAATTTGAATTTTTGTTTAAATTTAAAAATTTTATAAATTTTCGTTATACTCAACCTTACCTTACCTTACCTTACCTTACCTTAGCCTACCCTACCCTACCCTACCCTAATTAATCTCACATTATTCATACTTCACCTTACCTTACCTCACCCCACCTTATCCATGTCTTACCCTACCCTACCTCAACCCACATTATCCACATCTTTTCTACTCTACCCCATCATACATTATTCATACCTTTCCCTACCCAATCTCATCTCACATTGTCCATACCTTATACTACCCTACCTCATCCCACATTGCCTTATCCTATTCTACTTCAAACTACGTTACACATACCAAAGAAAAAAAATAATTGTTTTAAACCTACCATTAGGCTGATTTTGATTATTCATTATCAACGGCTTCTGAAGGCTGTTTTGGTCGTAAAACGGGTACCTTTGGGCGAATCCCATGCCATTTGAATTCTAAAACACATTTTTTTATTAAAAAATTTTAAAAATAATTTAATACCAATATTAAAAATTTTAAAAAAAATATTTTTTTTAAATTTTAAATTACCAAAAAAAGTCCTGGCGCTTTTCACCCTTATTTTCAACGTAAATTAACGCCACGACTTTTGCTACTTCAATAAAATTGAATAAATTGACGAAGCCAGACTCGGATGTACTAAGGTAAATGCTGTTTTACGTACGACTTTTGAGGTAATCCCTTAATTTTGCCAAATCCCACTCAAAAACAACCGGCCATAAATAACAACATGCGGCTTTAACAATATCGCTTTACGCATGCATCTGGTTAAGAATAGGTGGAAAGAAAGTTTCTTCCTATCGAAAAAAAATTTTTTTTGAGAATTTTGTAAAATACGGCCATTGCTTTATTTCTTTTAAATTTTTACAGTGTTATAAAATTTTGGGTCCCACCACGAAATCATGAAAATTTATTTTTTTTTTAATTTTGTAAATTACGAGCGGTAAGTTCTATACTTTCAAGGATAGAGAAGGGTAAACAAGATATTATAAAACTAGTTTGGGTCTCACCACGAAAACATGAAAATTCTATTTTTGCGGTTTTTAAGCCGTAAAACAATAGAAAATGGTTTTTCCTTCAACGAAACCTTTAAAAAACTAAAAAAGTTTAAAAATACAGTATCTACCGTAACTTACAGTACCTATAAAACACTCCAAAACACTGTAATCTTACCGGAAATCCAGACAATGACGAAATAGCATTGATGTCAAAGCTAATTGGCGAGTACTGGGGAATGTTCTCCAGGCTTCCGTTGTGCATGTTCGGATGTTGTTGAAGATGTTCGGATGAAGTTACAGAGTTTTGTGGCGCAATGTCGGTGGTCGAAGTTGATGGAGCTGTTAGAGCTGCTTTCAGTATGTCCATCTGAGATCGAATTTACAAATTTTAAATTTAAAAAGAAGAGTTGAGATCAAATAGGACCTGGTGATGAGATCAATTTGTTGACTTTTTGCCTGAAAATAATTTTTTTTTAAATTTTTTTTAAATTTTAGGTAACAAAAAATAGTAAAAGTAACGCTAAACGCAATAAAAAGAATTTTTTTGAGTTTGTATTGAAAAACACCACCCCTCTCTGACAAAGCAAATTTTTAAGCAAAGCATCATTGCCTTGCCTTGCCTTGCCTTGCCTTGCCTTGCCTTGCCTTGCCTTGCCTTGCCTTGCCTTGCATTGCCTTGCCTTGCCTTGCCTTGCCTTGCCTTGCCTTGCCTTGCCTTGCCTTGCCTTGCATTGCCTTGCCTTGCCTTGTCTTGCAATATTAGAGTTAATTTCATCGTATATTACCCTGCCTTGCCTTAGCTTGTGCCGCCCTCTATTATCATAGCCTCTTTACGATCTTCTGCCCTGGTCACCGTAACATGCCATCAAACACCTTTATCAGTTAATATCATAACACGCCTTCTGTCACCTTTATCCTTAACTATCATAACATGTTTGTAATTATCTTAATCTTTTACTATCTCTTTATGCCTCGATATATATTCATCTTTAACTATCAGGACATGTCTCAATTTATTTTTACTTTTTACTATCTTAACATGCTTTTAACCTATCTTTATCCTTAACTATCATAACATGCTTGCATTCATATTAACCTTTTACTATCATCAAATGTCTCGATATACATTCATCCTTCACTATCATAACCCAGAAGCAATAAAAAGAGTTGCGGAATGTCTCAACTGTCAGCTGATTTCCGGCTTGAAACATCAGCTTAACTATCAGGAAAAAGGCGGCCCAAAAAGATCGGATCAGGAAAACCGGTGGAAGGAAGGAAATTGCCGGTGCGGTCGTTTAAAAGGACCCCCGCGGTGCGAATGAAGCCGTTTTTGGAGCGGGCATTCGTCGTGGCCCGAAGAAAGGCGGAGTCCGGTTACGGCCGACGCTCGGGGCCGCTTCTAAGTTTGTTGAGATGGGTACGGTAGGTTTGGGAATGGAGGGTATGTTAGGGTTTGTTAGGAGGGTAAGTATGTGAAGTTAAGAATAATATAAAGGTAAACGATAGAATGGTAGTCGAAAGTGGAAGGGGGGGGGGAGGGGGGGGGGACGAGGGATGAGAGAATGGAAGGAAAAAAGGAGGTGTAGAAAATGTTTTGAATATACCACCAACCCTCCCCCCCCTCTGATCTACCTCTCCTCCCTTCAGTCTCTATCCTATCTTACCCTACTCTACCCTGCTTTACCCTACTCTTCTTTTCTTTACCCTGCTCTAGCCTATCCTATCCTAATCTAACCTTCCTTACAGTAACCCACCTTATCTTAATTTATCTAGCCTTACCCTATCCTGCCCTTCCCTACTTTCCTACATTACTTTACCTTACCCTACCCCTTGTTAAACCCTACCCCAACTCACTTCAAAATCCCCCCTCCCAATCTTCTCCTTCCTTCATCACCCTACAGTACCCCACTTCCCCTCTCCTCGTTATCAACTCGATTTACCCGCAGGCGAAAAACTCCCGACATTGTCAGACAAGGGCCGGACGTTCCCTTCCTTCCGACCGCCCGGCACAATAATTTACTGAATTTTTATTTACTCAATCTGTGGCCCTCCTCCATGATTTTCGCTTTGGCCGCAGTTTCGCGCCCAACCGCCTAGCCAATCAGCGACGAGGAAGCGAGATGGACTGGTTCTTGGCTCCGCCTTCTTATTTTGACTAACTTAAGGTTAGGGGATGAGTAATTATGTGGGGACAAGGTTGGTTTGGGTTGAAAAAACATTGAATTAGTAAAAAAATATAAAAATATTGTTGTAGTTAACTATATTTTTCAATATTTGAGTTTTAATAAAGTTTTGTCGACAATTTATAAGGCCTTGCAAGTTTAAAAACGACAAAACTTTTTTATTGTATTTAGCTGTTTAAGTGTGCTATTTTTTATTTTATGTAGTACATTTTATTGTATTTTTTAATGCTTTCGACATATTTTTACTCATTTTTAGGTTTTAGGTATTACAAATATAACTTACCAAAGTATAAAAGTTTTGTCGTTTTTGACAGTGAAAATTACTTTAAATTAGCGTCAAGACTTTTTTAATTACTAAGATTTAGTAAAACAAAATTTTTTACCATTCTAGCACTAGGTCTGTAAAAGAGAGTAGCCGGGCCTAATTGTTCAGCCTAGCCCGGCTCACGCTCCAAATCATAAACTTGGCTCCAGTTCTTTGGGACAACACGTGTCGGCCTGTCTCGGTTTCTTTCAAATTTGTTTTGGTTTAGATTAGTCCTCTCAAACCCAGAGCCAAGCTGGTCCTTGCTTCAACCCCGCCTCTCAGTCCAACACGTACCGGTATGGCCCGGTCTCTTTCAAGTTTGCTTTGGCTTGGCCTGGTTCGACCTAGAGCGGAGCCAATTCTTGTAGACCTTCTTTCACGTCTACTTAGTACTACAAAAAAAAAGAAAAATTGATGAATAGATAGAACAATATCAAGATAAAATGACAGAACACAAATTTACACAGTAAAAACAAAGGTTCCGCTGTACAGTACAATGAGTACAATGCCAAAATAAAAAAAAAGCAAAAAAATCATAAAGAAATGCCAAAACACAGCACAAAAATTTTGAAAAACTTGTGAATTGTCGCTAATGCCATTTCAATTTCGTATACATATGCAAATGTCAGTGGAAACTCGAAATCAAAGTCCGACGAAGAACGAAGCCTTGAAGAATAGAGAAGAAAGGAAGTCGGCTTCCGGCGTTTTAATGCAGCCGCTTGAAATTGAGAACCTATCAGGCTTGCTGGGGGAAGTTGAAGTTGATGTACATATAACTCTATTTGAAGTAGATGTCAATGTAATTTTGATTTCAACTGTATTAAAAATATAAAATTGTAAAAAAAACGTTATTTTGTTTGACGTATTTTACAAAAAAAACTCATTTTTTAAATTCCAATAGGCAAACAGATCTTAAAGCTACTGTTTATTAATAAATAACATAACAACTATGACATATTGTTATTACCACTAACTAACGTCTTACCTTTGCTAGAAAATGGTAATCTCCTTAGGACTTCCGTCATTGTTAATCTATGTCATCTTATAAGTTGGCTTTTCTTTACCATGGGAAGGGTAGGGTAAGGTATGATAAGATAGAGTAGGACAGAGTAGAATAGGGTAAAGTAGAGTAGGGTAGGGTAGGGCAAGGTAGAGTAGGGTAGGGTAAGGTAGAATAGGGTAGGGTAGGGTAGAACAGGGCAGGGCAGTAATTAGTATTCTACCGTAAATGTCACCAATGTAAACACACAACCGTAGCTGACCACAGTGTTTGTGATGTCACAAACCGGAAGTTGGCGCATGTGTTACCTAACACAGCTCTTTATAGTCCATTACGAGGTCACCCACCGAGTCAGGTAGCAAACACGACTAAAATAATATAAAGCATGACCATTACACAACATTCTTTGATGTACTACAGAATTCTTTAAAGCATAACAAGCTCTAGAGTAACTTCGAAGTCTGACATAAGCCCTGAAACAACTACAAAGCCTTATTTAAGGTTAGAAATTAATTTTAATTTTTAAAAAATTTAAATTTCAAAAAATGTTACTAATTTAAACTTTTTTTTAATTTATTAGATAACATTACCATGTCCAGAAGGCCAGTGCTCAACAGATTGCTTTCACGTTTCCAATTTTGTTTGCATTGTATTTTATAAACCGATATCCGATATGGTTTTGAATTCAACGAGAGAACACTGTGTTTCGAGAGAGCAGCAAAGAAAACGAAGATGGGTTCTAAAGTTAACATATGACAGCCTGGAAAAGCTATATTTGAGCTTGCTGTTGGCTGAAATTACGCTGAAAAACATTAAAAATTAATATTAATAATTTAAAAGGTTAGGAAACATCAATAACTTTTAGTTTATATCAAAAACTAACATAATATTGATAAACAAAAATCAAATTACTAAAAAGATTAAAAAAATAACGCAAGTCTAGTTTTATTAGGTAAAATTATACATCTTTTGACTTTTAAAACTCTAAATTTACTGTTTGTGTCAAAGCTAATGCAACATCTATCAAACCCTTTCTGCAGCCTGCGAATTTCTCCCGCTAAAAGAAGTATACGGGCGCGCGCCGCGAAAAATAAAAATAATTTCGCAAAACCTTTTTTTTCAACAAAATCTATCCTTTTTGTTGATAAAATGGAAGATGTTACAGCAAAAACTGAAAATATACCAAAACCAGATGAACAATTGACTTTTGTTTCTGAAGAATTGAAGGAATTACGTGAGTTTTGAGTAGTTGTTTTTAGTTTTTAATTTTTAGGTAATAAGATCCAAGTTATTGAAGCTGATCTCTTTGCTCAACGAACTCATGTAGCTGAGCAATCTACGGAGATATTTGGATTGAATAAAAAACTCAAATTGGCTGGTAAGTTTGGCTTTTTATATTGTTCATGGTTTAGGTTAATGTGTTTTCGAGGAGCTTGTTCAGATTTTTCAAAAAAATTTGTTAACGTATTTTAGAAAAAAAGGCTTTAGAAGCTTTTAATTTATATTTACAGAAGCTGAGAATGCTACGAGCAACAGTACGCTCCGTGACATCACGGCGGACAATACTCGGATGAGGAATGAGCTTGAAGCCGTGACACAGGAGCGAGATTATCATGTTAATAGTGTTAAGGATCTCGAATCACAATTAACTAGTTATAAAGAACAATCTACTAGACTTGAAAAGACTTTAGAATTGGAACGACGAAGGTATTCGGAAGATAAATCAGCGCTGGATCATATTCAGAAGCAGAACATTGATCTTAAGAATAACGCTCGACGTTTTGAGGTATGTTGGTAGAGTTTAGTTTATATTATTGTCTTTAGATTGAAAATGAACGTTTGAAACGAGAGTTACAATTGGCGGATTATACACAAAAGCAGAGTAACGAAGAGCTAGTACAATATTTGGCTGAAAGGGACAACTTGAAGTATGAATTGGTAAGGGTTTTTACCTATATAGTTTTTGTAGATCCTTGAGGGCCTTTTTCATATGACTTTAGCAAGTTATGTTGTGCTTTTGGCTATTAAGATCTTGTTTTAGCAAAAACTGTCAACAAAAAGCGTGGAAGTTGAAGCCGTTGCCAATTTAAAAGTTCAGGAGTTTGAAATTGGGCAAAAAAAGTTAAACAAAGATGTTGAAGACTATCTAAACCAAATTGAAGTTCTCAAAACAGCGTGTCAAAAGTTCAAAGCTCGAAATGAACAACTTACTTCTCAATTAGAATTAACCAAAAAAACTGCTGTAGAATGGGAGAGACGTCACGCAGAAGCTGTGGAAAGCTACGATGGAGAGTTCGGAAGGTTGACAGAAGTGGCTGAGAGATCTGAAACGGATCTTCAGGCTAAAGACGATGAGATTAGTAGGATAACATGGTTGTTGGAGGGGAAAACAAGGGAACTTGAAGCTTTGGCGTTGGAAAAAGGTGGGAAATAGTGAATAAGTTGTTATTTATTGTAAAATACGTCTTTCTTAATTGTGAAAATTAAATTTTTAGTTTGTTTTAGCTTTTATACTTTGTGTTATCAACTAAATCAAGACTTTTTAGACCAAGTAATTCAGCGGTTACAAGAAGAAGTTCATAACGTCAAAGAAGATTTAAGATTAAAAGAAGAAAGTAAGTGGAAAGCATGATATTTTTGGTCTTTTGGTGGTAATAAAGACAAATTTTATACTGTTTTCAATGTTTTATGTCTTTCCTACAATAAAAATGCATTTCAGTGTACCAAGGAGGACCGGCCTTTTCCACAGCAGCTCAAGAAACCCTATCCCTACTTAAGAATGCCCAGTCTTTAACCGAGATCTATAGATCTCATATTCAAGTCAAAGCAGAACTGGCTAAAAAGACTGTACTACTAGAACAAGCCGACACAACTTTAACTAAACTACAACAAGATTTCTTGGCCAACAGTTCAGCTTTGAGTCTACAAACGGCCCAATTTGAAGAAACGACCCGTGAACTGCAACGTGCTAAAGCTCAACTAAAACAATATAAACAAGAACGAGACGAAATGACGGTGGCCCGAAATGCTTGTCAACATGAACTACAGTTCATCACTGATGAGTTGGAAAAGTATCAAGGAGATTGTCGCTGTTTGTCCGAGCAGATTCAGAATTTGTTGAGGCAGGATCAGGATCGTATGGAAGGGGAGAATATTTTCAGTTTTTCTGATATTAAAGAGTTACAAAGCAAGAACTTGGAATTGGTTAGGAGGTAAGAAAGGTTTTGGCTTGTTATTGAAGGTTTTTATTGTTAAATTGTTGGCGATTGATATTGAAGTAGGCAGGGGCGTCGCTACGGATTTTTTCTGGGGGGGGAGACGCAAAAAAAAATTTTTTCGTCCACGGGACCTGTGGACCGATTTTTCAAATATCTTTTTTTTCGACTTTTTCGCGTTCAGGTACCTACCTGAGGATTTTTTTTTTTTTTCGGATCGGCTCTGGGGGGGGGGGGTCCACCCCCCCCTCCCCTCTAGCGACGCCCCTGGAAGAAGGTATGTGTTGTAAAAAGGTTTAGAAAAGCACTGTTTTTTATTTTTTTTGTGTTTAAAGCTTATATTAACGATCAAAAATGGCTTCAGGACCTGAAAATGGGTCCGAATTGAATGACAAACTTAGCATTTCTTGCTAGCATGCATACAGCGATTACTAGACTTTCACGACGAGCCGGGCTGGTTTTTAAGCCTGGACTGCCGCAATTTTACTGAAGTCCGGCTCGTCGTTTATATCTAAGTATCACCCTTGTACTACAATATAAACCTATATCTTTCCAGACTAAACACCTTGGAATCCGAAAAAGAAGCAGCGATCAAAGAAGCGGAAGACCTGAAGTTTAAGGAACTGAAGGACAAGTTAACAACGGCCGAAAAGATAATAAAGGATAAAGAATGGAACATTCAAAAGTTGACTACTTTATACGAAAATGTTCACGAAGAACTAAAAGCAAGCAGTAACAGAGAAAAACCAACAGAAATCAGAAGTTCTTTTGACTTTACTGTTACTCAGTTCAATGATCAGGCCAAGAATTTGGAAGCTTTGCTTCAAAGGCTGAAGGACAACTTGGAGAAGAGGAAGGCCGAGATTTTGGAGTTGTCTTTGTAAGGGTTTTATTTTTTTTTTAAATTTTAGGGTTTTTTGATGAAAAAAAGGAATGTAAAATACGTAACGGGAACATTATTCAAAATGAGAAGGTAGAAATTACCTAAGCTTAACTTTATGGCTAAAAAATTAATTTGGGAACTTCTCAACTTCTTTAAAATTGCTTAAATACATACTTACATACCTAAAATAATGTTTACAGAAGTCACCAAAAAGAAGAACAAAGATGGGCACAAAACAAAGAAGCCTTAACCTCTCAATTGAACAAAGTCAAGGCTGAGTTATCAGAAAAACTAACGGTATTGACTAATGCCATGAAGAAAGAACAAGAACTGAAGTACAGACTAAAGGAATCCGAAGTTTGTTACGGTGGAATCAAAACGAGACTAGAATTCGTGGAGAAAAAGAAGAATGAACTGCTGGAGAGGGAGAAGAGAAAGGATGAAGCTTTGGCTGATTTGAGGTGGGTTTGAGGACCCTAACAGTCCTGTAAAGCCGTTGGGATGGGTCTAGTAGGCCTCTTTTCTGGTCTATTATATAAAGGGTTTTTTATCTTTTGGGTGGATTTTTTGATTTTTTTGTAAAAAATGCACAGGGGGGGGGGACCAAGCTCAACTTTTTTTTAAAAAAAATTAGAAAACTTTATATTATATACCTAAAAATTTGTTTTTTTATTATATTTGTTCCCTTTCCAGAAGCAAAAATCGAACGATGGAAGTAGAGCTCAAAGACCTGACGAAAAGAAACGATTTCCTCAAAGCCCAACTTACACAATACGAAAAAAACACAAACCTAAGCCTGGAATTGAAAACAGCGTGCAGTGATCTAGAAGCATTGATTGAGCGCCAAAAAGTTCAGATCAAACAAGAAGCAGACCTCGAAATCCGTCAATTGAGCGAAGAAGTCGAGAACTTAAAAAGCAAACAGTTGCAGCTAACTCAAACCAAAGAAACCTTGGAGAATGAACTTAAAATCACGAAAACGAGCTTTGAAAACGAAGTTAAGAGACTCAAGTTTGAAGTGGAAAATGCCGAAGTCTCACTGGAACCAATAAAGAATGAGAATCAGGAGCTGAAGAAGAAGATCCAGACATTGACGAAGGAATTACTGGATTGTCAGAAGAATGAAACTGAAGTAACGTTGTTCGAAACGAATAATAGCATGTTGATGAGTGAGATTGAGGTTATGAACTATCAACTTGATGCTACAGAGCGGTTGTGCGAATGTAAGTTTGGATGGTTTTAGGTATAGTATATGAATGGGTTTTAGATATAGTATCTGTTACGTTATAATCTTTTTAAAATTAATGGTATTGGCATTATAATGTAGACTTGAAAGGGAGTGATTTGAAAAGCTCATTCATAATTTCACACGTAATATTGTAACTTTTTTCACGAAGATATTGTAATAGTATTGTGTAGGTGGCCCTATCGTATTTTACCTTTTTTCAGTCTGGAAACACAGGTGGTTTAATGAGTTCAAAGGCAAGGTAGGGGCTACGACTTTATCCACAGAAGAACAGATTGACTACGCGGTGTTGATCAAGGATTTGATTGAGGAGAATGAAAAGACGGTGCAAGAAGCGTAGGTTTTACTATAATATTATATGTTCAGCGTCTTCTATTATCTACATCAGCTTGTTTTAATAGCTACTTGAGCTTCTTTTACTATCTAATTCAGTCGCTGTTAATGTCTACTTCATCTTCATTGTGCTCTACTTCAAGCTCTACTTTTTTATAGTTGTATTTAACACTACCTTAACCTAAATTATTCTCTTTCAGAAACACTCGCGTTTTAGAAACACTGCGTCGAAACATGGACCTAGAAGTTGAGAAGCAATCACTAGAAGCATCGATAATTGAAATCAACAAACACGTAGAGGCCGAAAAACAAAAATGGATGCAAGAAGCCAAAGAAGCGACGGAAAAATTCGAGTTAAGACCGGTGAAACGAGAATACGAACCGATGGAATTGGAAGAACCCAAGGCGAAAGCGATAAAAATTGAAGTAAATTACATTGAAGAAGAGTTAAGAGCAGAATTGAGCAAGAAACAGAACGAAATCAGTGGATTGAGGGAGCAGATACAGAGTTTTAAGGTGAGGATACAATGGTCTTTTGAAAAAATGAAATTTTAGGTATCAAATTGTTAAAAAATGTTAAAATTTTCGAAAAAAAATATTTTTGGAGTAAAATACGGATTTGTAACTTCTGTCTGACAATATCTTATAACCTGTCACATTACAGAAGCTCGCAGAATCCGATAGAGTTCAATTAATCGAAGACCTGAAGAAATATGAAGCCGAAAAGAAGGAAGTTTGGGCCAGATTGGACGAATTTATCAAAGAAACTACCTTGAAATTGGAAAGCAATGCAGGTTCAGTAACAGAAGAGCTGCTTGAAACACTCAGGAAGGGATTGGCTTTTGTATGTTAATTATAAGTTAAAACGCTTAAGAAAAGTTTTTTGTTATGTTAGGCTGTTCAAATAATTCTGTGCTTTTTTTTAATGGAAATTTTTTGGGATAGGGGCACATAATTATTTGAACAACCTTATAAAAAATATATGAAAACATTGTTAATTAACAAAAACTTTCTTTACAAAACACAAAATGGCAAAAACTTTCTTTACAGAACGAAAAATGGCAAGTATTTTCTTTACTAAACCAAAAATGGCAAAAACATTATTACAAAACAAAAAATGACAAAAACTTTTTTTACAATACATTAAATGGCCAAAACTGTTTACAGAGAGAAAAATGGCAAAAACTTTCTTTACAGAACGAAAAATGGCAAAAGCTTTCTTGACAAAGCGAAAAACGGCAAAAACTTTCTTTACAAGACTATTATACTTTTATTTTATGAATTGTTTTAGGAGATTAATCAACGATTGAATTTTGCTAGCCAAGTTCAGGCATTGCGGCTGGAAAACCAAGACTTCATAGCTACACAATTGACTTTGCGAACGGAGCTGAACCAAGCCAGAAAGGAGATTTCTGTAAGAGGCTAAAACTATATTTTTACCTTATTTACTAAAGTTTTGATATTTTTTTGATTCTCAGCTACATTTTTGATCCTTGGCTATTTTTTGATTAAAGTTATAATCCTTGTACATTTATAGGTCAGAACCAGCCAACTAGAACAAACAAAGTCTTCCTTATTAGCCCAAATCGACAAACTAAAACAAGTGATCACGGAAAAGCAAGAAGCCCTGAACAACGCCAACTCCAGCTGGACCGCCAGACTCGAACAACAACACAAAGTCATCAACCAACAAGTCGAAACACTCAAGAAGCAGTTATCCGAACAATCGACCGAATTATCGACCATTCGAACCGAGAAACAGAAAGTCGAAAAGGCGTTGGAGATCAAGAGCAAGGAGTACATTCAAGTACGATCGATTGCTGTAAAATACAAAGAGTCAGCGATGAAAGCAATGGCTTCATCTTCAAATGCAGCTACACCTTCAACCTCAGCTCCACAACAAGCTGCATCATCGGCTGCTGCGGCTCCAGTAGTAGCGGCTTCATTCTCAACACCAGCTGTTCCAGCTTCATCTAGGGCTATCCATCCACCAAAGACTAGTCCAACGAAACCGCGAGGAGCTACGCAACGTCAAGTAAGACCACCAGCTGGTTTGGCTCGAGCTCAACAACAGATTTTGCGCGCTCAAGGCGTGCCGAAACCAGCACCAGCTGCACCGCTTTACGGACAAAACAAGGCCAAGATTTTAAAGTTGGAGGAGGATAATAAGGTGGGTTTAGGAGGGTATAATAAGGTGGAAAAGGGGCGTTTTTTATACAAAAAAAGCTAGTCTAGGCTCAGAAATTTGACAAAAAGGAGTTTTTTTTTTTTATTTTTAGGTTTTTTGTCAATTTTTTGTCTCAAAAACTTGATTTTCTAATGTTATACTCAATTGCCTAGCCATTTTTGTAAAGTAAATTCATTTTAGCGCCTTATTATTCTAGCCTTCTCAATATAAACCAATTTTTGCAGGAACTAACAACAAAATTAACGGCCCAAACCACCGAAAACCAGAACCTAAAACAAAAACTCGAAGCTTTGGAAGCCCAAATCAAGGAGAAAGAGCTACGAATCGCGGCGATGGAAAAGAAAATCACCGAGTTGGAGGATCAAAACTCGGAACTTCAGTCCACAATCGAATCAGACGCCTTCAGGCACAGTGCTATTGAAGGCTCGTTCAGCAGAGCCAAACAAACCATTGAGGAATTGAAGAAGCAGATCGAAACGTTGAACATGGAAAAACAAGTTCTGTTGGGAGGAAGTCAACAACAACCTGGTTTTAGCTTTAACGGGTTACAGGGAAGTCAGTAGATGAATGTAAAGATTTGTTTAGTGTATAAGAGGTAGTAGAGGGACGTGAAATGTTAATTTAGCGTACAGAAGTTTGAAGATGAATATAATGATTCACTTATACGTGTTATACTGAAGTTCCTTATTAATTTTTAAGTTTGAGTATAGTTTTTATTGTTGAAACTGTTCTAGATTACTATAACTTATTATACTGTGTTGTTTCTCATAGAAAATAAACGTTTATAATTATATTTGACATTTCCTAAAAGGTAGCAAGCAGTACCTTTTTATTTTTAAAGGTTTTTTTATCGTTTTCTGTGCCAGGAAGGTATTATTAGTTTTTTAGTAATAATCTTCTCTTTTTTCTTCTGTACTATTTCCTGCTTTTTATTATCTATATTCCAAGCGCTTTTATATTAAAATTTTTTTTATAAGCAATTCAACAATTATATACATAATTTTCATAAAAATTTCAATTATTTCACCGGTAATATCGATATACAATACAAAACCATTATAAATCATCTCCTTTTCTTCTTTAAGCCAAAGCCTTTAGGCAGTTGCCATTTCAGAAACAAGGCTTCTTTTCGTTGTTTCAGCATGCTATACTTGTCCAACGCATTCTTCATTTCAAAGTCTTCGTGCGCTTCTGTTAATTCACTGACCACGTCTTCTAACTCGTACGTTAAGTCATAGGCATCGAACATGTTGTTCACAGCATTGACGAAGTACCTCTTTGGCCGTTTTGTTGGTGGTGGCATCATCATGCAGTTATTGTCTTCTTGAATCATCGCTTTTGTTATGGCATCCATTTCTGACCAGTCGTCTTCTTCTTCAATGATGTAGCCGTCTTCATCTAGGGTAATGCCGCCAACTTCATCGTTCTTCTGGCACTCTTCAACTTGTTTTGGGGCCGTGAACGTGGTATACGGCACATTCAGATCATCAAGATCAATTTCATCAAAATTGATCTCGGCCGATGGCACGGTACGATCAAAAGGCATCGTACTGGCCTTTTGGTCGCAAGTCTCGGCCTTTCTTTTTTCAGGCCGCTTCTTGTCTTCAACCACGAAAAGTGGCTGAAGATTGGTCACATCGACCTTCTTGGTGTTGGCCGCCTTCAGAATCTTGCGGACTTTTTTAAGCGCCTTGGTGTCGGCTTTGGCTTCCTTCACGGCTTGGGCGACGGTGTTGTCGTTGAAGGGCAGCTTCAAAAACATCTTCTTGTTGCGGGCTGGAACAACACGGACGGGGTATTCGGTGTGGGCTGACATTTTTAGCTGGAAAAGGTTGGGTTAGTATAGTCATTAGTGATTATATTGATGTTATTGGTTATTGTTATAAAGTGTATAAGCTTGAGTTTGTTAAAGTTAGAGTAGTTGTACAAGCCTGGTCAAAAGGTATGTAGAACATTAAGTATATGAAAAGTTTTTTTATTGATATGGACCATACGATTAGGGGTGAGAAACGGGCCGTCTAGGCCCGGCCCGGCCCTACGATCGGGCCGGCCTTGAGCTAAAATTGGGCCCGGGCCAGAAAAAAAAATTTTTTTAAACGTTGGGCCCCGGGCCTGGGCCGGGCCCAAAAAAGTGGGCCCGGCCTGTTTCTCACCCCTACATACGATCTTTCTGTCTAGTCTAGTACAATGTAAACATTTTTTTGGCTAGTCCAGTAAAATATACTAAATAAAGGCTTTTTCTTTAAACTTTTTGACCGAAAAAACTATAGTGGATTATAGAGTAACAACTACTTACAATAATATAAAAAAATACTCAAAAATATTATACAATTAACAATATTAACTTACTTTGTTGACGAACACACGAAGGTAGTTTTAATATAAAATTAAAGGAGCTATATAAGCTATGCAGCTTGATCGCAGGCTTACAGTTGGTAAGAGTGAAGAGAAAAAACCCGATTTTAGTATCTTTTAGGTTTGTGTTGATTATTAAGTGCTATAAAGTTTTTTCGTTGACCTGCGACCTCCGATAATGCCTTAAGGACTTAAACCGATCGGAGATTTAAAACTTTTCTTTGATATTTCAAGCCCGAGGATTTACCGGAGGTTATGCAATAGATACGGAGAGAGTTTGGGGTTTGAAAGCTTGTGGACTTTGTACTGGAATAAAGTTTTTATCTTTGTGGACTGTGTACTGGAACAAGGTTTATATTAATTTATATTATATTAATCTTAGCTGGAACAAGGTATTTTCATGAACTTTTACTTGGATTATATTTTTAATTTAAAAGAAACCTTGTGCTAGGACAAGGTTTATATTGAATGAACGTGGTACATGACATTTGAAGGTAAGACGACTTTCTTTTTTTAAAGTTATGGTAATAAGAAGTTTAAGTAATGGCTATAGGTCTAATTTCAATTTTTAGAACTGAACATGGGTACCTAGCTGATTGGCAAATGCAAATATTGACTTTGATGGCATATATATTGATTGGATTGTTAATTTTGATATTATGTGCTTTGTGACCCGTTCAGTAGCTTTAGTTATGGACAACATCATGAATATTGAATTTTTTATTTACTACAGCAACATTTGTATTTTATTAGGCGTTATATACGTGTATATAAGGTTTAGTTTGAGTACGAAGCCTGTATAAGACAAGCAACCAATTGTTTATAGTCTCCATCCACTTAGCAATTCCTATTGAGTTGCAATTTACTAATGCGCCTGGTTCGGTCGGCCGAAGGACCGGCGGTTTATTGGTCGTCATCACAACCGACTGAGCCACAACCGAACCGAAAAAGCAACGAAAACATGACAAATTTATTCCAAACAACTAACATATCGAAAAGTTCAAACAACTAACACTTTAAAAACATTTTCAACTATCATAGTGTAACAAGTGCAACTACAACCTATTTAATGGTTTCAATCCTAATAGTTCAATCCCCTCTTCGAGAACATTCCTCGACGCCACAAATACCATAAGTCTTCCCAATGCCAGCTTTTTGTCCGGCTCGTCTTTGACTCTGGCTGTATGCATTGCGGTGCCAATTCGGCTAGCCAATCTTGCCATATAACTCAATAAGGGTGAGGTTTCTGATGACAAGAAACTTGTGTACAAGGAGGCGTCCAGTTCATATAGACATTGACATAGCTGGCGAATGCTTTGTTCTGGATCGATTTGAATCCTCGACCAGTCGGTTTCCGAGTTTTTGGCTCGTTCCAGTTCGAGGATTAGGTCTTGGTTGTTCTCGATTAGGGAGGTGATTCGGGCATATTTTTCCTGAAAAAAATTTTAAATCGGAAAAATAGCGAATAAAAAATTTTTGGAGGCCCAATTAACACCAAGACCATCAATATCAACTCACCTGAATCGCAAAAAGGCCCTTTTGCTTGAACAAATCTTTGAAATAGAACATATACTCTTGATTTTTATTCCGTTTCATGTCGTTTATGAACAATGCTGTTTCTGCTAGTTCTCGTGCTACGGCTGGTATTTCCTCGTCTGATACCTTCATTGTAGCGGATTTTCTGATGAATTTTTCGGCTTGACGATCTCCATCGATTAGGATTTGTTCTGTTGTCTCTACTTTACCTAGTCTGAAAATTTTAGGCTTATTAAGGCTAATCCTTTGGTATCTTTCTTTTATAAAAGGCTAAGCATTTGGTATCTTTCTTCAATTTTTAAAAAATTATCACCCCTAAAGGAAAAATAAAAAAAATTAACCCAACCCACATTTTTTAGCTTTTCTAATCAAATTTAAGTTCCTTTTATCTCAATTCCTCTTCTTCTTGTTCATTATAAAACGTTAAAAAAGTCTTGTCGCCAATTAACATAGTTTCCCACGCTAAATAGCGACAAGACTTTTTCAACTCCTAATATTATATTAGGGTGTTCAAATAATTCTGTGCTTTCTGACGCCGATGATTTGCTTTGAGAGAGGGCACAAAATTATTTTAACAACCTTCAGCGGGGCACATAATTATCTGAAAGACCTAATAAAAACAGCCAAATTTTCAAAATCAATAATTACCTTGTTGACATTCCGATAACTCGTCCAAATCCCAAATGGAGTATTTTGTCGGCCAAGTCGGATCGATTCATCAGTCCCAAGATGTGTTTCAGGTGTTGGAAATGCCTTGCTTGTGCTCGATCAACAACATAAACGTACTCATCGGCTTCGTGAATCTTGTCACGGTTTATGGCACATGCTACTTCACTGAAGCAAACTTTCGAGATTAGGGGCACAAATATATTTAAACACCTAATATTATTAGTTTTAGCGCACTTTAAGTCGAAATCCATTGAAAATTTAACTTTACCGTGACAAATACAATGTAGTGTTATCACTCTTCCTCAACACCGAATAGCCACCAACATTCTCATCCCTAATTATCCATATTCCATCTGGAGTTTGTTTCACTTTACCCTCGGCGATCAGATCATCCACCAGCTTAGAAGCCGCGGCGACATGATCGGATTCACAATCCCACGAATCAAACTTGATCCCAAGACCTTTGTAGAATTCTTCCAGATAATCCACAGACACCTTTCTGATCTCGGTCCATAGTTTTAGTGATTCTGCCGAGCTGTCATTGCTAATCAAAGCCGTTTCCATAGATTTTAGCAGGCTCGTGGCTTCGTTGTAGAATTCTGGTTCTTGTTTCGCACGAGCTACTGCCTCAACATAAGCTTTTTGAATCAGTCTTAACTTTATGGATAATGAAGCAGTTGATTCTATTTGATGATATTTTTCGTATAATTCACTGTGAGACCAATATGAAGCGAGTAGACCAAATTGTGTCCCCCAGTCACCAAGGTAGTTGACTGAAGCGACTTGATTCCCCGCTAGCACGTTGATTTTGCAGAAAAAATTCCCGACCAGGGTTGATCTGGAATCAGTAGGTTAATACAAATTATATTATAATAGATAATAACGTTAACAAGCGTATTTTACAAAAAATGGATATTACACTACTTTGATTGTTGTTGTTAACTATAAATCGTTATAACTTTCCTCAAACTAATCATATTAACGCCATTTTTTTAAAACATCTTAAAATTTTTTAAAATTTATGGTACACAAATTTCAGAAAAAACGACATCAAAAACTTTTGACATTTCTTTGATCCATGATGCAACCTACCACAATATCAATACTCATCAAAAACAATGCAAATTAATAAAGTAAAGTTATAACGACTATTTTTAAACTATCCTTACCTCAAATTTCCCACATGAAACTGTTTGGCAATGTTTGGCGAGGAGAAATCAACAACAATCTTCTTGTTTACCACATTTTTGCTTTCGAAGATCTCACGGAATATACAGCTCTTATTCTGCAGTCTTCTTAAGTACAACAGCATCTAAAACTATGTAAAATCATTTAAAGTATAAGTAACTACAATATCGTATTTATTTTCGTACAAAAATAGGGCAAAACCATCAGTTTAATAGCTCGAAATTATATTATCCATGAAAAAAGCTGAATAAAACAATGTTTTGTATCTGAGATAACATAAAACAATAAAAAACAAGAAATATAACAAACTAAATTTATTTAAGGCCTTTTTATACTTCTTACATTACTTATGGCCATTTTAAAAGTAAAAACTTCGAAGTTTTATAAAATAAAAATTCCGAAAATATTATTTGACATTTCGTCATTTTACTATCGGAAAAGAGATTTGCAGAAAATATTTTTCTTTTTGAAGTGAATTTCGACAGAGTTTTGTTCTATTTTGTAAACAATCAGTTATAAACTATTTTTTTATTGTTTGATACATAATTTTTGACACATCAAAACTATGGCGGCGTTTTCTGAGCTTGGAATGTTGCCAGAGCTGGCCAGTGCTATTGAAGAGATGGATTGGACGTAAGATACCTTTCATATTTAGTTTAACTATGGCTTTTGATGGGTCTATTTAACAATTTTTTAACGTGTGATTGGTTATCGACGTATTTTACATTTTTTTATTATTCATAAAGGTTTTGTCTATATTTCTTTAGATTGCCCACAGATATTCAATCCGAAGGAATTCCGGCGATCTTAGGTGGTGGAGATGTTCTTATGGTATGGTTTTATCCTCTTATGTTATATGTTTAGGCAGCTGAAACGGGTAGTGGTAAAACTGGAGCTTTTTGTTTGCCAGTGTTACAAATTGTGTGGGAGTCGATGAAAGAAGCTCAACTTGGTCGAAAACGGAAAAGAAGTGGTAAGAACAAGGTTTAATTAACTTAATTGGATAGTGTTTAACCTTTTAAAATTGAAGTTGAAGAAGTCTTTCATAAATTCGTTGAATTCTGGTTGATTTTTTTCCTCTAACATGTTTTTGTAACTTATTTAGCCCTTTTTAGTTTTTAATTGTTTGTTAAAATTCTTGAAGGTTTATATGCTTAATGAACGTTAATGGCTTTAGATGGTTTTTCGTTTATTTTAAATGTAAAATAGTTTTGTTTTAAGGCCTTGAGCCATGGCGAATGAACATTTTTGACCGAGGCGCCAACGCGGGTATTGATCAATCAGGTTTGATTGTTAAAAGTACTCATCCCGAGTATTGGAATGGTGCTAGAGCTACAACAGGCGTTACTGGAAAAGGTATAGAAAGATAGTCTTTAACTGCGTTTTTTATATTGTGGTAAATAACAGTTTAATATTGTTATCCACACCATGATTTAAATTTTTTCTAATATTGTATGTTTTAGGAAAGTACTATTTTGAAGCAAAAATAGAGACAGATGGTCTAGTTCGTATTGGATTATCTACGCTAAATGCAAAATTAAATTTGGGTTCAGATGATCAAGGTTATGGCTTTGGAGGTACTGGTAAGAAGGTACATGCTAATAAATACGAAAATTATGGAGAAGCTTTCACTCTTGGAGATGTTATTGGATGTTACCTGGATTTGGATTTTGGTCAAATTTCTTTCTCTAAGAACGGCGAAATGTTTGATTTGGCTTTTGAAATCTCCAAGGCCAATTGGAATGCGGTTTTCTATCCAACTGTCTATGTTAAGGTAAGGGGTTTTGTTGGAATAGCTTTGATTTTTAGTTGCTTTTGTGGTGATATGGTTTTGGGGAAGCTTAAATGAATTTTTTGATTGTTAGGTTTATTTATGGGTCAAAAAGTAAATAGAATTGGCTTTTTTCTTAATTTTAACATTTTTTTTATCAAAGGTCGTACAAAAAATTGTATTCTGGACTTATAAATTAATGGGAATTGCTAAGCGAATCTATCTCAATTTGAAGTCTAAACTAATTTTTTCAGAACGCAGCGGTCAAACTAAACTTCGGCTCAGAAGCCTTCAAATACAGTCCGGCAGTGCAAGTTATGGCGATTTGTAAAGCTCCAAGTGCTTGTCAAATCCCATCGAAACGCAACACTTTGGGCGGTGTTTTGAACAAACGACCAGAAAATGCACCAATGTGCTTGATTGTCGAACCTACGAAGGAACTTGCCCAACAAACATACGATCAGATGGAACGTTTTTCAAAGTTTTTGGATACTCCCATTGTTCGGTATGCTATTGTGGGTGTGGTAGGGGTATGAGGGCCAAGAAGGTTTAGATATAACGGGAGAGAACGAGGAAGAACATTTTTTGCCTAATATGACTGTCTAAAGCACTGTAATATAACGCGAAACACCTTATTTTTAATGTTGAATTCATAAACCTTTACCTTCAGAAACGTCTTGGTCGTTGGAGGAACATCAGTCGTAGCCCAAAAGCGTGAGATCGAAGAAGGAGTGGATATAATATGTTGCACACTAGGCCGCTTGAAAGATTTAGTTTCTCAAGATGCGGTTGATCTACAATATGTTCGTTTCTTTGTGATTGACGAAGCTGATTCGCTGGTTTCTCAAAGAGAGGCAGGCCGAACTATCAGAGAATTGAAGGAGAAGATGCCGATTTTCACTGAAGATGGCTCAAGATTACAGATGATTGTTTGCTCGGCTACACTGCACAATGCTGATGTTAAGAGAATGGCGGTAAGCATGAAGTGTATTTCGAAGTAGTATAGATCTTTTTGAGTAGTATTAGGTTGTTTACAGGGACGTCGTTTGGGGGGGGTGGTTCGGAGTGACTCCCCCCCCAGAGCCGATCCGAAAAAAAATCCACAGGTAGGTGGCACCTGTACGTGAATAAAAGAAAAAAAAATTTTTCGAAAAATTGGTCTACAGTTTATTATGTGAACAAATTTAATGATTTTAACAAAGCAAAAGGCAAATGTTTTAGGTAACAAACGAGTTTTTTTTCGATTTAAAAGAATTTTTAAAAAATTTTTTTTTATTATAACATCGTCCTTTGATCAAAAATCATATTACAGTACCACAAAGTTTTGTCGTCAATATTTAGTTTATAAAAATAGACGGTAAAACATATTTAACACCATGATATGGCTAATTTAATACCTAAAACGCATGTTAATGTTGCTCAGAACTCAAACTTTAAATTTTGAATAGCTGTTGTTTGAATTAACAATGATAAATGTTATGATTTTAAGAATAAAGGATATGATTGTAGGACCAACACATGCACTTTCCACAATGGGTCGATCTAAAAGGACAGGATTCAGTTCCAGACACTGTACATCAAGTGGTATGCATGGTTGACCCAGTAGAAGATAAAAGTTGGATCCGACTGAAGTTTCAACCAAACTTTGGAATTAAGGTAAAATACGGCTATTACAGCTGGTAGCTGGTGTCGTCAATCATTTTAAAAAAATTTTTAATTGGTTTTCTGATTATAAAATGCTGTTTTTCGGCATTTTTTTGATCAAATTCATGGGAAATAAACCTTATTTTTGAAGAAAAGATGTAAGGTCAAGCCTGCTTTAAACAATTTTTAACATAACAAGCTTTTTCACTTTCAGACCGACCAAATTCACTCAAAATCAGAGGTAAAACCAGGATCAAACTCACCAGAAACCTTGTCAGAAGGCGCGAAAGTCCTCAAGCTGGTATACCTGCTAAAAGCAGTCGAACAACATCAAATGGACAAAGGAATCATCTTCTGTCGAACCAAATTGGATTGCGATCACTGCGAGCAATTCCTGCTTCAACACAATTACAGTGCTGTATGTATGCACTCGGACAGGAACTTCCAGGAACGTCACGAGAATCTGGAGAAGTTCAGGAAGGGCGAGGTCAGGTTTTTGGTTTGTACTGATGTGGCAGCGAGAGGATTGGACGTGAAGGGAGTGCCTTTTGGTAAGGAAGCTTGTTGGTGGTTTAGAAATGTGGAAGTTTTTTTTTTTTTGGTTATGTATGACATTAGAAATGACATAAAATAGAAAAGGAAACATTTTTTACCTAGGATAATATATGATTTTATATATTTTAAGGCTCCAAGAAGGTGATATTCTATAAAGACGAGTATAATTAAGTAAAGAAGTATGTGTAAAAGATTGTACTTATAGGTAGCAATTGTAAATGTTCACTTAAAACTTATAAAATCGGCTTTTCAGTAGTCAACTTAACCCTACCACCATCAGAAGAACTCTCGAGCTATGTCCACCGCATTGGCCGAGTGGGCAGAGCCGATAGAATGGGCTTGGCTATATCGTTGGTCTCAACAGTACCAGAGAAGGTATGGTACCACCAGTGCAGATCAAAAGGCAAAAGTTGCGAAAATACACAGCTAATACAACATGGAGGATGCGCCAAGTGGTACGATGAAAAAGGTGTAAGTCTTTTAGGTTATTCAAGCTATAATGACTTGTAATGATGTTCTAGGCTTGTAGTCAACATATAAGGTCGAATAGCAATATTTATTATCTAAAACTAGACTTTAAAGCATCAAAAATGATATTTTCAGTACCTAAACGAGATCGAGAACCATTTGGGTATAACCATCGCTCAGGTCGATTCGGACTTTGTTGTCCCAGTAAACGAATACGATGGCAAAGTGGTGTACGGAGATCGACGCCAATTAAACAAAGGCATTCAACACTCCCATGCCGTGGAAATGATGAGAACCGTCAAGGATTTGGCTGAACTGGAACGAACTGTCCAGCTCAACTTTTTGAACATGAAGCTTATTAAAACTAAATAGATGTTGCTAATTGTATAAATTTATTTATTGCTATATTGCTGGTTAAAAATTTAAAAAAGACCATTTATAAAAGAAGGCCTGTATAAGGAACATGGAGAAGTGTATATCAAGATAATTGATAATCTTTTCGTTGTAAAATTGGTCATAAATTAATGATAATTAAAGCTAAACGTACTATGATATGTCATCTATATAATTTTTATCAAAGACGATCCAAAAAGTTCAAATTATGTTAACCACCACATGATACCTAAATTTGATGAAAAACAAGCATTTAACACAAAATTTTAAAAATTTTGCAAAACTTAACGTGCCAAACAGACTACAATCTTGTGCATCTGTTAACTCCAAAACTTCATCATAAAATTTAATACTTACTCCGCTATCGACCAAAACTTCCGACGTAATCAGCTCCCCCAAAACTCCTTGACCCTTCGCGCACTTCTTCGGCTGTTCCACGATGGGCTTCGTAATCGTCAAAGAATAGTTTGTCACAGTCTTTACATTCTTCCAAGTGATTCTGCTCCAGGAACTCATCGGAAAAGGACAGGAGCTGTGGCGCGTATGGAGTTATGAGCGTCGGTCTGGATATTGGCCGTGAAAATACTACATAAAATTACTTTTAAAGAAAGTTTTCCTTGAACGAGCAACACAAGCTCTTTAAACATCGTTTTCATCATTTAATATTTACTACTTGTCGTTTTCTTCCAGCGGCATTAACTTTGATCGCCTGAAGCTGGGTTCGTTTTGAGGTCACGAACCGCTTCCCACCCCATATTAATGAAGATTTTACCTTTTTCAAACGAAAACCATAGCGTTCCACTAAAGACTAGACAGCAAAAACATCTGGGACTTTAGAATCTCGGACGTCATCATCTTTGGACTGTTTGGCCATTTTTTGTTCGGCGCGATCGTTCCCCAATGTATTCGAATTTTAATGCGGAGGCATCACAGCGGGACGACGGAATCACGCTACAACAAAAAATAAACTGCGGTTTATTGAAAGAGTGCGTTTTGGAATATTTTCTTACCGTCTCGGTCGTTTTTAATCAATCTTCAGGTTGGGGAATGTGACGGAAATATGGTTTTGGAGGGAAAAACTGTAAATTCTTGTCAAATTGAGGATTATAATATAAAGTAATGTTAGAAAAATATCAAATATTACCTACTCTGTCACATCTTTATCCAAGAAGCCCTTATCTTCACCGTTTTCAATAATCAAAATTAATCACAATTTACAGCGCAACATTTGACTCATTATCAAAAATTGCGCCAAGTCTCTCTTTATTTTGGAAATTTCGGAAATTTAAAAATATTTTTCAAAAATTTCGAAAATTTTTTGTGGTAATAGCTTCTAATGTCGTTCCTGAAGGGCCTTTGACGCTCGTTCAAGAAAAAGTTTGTTTAAAAGTAATTTTATGTAGTATTTTCATGGCCAATGTCCAGACCGACGCTCATAACTCCATACGCGCCACAGCTCCTGTCCTTTTCCGACGAATTCCTGGAGCAGAATCACTTGGGAGAATGTAAAGACTGTGATAAACTATTCTTTGACGATTATGAAGCTCATGGACGGGTGGAACGGCCGAAGAAGTGCGCGAAATGCCAAGGAGTTTTGGGAGAGTCGACTACGTCGGAAGTTTTGGTCGATAGCGAGGTAAGTATTAATTTTTATGATGTAGTTTTGGGGTTGAAAGATGCACAAGATTATGGTCTTGCTGATGGTTATGTTAATTTTGGCAAATTTTTGAATTTGGTGTTAAATGGCTGTTTTTTACAAAATTTAGGTATCAAAAGCTGGTTGGTTAGTATATTTTGGTATTTTTGACTAGTCTTTGATACGTTAGTAAAAAATATAAACAATTATACGTTCAGCATTAAAATTTTGCCAATTTGAAGCACATTTTATGAGGAATTAATGTATAATGAACTTGATATTCCTCAATCCTTTTGATGTTAACGTGATATTCTCCTCATTATTCTGAATCTTTTGAAGTTTGTTCGTTTTGAATCCAACCTTTGAGGTGTTAGAAGCTTTTAAATGCTAATGTTTTTTATTAATGTTTCATAATGATGATGTCCTAAAACAAGGAGTGCTAACAAGGGTTTGATTAGTTTTATTTGCAGATCTTTGGGCTTTTTTGAGGAATTATTTTTTGTGGTTTGCCTACGTTGTTGTGTTGTTATCTTATTTTGATTACAATGTTACTGTAGTGTTTAAAATTTTATTGAACTTTGATTTTAGGTAATTAATTTTGGAGATTTTTGCTTGATAATATCAACGGCATATTGTAGAGTAGGTGCAGTTTGTTTGGTCAAAAGTTGATTGAAACAATATTTTTAGAAGGGACTTGTATGACTTTTTTAAAATACAGAATATAGTTGTTACATATTATAAAATACGGATTTGTTCTGCTTGTCTAAATATTAAAATACGTTAAAATTCGAGAAAATTATCGAAGATTCGTGAATAAATTTATGGCGTTTATGAAGCTCGATCTGATTTTATTGCGATCTTGATGGTCTCTGCGGTTTCTTTGGGCTTTATGGCGGTTAGAATATTAATTTGTTAACCTGTTTTCATTTTTATAACTTATTTTTTAAAAGATAAAGTTGGAAGATGATGTTATCCTTGCTTGTTAGGCATAAATTTTGTTGTATAGACTCAATTTGTAAGGAAATTATTAATGACGCACATAAGACAATTAATGGTCACAAATCAGTCTTTTGTTCAACTTTTTCTGATCAAAAAAATAAACTGATAAAGGCACGAAGTTTAAAACTAATAATGTAATTTTTGGGCTGAGAAGAGGTATCTATTGGGTACATGAAGATATTTTTTGAGAAAACAATGAGAATGTTACCTAAATCTTAAGAATATAAAGCAAAAATTATTTTTTTGTTTGTAAAATACGAAATTTGGCGTTTTGTTATGCAACAAGGCTAAAATTTTGAAAAAAAATGAAATTTTAAGTTTGGACTTATTTATGATAGCCTAAATTTGTCTTTAGTTAACAAAAAACAGTTGACAGTAAAGTGTTATCAGTAGTGTTTTTATAAGATAAATGTTTCAGTCACAACATGTTGTTGTATGTGCGTTTTGTCACGTTTGTATCGAGCAGTTTTTGTCATCATATGACTGGGAATTAGTTGGGACATCCGATAAGAGACCATACATTATAATTCTATTTACGTTGGTTTTGAGGCCATTTTGATTGTATTGTAATGGAAATTTTATGTTGTTCTTGGTACTCTGATGTTTCTTTTAAGCATGAGTTGGCTTTGGCTAGTATGATATAATATAATACTCAACATACTCATCTCTCTTTTATAAGTAGTACGGGCAGTGTAAAGCGAGAGGAGATGGAACATGGAAGGGAAGTAAGGGGGTGATTTGATTTGTGGATTGTGACCTGGATTGTCATCGTAAAAACAAGTGTTTACAGATTTTTATTGAAAATCATAATTTAGATTTATGTTTAAAATTTAAAAATTAAACAACAGTCTGTTTTACTCTGTAAAACCTAACGAATGCTGTAGGTTTTGTTTGCATTTACAAGGTGGCTTTTCTTTGTAATAACTTTTAAAAATCAGTTTTTTTCTTCATTTCCTGTAGTTTGATTGTAAACATAAGTCTAACTGATCAATGTCAATACAAATATCTACCGTTTTGTGGATTAAAAAACCGTTTATTCTGTCTACGATAGGTTGTATATATAGTAGGTAGGTATATATAAAGGTTAGTAGATAGGTATATATAAAGGTTAGTAGATAGGTAGATATGAAAAAAGTTGAGGTCAGGAACGCAGCTTCAGATTTTCTAGGGTTAGGGTGTGGTAAATATAAGAAGGCGTGGATTTAAAGAAGAGTGAGCAAAGCGTGTTTTGAAAAGCGATCACAGATTGGGTTGGTCACAGCATTATGCAGAGCAAGGCATATAACGGCATAGGGCTGGGCATGAAAAATTCCCAATGCTTAGCCTAGGGTTTAAGCCTGAGTGTAAGGCCAAAAAAAATTCAAAAATTTTTGGGTCCAAGGTCTACCGTTGAAATTTTAAAGTTTTTTGGCAGTTTACTGTATAAAAAACAGTTGATTTACTATTCGTTTCTCAACTACTGTATGTTTGCTTTTTATTATATACTCTTTGAGTGTGAACGATTATATTTCAAGATACCAAAATACACCCTACGTATAAAAACTTGCCACAACATTCAAAAAGACTTTCTACAAAATTTACAAACTCTCTTCCAGTTCATAAACAATACCGACCTTTAAAAACAGTTTTTTTTATGAACAACATAGTGATTTCAAAGCAACTTTTTATGAATAACATTGCCTTTTCAAAGCAGCTTGTTGTGAACAACATTGCCGATTTGAAGCAACTTTATATGAACAACATTGTCAGTTCAAAGCAACTTTTAGTGAACAACATTACCATTTCAAAATCGTTTTTTTTTGAACAATATTGTACTTTGAAAGCAGAGTTCATTCCATTACGAAACAGTAGTTCATTCTTTTCTATCCTGGCGGGTCCATGTTAAAACTTACGGTATTCTATACACACTGCCGTGTTACAATAAACCGCAAAAGAACAGTTCAAGACCAAACCCGAAATGCAAATAAAACCCAAACAAAACAGTGTGTTTGTTTTGTTATGGCACAATGGGCAGATATCCGCATGCGGTGGGGGGAGTGGATAAGGAGAGCTATATTTGACGAGGGAGTGGGGGATGGTCAGGGATAAAGAAAGCATGATAATAGATTTTTCAAATCACGATGATAACAAACAATAATTTTTTGATAATAGACGGATATTTTGGTATGATTATAGATGGTTTTTAAATAAATATGGAAGGCTTTGTTTTAGGATTGGATGTGAGTATGGCTTGAGCAGGAGAGCAGATAGGGGTGATTTTTCTTTTACTAGGAGTGGGGATGGGGGTTACGGATATGGAAAAGGAATTCATGCGCCGATTTATCAGTTTTTTTTTATTTTGAATTGAGGGGAGGGGGGGGGGATGTTAAGCTTCTTTCAAAAATTTTATAGGTGAAGGTAGGGTTCACATCTTCTTCAATATGGGGCCTTGTCAAAGCATAAGAAACTAAAACTAAATTAAGGTTTACTATGCCGAGCTTTGGGAGCGGCCGAGGAAAATTTGAAAGAGTCCGTCTCATATGGTATATGGGTTTGAGGGCTGGGGCCTAAATGAAACCCCGAGGAGATCTTACAAGTTAGGTCTTGCAACGAAACATTTGACTTGCTAAAATTTTAAAGCGATTGTAATTTTAAAGTTATGTAGAGCTCAAAGATAATTCCGAACCTTTGCCCTTTAGACCTAATTTTTCGGCCAGGCCTTTTTTAAATTTGCTTTGGCCCAGCCTTTAAGAACTACGAAATATCATTTTTTAAATTTCATAACTATTTATGAATTATAAGGATGATATAGCCTATAAAACACTAAATTAAAAGAACCGACCATCTTTTGATGTTTGAAATTGCACCCAAAGTTTACTCATGACTAACTTATAAAACTGCTTTGGCTAGCACAGGTTTTGCGAAAAAACAGAATTAGTTATGATAATGAAAGAGGAATTAGTAAAATGATAAGTTTTTCGCTGTGATTATTCTTTGGTAGGGCTTTAGTCGTCGAACGATGATAGGTCTTTGTTAATACGTTTTAAAGTTCAATTCTTGTTCTTTAAATTCAGATTGATACATTGTTGTTTTTTTGTGTTTGTGATGGTATTGTAGTGACGGTTGGGCAATGTTGTGGGTGGACAGTGTCAGGGTTGACAGTGTGAGGATTGGGCAGTATGGTGGGTTGGTGTGGGGAAGGGTACTATAAAGACTTACTATAGTAGAAAAAAAGGTATTAAAAGTGTTTTCGATTTAAAATACTTTTAAAAACGTTTTTTAGGTTTGGGTAGAACGTTGGTACAAAATATTGACTTTTTGTGGGAAAAAACTTATCGACCGGCCGAAAAACGTTTTTTTTTTAAATTTTAAAAACACTCAAAAATAAGTATCTTTGAAAGGTTTATCTTGGCTGCGATTCTTTTGTACTGACTATGTGATAGGTCTTTGGTCTCAAATTGTTAATAACCATGTATAGTAAGCTCTTGTATCACAAACTCTAAAAAATTTCTATATAACGAACACGTTTTAAATTGCTGGCTAAAAATACTACACAGTGCATTTAAAACTTTTTATATAACGAAAGTCCTTTATAAAGAATAAATTTTGAATCCTCGAACGATTTATTATACAGTGTTTCTACTGTACTACAATATACAGTGGAACACCTGTATAACGAATCACTTGGGTATCTTAAAGTTGTTCTTTATAAAAGAGTTTTGTTATACAGGAATTTCAAATGCACTGTGTAGTGTTGGCCAGGGATCTAAAAGCTGTTCGTTATACAGGAGTTTCGTTATAAAGAAGTTCGTTATGCAGAGATTTCACTGTACATGCTTCTCAACAATTAGATATCAAAAACCTATCACATAGTTTGTACAACAGCCTTGCAGCCTAACTAAGCCTTGCAAGCGTATGGGTTTGTCTTTGAACTCTGATGTTCCAGGTTTCTTTTTCCGGAACACTTGAGAAGAATCTGGTTCTAAACGCCGCTAACTTGTTTGTTTGCTCACGAGCTAAATATTAAAATTAATGAGACACGGAGGGGGTTACTTCGTGAATTAGCTGTTCTTGTCAGTTGATAACATTGGACTAGGACTAATAGTTGAGAGTCATGTGTTACTATTTACAGTGAAACTTTTGTATGACGAATTGCTCGGGATTTTAATTTTGATTGTCATGAAAATTTCGTTATACAGGAGTTTTAAGGCACTGTGTTGTTGTTCAGGGATTTGAAAGTGGTTTGCTATACGGAATTTTTGTTATAAGGGAGTTTGTTATACGGGAGTTTCTACTGTATATAGGTTCGAACTACAGTGGAACTCCTGTATCAAGAACTCCTCTATAACAAAAATTATGTATAATAAACTACTTTTAAATCCTTGGACAACACTTCTCAGTGCAGCAAAAACTCCTGTATAACGAAGCTTCTTCATAACAAACAAATTTTAAAACCCCGAGCGATTAGGTATAAACAACTTTCTATTGTAGTAGAATATTTATTGAGTAACAAACTTATATTTGTAATCTGTTGTGAAAATGATAGTGTTTATCACATGTATTATATATTTATTTTGATATTTCACATCTAGCCGGCTCAATGTTCCTGATCGTTCTTTAATTTGGTAATTGTTAAACTTTAACCATCATTTATTTACGAAAAAGTTAAAGTCTGCTTAATGGGTTTTCAATTATGATTTATATTGTTAAAACTGTCGAAAAAAGGAAGTTCATTAATCATCGCTTACATCGAGACGTTTTGTATTTTAAAAATACGTTCGATGTATGTTATAAGTGTTCAGGTGATAATGGGGTTACATTTTTTGATGAGAGGTTGATGAATCAAAAAATTTTTTTTAAATTTGAGGTTACGTTGAACTTTTTAAATAAATTTGAGAGTAGGTGGCAGGGTATAGGTTTAGAGTGTGATTTTGGCATAGGAGATCAAAAAAATTTTTTTTTTAAATTAAGAAAGAGCACGTTGAAACTTTAAAAAAATGAGTGTAGAGAGCGGGGTAGATGATGAGAATGTAACTTTGATCTAGGGAATCGAATTTTTTTGAAAAATTTTTTGAAAGCACTATTCTAGCCCTGCTCTGCTCTAGCCCCGACCTAGCCTTGTCTTAGCCTTGCTATAGTTGTAGTCCTCTCCCAGCCTGGCCATAGCTTTAGTCCCGTATAACGAACAACTTTTACATATGTAAATCCTCGGCTAACACTACACAGTGCATTTAAAACTCATGTATAACGAAACTCCTTTATAACGAACAAATTTCAAGTCTCCGAGCGATTTGTTATACTGGAGTTCCACTTTATTTTACGGTCACAATTTTGTAAGATCTTGCGTTGTGGTCAACGTGCATTCTTTCGTCGCATTGGCCAAGTCAAGTTCACGTTCTCTTTTACTATTTATTCTCAATTTTGTAAACTCACTAAATGAAGCTTGACGAAACGAACTCAGTTTGTAAACAAAGTCTTGATATCAGCTGAAAAGTGTGAATTGTCATTTGCGAAAAAATTTATTGCCTACTTATCACTCATTCTTGTACCTATAAGCTTTGATCGTAAACTTTAATATTTTCGTTGATAGCACTTTTGGTCCGGGACAATTAAACAGTCTGTTTTAAGCGCATTTCAAGTGCACACTCTTGAAAAATATTGTTATAGGCAGATGATTTTGAAGCTTTTTCCCGTTTTTTGACTATTTTAGGTAACAAATGGGAATATAATGGCGTTTTTCATGTAAATGTAGGCAATTATAGTTGACCTATGGGGCACATTGTTAATAATTGCCACTTTCAGCAATCAGACCAATCAACACCATTCCTCGACCAATCTGACTCCTCTATGCGAAGTGTATTCAAAAAGAAGAAGGCTTTAAAACTACCAGCACAACTCTATCGTTCCAAGGAGAAGGCCAACAATGCGTTGCGGAACATCTTCGAAACAAGCATCAGATCACAGCCAAAGAAGTCGGATTCGGTGGCGTCGATTCTGGAGCCGGTCAAAGAGGCCAAGGCGGAAAGGAGGCCAGGTAAATATTTTTTTCTTTGAGAATAGCATTGTTGAAAATTTTAATAATTTTTTTGAAATTTAGAAATTATGTATGAAAAAAAAATTTCAAATTTTTGAAAATTTTTTTTTAGTTTTTTTAAATATTGTTTTACAGGCCTAATACGACGAATATTGCACGGATTATTCACTGATTGGATCTTGCTAGCCCTGTTAGGATGCAGTATGGCTTTATGTTCAATAGCAATGGACGAAGCTATCGATAGGATTGCTACTTGTAAGTCTGACCTAGCTCTGTGCTCGCTCTGTCCTAGCTCTGCCCTAGCATTGCCTTAACATTTTTTAAGCACTGCCTTAACGGTGCCCGAGCTCTGTTCTATCCTCGCTCTAGTACGGCCCTATTCATGTTCTAGCCTCAGCTCTGCTTTGCCCTAGACCTCTAGCTTTACCTTAGCCTTGCTCTGCCCTATCCTTACTTTATCTTTGATTTATCATATCTACCCTACTCTAGTTCTATCTGCGATTTACGATTGCCTTTTTTAGTCAGCTCTAGCCGTTTTTCTTTGTCTTCTCTTGATTCTACCCTTCCCCGACCTTCTACCCTTGTCTTTAAAAGGTCATTTTTTGTATTTCAGGGCATATCAATGTCATAAACGATGTAAAAGACCGAACATTCGGCCTAACTCGAGAAGTGGCTATGTTCCTAATATGGGTACTGTACGCAGTAGTACTAGTAACGTCATCAGCCCTATTCGCTCACTACGTAGCACCACAAGCGATAGGAAGTGGCATACCTGAAATGAAGACAATCTTAAGAGGAGTCGTGCTAAAAGAGTACCTATCGTTCCGCACGTTGGTATCGAAAATGGTGGGATTAACGTTATCATTGGGATCAGGGATGCCGATTGGAAAAGAAGGCCCATTTGTTCATGTAGCCAGTGTTGTAGCCAATCTACTGAGTAGATTGGTACATTCGTTCGACTCGGTCTATGTTAATGAAAGCCGACATACGGAGATGTTGGCTGCTGGGTGTGCGGTCGGAGTGGCTTGTGTGTTCTCGGCTCCGGTTGGAGGTAAGGGTTAATGTTGTTATAGGTTAGTTTAAGAGGAGCAGGGGGGGGGGTGTTATAGGCAATATTAAGGAAGGGGAAAGAAGTAAGAAGAAGGGCCTATGATTTTAGCATGGGGGCGGAGGAAAAAAAATTTGGGGGGGGGGAGGGGGGGGAAGGGGGTACTTGTGAATAAAAAACATTTTTCTCGTGCTGGTACCTTTGAAAATAAAATTTTAAATCAACAGGGAGGGGAGAGGGGCAAGTTGAATTTTTAGAAAACTTTGGAAAATCGGCCCACAGGACCTGTGGACGAAAAAAATTTTCGGCCTCCCCCTCCCCCAGAGAAAATCTGTAGCGACGTCCCTGGTAACAACTAATATTATTATAATTTAGGTGTACTGTTCTCAATCGAAGTAACCAGCGTTTACTTTGCCGTGCGAAACTATTGGCGTGGATTCTTCGCGGCCGCATGCGCCGCCACGGTGTTTAGGTTGGCAAAACTGTTCATTAAAACTGATGGTAAGGCTTTTAAAATCGATGTTTTTCTCCGTACAAAACGAAAAATAGCAAGAACATTCTTTACAAGACTTGTATTCCGGGTAAAGTTTAAGTAAATTGTAAAAAATAGTGAATGTTGTGGTATTTGTGAATGTTGTGATTGTGTTTTAGACGGTCTAATCGCTTTTTATCAGACTTCCTTCCCACAAGACTCCTTTTATCCGGAGGAAATGCTCATTTTCGCTGGAATTGGGTGAGTTTTTTTTATTGTTATTGGGTGTAACTTTATTGACTGTAATTTTTATGTAGATAATGATGAGTATAGGCTTGGTTTTTAATGGTAGATGTTTGTAAAATACGGTAAACGATTGAATATGTAACGTAAATAAATAAAAATGTCGTCTGTCAGGGAAAAAACCGGCAATTGATCAACTGTTTTTATAAAAAAAACTGAAAATTTGGTATTTTTATAACTTTTTCTATTGTTTTTGAAGTTTACAAATGGTTATCAAACTTAAATCTACCTAAAATATGTTTTAAAATATACCTACGATGTTTTAGATTCGTATGCGGTGTAGCATCAGCCGGTTTCATAGCCCTACATCGCTTCTTCGTCCTGTTCCTTCGACGCAACTTCGTCATGAAGAAGATCTTTCAAAAAAGGCAAGTTCATGATAATATTCGCGATCTAAAATGTTGTAAATATAATAAAAAGTTGAACAAGAGTCTAATAACAGATAAAGTTTAGTTGGCTCATTTACCCAATCGTTGTTTCCCTGTTCATCTCGATATTAACCTACCCGAATGGCTACGGACAATTTCTTGGTGGATTTGTAGGTTTTTATTGATTGTTTGTGAAGTTTAGGTATGAAATATTTGTGGAGGAGATTAGAAAAAGATTTTAAATGCCTCTAAAAGTGTTATGGGACAGATTTTGGAGGGTTCATCGGAGGGAGAGAGAGACTTGACTCAAAAATATTTTTTGCGTCAAGTCTTTCTTTCGCAATTTCTTAATGCTTTTGTAGTAAAATACGACAAGCTATGCTTTTTAGAATAAGTTCAGTAAATCGGCACAATATTTTTTCTTAAATTGTACATGGACGGCGAAGACAAACACCACGGACTACTGCGGAGACGAAAAACTTGTTGGATGGTTGGGAGAAGACTACGATAGAGATGTTTTCCTGGTCTTGCTTTGCTTCATGGTTACTTTTGTAAGTTTTAGACATTGTATCGTTTGATATGTCAATAAAGAATGGCATAAGTTTGCAAAATTCTTCATTTTTTGCCTAAGATACGGAGTTTTCAAGCGTTTTTCGAAGAAAATGTGCCATTTCTTAACAAACGTGAACCTAAAAATATTTTTTTTCGATATTTTATTGAATGCAAGTTTATTTCAGTACTACCTAGCAGCACTAGCGAGCACTTTACCAATCCCGTCCGGCTCATTCGGGCCTTCATTTACGATTGGAGCGGCTTTTGGTCGCTTCGTCGGTGAAGCCTTGGCTTATACAGTAGGAAACTTTAGAGGCACCACAGGTCATGGCATCTATCCTGGAGGGTATGCTGTTGTTGGTAAGGGCTTACCTTGTTTTTGGGCGTTTGGGAAGGGGTGGTTTTATCTTTTTTGCAAAATTTTGCTTTTTGTAGCGAAACTGAAGGAGCGGTACCAGACGGTACTATACCGAATTTTTTTGAAATTTTGGTGTTTAAAGGTTTAGTGTATGTTAATTATGGTTGTTAATTTTTATTTTGAAATTTCAAGTTTAAATTATCAAAAATATGATTTAAAAGTTTGCATTTCGATTTTGCCGCCTTTTTTTTGGCATAGTGCTTTACGGCTAAAACTTGGTGTCTAAATGAGTTTTATGAATAAAAAAAGGTTTTTTGTGACAATTTTAGGTAATATTTTTATAACTTATGGCGTTAAATTTAAAAAATGGTTTTTTGCAAGATATTGTAGTAGTTAATGAAATAATATTATTTTAGGTGCCGCAGCGTTTTCTGGCGGCGTTACACATACGATATCTGTAGCAGTAATCATGTTTGAGCTAACAGGACAGTTGGTTTACATATTACCGGTTATGGTAGGTTTCTAATATTGTTTTAAAGCTCATGATTCTTTGTATATGTGCTCAAACATCAATCCAGACCTTCTTAGCCTTAGTCTCAACCTAGGTCTTAGCTCTAGTCTTAGCTTCAGCTCTAGTCTCAGCCTTATTCCGTGTTCTAGTTTTAGTTTTGCACAAGCCCTAGATTAAGTTCTAGCCCCAGCCCTAGCGTGAGTCATAGTCCTACCTCAGCCCTGGTCCCAGCCCTAGACCTAGTCCTGAGATTTACTAATGTTTAGGACAAAATTACTTGACTGTTGACAATAGCCTTTAACTACTAACTACTTTACAGTATTTAATAGTGTCTTTCGTTCCAGATTGCGGTTTTAATAGCCAATGCCGTCTGCTCATACCTACAACCATCAATATACGACTCCATAATCCAAATCAAACATCTACCCTATCTTCCCGACATTCCCCATGCCTCGTCAAAGTTCCACGGTGTTCACGTCGAACAGTTCATGACGGCCGAAGTGCTGTACCTAAGCAAGTCATCGACATACGGCGATGTTCAGAACCTACTACTCTCGAATGACCGAATCAAAGCCTTTCCTATTGTGGACGATACTCGCAACATGATACTGATTGGCTCCTGTTCACGAGCCAAACTGATACGAAATTTGGACGAAAAAGTGGGCCACAATGCGCGGCAAGCCGAAGCCCTACGGCAGTTTGAGACAAACTTGCAGGTAAATGCGAATGTAAGCACTTTAACCCTTTGTTTGTGTGGCTAGCAGCACTGGTGTGTAATGTTGTGGTTTGTTTCGTTTTAAAAATGGGGTTTCTGGGGGAGGGAGAGTTTAAAATTTTGAAAAAAATGTTTTTACGTTTGGAAAGAAGTGGGGGGGGGGTGAATTAGTTATTTTTTGGTTTACTGGGATTTACCATTGGTAACACTATCCATACTCATACTCTTATTCCACCTCTACTGCCTCTAACCCTTCCCTTATCTCTACTCCTATCGACCTACGACTCTTAGCATAAGATTTAGTCTCACTACTCTTAGCCTTAGCTCTAGTCCCAGCTCAAGCTCTAGTCTTAGCCCTAGCTCTTGTCGGTTCTCTAGCCCAGAGCCTTAGCTTAGACTCCCACCTCATCCATACTTCTACCTTTACTCTGGTCTCAACCTCTATCTCTACCTTTTCTTTTCTCTGCCTTTAGCCTAGTCTCTATAGTTACCCCTAATCCTACCCCTAGCCCTACCTTACCTTCAACCTCTAACTCGACCTCTATATCTACTCTTATCCGTACCCCTATCTATCTCTACTTCTATTCCTACCCTGACCCTGACTTCTACGCCTAACTTTATACCTACCCTTATCTCTACCTTTAATTCTTACTCTAACTCTACCCATATCCCTACTCCTATTTATACTTTACTCTCTTCTTACCCTTACCTCTATCCTCAATGAGTTTGGCGGGAAAACGAAATTTAAAAAAATGTTAAAATGTTCTGCCCTGTATCCAACCCTGGTCTTTACCTCTAAAAATATAAATTTAGACGTTAAAAATTGCTATTCACGCTTATTTTTTTATTGATTTGGCTTGATTTTACCTTTTTTTAATTGAATATTGCTTTTTATTTTTGCACTTTTGAATGGCACATATGGTGCATTAAAATTAAAAATGGGTTTTAGGACATAAATCGCCGCTTCAAACCGGTCCACGAACAACGAGGCAGCATCTTTGTCGATGATAACACCAAAAAGCTGATCAAAGACAAAACCAAAGACAAGCTTAGTCCGGAAGATGAACAATATTACTACCAGGACTCTCCTCAAAAGCCTGACAACCTGAAGATCGAAGGACAAGGAATGAAGAACTCGAAGAGTTCGCCAGGTCTATTGAATGCGACTAAGCATGTCAACTTTGAAGATAATGAAACGGAAAAACGAAAGCCCTCGAGGTTCATGGTGACGGCTGTGGATGACAAAAAGAGCTCGAACTCGTCGATGGACACGGATGTGGAATCGGCGTCGACTCCAGCCAGGAGTAACAAGAGCTTGACCGTCAGTCATGTCACACAGGAACTTCAGAGCACTGTTGGGGGTAGGTAAAATACGAACTTTCTTTAAAACGCTTTATAGTAGAGGTAAAAATAATGAAAAGGTGTATTTTAAAAAACTAGTCAAAAAATGTTAACAAGTTTTTAAAATTTTATGAAAAAAAGACGAAATGTTACAAAATTTATTGATTTTTTGAAAAGTGTTGCGAAGTGTCACAAAAATTTATGTTTTTAAAAATCACTTTTTAAAACATGAATTTACATGTTTTTTGAGGAAAGTGTGAGAAAAGGGTAGTTTTTAGACGAATTGCCACAAAATTATTGTTTTTTAGAAAAATGTTGCGAAATGTCACAAAAACATCGATTTTTCAAAAATGACTTGATAGATAATATTTTGTAGAAGGTATTCTGTATTTTAATTTTCAAAAATCGTTTAAAAATAGTTTTTTAAACCTAAAATACGGTTTTCAGACCTGTTCCGAAGTCTAGCCCGTCTCTCCTTCGCCAGAGGCCGAAAACCTTCGGCCGACGAGTACGATCTTCACGGCGACGAACGAAAACGATGGGAAAACGCTCAGCTAGCCAAAAACGTGGACTGGAATAGTATCGGCGTGGATCCGGCCCCGTTCCAACTGGTCGAACAGTCATCTCTACTTAAAGTGCACTCTCTGTTCTCGTTACTTGGCCTAAGCCGAGCTTACGTTACGAAATGTGGACGACTGGTCGGTGTGGTGGCGTTGAGAGATGTAGGTTGATGTTTTGAAAGGTTTTTGAAAATTAAAAAAAATTTTTTTTTTAAATTTTTTAAAATTTTTAAAAGTGAAGCAAATGATAGGTTGTTCACTTAATTCTGTGTTCTGTTTTTTTTTTAAATTTGCGTTGAAAGGGCACAGAATTATTTGAACAAATTCGGGAGGGGCACTGAATTATCTTAACGATCTAATATTTTAGATCCGCCTAGCCGTGGAGAAAGTCAACAACGGCCAACTCACTCTAACCACAGTCAACATGAACACAGACAGCCCTCACGCTGTCCGCCGGAACCTGCTTCAGAAGCTACGCTCAACAGCCAACGAAGCGGTGGACGAAGACGACGCCATGTCAGATTACTTGAACCCACCCCTAATCGTGGTCGATAAAACGGCGGTCGAAGCCGAGGATTGGCTCAAAAACAAGTCGGCTTCGGCGGATTCTTTAACGGATTCGAATGAACGAAGCCGAGGCGGCATGATCAAAGGCTACAGTGTGGGCTCAGATCCGTGTTTGGCCGGCAGTCCAAGCGAGGACAATAAAAGAGTGAAAAGTAAGGAGATTTAGTTGTTTTTGAGGGTATGAAATTGTATTTTTTTAAATTTTAGTTTTTTAAAAAAGTGGTTTTGGAAATATGACGAAATGTCACAAAAAATATTGGTTTTTTTAAATAATGATGCGAAATGCAACAAAAAATATTGATTTTCGGAAAATTAAGTGGCTATTGGATTTTTCATGGGCTGGAAAATGCAGATAGGAAATTTGACGAAATGTCATAAAATTTATTGATTTTTTTAAATGTTGCGAAATGACACAAGATTTATTGGGTTGGAAATAACGATATGATAAAAATATTTTTTTGAAATTACAAAAATCGAAATCACAAATTTTAAGAAACTGTGACTGAATGTCACAAAATTTATTGGTTTTTGTGAAAAGTGTTGCGAAATGTCACAAAATTTATTGGTCTTTTTAGATGATAGCATTTCTAAAAGTCAATACTTATTTTAATTTGTAATTTTTGAGTTTTCAAAAATTTAAATTTAAAAATCTTAAATTCTAGTGGAACGCCGAGCAAAATCGATTGGGCTAGGAGCGGCGCTACAAGAATCGCCAGAGAAAGCCATCAACTTTTGGCTGGCTTCGAATGAGAGCGAAGAGGATGTGAACACCTCTCCACCATTGATAAGAATGACCTCAGCTACACCACCAAATGAAGTGAATAACCTTGTTGAGGCTGGGCGAGGGCATAATGGCAGCCAAGGGTCTAGTCCGTGTGGCAGTGAATATGGAAATAGGTAAGGACAAGGGTTGGTGATTTTGGTGTGGGGGGGGGGTTGGTAATTTTTTTTGGTTTGGATAGGTCGGTTCACTGGAGATATCATAGGCCATACTGTATTAAAAATTTTTTTTTGGTGGTAGGGGTAGGGTAAAATTTAGGATATCCACCCCCCCCAACCATCTAAATCTTTTTTTGAAAATTTTTGTTTTCTAGCCTAGCCCCAGCGCCCACAACCCAATCCTCATCATTACCATCGATCCTGAACGCGCTAGAACAGGAATCACATCCGGTGGAACGGAACGCCTCCACCGTGACAATCGGCAAGAAACACAAACAAATCCAGTTGAAACGACGCTAAGAATCTCTAACCTCATCTTATGTCCACCAATGTATTATAATAATGTCTCATTGAACTTACGGGTATTTTATCAACAAGCTCTTCTAATTTTGTCAACTTATGCTCATGTTAAAGTTTTTTTATATTAACATAGGTTTTTTTATATATATTATGCTCGTGTCAATAGGTTTTTTTTTGTTATTGGGTTGTTCAAATAATTCAGTGCTTCTTCTCAAAGCAAGTTTACTGGATTTATTTAGGAGCACAGAATTATTTGAACTTTTTAAGGAAATCATTATCGTATTGTTGGAGTTCAATTAATTCTGTGCTCTTTCCCAATGCAAAAACTTACGGAATTAATGAGCACAGGATTATTTGAACTTTCCAAGGAAATTTCTATCGTAGTGTTAGAGTTCAATTACTTATGTGCTTTCTTTCAAAACAAATTTACGGGCGCTAGGGGCACAGAATTATTTGAATTTCTCATGCGAATTTTTGTCGTAGTTTTCAGGAGTTTAATTAATTCTGTGTCAAAGCAAGTTTACGGGATTAGGGAGCACAGAACTATTTGAACTTTTCAAGGAAATTATTGTTGTAGTTTTGGAGTTCGATTAGTTCTGTGCCTTTTCTCAAAGCAAATTTACGGGGCACAGGAATAATTGAACAACCTAATAATACAGGTTTTTTAGAACTAAGGCTAGGGCTAGGCATAGGTCTAACGCTACGACTACGGCTATGGCTTTGTAACGTATCAAAGGCTTCATATCAACCTTTTATTAATACAATCTTATGTAGTCCATTTTTAATCTTATTATTGTACTGGTCTGAAGAAACATTGCGTTTCATAAATACTCAGAAACAGTGATAGTGACAGTTGGACTATGCTCACGCCGACTACCATTGAGTTGTCCTAAAACCGCGTTGCGGTAAGGTGCTATGAAGAAGATTGTAGTGAGTGGGTTGATGATCGGATGCATTGCTAATGCCAAAACCGGCATATACTTGGTAGTTTCATTCTGAAATAGGGTGCAATAAGATATTCAATATTATTGTAGCTTTGGATCTGACCTTTTGACGGGCTAGATTTTAGGCTAGGCTTTAGGCTAGGCTTTAGGCTAGGATATAGGCTAGGCTTCAGACGAGGCTATAGGCTAGGCTGCATACTAGGCTATAGGCTAGGCTTCATACAAGGAATAGGCTAGGCTTCAGATTAGTCTTTAGGCTAGGCTTCATACCAGGCTTTAAATTAGAGCTAGGGAAAATGTTAGGCTAGAGCTTGGGGTAGGCGTACGATTAAGGCAAGGGCTAAGACTAAGACTATAAGTAAGGCCAGCGTAAGAAAACTGTATTATTTAGCCTAAAACTTACAGTAAGAGTCCCTCTAACCAAGAAGAACGCCGACGCAAAAACGTAGCTAATAGGCATGATAAACAACAAAAGTGGAGCTGTTGTCTGAACCAGTAGTGCCAACATTAGTTGTAAATGTAAGCTATAGCTTTTCTGTGTGAAATGATGTCTAAATTGGCGTAGTTTCAAAATGATTAGGAAGGCACATAGGAAATTGTAGGAACAGGATAACGGAGCCAATATTAAGGCTGATATTAGAAAAACATTGGCATGTGGACTGTTTTGGTAGTCGTAGCCGAACCAGACCTAAAAATGGAAACTGTGATATATTTATATATAGTTATGGTGGGATTAAAGTAGGGTGGGTTAGGGTAAGGTAGAGTAGAGTAGGGTAGGGCAAGAAAAAGCACGGTAAGGCGGACGACAAAACAGGGCTGGGCAAGAGCAGGTTAAAAAGGGCATGATGCGGCACGGTTGATAGGGTACGGTAGGGCAGGGCATGACAGCGTAAGGCAAGGTGGGATAGGGCAGGGCCATGTAGGACAGGACAAGACAAGGCAAGGCAAATGACAGTACGATAGGTTAGGATGTGGTACCCTTGAAAAGGGTGGGATACGGTACAGTATATGATTGTAGGGTAAAGTAGGGTAGGGTAGAGTAGGAAGGGGTACGGTAGCTTAGGGTAGGGTAGGGTAAAGTAGGGTAGGATAGGGTAGTGTAGGGTAGGGTAGGGTAGGGTAGGGTAGGGTAGGGTAGGGTAGGGTAGGGTAGAGTAGGGTAGGGTAGGGTAGGGCAGGGCAGGCTAGGATAGGATGAGGGTAAAGAGGAACAGGGTAGAAGCACTTTACAATAACTGAGCATTTGATGCTTACCGTTCCACTAAACATTTCTTTTTGATACGGAAATCTGTCTATGGTTATGTTATGGAACACCTGTAATTTATTCAGTGTTATGTGTGAGAAACAAACGTGAAACTAAACGTACTTTAGGTAGACATGTGGCATAATAAAGCTTATTCATACATTATTCATATCTATTAGGTTGTTTAAAAAATTCTGTGCCCCCTATCAAAGTTATTATTCGGGGCTTGTGGGTGCCGAATTATTTGAACGAGCTTTTGTAAATTGTATATATATATCAATAGACGTTTACAAAGGAAAACAGAGAAGTAAAAACGAATTACGGTAGCTATGGCTTTAGTAAAACTTACTTCATCATCTACTCTCATGTCGTATATAAGCATGGCAATACCAAAGCAAACAGCCTCTCCAGAGCCAAATAATGCCAATCTAAACCACCGTTTTCCTAACAACCTCATAGCTTTTATGTCCATCAAGCTGGCAAAGCGATAGATACAACAGTAGTTCAGACTTACTATACTATGCGAAAATACCAGAGCTATTAGGGAGAACTGAAAAATTGGTACTATTATGTAAAATTAGGACAGAGCAGAGCACAGCAGGTCAAAGATGGGAAAGGCAGGGTAGGTTAGGATGTGGCACCTTACGGTAGGGTAAGGTAGGGTAGGGTAGGTTAAAAAACTTACAACACAATGCCCAAGATAGCCATTGCCAGTTAGAAGAGCTACTCCATATATTAAAGCGCCACCACCTGGTATAATTGGTACTGGTTGCAAAAGAATGGCCAGTAAAATACTGAATATGAAGTCTGTTATCTAAAAATGTAAATGTTTAAGAATTTTGACGAAATGTCACAAAAATTATTGATTTTTTAAAAGTTATTAAAAATAGAACTAATACTATATTTATTATAATATAATCTATGTAAAGCTATTTTTAAAAAGGATATGACACTTTTGTAAAATTTAACGAAGTATAACAAATTTAATTGATTTTTTAAATTTATTAAATTTTGCATTTCTAAAATAATTATTATGACGTAAGCTATATAAAACCACTTTGAAACAAAAAATGAGATTTTTGAAATAAAGTGCCACACAAATTATTGATTTTTTATTAAATACAATTTCTTAAATAATAAGTGAAGAACTCAAAAACTTACAGTAAAATTAAGAAGATAATGTCGATAGCCGCGTATGTCATGAGTACTTTTTGTAGTGATAAGGTATATTGTTAAAGCATTCAATATTAAGGATACAGCACCAATAACATAACATGTTATTGAAAATTGCTCTGGTGACATTTGCAATCATTTAGGTTGTTTTTTTTTTGGAAATAAAGTGTAAAATACGTTTAATTCATCTAGTTTTAGTTACAGGGCTTGTAGTTACACGGCTAGTGCAGTAACCAGCGTATAGTACTGGTGCTATCCTCCTAAGTAATTCGTACTATGTGTAATAACGTATTTACTGTGTAGCCTAAATTAGTAGTATTAGAGTACTAACCAGTATATATATTAGTACTAAGTCGTCAATTAGATTGCACTTAGTATTTTGCAGCAATGGTACTAGCTTACTAACTAGAATATGATTTTAATACTAGTCAGTTTGTAGTACAAGTACTAATCTTAATAAATTATAAAAATAGTGCTGCCTTCACGGAACCTATTATCATAGTACTAGCAGCTTTATGTTAAGAATTGTATGAATAAAAACTGGTACAAATAATATTAATTTAATCAGACCTTACAGCTGAAACATAAAGCTTTTTATTTCAAATTAATATTTAATTTAATTTCAATATTTTAACACGAATCATTGAACTCGTAGGCTTCATTTCTAATCCAATTGGTTCGTACTTAATGTAATATAACATTTTGCACGAAGGTGACGTACTGAGAATGTTTGGAAATTTGCAAAATAAGTTAGTTTACTACCTAGCCAAGAGCCATAATATTGCCATAGCCCAGAGCTTCAGCCTAGAGCCTTAGCCTAGGGCCTTAGCCTAGAGCTTTAGCCTAGGGCCTTAGCCTAAAGCCTTAGCCTAGAGTTTTAGCCCAGATCTTTAGCCCAGAGCCCTAGCACAGAGCCCTTGCCCAGAGCCCCAGCTCAGATCGCCTTAGCCCAGAGTTCTAGTCCAAAGCCCTAACTCACAGTCCTAGTCCAGAGCCTTAGCCTAAATATCAGAATCTTTGCTTTAGCTTACTTCTCGGGCACGAATAAAAAAGGAAAAGTTTCAAAAAGTAATTAAATTTATTCCGAATGTAGAACAATATTAACAAGCGATAGTAACACGATTATTAAATTAATATATTATTAGCGAATAAAATTATTAAATAGATGTGACTTTGGTTGACAGAGTAAAGTAAGAGAGATACGAATTGTTCAAAGATATAGTAAAGAAATCATAGTAAAGAAGAGATATAAGGCAAAAGAAAGATATGGGAATGTTATATTAGCGGCAAGTGTAATATGAAAATCACAAAAGGATACCTGTTACAATTGTGAATATGTATAAAATTAAGTTTTGAAAATTGTTGAAATTTAAAAAAATTTCAAAAATTTTTAAAATTTCAAAAATTTTCAATATTTATAAAAAAGTTTTAAATTTCAAAAAAAATTTTAATTTTCGTCGAAAAAAGACCGAAAAAGTCATTTTAAAGTGACATTTTTGCCAAAAGAACCAAAACTTTTCAAATTGAAGCTATTTTTACCATCATAAAATACGATTTTTCATTTTGTGTCACAAGTTTTTAGCCATTTTTAAACCATTTTTAGCCATTTTCCGGCCAAAATCAACTGAAACTATCCCAAAACTTCAGCCACAACTTCAAAAACTCATATTTTTAAGCTCCATAGTACTTAGTGGTCCTTCTGGTACGGAACAGCACAAAAATCACGCTGACAATCAATAGTAAGAGCAGTAAAGCCCCACATAGCAGAGCGACTGGCGAGAAGCAAACGCCACGACCGAACGGAGTCTCGTTGATGTCACGATACACTTGCTTCTGAGCTTGGGTCGCGGATTCGGCATTATCTAAAATTATGTTTTGTTTAAAAGTATTCATAAAAACTTATTTGTTATGTTTTAGTAACACAAAATGACGAATTACAGCATTTTTAAAAAATCAATATTTTTTGTGACATTTCATCAAATTTTAAAAAATGATCAAATAGCAACGAAAAAGTGTTTTTTGTAGTGAAATAGTCTTTTTCAAGCATAAAAAGCTGATTTTACCATTTTTGAGAAATCAATAATTTTTGTGACATTTCATCAAATTTTTTAAAAATTGATAAAAATGTTATAAATGCCATTTTTATATCAAATAAGTTAATTTTGACTTAAGAATTTGTTCTTGTTATTTTATGAAAATTCAATAACTTTTTGTGACATTACGTCCAATTTTCCAATAACGGCTTATTAAGGTATAAAAACGTATGACACAGTGTTATATATGTTTTCTATTAAAGAAAAACTTAATTTATATACTTTTCTTTTTAATTTTAGTACATAAACTTACTGATATAGTCATCGATGATAGTAATATCTCTAGTAACATCCATATCCACCAAGTTTTGTGGCCTTGGTGTGGCATTTCGTTGTTGTCGCGAAGCAGCTCGAGCTGTGGTCGTGTCTACAGTTGGTCGTTCAGCATGTGGAGTTCGTTTCTTGTTCTTCTTGAGCACTTGTACTGGTGGTGCCGTGGCGTCGTGGGATTCGTTCCGATTCTCACTGGCTTCTGGAATGTCACTGACCATCCAGGCGTCAACTTCACCTGAGCCTTCTTGGCTTTCTAGAGCGTCTGGTCGTGGGAAGTCGGCTGGGATGAAGAGTTTGGTACTGCTGGCACCCTTCGGGGTTACCGCGGTCGTTGATTTTGTGGTAGTGGTGCTTGATGTTCGAGTAGTACTATGAGTTGTAGTAGAAGCTGTTGTTGTGGAAGTTGTCCTTGGTGCTCCACTAGTGCTTCTTGGTACCTCAGTGGTACTGCTTGATACAACTGTAGTGCTAGTCGGCACCTCTGTTGTAGTACTAGTAGCACCGAAGGTCGTGGCTTCAGTATCTCCAGCAAATGCTCGTTCAGTTGACTTCACATCTTCAGCTGAGCCCGTGGTACCAATATCAACGTCGCTAGTGGTACTACTGATCAGTTGGTCGTCACTGAGGTCGTTTCCTTGAAGTGCGTCACCATTCAACTCCACCTCACGATGATTGGCGTCAGCTCCACAACGTGGCGGCGTAATCGAGTCGCAGTGGTCGCCAAAGTAACATAATCTGATTTTACAGGCAAATGCAAGATTAGTTTGGTCCGGGAAGATGAAGGCAGCTGTTTCTACAACAGCAGTAGTGACGTCATCCGAATAGGTGACTTCTGGGAAGAGGTAACGATCGGTGGAGCATCTGAAAGAAGGTAGTTTGATAATTTTAATTAAAAAACAAATTTTGACTTCAAAAAATTGATTTTACAATATATTTTTCACATTATTTTATTGTTTTAAAAAAGTTAACACTTCGCAACATTTTATAAAAAAAATCAATAACTTTTTGACATTTCATCAAACATAAAAATTTTTTTTTTAGATTACCATACATCTTAAAACATATTCTAATCAATATTAAAACAATTTTAACGTTATTCAAAATACCAATAATTTTTGTGACATTTCGTCAAAATTGATAATACTTTTAAAATAATTAAAATAACAACTCAATAATACTTTTTAAACCCCAAAAAATCTATAAAACCTATTTTAAAAACAATAAATTTTGTGACACTTCACAACAAAAAATCTGTAAAACCAATAGTTGTTGTGACATTTCGTCAAATTTCCCAAACCATCTAAAAATGTTTCAGAAATACAAAAACCAACCCATTCTCGTCCTGCAGGGAATATTCTTTTCCTTTTCCATCAACAACCTTGCAGTAAGTCAGCAACATCTTGTACATGGTTGATGGGCATTCCCATTTGTGATAAATAATTTCGCCAACCTTACTGAAAGCAATGATAGGGCCATTGGGACTGTCACGGTGAATTGAATAAGTACATTGTGGCATGGCAGCATCTTGAGCAATGGATTGAGTGGTAATGTCACTGACTCCGAACTCGATATTGACATCTTGCTTCTTCTCCATGTAGAAGCAGTTCACATTGTAAGCACGGTCGACTTTGGTCACGAATAACTGAAAATGTCATTTTAATTTGACACTAGTGATATTTTTGTTATTCTCTCAAAATTTTATAAAATTTCGTCTTTTGTAAAGGAAGTTATTGTGTTTTTACTCATTATAAATCCAATTTTTACCTCTAAAAAGCTGAAAAATTAAAAAACCGCAAAAACTTTGTTTACATAAACGCAAAAAAATACTGTAGATTAAAGAAAGCAATTGTCCACACCTTGGTAAATAAACACATTGTTGTTTAGTTAACGCAGCGATGCGTACAGAAGGTCGATTATCGCTCGCATTAATATTAATATACGGCGATTCTCAAGAATTTTTTTCGTTTTTTAGATTTTTCTTTTGTGTCAAAACTGAAAAAAGTTTTAAAGTTTTGTTTCTGTTATATCTTGCCTTTGGATTTGCCTTAGCCTTTGCCTTTGCCGTTGCCTTCGCCTTCTATCTTACTCTACCTTCACTTACCTCAACCCACCCCACTTGACCTACTCTACCCTCAAAGGGTGCTATGACTTTACAATAACTTTATTTACAATTAAAAATCAAAATTCAAATTTTTTTTTGAGTTTCACAAGATATTGAGGTTAGTTAAAAATGTAGTTTGTTGCAAAAACTTTCTTTACAAACTTGCGAATTTTCAAAAAAAAAAGATTTTTTTTTGCCAAAACATGTGTTTAGAGGTCTTTACTCTACCGCAGTGCCTACCCTGTCTTGCCTTACTCTACCTTGCTCTATCTTACACTGCTGTGTCCTACCCTATCCTACTTAAGTATACTTTATCCCGCTCTATCCGGCCAGGCCTTATTCAAACTTGCCCTACCTTGCACTGCTGTCCTCCTAACTGACTATTACTAAGGTTTAAAATGCTGAAACTTTCTTTACAGCCAAGAAATCAAGCATAAAGACAAAGTAGAATGAGTATATAATATCTCTGCTTTTAAAAAATTTAAAAACCGCAAGAATTTTCTTTACAAACTTTTTTACCTATCAAAATCTAAATTTTTTCATTTTTTACTCTGTAATTTTCAAAAACTGGCTGATTTCTCTCAAATTTCACGCCACCTTCTCAAGACTCTTGTCCTTTTCATTACCGGTCAATATGTCAGTGGAAGGAGGGGGAAACCTTGACCACAGCTATTTTCGCGCAAATTGACGTCCCTATTGTTCCTGATGCGCACAGGTGGGCATCACCACATTCATCAAGGTCAAGAAGACGCCTTCACATGGTTTTTCGCGGCGCTTCCGCCAACAATTCTGTGGCCTTGCCACACTGTTTGAGGTGGCACATGACGCACTAATAGGTTTCTCAGGCTCCGGAACAAGCTTGGGTTTCTTCCGGATTTTGGAATATTTTCAGGAAAACTTTGAGTTTTTAATGCGCAATAACTTTCTTTACAAAATTTGAAAATAATGCCTGTTTTAAATATAGTACGAGGATGATACTGGCATTATTTTTTGAAATTTTTGGTACAATTTTTAAATTTGTTTTTATGTTATGACACAAAATGTAAAAACCGCAATAACTTCCTTTACAAATTACGCAACTTACAACTACTAAACTTAAAAAATAGTATCAGTACATTAATACTTGTCACTGTAAGTTTTACCAAAATCTGAGGTTTTTGCTATAAGTTATAGCACAAAATGTCCAAACCGCAATAACTTTCTTTACAGACAACAAAATTTTACAAAACCGTAAATTTAGGTTTACTATAGTATTATTATTGCCTACTATATGTTTTGCCAAAATCTGCAACTGTTTAGGTTAGTTATGGCACAATATGTCAAAACCGCAATAACTTTCTTTACAAAAAAACCAAATTTAAAAATTTTGTAAAATACGACATATATTGACAATTGCTACCATACACTACAATTTCACAGTACTACGAGTCCTTACAACATAGTTATGATACTTTAAAGTACAACATAGCGCCCTCGAATGAAGAAAACATGGTAAAAACTTTCTTTCCACACCTTATATCCTCAAAATTTTAATTTTTTTGGTGATAAAATACGTCATTTCAAACCAACTTACTGGATGTAGCTGCACAATAACAGTCATAGCATAAGTGATTCCGGTTGGGTTAGCCTCGCGCTTCCTTCTGATATTACACTTGGACAAATCAATAGTGACATTTCCCGTGTTATGAAAGACACAATCCTTGTTCTCGGAATTACCTCTGACGAACACTTGAGAAGCTTGCCCTTTGGCGGTTTTTACTTTGAAACTCACTACTCCATGCCCACATTCAATCTCTGGCTCACCTGGAATGTTGTACTTGACATTAAAATTTTAAAATTTTAAATTTTTTCAAAATTTATCTACCCTACTGTAGCCTACCCTACCTAAAATCGTACCAAACAACAATTTTTGATCAAAAAAGTTACAGTACACCCAAAAAAACTTTTTTAGCAAAATTACAGTCACCCACTTTCATTTTTTGTAAAAAAAGTTACAGTAACCCAAAAATTACTTGTTCGAAATTTAAAAAACAAATTGTTACTCAAACTTACCAATAATTTCATTGTCATATCGAAAGTCCGATGAGACGACTGCTAGCAAAAGAGATAGCAGTGCTATCCTTAATGTCACCATTTTTATGTAAATTGGACCCTGGAAAAACAAAATTTAAATTTTTTAAATTTTCAATTAAAATTTAGAAACATTCACGCAATATAAGCCAAAAAAGATTGTAAGCTTTTGATTTTAAGTATAAGAACAAAGGTTTTGTTAGCTCAAAAAAGTGTTGTCGTCATTTTACATTGATTTGCACTACAAAAAACGACAAGACTTTTTAAAGCATTTAAAAAAATTAAAAAATTAAATTTTTTAGGTAAAATACGATCAAAAATAATGATACAGTATACTTTTGTCAAAAAAACATTTTTAAAAAATTTGTTAATCCAAAAAATAGCAGTCAATTATAGTATGTTTACATCAATAAAGTAATGTTTTTACATTGCACGAGTCAATCACGGTCAAGGCAACATAGAAACCGCATGGCACGTTCAAATTAAAAGCGAAAAATAATATTATTAGAGACATTATAAAGGTTAAGATTGTAAAATAGAAAGTATGACAAAAGAGAGCAATGAAAAGAGAGAGTACTAGAGAAAAAAAGCATTTAAAAAGAAACTTATCCTACCCTACCTTACCCTACCCTACCCGACCGTACCCTACCCTACCCTACCCTACCCTACCCTACCCTACCCTACCCTACCCTACCCTACCCTACCCTACCCTACCTTACCCTATCCTACTCTACCTTAAACTACCCTACCCTTTATTCTACTACTAAAAAATTGCTCTGCGCCGCCCTACCCTACTACTTTGGCACTGTCCTAGCTATAACTTGTCTTGCCCTACTTTGTTCCACTCTATTCTATTTTACCCCACCCTACCTTAGCGTGTAATATCTCACAATACCTCAAACTAAAAAACTCTTGATCTTGCCCTGCTTTGCTTTACCATACTCTAACGTTCTTTGGCATGCCCTGGCCTGCTCTGCTTTGGAAAGTACTGGCTTTCTCTGCCCTATCTTGTCCTATACTGAAAATTTTTACCCTGCCCTCCCAACCCTGTCCAACACTAAAAATCAGCTTTACCCTACGTTTCCTCACCCAACCCTACCCTCCTCTAACTGACTAACATAAATACTACAAATATTTTACTCCCCATAACAACCCCCATAAAACTGACAAATCACTCAAAGCTAGCCGAATTTGTTCCGAGTTGATCAAGGAATTTAATAAAACCTTGAATCCCAATGTAGGTTAACCTCAATTGCTATTTAAAAAATATTCTCGAGGAAGGGGTGGCAAGTTCAAGGAAAAAATAAGGCAATTTCCTTTTCCAGACTCCTCCGCCCGACTTCTGAAGGTAAAGGCGAAAAGGGGGCGGGGCTTGGGCTGATGGTCATTCGGAAGGAAGTAATTTCGATTAGTTTCATATGCAAACATGTTTAATTAAAAATATTCGAAATGCTATGTGAAAAGACATTTGTTTGAGATATATAAGTCTGACAAAGTGTCAAAATTTTAAAAAATGCGACGAAATGTCAAAAATTCTTTGGAAATGTAACACAATGTCAAAAAATAAAAAAATGAAACGAAATGTCACAAAAACTATTGGTTTTGCAAAAAAGTAAAAACATATTTTGTAAAATACAGTGTTCTATCGGCTATTGTTCAAAAACTTTTATTACAGCAAGAATTAAGATTGACGAAATGTCACAAAAATTATTGATTTTTTAAAAATAACAAAACGTAAAATTTTGACTTTTTAAAGCGTGCTAAAACACTTAAATATTATTTTTTTCATTAAAAAAAGCTTTTTTTAAAGTTTGACGAAATGTCACAAAAAATATTGATTTTTTTAAAAATCTTAATAAAACCAAAAAATATTTTGTTTTTAATGAAAAATGCTTTTTAAAAAAAAATTAATTTTAAACTAATACTTTAAAAGTTAAAACTTGAAAAAAGTTACCTAAAATTGACATTTTTCACAATATCCTGCCCTAATTTCACCCCAAAACCCAGACAAACCACCCCAAAATGATAATTAGAATGGAGAACACAAAAGACGGTCGGGATTGTAATACAATTGGACACCGGCAATTATTCATTGTGAAAAAACGCCTTTGCGATGCTTTGACCCGTGCTGCAATTTCTGCGACAAAACTCTTTTTTTCGCAAAAACCCCGCCTATTCAACGTTTGAAATGTCATACCATGGTATGGGTTTTTACTCGACAAATTGAAGATGAGTTACTTTATAAAACCCATAAAAATTTGAATTTATTAAAAAAGCGCAATACGTATAGATCAATTAATTTTTAACTAGCGGCACTTTATATAACGAAAGACCATAAAAATTTAAAAAATTAAAAAATCTCCCCCCCCTACCCTACCCTGCACTACCCTACCGTACCCAAACCTTTTTTTTGCCTTGCCTTTGCTTTATCTTGCTTCACTCATCGTCTCCTACCTTACTCAACCAAAACCTGTACCCTAACCAACGCTGCTTTGTTCTACCCTACCCAACTTTACTCTACCTTGCCTTCATCTACTCTACTCAATCCAAGGTTTCCCTACTTTGCTTTATCTTACCCTACATACTTTATTTGCTTTACGCTACTATGCCCAACATTGCTATGTCTTGTTCTACCGTATCCTACTATCACATGCAGAAAAAGCAGGACTTGAGCAAAATTTACGTCGGCCGGGATTGGCTGAAAAAAAAACTCAGACTAGACTAGGCATAATGTTCAGAGGGCCGGGCTTCATTCAGGAGGCCGGGATTAACATTTAGAGGGCAGGGCCTAACATTCAGGGTATCGGGTCTTAAAAGTACACTTGGCCCAGCTCGTTTCCCATGTTTATACATACCCTACTCAGCGTTTTAAAATTAAATTTTTACATTTTTTGAAAGAACTGCCTTTTACTTAAATAATATTTTTTCACCCCCCCCTCTTTTCTCTCTCACCCCCTTCCTTTACCCCCCCTCTCAAAATTTCAAAAACTAGCTATTTATCACCTGCCCAGCCTTCTCTAAATATCCACGTTACCCTACTTGTCCAACCCTGCAAATAGTCGCTTTACTTTGCCTTAAGCATGCCTTGCAAAAAGGTATTCTAAATCTACCTACAATACGCATAACACAGCGTTACCCCATAACCGACTGAATTAGCGTTTTCTTCGTTTGAAGCGGCGTTTAAATACTCAAAACGTTTTTTTTAAAGTTTAATTAGAATATGCACCGTCCTCGACCTCAAATGCTACATATTAAATGTCTAGGTTCAGCATTCTCATACGTGGGGATTGTCTACCGTTTTTGTGATCTTGTAGTACATCCAAGTTCAGACATAAAGAGATTAATAGAGTACAGTAGGCTAGTATAAATACGGTAAAACTAAATTTGGCATGGTAAGGAAGATTGGCATAAAACTTTTAGGTATGTGACGAAATGTCACAAACTTCTAAAAATATGACAAAATGTCACAAAATTTAAAAAAGCAATAACAAAATGTCACACTCTACTCTACCCTATCCTACCCTTGCCTACTGAAGCCTACTGTAGCCTACTGTGAATTGCCTTTTCATCTTGCCATGCCCTCCTCAAACCTACCTGCCTTACCTTTCCTTAGCTTTAACCTGCCCGCTTTATCCCTACCCTTATCTTACAGAACTGCTCCACCTGTGCCCTTGACCAACTGCTTTGTCCTGCTTTGACTTGTCGTGCTCTAAAATGCCCAGCTTTGCCCTGCCCTAACCTATCTAAGTTTCCTCTACCGTCTCTCATTTTCTCATACTCTCTAATTTTTCCTCAAAGTTCACAATACTGACCTAAAATTTCGAAAAAAAACGTTTGAGAAAACAGACTTGACCTGACTGGGGTTTCTGAATAGGTTCCAGGCGGTGTGAAACACGGTTACGTAATTGATTGCGCGATTTGTAATTACAAAAATTGACTCAATTTCGAAGGGCGAGCATCCCTTTACAAACACTAATAACAGGGTACCGGCAAGATGGGATGAGTAATGTGATGAGCAGACATTATCTACAACAAGTTCTTTTCAAGTTGTGTAGATATGGGTTTACTATAGCTCTTCTATGACACCTTGGGTATGAGTTGGTGACACTTACCTTGCTATTGAAAAGTTATGCTGAAGAAGATACTACAGTAAAGCTTAAACTATAGTAAACGCAAAATAGCAAAAAAATACTATAGTAACACTCATACTACGGTTACACTAATACTACAGTAACACTAACACTGCAGTAACAATAATACTACAGTAACACTAACACTACAGTAAAACTAATACTAAAGCAAAAGTTACACAGTACTACAATAATCTAGATATATTGTTTTATATACTACGGCAACCAGTGCCAAAAGGGCGGGGGAGAGTAGATAATTTCAGGATAAAAGAGAATAGGGTAGAATAAAACAAAGTAAAGTAAGGTAGAACACGGTAAGAAAGGGTAAGATAAAATAGATAAGTTAGATTAAAGCGAGGCATTTTACCAAAATAATACATGTTTTCTTACTACGATAAAGCCACAGGTATGTCCATAATTTTGGTTATTTAGTGCCCCGACCTTGGCCCTCAGCTGGAGATCATTTCTTTTTGTATTATTTTAAATCAAAGAAACAATAATTTTAAGGAAAAAATAGTTGCCGCTTTCAAGGTAAAATACGAATCATTTTTGAAGTTGCGTTTTAAAAATAAAAAAAAAATAAAATTCGAATAAGCTACCTTTTGTAAATTTATACTAATATTAAAAAATAGTTTTTATACACCTAAGCAACCTTCTCATACTATCTTCTCTCATCCTATCCTAACATACCATAAGAATGAAAACAGCCAAGCCCGCTTTTGAGACTCGGTCAAAGCCTTAGGCCTAACGTTTAGGTCCGGTTCGTTTTCATTTTTTCTCAGGGCGATTTGGCCCGGTCAAAAAAATTATGCTAAGCCCGGCCGACTTTAAAAAATTTAAATTTTGAAACTTTTAAAATTTTTTAAATAGTGGCTATGCTTTTAGACCCGGCCCGTTTTAATTTTACCACCCCCCCCCCCAGCGCCTGGCCCAA